TTGACGAGCAACCAGAGACCCTTGACTCGAAGATAGGCCTTCATCTCACCCTTCCAGGTAGCATAGTTGGTAGAAGTGAGTTTGGTGACAGTGCGAATAGATTTCGAGTCTTCTGAGGACATGGCGAAGGAGACGGCGCAGTTTTGCAGCAGTGGGACGAATTAAGGGCAAGGGCTTGGTAGAATTTGAAGAAAAGGCTGTCTTTGCTGATTTTCAACAAAGAGAGCAAGGAATAATGGGTGGGGAGAGTGTACCAGTGGCTGGATGCGAGAGGAGAGAAAATGCGCACTATGTTGGCCCAAAGACAGTGAACTCCAGCGACAGATTTGACTGCTAAAGCGCAGGGCTCATAACCTGTTAGAATAACTGAGAGTTCAAAGTCAATGCACGAAGCATGTAAGACTTGTGAACTCTGCACTATGGGCGAGTCTATGTAAACAAATATAAACAATTCCTAGTATGGTATGTGTCCTCGAAGTGTCTTAGAGGTCTGTCCTCAAAGTGTCCTCGAAGTCCTCGAAGTTATCTACTAATATAGTAATGTCCTTGAAGTGTCCTTCAAGTCTTCGAAGTCTTAGAAGTCTTCGACCTATCTAGTGTGAAGTCACCACACAACTAACACTCATGTCACTTGGCTCTACTTGGCCGAGCTCCACATCAGGCTCTTAATTTGTTGGCCAATTTTCAGTATTACGTCATGAAAGACTACCTATTGACATACGTGAGGCTTTTCTATGTCCTCTATTTTCGACCGGATGTTGGTGTCCTGTGTGCGAGCATCGCAAGTGACCCATTTTTATACATACAAGTCTTCAATTTCTGGCCCTCACTTTTGGTCTGCGGAGGAAGGTTCACAGTGTTATAATCAAGGCAATATTGTCATTCGTCCACAGAATTCTACTGAGCTGTATTCTCTTTTGCCACTGAGTCCTGATGAGCTGCAAGAAGCTATGTGTGTCATATTCTCAGGACAGAAAATACGACCGTCACATGACACTGTCAGAAAAATGGGACCCGTGTTGCTCACAAAGAGTAGAGTTCAAAAGTTGATTCAGTTCTTAATTGAAAATAATTCATGGTATCAGCATAGTGGTGTAACATATAGTCAGTCCAATATGGACACACTGTTCGATGAGATTGATTCGAAATCAGACACGAGTCTGCCAAGCGCTCTATCAGTTTGTCATTTGCCGATGGACAGTCAGGTTCCAGTGGACGAGGGGTTTAGCTCTCGTGATGTTTATGAAGACGATAGAAGTCAGGTAGCTGTAGGTGATATCGTTATGGAGGCTGTCGGGTATACTATGGGAGAGTCAAAGACGAATATCAAATGGTCACAAAATTGACAATCACGTGCAGGTTTGCATAAGTCACATGATAAAATGACGTCAATTCACACAAGCAAACAACTGACCAACAAAATGACGACACAAACAAGCCATCCAAAAACATCATTCAATTGAAACAAACTACTCACTCAAAGCTTTACAACATGTCCACTCAGAGTAACCTATCCACTGAAAACTCAATCATAGGCTGCTTATTCACACCAACGGAGCCCAACGGCTTCACAGACATAACCATCAGACGTGCAGCAGATGGTACATTTACCCTTACAAGACCGCACCTGTTTTTCAGGAATATTGCAGATCTAAAAGAATATAGAATTACAACGGATGATGGAGAAGTCAAAGAGGCTTACAACATCCATATCTTATATGACAGAAAATTGCACAGAACACCGCTATTAGTGCTGCCGCAGTTCGGTCCAGAACCTAGGTTTGAACCCGAATCTTTGTGGACCAGACCCATGGTTTGGTCACAGGTCCAGACTTTCTGTTGGACCGAACCCCTTGGTAAGTTCGGGGTTTGGTGTGTCGTCGATAAATCTGGACCGGTTCTGAACACATCCAGACCGGTTCGAACCTGATGACTTTTTGAAGTCGAAGCCTCATGTTTTTGGCGAGGCTTTCTGTTTAAGTATTGTCCTTGCCCTTCTGTTCACCATCTTCTCCTACTTTTTCTGCGTTCTAGTAGGCAAGGCGATCTCTCAGCAACTTCGGTAATGCAGCAACTCATTCAGGTGCCAGTGAGTTTGCAACAATTCTACTGTCTGTCCCAATTAAATTATAATGCAATTTATTTCAGAACATACCTACTATTGTGAGTCACCATACTTGCCATCTGCCATGGGTTCTCATTTTGGTGGTTCATGGTGCGCAACAGTTTTAAAACTAGCTTTAAATATATTCACTTGGCACCTAGGGACATTTATGCCTCCTGCTGCTATGTCTGAGTCCTCTGCATGTCACGCTGATGGTTTGTTGAAAGATGCCAGTGAAATTCAGTGGTACAATGATGCTGAAGACGACACCCAATGGTTCCTCCCCCTGCTCCCACCAACAATGGCACTCTCAACTCATTTGTCCATCGTTCTGGTCGCGCTGTCAAACCCACAGAGAAGATATGTGAGACTCTGGTTGCCAGCAGTACCTCAGCCAAACGGTCAGCTCCAGAACCTCCCCAAGGTGTCCCTGCACCCAAATGAGTGTGCGTTAGCCAAGAGGACGACTACGACAACAATGAAGATGCACCCACACTCAAAGATGTTACAGATGATGAGGAAGAGGATGCTGAGAGTGCTGAGAAAGAAGAGGCTTACCAATGGACGAAGAAGCTTGGTGACCAGGATCGCGAAGACCGCAAATCTCTCAAGAAGGACGAACACAGCGCTGACTTAACAACAGTCTTCACTTTTGAGAAAGGCCGTCTTAATTCCCACACCCAGGAGCTTGAAAACGGGTGGTGGTGTGAGGTGTGCAAGGCCAACAATGTTGTTCTACACCAGTGTTTCTTTAAAGGCGGTATCTCGACTTGATGCACGCACATTGCGCACAATCCCAAGTGCCACTTCCCAGTTTATCAGGACCGCTGCAAACAATGTGGTCTTGCGATGCACGATCGTGCAATACCTCAAAACTGCAAGATGACTGATATAGTGTATGTTATCTTTCTTGTTGTTTTCTTCTCCTTTCATTGACCTTTACAACCAGTCAGGCAACCTTGGACACATCTCTCCCTCCCAAGATACCAGTATTCACAAAGTTTGGACTTATGGACTACATTGTTGAACTCATTGTTGCCAAGGACGAGGTGAGCAACTTTCATTCTTGATATCATTTTAAGACACTTATACATGCAGGCCTTTCAACTTGTAGACAAGGGTCCGTTCTGCCGCCTTCTTCAGTATCTCCGGCCATCACTTTCAGACCAAGATATCCCCCACCACACAAGAACTCGGGACGAAATACTCAAATGCGCAACTCTGGCGGTTGAGCGCGTGAAAGAGAAGCTCAAGCTTGTTGATAGCAGAATCTCAATGACATTCGACTCGTGGACGTCTTTGCCTGGTCACCCTTGCCTGTCCCTTTCAGCGCATTATATAGATTCCCCGGCTGACAAGCCTCGAGAATGGGAACTCAAGACCGAGCAGCATGCATTCACGCCCATTCACAGCAATCACAGTGGTGCAAACATCGGCCAGATTCTAATTGAGAATATCGACAAATATGGGATCTGCACAAAGCTCGGGTATGCCACTAACAATGATACTGCCATCAAGACTGTCGCCGACTCTATCGACCCATCTGGTGAGAAGTGGAATCCAATTGAGCATCGTGTGCGGTAAGTCTGTCTAGTATTAGATACTTCCGTTGAGATTACTGACAAGTATTTCAGTTGCATGGAGCACGCACTCCATTTAGCAGCAAAACACTTCATTGAGGAGGTGGCTCCTACACCAGCAAGTGTATTGCACAAGAAGGCAGCTCAAGCAGAGGCAGAAGAAGATGAAGACGAGGAAAGTGTCGAGTTTGAAGTCGATGACACCGGCAAGGTGCTCGCATTTGTTGCACAGGTAAGCTCTTAATTAATCTGTCCACTATTATATACTGACTGTGTTTAGGTACAGAAATCTCCTCAAGCTCGCATCTTTCTTCAAAAGTGTTGTGCAGAGGTGAACGAGCCTCCGTTGGAGCTGTTGAGATGGGTCTGCACACGTTGGGCATCTCTGTACAATATGTTGGAGTGTGTCTTTGTTCTTCAAGGAGGAGACGTCCTGAAGGTTCTGGGACCGATGCAGCGCTGTTTACTGCGTCTGGAGACTGTAGATGCGGCACCTCTGTCACCTGCTGGTACTGCGAGAAGCCTGGTCACTGCACCCACAAGTGCAGGAGTCTTAAAGGTGATAAGGATCGTCGCAAGACCAAAAACGATGGTCGAAAAGGTGGAAGGAGCGCTAACAAGGCTTCTGAGGCGTCCCAATCATCGTCCGCAGCGTCTACACCCTCTCCCAACACCGCTGCACCTGCCTCCAACTCGACCACTGCCCAGAACACCTCCCAGAGCGCCCAACAGGTCACGGAATTTGCTGGTAATGCAAGTCTTCGCACTTTTGACCCATCTCATCCACTTTGCCCCTTGCAACTCGATGCACATGCTGACTGGAATGCGTCCCTATCAAGCTCGCAGACAACAACATAGTCTATTCAGCTGGCGAGGGCACAGTGGTATTCAGTCCAGTCATTAATGGGAGGCGTGTCGAAGCTGTAGAATTCACTAGAGTCCTTCATGTACCAGATTTGCGAAATAACCTACTATCTGTCCTATATCTAACTCGCAACATGGGGTTCGCTGTGCTCATTAATGCATCTAAGATGTCCTTCGAACGCCCCACTGGTACCCCACTGTTTGTAGCCAGCATCAGCAACTCGAATGCTGCATTCCTGGATGGTTCTACTGTTGCAATAACTGAATATGTGTCTGCAGCTGCGACTCTGCCCCTAGACTTCGACCTCTGGCACAGGAGGCTCGCTCACCATCACCTAGAAGGTATTAAGACGCTTATAAGGGAGAAGCTCGTCACTGGGATGACCATAGAGTCGAAATCTGCACCAGATCCTATCTGCGAACCATGCCTAGCTGGCAAGATGCACGCAAACCCCTTCCCTCCTTCTGAATGGCGCGCTTCCAGGCATCTCGAGCTCGTCCACACCGACGTGCACCAAGTCCCTCACCCCAGCTTCTCAGGATTTTGCTATTGGGTGTCCTTCATAGACGACTACTCCAGATTCAGATTCGTCTTGCCCATAAAAGCAAAGTCTGATGTCTTTGAGGCCTTCAAGACATTCAAGGCTTATGCTGAGAACCAGTCAGAGCGAAAAATCAAGATCCTGAGGGACGACAAGGGAGGGGAGTACATGAGCAATGCTTTCTTGCAGTTCACCAACTCCTGCGGCATAGAGCGCCAGCACACAGTTCGAGCACGCCCTCAGCAGAATGGTGTTGCAGAGCGAGCCAACAGGCTGCTCTCTGAGCGCATCACCACCATGCTGGATGAAACTGGCCTACCTAAAGCATTCTGGGGCAAGGCTCTAGGTGCCCTAGTGCACGTGTGGAACAGATGCCCCACAAGCGCAGTGAAAAGCGCCACTCCCTACGAACTGTGGCATGGAAGGAAGCCAGATGTCTCCCATCTTCGAGTCTGGGGTTGCACTGCCTATGTGCACGTGCAGAAGGACAAGAGAGAAGGACTTGGATCTCACATGGAGAAATGCGTGTTCATTGGGTATCCTCAGGGCTACAAGGGCTGGAAGTTCTATAATCCCACTACTAAGAAGACAGTAATATCAGAACGAGCTGATTTCGATGAAAGATATTTCCCCCTCTCAAAGCGACCTACTGAGCCTTCCATACCAGTCCCTACTGCACCTACACTTGCAGCAACTCGCCCTACTGTCCCACCTATTCCACAGACACGAAGGACATTCCCAATACCTGACGATTCAGATGCTGATGATGAATCCAGCTCTGATGAGTATCAGGATCATGGGGGGAGCAATGGTCCTCCAGATGCGCCTCCTGCTGCCCCTGTAGTGCCTAATATTGATCCAGATCCTCCTCAAGTCCGAGCCTCGTCTCCAACTCCATCCCCACCACCATCTCCACCTCCTAGACCGCCCTCGCCCATTGGCATTGGAGCCAGACTGCCCAGGCGCAATAGAACCAAGCCTAGAGAGTGGTGGAAGCTATCTCCAGCCCAACTACACTCTGATGTGGATGATGACATCGAGGACGCGGATCTTGGCCATGAGATTGTTCTCTCTGCAGCTTCACCAGCTGAACCCCTGTCCTACTCCGAAGCTCTGAAGCGCCCTGATGCGGAGCAGTGGAAACAAGCTGCCATGGAGGAGCTGAACGCCCACAGCATCAATGGCACTTGGCAGCTCGTCCCCAGACCTGCTGGAAAGAAGGTCATAGGCTGCAAGTGGGTGTTCAAGGTGAAGCGCAATGCAGACGGATCTGTGGAGCGCTACAAAGGCAGATTGGTGGCCAAAGGCTATAATCAACGACCTGGCTTCGACTACCTCGAAATATTTGCGCCCACAGTCAGAATGCCCAGCATAAGAGTCGTCCTAGCCATGGCCGCCATTCACGACCTCCACCTGCGCTCTATAGACATATCTCATGCCTACCTCAATGGGGAGATGGACTGCGACGTCTACATGGAGCAGCCTGAGGGATTTGTTGAAGGAGATGCCAAAGAGATGGTTTGCTTGTTGAAGAAGAGCATATATGGCACCAAGCAAGGAGGCAACAGATGGAACCAGAAAATGCGCTCTGTGCTCGAGTCTTTGGGCTACACTCAGTCCTACTCAGACGCGTCCATCTACATCTATCTAAAGGACAATGTAAGGATCATTCTGCCAGTCTTCGTAGATGACATGACCTTTGCCTCGAAATCTGCTGCTGCCATCGACCGCACCATCAAGGAGCTCTCCCAGCACTTCAAGCTTCGCGATCTCGGTCCCACCACTCAGCTTCTGGGCATCAAGATAGACAGAGACTGGTCTAAACACTCCATCACCATATCTCAACAGCAGTACTGTCTAGACATCCTCGAGCGTTTTGGCATGGCTGATTGCAAGCCCATATCCACTCCCATGCAGCCCAACCTTCGACTCAGTCGCTCCCAGAGTCCCCAGACGCCTGAAGAGGTCCAGCTCATGAAGACCGTCCCATACCTAGCTGCAGTAGGCGCCCTGATGTACCTGGCAACAACAACTCGACCAGACATTGCCCACGCTGTTGGTTATCTTGCCAGATTCAACTCGAATCCAGGATTAGCTCACTGGCAAGCTGTCAAGCACCTGCTTCGCTATCTCAGAGGTACTGCCGACTACAAGATCACTTATGCGCCTGATCCATCAAGCACCGAACTGTTCTCAACCTATTCCGATGCTCGATGCTGATCATGGTGGATGCAAGGACACAGGGCGCTCCACTGGTGGATACTTGGTGAAGATCGGCTCTGGAGTCGTCTCGTGGTCTTCTAAGCTACAAAGCATTGTTGCGCTATCTACTACCGAAGCAGAGTACATCTCTGCAGTCTCAGCAGGCAAGGAGATCCGATGGATGCGAAACTTGCTGCAGGAGATGGGATTCTCCACCACTGCACCATCCATACTTAGAATAGACAACCAGAGGGCCATATCTGTTGCCAAACACCCAGAACACCACGGGAGGATGAAGCAACTGGATCTTAGTTGGTATTGGCTCAGAGACGTTGTTCACAAAGAGATAATTGCGCCTATCTTTGTGCCCACAGCTGATCAGCCAGCTGACATCTTGACAAAGTCTTTGAGTCGACCCAAGGTGGAACTATTTTGCAGAATGATGGGACTACACAGATGAGGGGGGAGTTGTTAGAGATTAGAGATGTGTTCAGTCAGGGGGGAGTGTTAGTTGTGTGGTGACTTCACACCAGATAGGTCGAAGACTTCTAAGACTTCGAAGACTTGAAGGACACTTCAAGGACATTACTATATTAGTAGATAACTTCGAGGACTTCGAGGACTTCGAGGACTTCGAGGACACTTTGAGGACAGACCTCTAAGACACTTCGAGGACACATACCATACTAGGAATTGTTTATATTTGTTTATATTTGTTTACATAGACTCGCCCATAGTGCAGAGTTCACAAGTCTTACATGCTTCGTGCATTGACTTTGAACTCTCAGGTATAGTACTTTACTTATTTACACAATAATATCAAGTGCATTGACTTTGAACTCTCAGTTCTTCTAACAAATGCATATATAAAGTGATCAACATTAGGAGATACACCCCCATGGAGATAGGTGGCAATGGACAGGACATTGAATGCTAACAACAGATACCTATGCAGAATCTCTTACACTGATTGCCTGCTCAAAAGCACATTCAAATGCTCTAAATTACAGTCTTCTCTAAAGATCTTTATTAAATGATGCAGCCATTATATGGTTATATATGGTGGATATAACACAAAGTTTCATTGTAGTCTAATGCTATTCACTGTCAGAATCAACAGAAAATTACCACAAACTATTGAAAATTTAGGTGGTTTGTGGACCCCAGACACTCCTATATATTCAGGAAAATCCATCAGATATATGGTCCAAAGTGCCCCATGGTACTTTCCACAACTTGTTCCCAATTGTCTTTGGTCCATGTGCAATACATACTCTTTTGGTCCACAAAAATAATAGGGAAAGACCACAGAACATTGGAGAGACCAGCAGAAACATACCTCTTAGGTACAAACCTCTATAGACAACAATCAACCTAAGAGGTGTCTAAAATGGGGTGACCAAAGTGCACTATTGCCGAGTGAGAATTTAACACCATCAAAATGGCACAGAAGGTAGAGAAGAGGAAGAAGCTTGATGACGCCATCACATCATTTGTTCAAGATCAATCAAATAGACTTCACAAACTGGTGGTTGCTCACGATGTCTCCGACAAGCAAGTGAAGGACATCCTCAGTCTCAAGCCACACTACCACAGAAAATGCTGTGTGCAATTGCGCAATGTATTTGTGCACATTAAATCCAAGGAGCTTAATGAAGGTATGTAGGTTACATATGAAGGGTACATAGTCTAATGACGAGCTTCAGGTCACCCTATTGGAGACAAGTATAGCCTAGAGCAAATACAGAACATCATTGATAGTGATCCTGCGTATAAGCAACTGTCGGCTGAGGAGGAACAGGACTACATCAACTAGCTAAATGAGTACCGCGCCCTCAAGATGAGTGAAGCTTGTACAAACAATGTGTCGGCGGCTCAAGACGCAGTTGCAGTGATGAATCAGATTTCAAAGGAGGTATGTATATTTTGTCATGGTATGTGCACATGACTGACAACTTGCTTCATATAGCTTCATGCACTCCATGATTGAGCTGGTATATATGCAACTGTCCTTATGGTTCAAGGGCACATCAACAATCAAATTCAGTCGACATGGATTGTGACGGACAATGTGCACAAATTCTGGGAGGACCGGATGAGTCTAGTGCTTGACAATGTCGTGTGTCAGTTCAAAGAGTGGGCTTGCAATCAGAAGAAAAGTAAGTTCTTTGCTCCTTTCAACACTTATTGATCAATACATTGCATAACTAGATATATATGAGCATGAAAATCTTGCCTCCCTAGAAAAGCAAGCTGCTGTGATTGTGATGAGTAAACTTCGTATGTTTTTCTTATTTGTTTACATTCATTTTTACTGATGTTATTAGGATGTGCAACAGGCAAAATGGACCTCACAATGAATTATCAGAACTACAAGAAAGCTATCATATTGGTCTATGGAGTCACACTGAAAGGCTGGCCAGAGGGTCTTCCTTTCATCGCATCATCTCATATGCACACTGTCCTTGAAGTATGTACCCTTCATGATGCTTTGGTGACTGGTGCATGCCACTGGAAGAAGATTATCTGGGGTAAACTTGAGGACCTCCACACAGATATTCAGCGACACTCAGATGCAGGTGAGGTGGTAGGCACAGTGCACAAGAAGCACTTGGATACAGGCAAGACACGTAAGCACAAAGCACCTGCTGCTAATGGTGCTACAGATGCCACTGTGGCCAAAGGGAATTCTAAGAGAGCTCGAAAATCGCACGGGGGCAAGCAGGCTGAAAGGCAGAAGAGAACCCAACCAATGAGCGCTGAATTCATTTAAGACAGTGATGAGGAGAGGTCTAGCAGTGGCCTTGAAGAGTCATCAAGCATATAGTTCTTTAAAGTTGCTTATTTCACTTCAAATAGGTGTATGATACATGTTTTGTGCCTATATAATAGTCTATATAACACCATATGTTTATGTGCAAAAAAATCTGGTGCTAAATGATGAAGGAAACAGTTCAAATACGAGCTTGCTGTGGTAGACAGCGAGGACAAAGGTTTACGGTGTAGAAAGCTGATTCCTGCTGGGCTCAGCAGAAATGGTACTACCTAGACAACAATATTTAGGTAGATCTTTGGCACGACCTATGCTGCTATACTTGGAAGGCAAGTGTGTTCGATCCTATAGGGGTAGCTATTTGGTATTAGTTTAGATAGTTAGTTATTAATAATAGAAAGATAATCTGAAGCTAGGAACTACTTGTCCGAAGGGAAACTGTCGGGTCCGAAAATATTGGAGTCGGGTTGGGCGTCAGACTATGTGTTGGACTGTCAGGAATGTGTCGGACAGGAAAGGAATGTTTCAGAAGTATGTTGGATTGTTGGTCAAATGAGTGTCGGATGTTTTGGAAATGTTTTGGAGCAAAAGAGTGGATAGATATTTTGCAATACAATAAAGTACTACTAATATCCAATGACTTCCATCCTACTACTGAGTAGGGAAAAGTAAGTAAGTTCATAGGTAGGAAGTACTAGATATTATATAGTATCTATGTAGAATTTCAGAGTGCATTAGGCGAAAACAGTAGCACAAAATCAGGTCTGAATGTATGTAAAAGAGCATGAGTACTGCACCTTTTGTAGATAACATGTAATAATGTTGTCTGTAATATTCAAATAATGCAAAAACGAGTAAATATGCACCAGTGGGGATAGATACGGCTGGACAGGACATAGGAAGGATTAGTCCAATGTGAAAACATTGGGTCCAAAACTTTCGGGTCAGTGTTGGGCATCAGGATCAGGATCAGAATGTCGGGGATGCATCGGATGAACACTGTTTGACATGAGTATCAAAAACATGAGTTTTGAGTCCAGTGCTGTGACTATCGTTATAATGGGACTTGTCAAACATTGTCGGGGCCAGGAACACCACATTGCCAGCGGGAAGTATATTGATAGCATGCCAGGACATTGCCAAGGTTCCTAGTGACTAATTAGGACTGACTACTGTTGATTTTTGCCAAGTACCCACGCTAAATATCCAGCAATTATCCATCCAAGTGCTACATTGCTGTATCTACCTGTACTTAAAGGCGCCCAGGCAACCAACATCCACCTCTAATTACAAGGATGATGTGGGAACCACAGGTGGAGTGGAGCAGTCATAATGTCCTTGAACTACTGCATCAGGAAACCTGTATTTTCCATGATTTAGCTGAGATGTCTGATAGCAGGCTCACCAGGCAAATCAAACAATCAGCTCATCAGATTTTGTCTAATTTCAGGCAGGTCTCATCTGAAATGAGACCATCAGGTCCATCAGACAGTCAGTTGTTCAGACATGCATTTCATCTAAACCATCATGCTGATCAGATTGACAGGTGCTCAGAAATCCCAGTTTATCATGACTCTCATGATAGAGAAATAATAATAATAATAATTGCACCTTACAAAGTTTAAACTCTCAACCAGACATCTGCACTTAAGGTCACATGACAATATGCACACTGCAAGTGCAGCATAACCACTAGGCTATGTGATCACATCTATTTCTATGTTAGAATTCATATATATACCATATTCACCGGACTTCAAAATATTTTTATTTCACTTCCCCAACAACTTTGTTATTTTTTTTTCATGTTTTAATAAAAGTTGTAGTCCTAGTGGAGACAAGTCTATGGCCAGTCTTGGCCTATCAATTGGTAGTCATTTGGGCAAGATATAGGCAAAATAAAAACAAAACATCAGCAAATTTATAAAAAATGTAAAAATTAAAAGTAAATAAAATCCTTGCATGTTTTAATGAAAGTTGTAGTCCTAGGTGAAATGAGTCTATGGCTAGTCTTACCTTGTCAATTGGTAGTCATTTAAGTAAGATATAAGCAAAATGAAAATGAAACATTAGTGAGTTTTGAATAAAAATTCTGAAGTTTTGCAAAAGTTGAATACTTAGATTATGTGATCTACTATATTACTATGACACAGCTCTGTAGCTATGGAGTGTCTACATGATCAGATAGGCTGGGTATTTAAATGTTTGATCTTACAGATGTGTCTGACTGACCAATCAGGCTGCATATCTGTGTTCATGATTTGTCTGATGAAGCTGATAATTATGAAGTCCTGGCAGAACTGCAGTCCTGTGTGGGTTGATATGCTTGAGAGCCATGTGACCCTGAAAGGCTGATATCCTGTAAAGCCTGTTATGTTCAAGAAGCATGACATCCTGTAATAATGATATCCTGCTATGTCTGAAATGCTTAAGCATCATGATGTTTTGATGAACTGAGAGTATGTTGTGTCTGACACTACTGTCTGACTACGATCTTGATAATCTGGGATTATGATAGGTCTGAAATCAGACCAGTCAGGTCATACAGGTATGTCAGTTAAATTAGGGAAAATCTAGGTTTCCTGATGTGAAACTGGACAAAGTAGTCTCATGGCAAAAACATGATTGTAGGCAGTGCAGTTAGTGTCCCTGGTGTCTCTGACCAATTGTCTTTGACTGAACTCTTAGTATGTGCTTCTGAGTCTTAAATACTGTAAATGAACACTACAGTAGCTACACCATCACCCATACTACTAAATCAATGCCTAACCAGTAAAAGCCTACATGTATGTCTACTTTGCTGTTGTTCTGATTTAATACCCCTAATTCGCATCCCACTCACATCAAATTAGCACCTTTGGACATGGTTCAACCACACATCCTTCACCTTTGGAAAGCACACTAGACAGATAAGCAAATCATTGCAGAATTGCAGAAACATTTCGATACTTCACAATATGGCCTTGCATTAGTGCATAGTCACCCTCCTTCAATTGTAGCTATATCCTGATGGTGTGCTCAGACTCACAGTTTCTCAAAATTTCTGAAGATACAAGTCTTAAAAGAATGCACTAGCAAAACCATAGCATCAAGACTATCCAAGATGCCATGATCAATTTATGTCTGATGTATCCAAATGCTGGAGTGTGTGAAGTTGTAAGCTTATTGTTTTGTGAATGGGACATCAGTGTGCCTAGGTGATGTTTGCTTTTATTCTCTTTATATCGTTGTATCTTAATTGATGGCTATTATATTACAGGAGTGTTGTTATATCCTACTTCCGTGAATTTGAGCCAGAGCTCATTTGCCAGCACAAGGCCAATCGGCTCCAAAGGAAATGATTTTGGGCTGCGGGCATGAATGATCTATTTGCTGTTGACCAACATGATAAGTGGTTGAGGTACAGTCTTGGCCTTCATACTGACATCAAGTCATTCTCAGGGCGCATTATGTAGATGAGAGTCTGGCATTCAAACCAGAACACGCAGCTGATCCTTGGTTATTATCTTGACACACTTGAGACACTCGGACATAAGTCATTTTTTCCATCTTATTAACATAGCACTGATCTACCTCTATCTACCAGACACTGCCTATGGTGACCTAGAGCAACCCTGAGTCAGAAAAATATCAAAGTTGAATGTGAAGTGCTAGACTATGTCTGTAATCTCTATATTAACCCTTCCCATGTTGTCTTCAACCTCATTCCTAAACCATTCAGCAAGTTCATGGAATATTGCTACACAAGTGATGCCTACTACATGGGTGGGGTGGGTGGTGGTCTTGGTCTTAGTATACTGGTTGTATTTTTTGATGCAAATACAGGGGGACTAATATCTATGCAGTTGATGAGAATTTGTATCAGTTAGAGAGTCTTGCCTGTGATGATGAGCCTGAAATCATGGTAGGTATCGACGAAGACACTGTGGGACTAGATCATGCAGGTTTGGTTATTTGGGATTTCTCAGATAGTAATAACTTGGATGTGCCAGATGAATAGTGACTTGTATCAAATGATTTTTTATATTTCAATTAATTGATATGCATCGCACATAATATTACTGCAGTCACTTTGTTTATTATTAGTGGTAGTAGTGTTCATGGTCCCGCAGAAGGCATAACTGTATTTAGTAATTTTTACTTGAGATTTGAGGACGAATGTCCAGCTTTCCATACATTGTCTGTATTTTTGCGTACTAACACAGTTACAGACTCTAATTTTTATCACAGCATTTTTGATCTATTGGAAGATCCTGATGAAAGTCAGAAAGTAGTTGACTTAATGACATGGTGGACTTGGTTCGTGATCAATTTCATTCTCTAACTCTCAAGTCAATGTCTTTTACAGTTGTATCTTCCCTAATTCCACCTCTTTGCAGTGAGGTATAAGCAAAAACAGTGTACAGAGAAATGTGCTATCCTTCGAGAATGAACTGCTATGGGTACTACTTGATTTGCTGTTATTGTTATCATAGAATCTGTACTAGCACCTGATATCCTAATGCCACTTATGAATGAATGATAAACTGTCTGCTCCTTCTGTCATTGTATTGCATAAGAATCCTGATGTAAGTATTTTGTATGTTTGACCAAAATATAACCAACCTGCTGCAGCAAGATAATTCAATGTCACAACTTGACTTATTATTCATAATGATAGATCAGGGCTACCCATGCAAGAGAAGATGTATTTGGTGGAAGGTCTACAGGTTGCTATGGTGTGGTAATCAAATATTGTATCTCAGCACATTCTGAACTATTACAAATCCTGCCACCAGAAGTTGTCCATATAACAGTAGCTGTTATCTGATAGATGATTGACAACTGCATGTCATACCCTGGCACAATGTCAGTAGTTACAAATCTTGCTATAAAAAGTATCAGGCATAAAGGTATAGAGAATATAGACTTAGGTATGAGCACAAAGAGGCATATTGCAGAGTGACAAATGTTATCATCTGAATGTTATGTTTCACTTCTATATATGCCTCTATCTAAAAGCATGAGCAAAACACTTGAACATCTCAGTTCTTTCTCAAAGACTGAGATGTAAGCATAATCATCATTCTATTGTTCTACAGCATGCTAAAAGCAACCAATATAACAGTAGCTTGCTCTGGGTAGAAGACTAACAATGTGCTGTGGCATGACAATTATATGGCATAGCTTGACATGCTGTCAGTGATTACAAATCTTGCCATGGAAAGCTGCCTATATGAAGCCAGACATATCAGGGTGATAATGGCATCTTGCTATAATATGATAATCTAGTATAATGTGCCAGCACACTGTTAGTGATTATATATCCTGCAGTTGGAAGTTGCCTATGTAGGAGTAGATTAATTTGACAATATGCTAGTAAATCATAACTTGGTACAGTACTTATAGATCAGTCAATATTATAGCAGTGGGAGTTATCACCAGTGTAGTCTGTCTATTCATTTATTTATCATATGATTTACAATTGGGATAAATATTTTTGATATTATGCATTAAATAAAGCTAGCTAAATTCTTATCATACCCTAGTCAAATACCTGATAGTTGTCCTTGTCCATGGATTTCGACTTATTAGCCTTTTTCTTTCAACAATATCTCTTTCAATGATCTGGCTTCTTGTAATAGTTGCAGTTTCCAGATTTCTTCTTTTTGTTGGTCTTTAAACTCTTCTTTGACTTGTTCAAAGCTTTGGCTACAAGAACTGTCTGGGAGTCTAGACCTCAACATGACTTCTTCTCAACTAAAATCTGGCTTATAGTGCCTTCAATTGTGATCTTGTTGTTTGTTAACATTAAAATCACTCAGAGGGTTGTAGGAGGTAGGGAGTGATATGACCATAGCTATGGTTATGATGGAATCATCAAGAGCTTGCCCAAGTGAGTTTAGGACTTGTGCCTTCTGCTGCATCAAATTGAGTTGTAGTTCCATAAGAGATTTGTCCAAAACTGTTCTGCAAAATAATTTGCTTATTAGATAGGCTATACTTTACTTCCCTTTGCCTTTGTACCATTCACATACCTTTGTCCATGCATCTGATGCCAGTGTCATGTATAGGACTCCATTTAGCAGTTTGTCCTTGAGCATAAATGTTATCTGCATATGTGCTTCTTTGTTTTTCTTGAGCCATTCATTTAGTGCATCTGGGTCTGGTAGTTTCACCTCCACTCCAGTGACTAAGTCCCACAGTCTTTTTACAGTAAGTACTTTCTTCACTTAGAACTTCTAGTTCTGAAAATTAGAACCATTGTTTTCCAGTGATGGAATGTCAGAGACAATTTGAGGCTTATACAATTTTTCTTGAGCTGGAAGCTGATGAGGTGTTTGTTTGGGATATTGAACCTTGGGGATGCAAGATGGAAGGGTTTCCGGACATTGTATGAAGGTGGGTACTTTGTTGCTACTAGGCTATTCTATGCTTGATATTAAGCAGGGCTCATAACCTTTTGAATTTATAGTGGTGCAACACATGGAAATGAGCAAACAGACTTTGACAGAATCTAAAGGATAAACAAGTGTATCTACTAAAGTTAGTAACAGTATTGGAATATTAAAATGAATATCTCACCTCAGTCACATACTCATAGTGTAGCAGACTGAGGTGTCAGTAGTTCAAACTTGTCTGTACAATTATGTAAGCTGTACTCACCATATTTGGAAATAACAAACAAAACAACACTCTATTCTCCTGATAAAATCTGCCTGTTTGTTCTTATTTCTTTCTTTTGCAATCCTCTTCAGCTTTTTGTAGAGAATTCCTGCACATGAAAGCTCTTGGTAGATGGTCATGTAGTGGATAGGAATGAATCTCTTATTACTGAGTAAGACTGGCAGTTCATTGAGGAATCAGTCAGGACAGTGGTTCACAAGTCAAAGTGAAGTAGATAGTTTACATCATCAAAGGTGAGTACATCAGTAAAACATTTCCTCAGGGATGCTATTCAAGTCACACACAGCTGTAAAGAATCATAGCATTTGGTGCAGTGGTTGTTGAGACATAATTGTTTGATTCTAGGTATTCGAAAGGGCTGAAAAATTGAGATTTCGGCAGCTGTGCCAACTGTCATAAGCGGGATGGATTGCGCTACAGTGTTACAGGGTGTTACAGAGTGCTACAGGGCACTCTGTAGCAGATTGTTTCCCTGATAATTTTGAAAACGAAACGGCAATAAATATTTCATCTCCAGTGACATCACTCTAGGTCGCCCTCTGAAGCAAAGTTTGATCCATCATCATCACTGGGCAGAGTATGATTTGGATTCCGTACGAGAAGATCCTCGGTGCTCCTAGATGCATCTTCTAGATATGAGACATTGAAACACACAAACAAAAATGCAAACCTTTCTTTCTGCGTGATTCCTCGTAGCTCTCCTGGAGCTCTGTAATAATGGTCTCCTGCATCACGGCAACCTCTTCTGCGGATGCACATGTTTGGTATCGTTTGAGGTATGGACTACGATCGATATTTAAATCAGTACAGAACTGCATGATCGTGAAAGAACTGCACCCATTGACTTTCCAAAAAGAATCGCCCCACCCAAACGAACTGAGCAGGGTCTCTGCATGCTGATCAAACCCTGTAATGTAGAAAGTCGCTGCGAGTGCCTCGACGCAGTTCAGCCGCCAAGGCTTGCCATAATTGGTGGGGTTGGTAGCAAGCAAGTAGGGGACTATCAATAATACATCATCGACCAAAAGAGATGGATAAAAGAAGAATGGACTTACGTAGCCGTTCATGTGGGCTGGCAATTTTTGAGAATGGGACGTCGTCTATGCGCGCCCAGGAACATTCGACAACGGCGACACCATCTCGTCCAACGATCTCTTTGTCTGCTGGACTCACGACAAGGGCCCCCTTTGGACTGGGAGCAAATGATTGATGTTAGTGTGAATGGACGTTTGGAACGGGCAGACGCACGATACGACCACACCTCGAAATCTGGATCCTACCCTCAGCTCCATTATAAGACCAAGGCGGGCGAGTTTTTTCCCAGAGCATCGGCGTGGATCGCAATGGTCGAAGTCCTTGATCGATTATATTATAAAAATGGCACAGAGCGAATGACAAGTTAACGCACCCACATCGCTACGGGTATATCAATGTGCGGTCGCCCAGCTGTGCATTGATGAGTGGTCGTTTCATTGCCTTGTTAAATCACTCGCATTCGTCATCTTCACCTGAGGAATGATTTGAGCTGTTATCTTCGATGATGCTTGAAGGCTTGGCGAAGTCTTCGGGGAAGCCAGACAATGACTGGGATTGCTGGGAGGTTCTATGTCGTTGGGTGCGTCCACCCCGTCTTGGTCTGTTCACGCGAGAGGGTGGAGCATTCGTAGTGTGCTTCTTGCCCATGATCGTGTGTATTGAACTTTTCAGGCTTTCGCCGAGGAAGATGTCGAGTCGGTTATGTAAGCAGATGACTGGAACACCTCAAAGTTGTCTGAGTTTACAAACAGATCTGAGGCCATTCATCGATGTTCTTCACGGCCGTCTGTCTTTCAAAAGCTTCACGGCTAGCCTTGACACCCAAGCGGGGGAACAAGGACTTCTATAAAGGTGAGCCGAGCAATTTTATCTTTTAGGATTGTGGAAACCTGGCTGTTAATTTCTTATTTGTGTCGGGCTCTAATTATGATTTCCGTCTAAACGTCTGGTCCTCTCGGTCTGACGCTCACATTGCATGCAGGAACTAGACAGGCTTTTCTCCCTGGTGGACACCGCACAGGTGCCCCAGGAAAACATGTCGTCCGAGGCGCTTCGAAGTACCGTTTACTGGACGAGAGAGTGAGGGTATTTGTTGCTCCGAGCATAGAGGAATTCAAAAAAAGCGAGGTGCGTTCTATAGGCGCTATTACTTTCCTACTTTTCTAACTACTTTTGGTTCGCCATTCTCTTGATTTGTGTCCGACTCTTGATCGTTACTCGCAAATACGTATATTCGCCCCTCATCCAACATTCCCTGTCTATTGTTTTTCTCAAAATTAGCTGAAGCCATATGTTGGGAAGGACGTTAAGCTCACAATGGTAGAAAAGAAGGAGCTGTGGAAGATCATGCCAAAGTCACCAGCATCATCGCCATCAAGCTGAACGAACAACTTTTCTTGGTGTCTGACTCTATGCGCTACAACAACATAGAACATCGCATCATGCACGCTTGCCATTGTGGCAGGAGCGGGGAGGGAGTGGGTGCCAGACTACAGGCAGCGGTCTTCATACTATAAATACAGTCCATACCAAATATTACTGATTCATTGCAGACTCTGCGAAGGCGTGCCTGGATTGTGCTTCAGCGCAATCCTCAGATCTGGTGATATCAAGACAGTTTCTCAAGCCCGATGCCCGGTGTCTAGGTCTGGACCTGCATTAAATGGATTAAATCTCGATTTTGTAACTGCCATATCACATTCAGTCACTTATGCGCCCTAATATTGACTTTTGAGTCGTAAAAGGTGAAAAAAACTTCAATCGCCTTGTATGAGGCTATGTTTGTCTCTTTTTAGTGTGACATATGCTGTCTTGTCAAGCGATACTCTATCCCCTACTTCGCTTCCATCCGCAGTACGTTGACACTGTACGCTGGGGCAGTGTATGAGAAACTCTTACCAGTTTCAATCTGTGAAGTAATGGGCATGACAAATTTGGGAGTCTCGGGTGAGTTGTTTGCAGTGGCAGAGCCTGATAGCACTGTTGCAGTGCCAGTGCCGTGAACATTGTTGAAGGGAAGCTCGAATATCATTTCTTCAGCTGTCATGCCTGTGTTGGCAATCTTGATAACGAAATATGAACATCGTCACAACTGGGAGAAGTGGAGCCTCGAGTACCTTGATGATAACCGTGTTGGTGGGTGCATCACGCGTGACACTCCAGTGAAGTGCACCATTTTGAGGCAGGGTGCTTGGGAGATATTCGGTTCCACGGTTGAGACTGAAGAGCTACAGCAGATGTTTGAGGGACGCAGTTCTACTCAAATATCAAATATCACCACCTGTTGTGTATAGAAGCTGGTTGATGGATACACATGTGAAGCACTGAGGAGACATGAATCTGATGTATATCTTCGATTGTTGTGAGCCACTCACTCAAAGGAGATAAGGCTGGGTGACCACTGATAGTTGGCAGTGTTCTACAGAACGATCATTAGTGTCCACTCTAGTTGCAGGATTAACTGACAGCTCACCATTAACAAGGGAGCATACGACGCAGCGAAAACGATGTCACTGTTACGCTCGAGACCGGTCATGAATGCGGCCTCCCCTGAAGATCCTGCCCCGGAGTTGGGTTCGGTTCATAACCACAAGTGAGCACATACCTTGCATATCAGGGTATACAAGGCGACCGTTGAAGGGTTTGCCGAAGAGGTCGCTGACGTTAGTTGATGTAACAGCATATTCACCCTCGAAGTAGTAAGTGCCATCGCGCTTTCGGCCGCGTCACAGTCAGGTTCCCATTATGATGTAAGGCGAATGCAGAGCGTACGAACCTCAATAGAATCGTAGTAGAACGCGTTTTTTGCGAACCAGTTAGGTGTCTGGTACACGTGTTTATCGTACTGCTTTGGGATTGGATCGAGAGTGGGATTGAAGGGGTACGACGTCGCGATAAACTCTACCAAAAATGTATCAGTCAGAGGCAAGCTCCTGTGCAGCAGTGTAGTGCTCACTCAGCTGAGGAAATGTAACCGACAAATTTCCAACGAATTTTTTCCAGCGGTATGTATACCTTAGGGTATGACATGCTTATTCATCCGTTACTTTTAGGTAAGGAACTCACGATTTTGATGTAAAGTCTTCATTTCCAATTTCGATATACTGCAGATGGAATGGTTCTGGGTGGCCAAGAGATGCACGCAGGGCAGCTGGTTTACTTGTGGCGGAGTCACCTATGACAAAATTAATCTGGTCGATTGCCTGTTGGATGTATGGCGCAAGATCGTTTTGAGGGAGGCTGGCCCCGTCGAGCGAGTACCCTGTATGTGAGATGAGCATAGAGACAATATGATATGCATGAATATTATATACCTGCCCATACAGCCATAATGGGCTCCATTTCCATATCTTCGCAAAGATACAAGTACTCGAGAAGACCGAGCCCGCTGAAAAAGAGAGTAACTTGTTGTTGAATCATGGCGGAATCAAAGTCACAAGAATGGCGCGGACTCAGTGTTGACGTATCCCCAGTCACCCATGCGTCCTGGACGGTCAATAAGGTTGCCAACTGTTGCATTCCATTGCCAGCGTGTAGAAAAGCTCTGGCCCTGGTGTTGCATCAATGATCAAGTCCATGATATGCCAGCCAATATTTATGTTTACCTCCTATAAATATGGTTAGCGTATGTGGGTATGGCGCTATATGGAGCCTACCAAGTTGTTACCACCAGGAAAACGGAAAAACGAAGGCTTCATGTCATACAATGTCTACATGCTGCTGTCAGAACAAGTTACTTCAACTCTAGATAAAAACATGCCTGCGCAATGTCCATGCGCAGGCCATTGGCTCTGCCCTTAAACGTCGGGGGGAAGAGGGAGAACATTGCGAAGTTGATCGTCTCTCCGATAGCGCTAGCACCATCGACCGTGACCGTGAAGATGTTGGTAGTTGACATAGGACTTGAGGCAGGTGTGAGATGCACCACGACCTGCGTCCAGGCTGTGGTGGTGCCGGAGACAGGGACAGAAGCGCTTGCATAGACTGCCCCAATAGAAGACTGAAGCATGACAGTAAATTTTCCAGAAAAGTTAGATGCACTAGGGAATTTGTAGTAGAAAGAGGCGTTGTAAGTCCAAGAGGCGTTAATGTTTATGCCTGAAGAGAAAATAGTAAACTCGATGTACAAGTTCCGAGATCAGTTGGACATGCCAAAATAACCCTCATTGCCAAATCCGACTTCACCTGAGGAGCCAGATGGGATAGTAAGCTCGAGGGAGTTGGGCAGGGCATTGGAGAGTGGGATAGGGTCAGCAATGATATTGATGGATGCGCCGTTGATGGGAGCCCAGCCGAAGAGAGCATCAAGTATGTCTAGATACGTGTCAGGGGTCACAGTTCGAGAGATATAGCTACGCAGATCCTACTTGGTTTCACCTGCTGGAAGGCACGGTTTTGAAGCACTTGCAAAGGAACCTTAGAAGTATGCCAGGAGCGTAGAATTGATGGGGCACTGACATTCGGCGTAAATACCACCATCGCCGCTCTGTGCAAGAGAAATCATTTTAAATTGCGCTCAAAGATTATCTTGAACATGATGATATGCTCTTACATGCTATAATGAGGTAGAAACTGATGAATAGGCCACGGTCAAACATCAAAGGAAACATACATTAATATCCTATAGGTCACCGATATGTTGCATGTCAGAAAAGCAACACGAGTTTCACCACCAGCTACTTGCCTCAAACATCTGTCCAACTGTGTGGTATGTTAACGCAAAGCCTTAGGGTCACAGGTAGATATTTCAACTTACAAAGCAGGGGCGGGATACTATGGGCAGCTCTTCCATTAACACTGACAGTCGTCACTGCAGCACCACAACCCGCGAAAATAGCACTTGCAAGGACGCAACAATTTAGAAGGCCGGATAGCATCTTGCTGGGATACACGTAGTTGACCATATGCCTTTAAAAGAGTCAATGATGTTCACGACCTCGGGGCAGCATCGGGTGCGGTGCCGGTGTAACGCGCGAATAACATCGGAGAAGTATGAAGGACCCCAGCTGACTCACAAGCGGGAATTCGTGCAAAACATTCTCCCAAAACTTCACTTGAGTGATGGATTTAGCCTGTGAAATTCATTCTGTCAAAGTTACTTAGCCAACGAGTCGTAGTGACTTTCGGTAAATCCGTCCGGCTAATGATTTGGCCTCTTCGAACTTTCTTGTGATGGACTTTCATAAAAACAATATTCCGAACTTCCGGCGTATCCATGAAGCTACCCGATATCACCTCAGCACGTCATGGTGGTTGCCTTGAAACAGGCTTGGCAAAGTAGCGAGCAGTGAGCAACCGACATGTTTCGTAACTCCAACCCATTTCAATCGAGGAATTTATGCGCTGGAGTTTTCATATGGCGGTATCATCCCAGGAGCAGGTGAATTAAGTATGTTAATGTTCTTCTGGATACATATGTCACAAGGAACTCAGGCTGTCACGGTGACTCGGAAGCTGAAACGTTCAATGTACCTGGAGTTCGTATTTACTATGAGCGACATTCATATGGACCACCATATTCGAGTTGATCTTACGAAGACCGGGGAAATGAGACGCGGAATGCCTCCCAAAGATATACTTGCAAGCAAGACACTTGGTAGATCTAGACGTCTCCCACTCAACCTCCACTAAGTCACGGTTAGGCCCATCAGTAAATCCACAAGTATTTATGGACTCCCATGTCGAATCTACTGGGTTGCATGCTAAACCCGTAGCCTACATCTTCTCAGAAGACCTAGTCAAAGTGAGTACACCTTTGCGGAGTACCCACGAATCCGTCATCGAGTGATGTCTAATCCATTCTTTCGGATATTCTGCACCACTGGCAGATATCTTCACGTCTACCTTCCAATAGAAACCGTTCTCTCCTCGTCTATTCGCTCGTTCACGCATATGGACTTCTGAAAACATGCATTGGTCAAGTATCCCGACGATTCATGGTTGTGCGGCCACGGCCTGCTAGCAAGAAGGCGCTCTTGGCTTACCATACTCGTGACTATCTCGAATACGCCATGAATCAATCAAGCGATGCGCAGAACCTGCTAGAGGCTTCAGAGTTTGGGCTTGAAGAGGTGCGTATACCAAATGAATTTTGTCGTTTTGCGACGTGTAAGTGCATCGCTATGTAGGACTGCCCCATGTTTCATGGAATCGAGGACTATATTACGCAAGTTGCGGGAGCTACCTTGACCGGAGCAGCTGTAATCAGAAACGATGTTTCGGACGTAGCCATCTGCTGGGATGGCGGAAGGCAAGCACTGGCTCAATTCATTGTGAATTTTCCTTGCAATCTCAGTGTGTCATCATGTCCAGACATCATGCCAAAAAAGCACAGGCTTCAGGTTTTTGTTATGTAGCTGACTGTGTTCTCGCTATCCTCTTCCTCAAACGAACAACTCCTTCTGCGCACCCGTTGAAGAAACCACGTGTGATGTATCTCGACCTCGACCTTCATTTTTCAGATGCAGTATCACAAGCTTTTTACAAACCTGGTTCCACGACTTCTGCTCAAGTTCTTGTGCGTGCCATAGAGCCATTTACAATGTATGACCCATGTAATTGTTTTCAGACCCTATCTATTCATCACGCAGCTCCCGGCTTTTTTCCTGTATCCCCCCTCGCTTCCCTTCCAGACGTCGATGACCTGACCTTCGACCCTTTCACTTTATCAGTGCCTCTTAAAGCCGGTGCATCCAACAAAACATTTCTCCGCATTTGGCCTATCATCGAACGTGTCAAGGACGCCTTTCGGCCTGATTTCATTATAGTTCAGTGTGGCTTAGATGGCCTTGCGGGTGATCCCATGGCAACCTTCAATTGGTCCTTGGGTGGCGAAGGCTCGTTCGGCTGGTGCATACATCGTGTCGTTCACGAATGGCAAGGGAAAAAAATGTTACTCGGCGGAGGTATGGTGCTACTTATCGCAATATTTTCTCGCATACTATTCTAGGCTTTAGGTGGTTATAACACACCCAATGCTGCGCGAGCTTGGACATATCTCACATCTGTAGCAGTACGTTTGAATCTCGTGCTCTGGTTCATCACATTGATACATCGTGTCTAACAGGGCGGAATTCCGTTACCCCTAGACTCTGATATCCCTGAGTATTCTGGTTACCTCCACTTCAAGCCATCATTTACATTGGATATACCCACTGGCAACATGCGAGATCAGAACACGGAGGAGTACTTTCAGACCATAGAAGGCACATATGAAGGTATACTGTCGGTATTGGAGTCACGAATGGTTTCATAAACACTCTAAGCAATGGGTATGACAGCTGACTGCAATTGGTATATGTTAGAAACATTGTGACAAGCAAGCCACACAACAACATGCTCCTCCTACTGGCTTTCACAATTGCTCCTTGCCAATTCTCAGGTTGATCTCCAAACTCACTTAGTGGATTGCTTTAGTTTGAATAATTACAGGAGCAGCAACAACTCTAGCTGATTTGTGTGGGCCAATGCTTCAAATTTTATGTTAAATTTTGAAGTTGAGAAAAATATGTGGACAGGGTGAGCACCAGGCTTCTACCCATCCGCAGCCGGAGAGGTTTGAGGACGGATTGCTACATCTGAAATGTTATGTTACATCAGCATTCCCATAGTACAGACAATTTAAACCCAGCCCAACCTTATTCCTCAACCTCTCCAGCAGTGGCTGGAAGAAAACATTTGTAAACAGTCTCAGCCACAGCAGCAAAAACCTGCAGCACTTGAAAAAAAACTGAAAATCAAGTAGGTATATGTATGTTAATTAAAATATGTATAGTTATTATTTCCATCCACCTTGGAGATGCATCTTGGAGATCAGATAGATGTGATCACAGAAGCATTTAATATCATTGGCATTCTTCTGACCAATGGTCATCGCATCATGGAGCTTCTTGCAAGGAACTCACAAACAACACAGGAGTGGGCAAGCAACTGCAGCAAGTACACAAGCTCAGTGGACTTAGTAGAAGTCACTATATTGAATGTATATACCTGCAGCAAGTACACGAGCTGCAGAGACCATTAGCTAGATGTAAGTAGTATGAATATTGTACTGACCTTAGTGGACTTAGTAGAAGTCATTGAGGAAGTTCAACTATATGTGGACAAGGAAAACGCAAAGAGCATGCTTATGTAATCTAGGTATAAGCGAAGGTTAGAATATACAACACTCCCCCTCAAACTGAGCGAAGTCCAAGGGCAGGAGCAAAGTGTTTAGCTTTGAGGCTAGGAAGGGGCTTGGTGAGAGTATCAGCAATCATACTGTCTGTAGGACAGTATTCAAGTAGGATAGAACCTTTATCAATAGAAAAATGGATGAAATGGTAGCAAACATCTATGTGCTTGGTGTGCACGTGAAATGCGCCGGAATTGGCTAGTGCGATAGCGGATTGATTGTCGCAATGGAGAGTGGTTGGTTGAGTGAGTGGGCAGAAGATCTCTGAAAGAAAATGATGAAGCCAAATGGCTTCTTTTGCAGTGTTTGTGGCTGCAACGTACTCAGCTTCTGTCGTAGATAGAGTTACCAGCTCTTGCTTCTTCAAGCTCCAAGTAATGGCCCCTCCATCCAGTATAAATGTGTAGCCAGAGATAGCATGTCGATGCTCCTGCGAGGCGCCATCAGCATCAGTGTAGCCCTCAAGTCCATGTTTTCCTTCACCAAAGGTGAGGGCTAATCTCTTGATGCCAGCCAGGTACCTGAAAATCTTCTTTACTGCCTCCCAGTGCTTCATGCCAGGATTTGCACAGTATTGGGCGACAGTGGAGATTGTGAAAGTGATATCGGGGTGTGTGCTGACAGCGAGGTGCATTAGTGAGCCGATGGCTTCATGATAAGGGATGTTCTTCATCAGCATGGATTCGGTGGAGGTCTTTGGGTTTTGGGATTGTGAGAGTGGTAAGTTTGGGTCCATGGGGATGGAGCAGGGTTTGAGGTCAGAAAAGTTGAACTTAGCTAGGATAGAATTGATGTATGTTTCATGGGAAAATGAGATGGTGCATGTGAGATGGTTGCGAGTGACCTTCATGCCCAGTAATGATGTGATTGGATCAAGATCACGTGAGTTTGTAGCAAGCAGCAATGTCGTGCTTGAAAATCATGACCTGTTTGCTGTTGCTGCCGGTGACTGTGCAGTCATCAACATGAGCTGCAAGGATAAAAATATCTGTGCCTGAGTGTTTGTAAAACACTCCCCAATCAGATTCTGCTCTGTTCATCCTCATACTCTTGAGAAGGCAGCACAGCTCTTGATACCACTTGAGGGTGCCTTGCTTGGACCCATATAGTGCAACATGGAGGCGAGCGATGGGATTTTTGAACTTGGCATCGATGTTGAGGCCAGCTGGTAAGTCCATGTAGATTACCTCATTATTGTCTAACTTCCCATTTAGGAAAGCACTGTGGAAGTCCAAAATGTCTATGTCCCAGTCATTTCGTGCCATGATAGCAAGGATTGTGCGAATGGAGGTGAGATGCGCTACTGGCACATATTGTTACAAGAACATCTAGACGCTTGGGCCCCTACCATTTTTCTCCTGATCCTCCTCGTATCAGCCCTCGCATCATACCCTTACCCCGACCTCACTCTAGTTATCCTCGTCATCCTCGCATTCCCTTTCGCCCTCTACCTGTCGCTTCAGCAAAGCCAGTACATTTGGCCGGACCCTTTCGCTGACGAAGCATACCCATGCTCCGTTTCACCACCTGACTAATCCTATGGATAGTCCCTTTGCCCTTACCGTCTGGACGGTAACCTATGACATGATGCACGACGCATCCCCTTTGCCCTATTCCCTTTCTTGATCTCTGACTTGGTGCGCAGTCGCACATGCGACTTATACTTAGATCCGCAGCTGCACGATCGTGCCTCTGCGCGTTTCACTTCTTACTTTCGTTCTCTGACTCACTTTCTTATCAAGCACGTTCTACCTCGATCAAACGTGCTTTCCTGTTATAGTCATACCCTTTACCGATTGCCTCCCCCGGTAGTACAAGTTATCACCCACTAAATACGTCCCCTGTCCTCTATATAAACTCGCTACCATGTACCATATTCCCTAACTTGAATCTACTTGGTTCTTGACCTCCTACTCTCACCAGAGTGATCCTTTCTGCCTCGCCAGCAGTCTATATTCTATCTTCTTATCTGCTCATCGCGGATAAGCCTATAGTCTCGACCTTTACTCATCGACTTCGTCGACGAGCGAAGCCCCTGTTAACTAGTCGGACTTCTGTCCTTCTAATTAACGACGATCCTTACAATTAACCTTCGGGTGTCGTAAGCCTAGGCCGATATAGCTTATCGTCTCGCACCCGCGTGACATAAGCTACCCGATTTGGACATAGGCGTCAAATCGTACTTGCCGAAGACACGCCAAGTACGACCCCTAACCTTGGGCTAGCCCAAGGACGTCCACAGACCGTTGACGACACAAGCTCTGTTTGAGCGTCGCCAACAGATACCATCCAAGTCGTAACACATATGTGTCGTAGTAGTCGAGGCTGTAAACTTGTGAGTATCCCTTTGCAACTAATCTTGCCTTATACTTCTCAACTTCTCCATCAGTGTTCATTTTCAGCTTAAATACCCACTTGCACCCAACAACATTAATGTTTTCAGGTCATTTGACAATCGACCAGGTGTGTGCTTCCTCCAATGAGTTCAACTTCTTGTTGATTGCACCTTCCCATTTGGGCCAGTCGTTTCTGGCACTGGCTTCTTTGACAGTTGTGGGATTTGTTCCCTCTACTGCCACTACCCCAGCAACCATCGTGAAAATTTCTTCGTTGTCCTCGTCCATCTCACCATACTCCCCCACCATTTCTAGCTCGACAATCAGGTTGCTGGATTCTCCGGCGCACTGCATTCTGCAAGGTAAGTTTGTGCTTCATCCATCAGTTGCACCAGTGCCGTCTCTCAGGCTCTTGATGTATGCTGACTCGACTCTTACTCTTCCAGATCATCGTGGTGGGGCGGCTGCTTCAAATTGCAACCCTAGGTGGTCATGGGGAGGGGGGTTGGTAGGTGCTGGGCTGACATCTTCTCTCCTAGCCATTTGATCTTTGGGTGGGCCTACATCATGGCCTTGTACCGTGCAGCTGTCGAGTGAACCAACATCATAGCCTCGTACCATGCGGCCATCAGATGAACTGACATCATAGCCTCGTACCGTGTGGTCGTCAGGGTCGAGAGGTATGTTTACCTCTGCCACATCAAATCTGATGCTCCTTTCCATAGCTATCCTCCTCATGTCTGGGAGGTAGACTTGGTGGCCATTGCTGCCGCAGTCAAACCCTACCCATCTACCATTGATTGCTTGCATATCGAGTTTTGAGCCGTTCATTGAGTGGACCTTGACACGACAACCCCAAACTGGTATGTCCTTGAGGTTAGGCTTTGTTTTGAACAATAACTCATGGGGAGTCTTATTGTCCAGTGCGCAAGTCGCTGTTCTGTTCTTTAGCCAGGTTACACGCATGATGGCTTCCCCCCATAGGAACTTGGGCAATCCACTGGCATGCAACAGCGCACTGTAATGATGGTTGCAGCGCTGGGCTCAGAACCAGGCAATCCAACACCTATGTCCATACCATTCTCCGACCTCCCTTGACCTTCCGAAGGCCATGCGCACTTGGCCAAACCTTCCACAGGCAGTTCTTGCGTTCTGAGGCCCATCCAAACCTCGCGAGTTACCATACCATGTCCTATCCTCGTCCTTTTGACTTCGCTGGTGCATTTTCCCTTATTCTAATTATATGTTGACTACATCTTAGTGCTACATGGATAAACTCCATCGGCATCCTGTCGGGAGCCTCAGAATACGTATAAACAGTACACATCGTGGCTTATTACATGTATACTTGCATTTCTGCTTGCCTCGCGGCTTATTACATAGGTTTGGACTTGCTTATCTTGCTACTAGTTTCGCCTATGGATTCCGGTCTCTCATGGAAGTAGGATATAATCTCACTCACTGGCTACTGATACTTCACTTCACTTCCTGTACTTCAAGTCATAATTAGTAGAGTCACCTCGGTATAATCGTAACTGCACAATCAATCTTTGTTCATTCGGAACGATTGTTTGGCTAGACCGCTGCCAATTCTGCACTTTGTTTATCCTTGAGTTCCGATAGATTAGTGTCGTTTCTGGACTTCAGACGCCTCGCAAAAGTCTTATATTGTTATTCAACACATCAAAATACCGACATATATTGACCCTCAGACAGCTCTCACAAACCTTGGAAGGCATCGCGCTACTTCAGACAATGCTTTTGCAGCTTCAGACAACTTTTGGTTGCATTGGACAAGTACCTTGGTACTTCAGACATAGTCTCGGAACTCTGGACAGACATTAGAGAGGTTTACTTCCAGTATCTTGTCTACTCTCTGACTGTATAAGACTTCCCTTGCATTATCAAGGTAGTTCTTTAGGTTGTCTCTTGGGACGAAGCATACTCGCATCTCTCAGGACTAGGGACTCACATTCTGTAGAGCCCAGCCCAGATCTACTCTTTACAGTGCGCGTTTGTTCAACAACGGTTCAATTGAGTTGTTCTGTGACTCCATTGTGTTCTGGTGTATTGTGCATGGTGAGTTTATGTTCTGTTCCTTTGCTGTTGAGATGACGAGTGAACTTGTCTCCAGTGAACTCTCCGCCAAGGTCAGATCAAAACTGTTTAATCTTTGTGTCGAACTGTGTGTTTGCCCAGGCCTCAAAGGACTTGTACGCATTGAAGGCTTCATCCTTTGTGTGCAACAGGTACAGGTGAGTGAATCGTGTATGATCGTCTGTGAATGACACAAAGTACTCTTTGTGTCTAGGAGTTCTGACAGGAGATGGGCCCCACAAATCGCTATGGACCTTGTCGCTGAACTTCTTGCCTCTTGGAGGGTTTCGGATTTGTCCAATGGGTTTGTGCATGGCTTTTGCATACTCGCATGAGTCACATTTGTCCATAGTGGTGTCGGAAGGGTCTAATGTGATTCCAGTGATGACACCATCCTTGATCATGCGCTTGATGCTCTCTGGGGCAACATGCCCAAGCCTGGCATGGACATCTCACATGGTGAGTTGTTCATCTGTTTTGGTCACTCCAGCAAAAGATTTCTTAGGACCTTTGACACAATACAGGCCTTTATTCACTGGGATCTCCCTATCAACTTCTTCTTCTCGTTGAAGATCTTGCACGTGTCTGCACGAAATAGTGCTGTGTAGCCTGCCGCAGCCAGATGGCTAATGGAGACTAGAGTTACACCCATCTTGGGTGCGTATAGGATATCTTTGAGAAGGATTCGAGTGTTGGACTTGCCATTTGGCAGGGTAATGAGGATGTTCCCTTTTCCAGTGGCCTCGAAGGTATGTTTGTCCGCTGTTATAATTGGCTTTGGCGGAATATTGACAAAGTCTTGGGACAGTTCTCTGTACGACAACATGTGCCTCGAAGCGCTGGAATTGAACAATTTGGTTTGAGATTTGCGCTGAGCATTTGGAATGGCCAAAGTTGCGTAGGTAAGTGATGTTTGTTCTCCTCCCACCTCATCTGTATCATCCATTAGCCAAACACCTTCAGGCTCCTCATCCCTGTCCTTGTCCTTGGCGCTGGCTGTGGTCTCGGACTTCTTGTCCTTGCCTTTGCCATCTGATTTCTCGCTCCCTTTCCCTCCACGACAGTCTTGTTGCATGTGGCCATACTTGCCACAGCCATGGCAGTTGCCTTTGATCTGTCAGGTTTGTTTGCCCACATTGGTGTTATACACTGCATCATTGTTCGACAAACTGCTCTTCTTTGTTTTTGAAGCATGACGGTCATACTTGTCTATGACAGTGGACATCAAGACATCTGCAGTGAGTGAAACACTTGATACTTTCGCAAATGCTGTTAGAGCTGATATGTGAGGATCATATGATGCTGGCAGTGAGCTCATGATTATGGCCGCAAAACTCTCGTCTGTCAGGGCATGGCCAAGTGAGGATAGCTACTCTTTGATGACGCGCAGTTTGTCAAAGTGCTCTCGGATGTTGCCCTTCTCAGAGCATTTCTGGTCCTGCAGCTTTTGCAATAGCTCAATGGACACAACTCGAGACTGCTTTTTGAAGAGATTGGATAGGTACTTGAAGATTTCTCCTGCTGTTTCCAAGTTTTCAACTTGTATAAACAGAGAGTCAGGTCTCGTGCCGGCTATTTGCTACTTTGTTATAGCCTCGCCCATCCTCCATTCCTTTACAGCAATTCTGTATACTGTGAGCTCCCTAACCTCATCTGATGTGGTTGGTGTCCACAATGCTCCTCTTCCCAACAATGTTGAGGGGTCTACTGGTTTCTTCTCGGTACCCTCTAGGTGACCAAGGAACCCGCGAGCATCGATGGACCACAACAACCTATCCTTGTAGGTCATCCAATTTTCTCCGTCCACAATAAGTTTTGGGACGTGAAGAAAATCATCTCCAAGTTTGATGCTTGAGCTGGACATGGTGACAGGTTTCTTTCGTGTACTTTAATCTGGTTAAGAATTAACGAGCGCAGGGCTCATAACCTGCAGTGAGTACACGAGCTCAGTGGACTTAGTAGAAGTCACTATATTGAATGTATATACCTGCAGTGAGTACACAAGCTGCAGAGACCATTAGCTAGATGTAAGTAGTATGAATATTGTACTGACCTCAGTGGACTTAGTAGAAGTCACTGAGGAAGTTCAACTATATGCGGACGAGGAAAACGCAAAGAGCGTGCTTATGTAATCTAGGTATAAGCGAAGGTTAGAATATACAACAGCAACATCATGAGTGATGTATATATGTGGGAGATTGTTGATCTGTCAGCAAAAAAACACAGCTCTCATTTTACTGTGTCACACACCTCTGTAGAACAACTTGAGGAATTTAGTATGGACCTGCTTGGGGGAGGCATGCAGCGGCTTGCACCAACACTGTAGGGTCTGTTTGATAGGCTTCTATTCGCGAGAAAGAAGCATGTTGGCATTGCAGTACTAAGCACTGAAGGTCCAGAAGATAGTGATGAAGATATCTACTGGGAAGCATTTGGTGACAGAGAATTGGATGGATTAACAGGAGTTTTAGTTGACACATCAGTGAAACAGGAAAAGATAACGGTATGTCATAATGAATTGGTGATGATTGTGAGTAGCATTAAATGTCTATCAAAATGGAGAACTTACTCCTCTACTAGGAAAAGTCATTATTTTCAGCATAATCATGCAAACTGCAAACCAAAAATAAAATGTATTTCAAAGCATCTTTGGTATCTTTCTGCAGTCCACACACGCACCTCAAAAGGTCATTGAGACCCTATTGGGGATGGGAATCTGTGTTTCTGTCGATTCAATCAAAACAGCCATCACATCACATCATTGTCAAAGGAGGCTCACCATGGTATTTCTGCTCTGGGGTGAACACTTCTTGCATCCTACACATATGATAATTTTGATGTAGACCTTAAATCAACTGTTCATACAGTTGACAAGTCAGAAGACACACTCAAACATCTTACTGCTGGCCTCCTTTTTCCGCTACAGCATGGTATTACTCTTAACGACTTGCATTGCTCAAAAGCCTTGTGGGAAAGATTGCTTCTCAACACACAAGTGGATTCAATGAACATGACAACCAAGAAAGGATGGAAGGATCTGCTTACGTTACATCCAGACCCCTTGAATGAAACCAGTCTGTCACAACAAGACCACTTCAACTCCTGGAAGATTCTTTCTGATTTAATTGAGTATGGGCCTACATACTTCCATCAATTCAAGGACTGCCTGGGACATCTGGAGTCAGTAGAAATGATTCCTATAGCCAAGACAAAGATTCTAGCCTCGCACGCGATGGATATCAGTAATTCAACAGTGTCTGGGAACATTAACTTAGTACTTGAGTTACTGAAGCAGGGAGATATTGAAGATCTGGCAGAACATGATCCCCTGCAAAGACTAGATGTATCAGAGTACGCTGTGCGAGCACAGATGTCATCTGGTGCATCTCCTTGCAGCATTCCTCAGCACAACTAGATGAGAACACTTTGATGCGAGATGTTGGGGTTCTTCGACCTAAAGAGACAGGTATATATGGCTCGAAGCCTGGGTTTTGTAGAATGCACCAGCTCATCACCTACTCTGGTATCTTCCGGCACCTTGATTGTTGGAGAGTCGAGTTCAAAAAATGAGTTTCTTTACATGTGGACTTGGATGCCTTTGCAGCATCAGAGCTATTTGAGGATCTACTTGTGATGGCAAATGTAATCACAAAGGAGTATGTTGCTGATCACAGACTTTGGAGGATGAGATCAAAAGATGTCACTCAGTGTGATGGGCAATATGAAAATGCACTGCTCCTCAATAAGCACATGCTACTATACAAGGGACTTTCATATGCAATGAATATCGGGGATATCAGGCAAGTGGAAATGTGCATTGTTGCATGGATTCTAATATTCAAGGCAACTGGGAAGCATAAATATGTGATGCACATGTCAGATTTTCTATCCAATGTTCACTTTGTATACCCAGATGACTTATGGTGAGGTTGTATTTTTTTTGGTCAAAACATGAGCTGATTCAAATAATGGCATAGGAGAGCTGTCTTCATTATCATATTCTTGTAAACTCATCAGGAAAATCAGGCAGCTTCTGAGCTGTTGACTGGTGCATGGAATTAAATAACTTGTATACAAAGGTAACTTATTTCTAGTTCATGAGAATACATTGGTTAATCACATCTAGGTTATTCACAGCAGCAAAGGCCCTAATTGCACTATAGACCACATAATCTTGGAATCACCCCTTGTCCAGGTTTATCATAACTTACAACAGGCTTTTGAAGAAAATTTCTTGCATTCACACCTCACAACTTAACACACTATTGTTGACATGACACAGACATTCAGACCACTTTGTTTCCTTACATAGGTCATCAGTAGTAGAAATTTTATGGTGGTGAGTACAGTCAATAATACAGTTCAAAACCAATTCCAGCATTGCACACCAGGACCATAGTCATTGAGCAGTTGAATCACCATATACTCTCCGAGTTATTAATTCTTGCCATGCTTCCAGAGCGTCATGAGTTCATATTCCTGTGGTCCCATCTCGTACTTGACAGTGCATGAATGGTGGGTGATTTTAGAAGGTAAAAATATATTGTTATGTGTGAGAGAGTTGGGATGATGGATGTTGCAACAGACACTTGATGTGAGTGGTGTGCAGTGGGCGCAGCTGTCAGAATTTGATGGGTCACATATAACATGGCCTGGATCTGTGTCATAATATTACAATGAGTCAATAGAAGCACAATTTAAAAATATATTACCAGCCAAGGAGTCATTGAAGTGAATATGAAGGACCTTGCGTCAACATTGGATTGTACCTCATAGGTGAGCATTAATCAAGATCTGACTTTCCCTCTGACTTTGACTGCAACTTCCCTCTCAGCTCTTAATTGCCCACTAGTACCTCTGTGGCTTTGTCACTGTCACTATCTTCCCCAGGAATATCATTTTCCCACTCATGTATACTATCCTGCCTGCCTACAGAATGTAGCTGGGTACACTGTCTTGTAGCTGTACATTCTTTGTTCTTGTCTACTTTGCATTTCTTCGTCTCTTGCTGCCAACACTTTTTCTTCCTGCACATCATCAAAATACTCTCTTTCAGCAAATAATATTGCTGTGCCTTGGAGTCTGCAATCCCTGATGGCACACCCCCATCACTGCCAAAGAGTAGCTAGGTTGCATGTGGCTTTCCACTGGATGACAAGTAATATATCTGGTATGTCCATTCTCTAAACATGACCATGATTAGCTCAAAATGATAATGTTCTACTACATGCATACCAATACCCTTGCCATTCCAAACAATTCTGTGGTGCAAAGTCCCCAAGTCTCTCTATATATCAAGTGGTCCACCTTGTCTTTTTTGAATTGTGTCGTCATGTCAGAGTGAAACCACTTTATCCTGTGACACTGTGCTTATGGGAATTGTTTCTGTATCATTTTTGCTGCTACTATGGAGTCTTGAATGTTGTCAAAGAAGATAAGAAACTTTGGAGGTGCCAGGTCACCATCCTTCCAGCTGTCAGGTATCAATCATGACAGGTTGTTATATGATGAAAGTGAGCACATGATTTTACTGATGCAGAGTTTGATATTTGCATGATCAACAGAATTTGGATCGTGAGGAGCTTGTCTGAGCACATGTGGAGTAGCTGCTTCATATGTGGGAGATTGTCCACTGTGAGCATTGTGGATGTGATGTAGAGACTTATGCCTCTCATGGTGCAATATTGCACTTTACACCCACACAGCACACAGCACGAACTTGCAGTATCGCTTCCTAAGTTATCCTCAGCTATTCCCATATGAGGCGCAGCTTTCCCAGGCCATGCATCGTGTGATGCACATGCACCTTTCCCGTGCCATGTGTTGCACACATGCATGCACTTTCCCATGCTCAAGCATCCTATAGCACCGGCCATCCAGATGCATCCATCCACTATCCACCAAGTTCCATAGTGCATATATTTCCATTTTGAATTTATTTACACATTGTACCACCTTTATTTTATTATGGACCCTTACTTACATATAGCTTTACATACTCGGCTTGGTAGTGCTTCGGCACCATACTTAAGCACCAGCAGTAGATATCTTTAGCAAGTTTTCTTTTCCCAGAGTGGCAGTATGAATTCATTTTCTGAGCATCAGAATGGCAACTCCAAATAAGCCTACATCACAGTAGCTATTGGCACTCAATCACTCGCATCACATTCTCTATCACTTTGCTCTATGCTTATTTCCATTGTCTCATATCTCTATTATTGCTTAAACCACTGGTGCATCGACTGCATTGAGCACACTTCGCTTTCTCATGCATGCGTACCACTTTCCCATGCACACCTCCAACACATTTCCATGCACATACACATGTTCCCATGCCTTGCATCGGCCAACTAGTAGCACCTTCCATGTGAATTTCTAGACCTTTGCTGCACTTGCTTCCCCTTTAGGATCAAATGCACTTGTCTCGCCAAGTATAGCAGACTAGGCAGTACACGACCTACAACATTTAGATATCAGTAAGGAGCTTTGTTTGCGCCTTGCTGAGTTGTACTTTCTATAGTAAGCATGAAAGGGATGTAGCAAGGCAGGATGTAACAGAGATGCTCTAATTCCTTATATTCAGGATGAAATTTGCCCCAGGTTGCGATGCAATGTGCTTCATCAAATATCACACAATGATCTGCTGTACAAAAAGTAGTTTGCACAACAGTTTCTCAAATTCCCCTCCAGGTTTTATAAGCTGCTCTGGACTAACAATGACAGTGCAATACTTCATGTCTTTGATGTCCTGTGTGAAAAATCAGGTTATGATAGTAAGTTGTCCTTCCATGACATAACTGTTAGATCCTCATGCAAAAATTACCCCAGCTAGCTGTCTCTGAGCTTATCGATATACTTAGCAAGCCTGCTTTTGCCAGCGATGAAATGTTCTGTCTCCTCAGCTGGTTCAATGGAGTTACGATAATTTGAAGGCCAGGTTTGAATAGTAAAGGCATCCAAAATGCCATATTCTTCCCCATTGATATGCTGGCAATGCACAAGATATCATGGTTAGCTTCAATGAATGCTTATGTGATTTTGATCTGTCAAAGACATAGCTATTTTCCAAAGTGCTGACAGGTGATATCTCAAATTATGCCCACACTAGGGGCTTCTGACATGTGATGACTAAGTGCTCAAATGGGAATTTTCTATATTTTAATTAATGTACTTATACCTACTTGATTTTCAGTTTTTTTCAAGTGCTGCAGGTTTTTGCCGCTGTGGCTGAGACTGTTTACAAATGTTTCCAGCCACTGCTGGAGAGGTTGAGGAATAAGGTTGGGCTGGGTTTAAATTGTCTGTACTATGGGAATGCTGATGTAACATAACATTTCAGATGTAGATCCATCCTCAAACCTCTCTGGCTGTGAATGGGTAGGATCCTGGGTGAGCACCAGAATTCAACAAACCAAAGTGACTGTGGATACTGGGTGACTATCCCTAGATGAAATAATGTGAAATAGATTATAATTCTGTATTCTGGCACAGTTAGCATTCTTTTCTGACCAGAAAGAACACTACCATCTTTCTTTCATTTCTGACCTCATAGATTCTCTGAGCCTTACATAATAATCATGATTGAGGTATTCAAATTTCACATTGATTGCAGGCTACAGTACAAATTGTAATTTTAAAATACCTATCAATATTAGATTCTATGGTTGTATTGGCCTGTTGAGGGTTTAGCATTCAGTGACTGATGAGGGGTGTGTGCAGCATGCAAGACTCGGATTTCATGTGGCTTGGAAAGAGCAGGGTGCTCTGGAGTAGGCACCTACACAAATACAGGATGATCAGCTACAGAACATTGATTGCCATTAGGACCTGAGGAGTCTGCTTGGTCCATTTTCCTTTGTTGAATGCTTGTGAACCACTATAACTCAACAGTGAGCAGAAGTGAAAAAAGATCAATAGAAGTACACACATAAAGTTAATTGGATGGTGGTGGCCTTCATCAGGAATATCTGGAGGATTCTGAGGATTGTGCCAACCTATTGATTCGAGGTTTGTTAGACATGTTGATTTCAAACTTGACCAAAGGTATAGATTGATCAGTAATAGTTCTGACTTGAATGCTCTGACTCTTACAGTTTGAAAGTCCCTGCCAGACAATGAAAGGGCTTCTGTATTTGCAGATGCAGGTGCAGAGGTGGTTGCGAAGAATCTTCTAGACAGTGACAGCAACCTGATACTTAAAGTTAGCCAATAAGCTTAATATTACATGACCTGGAGTCAAGAGGGTCGACAGGATATTACATACCAGAGCTCAGTAATATCATATTGATAGCTCATCCTGTGAGCTTCCATTCAAGTCTGGCAGTAACTCTCAGACTTAGACTGGGAATGTCAGGGTGTCAGTTGTACTACTACAAAAGTAAAATATTCAGATAATTCAGACAAGGGCAACATACTTCAACATATTGGTCTCCAAAACCAAGAGTTGCATCAATTGCATGATACAATGGTTCAGGTCCAACAGACTGGGGCCTGAATGATTCAGAATCAGAATTGACTATTTAATACAGCAACTATGAATTGACAGTTAAGTTCAGAACACTAGGTGCTCTCAAGTTGCTGAGTGGCAGTCTGATGTGTTGTAGGATCCTTCAGGGACAGATATTAGCTTGGAATGAGCAGTCATGAAAATTAAAAAGTGACCCGCCTGAAGATAAAGTATTAGCAAGGAGTGTGCTGGTGTTCATAATTGAAGAATTGTTGCTGTGTGACAGTCGTTGATATTTAAAGAGAGATAGTTTGCGATTTTGTAAGAGGAGAGATCAGTTAAAGTGTCATTGGTGCTAGGAGAAGTAGCAATAATTTGGATCACTGACAATTAATGAAAATACTATGAGTATTAGTTGAGTCATCTCAAATTCTAAGGCAATGCAAATTGAAACAAGCTTTGTTTGGTCTTATTATTTCTATTTACATTAACTTGCAGTAGCCCCTTTGACAGTTCAAATCAGACTTTGAGCAGAATGCAATGTAATTTATATAAATTGATTTATCCATTGGAGTCACCAAGTCACAATGAGTAATTAAATACAAAGCAAACCATTGGAAATGAGCTGACACTAATATGTAATCTGAAGAAAATTGAGATAATAACAAAGACTATTTGCAAGACTGGGTATTAGTACAAGTATTGCCTAGGGTGACTGCCTTCCTACCTCTGGTTCTTGTCTGCTTCTGTCTACTATTTGTCTTGGTGTAGAGATTCACACTATTACAGGCTTACAACATGTTATACTTCAGTTCATACCACCTGGATTCCTGGCACCAACTTGCAGCATCATTCCCTAGCCTTTTCCCAGCTATTTCCATATTGGGCGATACTTTCCCACGCTTCATGATGCCCTCACATCACTCTCTTTTTCACACTTTCATCACTCTACCATCCAGGAGCATCCATCCACTGTCCAGCAAGTCTCACTGCTATGTATTTTCACATTTTAGTCAATATGGCACCATTTTAGAGCATGGACCCTGACTTATATACATTATTACATACATTATCTCATACTCGGCTCAGCTCAGTCACACTTAGCGAGATACATATATAGGTCCACATTTTTCACTCTTTACACACTACATCACACCTTACCTTTGTTGAGTTCCTCCATCATGTCCATAGCTAGAGTCAGAAGCTATTAGCAATCTTTTAGTAGTCATTCATTGAGCCCTTGCCTATTGCATTTTGCATTTTCACTATTTTTGCATTTTTACTATTTTGCATTTCACATTCCCATGCCTCGCACTTATGTCGCTTGCTTCGCACAGCCACTGCACGACTGTGGATTTGTTTTCCTTGCTTCCCCTTGGATCAAATATGCTTATCTCTGCAAGTATAGCAGCCTAGGCATCACAATTTATCACTATATCAGCTTCTTGTGCCTTTCCATTAGATTTATCATTTAACCTGAAGCTAAGTTGATTCATCTTCATTGGGCTCTGCATCCTGGAGTATACCATCTACTATTCCTGTTGAACTGACACTCTCCTACACAGTATCTGGATTAACTGGTCCAGGTGCAAGTGCCTCCTCCAAACCTCTGTCAGTATTCTTGCTCTCTGCAAGACTGATGGTGGCTATGTCATTGACAACATTGAAGGTTCAATAATTCAGATGGTGAGTCTGAATAATGTTGGGCCTGACTGCCTAGCTGCGATATCTAAGAGACAGTATTCAATCCTAAAGGGTTTCTGTACTAAGCTCAAGGCTCAGAGAGAGAAGAAACTACTTCTACTCAAACTAGTAGTGGAAACTAGTGAAAAGGTAACTTGATTATGTAAGCTACAAAATAGCAAACATAAGGTAAAGACAGTGTCTATAAACCTAGTCAGGAATAAGTCTCTACAACGGGACCAAGAGTATGTCCCACCTCTATCACAAAATTTGTAGCAAGTTTGAATGCATCTGATTCATCAGCTGAACTCTCCATATCAAGAGCCGCTAGCGCATGATCAATTAGAATCCAGGTTAGAAAATCATGCAGATTTGAATATATGGTGGTTAATATTAAATGTGATTTATACAATGTGTTTCATGTTCCATTTTGACACTAGAACTTTCTTATAGGTAAAAAATAACTCCTTGTAGTTTAAAGTTAATCTCTTGCCAATGTCTGTGCTTGAGAATTTGGTGTCAAGTAACAGTAGAAATATCACCTACAAGATAGCATGTGAGGGTGACTGTAACTGGGATTGGTGCATTGCTCACTTACAATAACTGCAGCCCATGCAATAGAATCTGGTGTGACTTGCTGGACACTCCACTTCATTACATTTGTATGGGTGCTAGAACCACTAGAAGTTTGATGAAGTGATATCATACCCTGCAATAAAGCTTTCAGAACCTGAGGATATTCCTGGTGAGATGATGGGCAATCAAGACAAAGAAAGCACTCATAGACTTACTCGCACCAACAGTTCCTAGTTCCTAAAGACAATTTTGAATGACTTATCCTCTATCAACTCTAGGAACAACACTGGAGGAAATGTCTTGTATGTCGGGTTTGCCAAAGATGTGACTTCAAGGAGTCATTGGATCTCTGGGACATTAGCCCTGTTATGGCTGATGTTTATAAAGTATTTTGATGGAAGGTCAAAAATATCACATACAACTCCACAAAGCTTCTTGATCTCATTGGCATGAGCATCTTGGATGCATTTTATTACCTACAATAATCATGTTAACATAGAAAGTTCAGCAATGAGAGCTCACTTACAAGATCGCTAAAGTATGAACTTTCCATCACCTTGTGCAATGACTTAGTAAAATGACAATGGAGCTCATCCATGAATGCTGGCTCCTGAGTAGATGCAGTCTTGTATCATTTAACACTGTTAAACGGAGTCAGAGTCTGCTGCCAGCTGCAAACTGTATGACATGTTGCTATTGAAAGACACTGACTTAGACTTGGATTCTGTAAGCTAAAAGGATCAACTCAATAATGGAAAACAACTCACACAATACTGCACTTTATAAAGTCCCTGCACTACCTAGAAATGAGATAATTAAATGTCAGATATAAAATGACTTGCTGCAGCCTTACATGAGGAGTTTGAATCAAAGACCTAATTAATGATAGTTAGTGCAGTAATAACCAATGTAAAAATCAGTCAAGATCAGAAAACACTGCATCATTAATATCATACTGATGACTAAATGTGCATTATTAGTATTCTGGGTGTCACAGAATTGACATAATTTCAAGGGCAAAAACAGGAGATGGGTGAATCATGCAAATAGCAATCCATTAAAATTAGTGTGTCTGAGCACAAGTGCCAAAACATGTCAATGGCCTTGAGGCACTGGGCATGTAAGTGCTGGAGCACAGACATCATAGTATGTGGCTGAGTGCCAAGGTATAGCACTAAGGCAAGCAAGAAGCCGCCAATGCTCCTGCGCAAGGAGGACCCAAATTGAAACATGGTGCTGTTGAATAAAAGCCCTTGTCAAGGGCAAATCCTTGTCATAAACAACAAGCAAAAACCATAAGCAAGACATTAACGGACACACAATGTGTTATCACAAAGAAGGGAAAACAAGAAGGTGGATGTATGTGGCCGGAAGAAAACTGTAGGAACACTGACATCTATAGTATGATACTATATCACTCAACTCATCACGGCTATAAGCTGATAAACTGAATAAACTGAGTAGAACTCATTTTTGATTGAATAGAGTCAAGGAGTACGAAAACACCCATAACAATGATGTATTGGTGTTGTGCGAGCATGACCAGGTTGGAAGCATCTTGTCAGATGCATGAAGTGCCAGAATTCGACAGATAACTTTCCAAATGAGCATCGGATTCTCAACTTCAAAGAAGACGAGTGAGCGAGAGATGAAGGAAAGAAGTAAGATGTGTGCATATCACGCATCATGACTTAGATCGTTCACTTGCTTAGTAAGCACTTGTTTGAGCTGTGCTTGCTTGCAGGCTCGCTAGCTAGCTCAAACGGCACTGTTACCCCACACAAACAAGGGTCAACAGGGGCGGCACTTGATCAGCTCAGAGAGTACTACCGCTGCAGGATCGACATAATCCACCATGAAGCTTGTAAGGTGAATACTGCAGACGTTTCTTTCGTCTTGGTCTGACATTTTTAAGATACCTTTCATTTTGTGCATTACAAAGATCGGGCGCTGACCCTTGTTTCTATCAGATTCTTGATGAAACTCAATAATGAGACCGTGACTATTGAGCTCAAGAACGGTTCTGTAGTCCATGGCACAATTACTGGTGTGTCAGATCCAGAAAAAACTGACACTGTTTACAAGATCTCAAAACCATTTTTACAGGTGTAGATATGCAGATGAATACCCACCTTAAAACTGTCAAAATGACAGCCCGTAACCGGGACCCAACATCCCTCGACTCCCTATCTATCCGCGGCAACAATATACGCTACTTCGTGCTTCCCGATGCCCTCCCACTTGATACACTATTAGTGGATGATGCACCCAAACCCAAAGGCAGGAAAAAGGATGATGCACGCGGAAGGGGCCGTGCACGAGGAGGGTTGGTTGACCGCGGGCGCGGTCGAGGGAGGGGAAGGGGACGAGGAAGGGGTTTCTGATGGTTCAGTCTTGAAAATATCATGCTCGTTTATCGCATTGTTAACATCTGTATATCGCGGCGTTTCGGCTTTTTGCTAATGCTAAAATATTGCACCGAGCTAAACATTTCACTCGGTCGGTATTAGTCATTCATGAGTTATCCTGCCAGGCTTCCTGTGTAACCTTGAGTCATTTTGCAGCCATACATGATCAATACCAATGATTACCACAAGAGCGACGAAAATTGTAAGGACCTGTGTGGCTGTGTAAATTTCTTCCATGCTCCTGCGCCGTTTTGTGTCAGCTTCAACGTCGTTGCCGCCAACAATCCGACAGCTACTGTCTTCCCTGCAACCGACTGGCCAGGTGACTAAAGTACAATTGAGTGGTTGGATCAAATCTGTACGAAGACAGAAAAATGTCACTTTCGCGGTGATTAACGATGGAAGTTGTGCTTCCGGCCTGCAAGCAGTCTTGAAGCCAGATGCTACCCCACACAAGTATGTTTCCAAGGCATTGTGGAACGTGGACGTTTATAATAGCATCCCTTAGCTTAACCAATGGCGCCAGTGTCCGCATTTGTGGCAATCTGGTCCAAAGTGTGGGTCGCGGACAATCATATGAACTACATGTCGAGGCGGTTGATGTCTTGGGCGAATGTAACCCAGAGGTGTGTGTTATGAATGGATAAAAAGTTGTTCATTGAAATTTTGTAAAGGCCTACCCTATCCAGAAGCAAGCCTTGCCCGTGGAATTTTTAAGGGACAATGCTCATTTGAGAGCGCGAACGGATACCAATGCTGCTATGCTGCGTCTACGTGATTCCGTCCTCCGGATGCTGCATAGCTATTATGAGGTGCTAATGAATATCACATTGTCTGTCCTGTTGTTGACACGTCCAAATCTAGGCTCAAGACTTTCATTACGTGCACACGCCCATCCTGACTTCAAACGATTGCGAGGGTGGTGGTGAAACGTTTCGTGTCTTGTCTACTTCTTCCGCCCCTTCTTCAAGGCAGTTGCCCGATCCGAGTGCACAAGCCGAATTCTTCTCCCAGCCAGCATATCTTACTGTGTCTTCGCAACTTCACCTGGAGGCCCTTGCTGCCTCCCTATCTCGGGTTTACACGATTTCTCCTTGCTTCCGAGCAGAACGTTCGCAGACGAATCGGCACCTCGCTGAATTCTGGATGCTCGAAGCTGAATTGGCATTCATTGACCACGTCGGGGACATATGCTATGTGGTTGAGGAGTCTCTCAAAAATGTCCTCCTTCAGTGTCGATCAGAACACGCCCTCCTTTGGAATGATGGCGATGAAGAAAAACTCAAATCTCTGCAAGATGCGTCGCGCCCAGAAATCCCCTGGACACGCATATCATACACTGATGCTGTGAAAGAGTTGCAGAAATACCATGCTTCTTCTCGAGTTGGATTCGGATTCGAGCCTGCATGGGGGAGAGCACTGCAAAGCGAGCATGAGCGGTGGCTTTCGGAACGACTTGTCGGCGGCCCTGTGTTCGTCACAGATTACCCAACCTCCTTAAAACCATTCTATATGCGAGCTAATGATGATGAACAGACTGTAGCGTGCTTTGATCTTCTAGTTCCTTTCATCGGCGAGCTCGTGGGTGGGTCGCTCAGAGAAGAGAGGACCTCTTATTTGGTCGAGGCTATACGGAGGCATGGGCTTAGGGAGGAAGAATACAGATGGTACGTAGATTTAAGGAAGTATGGCAGTGCACCGCATGGGGGTTATGGGCTGGGGTTTGAACGACTGGTTAGCTGGATGAGCGGTATTGAAAATGTGCGGGAGTGCATCGCGATGCCGAGGTGGGCAAAACGGATGTTGTTGTAACATATACTCTTGTCGGACTCCTCTCGATTTAGTGGCAAAGTTCCGAATTGATCTGCGCTTCGTTGCAAAGTCTTGTGAGCTACAGTTGAAATGGTCATAATGCATGTGTTAACAATGCATAAATCTCATAATGCATCAACTTTTGTGGATCCCGACGGCGTTCCCAAGTAATTGGACGCATAATGCATAACATTTGCATACCCAGTATGCATTACGAGGTATTGATTTGATAGGGTGGGGCATGTGAACAATAACATAGCGCATAGATTTATTATTGCATTGTCTTTTTTTGACTATGTATAGAAGCCAGCGAGCCATTGAAACGGTACCATACTACATGAAAATGTCCCTAAATTTACAGTGCAAACCTTGTGACAAGTCCGCTGTCTACAATCGACCTGCACGAAGTTGCATGTATGCAATATCATGGCGACCCTCAATTTTCACTTGATTTATCTTCACAGCTTTGAAAGTTTCGCACTAACCTACAACGCGAAGAACTGCATAACGCTAAACAAACATGTATAGAACAATTCTTCTCATTTTAATCATGTACTTGCGTAGGAATTATTGATAACTTTCTGTCACCCTTTTGGCGGAGGTCACACATGTCACAAGTATGTGACAAATATCGTCTTGCATATTCCTCATAACGCATAACATTTTGGCGGTCCCATCGGTATGCATTATGACCATTTCAACTGTATATGTTCGACAATTTCGACGGCCGCAAACGGGGGCGCCAACTGGTTGGAATTCTACCTGGAAGCGAGGTGCGAGCTGGGTGCGAGTGTAGGGTCATTGATAGAATAAACTGACTAGTTCTCTTGTCGAACTGCCTTCCACCGGCAGCATCCAGGCTGCACTCAAGCTCTGCTGCATTTCGGCATTTCGGATTTTCTTTTTCTTTTCTGCTACAAATTCCGGTGAGCTATGGTGGCCCAGCTCCTTGTGTGCATCTGCATGCAATGGAGGTAGGTCCGGCGGAAAGGCTATGAGTAGAGATGATAACTTATTCATGTAAGAAGTTCACTGTTGTGAACTCTCGTTAGGTTTCTCACCAGAGAACCCATAGTAAGGGGAGGAATTATTGCGACACCTTCTGCCAGTGACGAGCGAGATTTCTGTCTGTCAAGACGTGCTGCGGTGAGCATGTCACAGATTCCTGCATGATGCCTTCAATGACTCCTGGCACAGATGCCCGTATGCTTGTTACTGACTGTCTTTCCAATTTGATGCGTCGCTTTGCGGCTCCTACAATTTGGGATCCTAGGTTTTGTTGCATCACATTCACTCCTACTAGTGTGGGAATCGCAGACTTCGCGGTTCGCCTTGACTCACACGACTCTACACTACACACGAGTCTACTTGGCTCACTTTTGCACAAGTTGGGGATCAGTACTCAGTATCAGGGCTTCTGCCCGAAAAAAATCATTCGTTTGCAATCAAGCATGCATTTTTTTCCCATTCTCACTAGTTATAGTACAACCGTACAAGAGCTCCCATAACTTAAGTGCGGGTCTTGTCTGCAGCACTGGAGAGTCGAGACAAACTTGTTAGTTTGATTGTGACCATCTACTATGATGGGCGTGAATATTTGTTGTCTTTTCTGGTGACGTTATGCTCTTCAAATTCGTCATGCATGTTTTCTGCGTTTCCCTGCATGTATCATATACTTATCCCATGGTGTATATATATAGCTTCCGTCGTGCGAGCATTCGTAATGCTTCCGTGGTTTAAACAGAAATTTACCCATAATTTCCCCACAATATCATTGTCCATTACGCTGACAACCCCAGCTGTCACATCCTCCAGCTATGAAGCTGGAAGTCCCGCATGTTCAAGAAAACCTTCTCGTTACATATGGAGCTGGAGGCACAAAATATACTGGTATGAGAATTCTCGAGCCTTCATCGACGAATACTGACGATGTCTGCGTTCATAAGTTCGCCCGACGCTCAACAGATTGTTCGTTATCATTCTTCCGTTAGCCTTGGCTGCAGCCTTGGGATATACCACATACGTCGCCCACCGTCATGACTCCCTTTACACTGCTTTTGCTGCACTGGACAACCGAGTTGCCAAACTACCAGGTGCGTTTTTCATTGAGTCTTTGCCAATTCGTTCACCTTATGTGGTGATAAGTGATGGGCTATAACAGTAGGTTTCCACGTTCTGATAAGCTGTCGATACTGACCTGGCGCCTCACGCACAGCTTGGAACGCATACCATGTGAGTGCTATGGAGCTAATTCTGAAGGTTTCAACTCAGATCTTTCAGTGTGACATAGATGAGGATCTCATCTTACAAAACGCACAGCTGATGAAATCGCTGAACTTAGCGGCAAGTATCGTTCACTGTCCGATGACCTTATTCAGGGTGGCTGAACCTGGTATTATCACTAGGACGCTGGGTATACTTATGTCAACATTGATGATTGTTACTCAGAGAGAAGCAGAAACGATGAGGGTGATATTGTTGAAGGTTTAACTATTTTCCCCTGATGGTTCGTGTATTAACATCCCAGGTCAGATGCGACAAAGTTTCCGTCCGGAATGAAGGCGCTCACAGACAAAATTCATAATCTTGGGCTGTGAGTGACATGTTATATATATATACCTCCAAAATCACATCTTACTGAGAATTTTATTTGGCACACGCAGGAAAGCTGGCATTGTAAGACCTGACATTCAGTCATTCCTGTACCTCCTGACTGTGTCCCTGTCATGCAGTACAGTGATTCGGGTTGGTTCACATGCCAACTATACCCTGGCTCATTCCAGAACGAGGCAAGGTAAGCAGTTCTGTTCCTGCTCATTACATCATGATCATATCTAGCAGAGACGCGAAACGCTTTCATGACTGGGGTTTCGACTATCTCAAGTAAGTCTCAATTTACTGATATGAACGGCTGTTTTCAATGGTGATTATTTACAGATATGATAACTGTGCTGGTACGTGGACTCACACCATGTCCAGTTCGTGATCGCTCGATATACATCAGTTCCATTTGACAACATCACTCGGGAGAATATTATGGGAAGTATGTACTTATGTTATTCACCTCTGTCAGAATCTCACTGACGGGTCTAGGATATGAACGTATGGCAAACGCCATTGCTGATTTTTCACTATCATCTGGAACACCACCCTTAATTTTGTCCATGTGCCAGTGGGGAAGGGTGAGACTCTACTTCATTGCAATTTTTGGACTATGAACTGTTTTGCAGGAGCAAGGCTGGACTTGGGCCCGCAGATATGGGCAAAGTTGGAGGGTAAGATAGAGCACGTATCACAAATTTCTCGAAGCTAACGAATACTCTAGACTACTGACGATATTGGTAAGCGTTCGACCCCCCGAAACCTCTCACTGAGGAAGCAACTGATTGGTGAGCAAGAACCGAACTGGCAATCAATCGCCAAAATATTAAACCAGTAAGGAAGCCGCGTTGCTTACCCCATCATCATTCACATCGTCTTCCAGAAACTCGTTCTATACGTGGGCAACTGATTTTTACGGCCATAATGACATGGATATCGTCAGTCATGTTTTGCGGTGCTGTTGGCCACGCTGACAAGGGTCCTTGTAGCTTGAAATGTGCGTCACTGAGAGGCCGAGTCTGAGTGTCGTCTCACAATCGACAGTGGTAATGGCCCCCTAACGTACGAAGAAGCGAAGTCCCATTTTACTGCGTGGGCGCTTTTGAAATCACCTTTACTTATCGGCACTCATGTAAGTTCAATCCCCTGCTGACGAACCCTTCACTCACATACGTCCAACTTAGCTTGCTTCTGCTACCAAAGAAACTCTTGAGATTCTGACCAATCCAGAAATCATCGCGATCCATCAAGACTCGGTTGTGGGCACTAGCATCTCACCTTTCCGGTGGGGCATCAATGTAAGTCATTTTGACTTGTTTGCTGTTAATCGGAAGTCCATATCATTGATGCCACGTCGCATCGATAGCCTAATTGGGTCAGCAACGACACACATCCCGCACAATATTGGAGCGGAGAGAGTCAGAATGGGACGGTGTTCATGCTCGTTCGTGCTCTTTTTGAGAAGTGCTGTTCAAACAATTAAAATTCGTACAGTTGAACACGCTGGATGAACCCGCCGACATGTTCTTCAGGCTGACTGAATCACCGTGGATCCGAGCTGGCAGGCAATACACTGTCCGGGTAACCTTCATTTCCTATGCAGGTTGTTTGCAGCCTTCTGATTCGCTTTGTCTGTCTAGGACCTTTGGACGCATACAGACAACGGGACTGCAGTTCGCAACTTTACGGCGCACGCTGTTCCGCCGCACGGTGTTGTGGCATTGCTCCTCCAAGACGCGGGTAACGAGCCGGATGGCTTGTGGCCGCCCTGTGCTGTGTTGGAGTGGTGCATGAATTCTAACGGGACTCGTATCGACGAATGAGTTCTGAGGGCGCTCTTTTCCAAGTGATGTATACGAGTCTTGTATCACCATTGTATGTTGACAATATTTCATTGAACCTTGTATGAATAAAGGGCGACAGAATTGTCTTTCGTGCCACGCTCAAGTCATTACTGTCCACATCTCTTCCAAGCAACGAGATACCTCAATCCATTCTGGTGTAGGATGTAAGGTATCTTGACAGATAGCGTGCTTGACAACCTGTCAGGTGGTTAGAAAACGTGGTTAAGTTGTCTCTGCCGCGTGTATGGATAGCCGAATAGCATGGCTTGCCGTGAAAGTCATAAAACACAAGGTCAACTCATCCTGAGGTGCACAGATCAACGTCATGCATCCTTCCACAGCTTTACTAACGCTCTGTTATCTCGTCTCTCATTGTGGCATCACCTCTCGATGACTACCAAAGAAACTCCATCGGTACTCCGCTGAGTAGAATATCCAGAGATACAACCATAAAAGATATGAAGGCACATTTTACGACCGTTTTTCAGTATGTTTGACCATCGACTTTTAGCGGAAATGCAGTTTTTGACATTCCTCAGCAAGTACAACGTACGTCACCTTGCGCAATCATGCGCTGAGCACAGACTCGCCTCTTGAGCAACCTTACAAACTCGGAGTCTCTATCCGGGACGGAAGCCCTATCCTCCTAGAAAATCGCGGTTGGGGGAGCTCCGGTATCATCATACCTTGTGGGAGAATGAGATTTGTTGAAGTTTCTATTGTTTCAAGGTTGCATACAAACAACATACAAAAATCTTATTACTATCATCTTACTTGCATGTACAGTTTTGCGTGCAGCCAGTGCACCCGTCAGCTTCATCGTATGAGCAGATACTACATGATGCATGAGTTGTAGCGACAGTCAAGCATGGAAGCTGTGAGATTTTCACGGCCTCTGACTCAGGATAGGTTGGAGAAACCGACATGAGATTACTGTACAAGATGAACCCAGAATACAAGACATCCTACGACAAAGATGGAGGTCCATTTTCTGACTTGTTTCCATTTATTATCCAATTCATGCATCTCGCCTGTCAATTTCGGCAGGGTTGCCGACAACACTACCGGTACAGACGGTGCGTCTGGCTTCCAAGAAGTAGGAAGAGTAGGATCCTTGTCATGGTGGTTACTTGAGCCTACGATGTCCTGTAATGGGAAGACTTCAGCTTGTGCAACACCCCCGAAGAAATCGGTGATAAGCGTCTTGTCCAAGGAACGGCGGAAAAGATCGGACCGGATGCCTGGATGAGAGTAAATTTTCACCGGGTCATATGAATCGAACTGTTACAGTGAAGAATGAGCACGCGCATCAGACCAGTGATAGAGCAGAATACCAAATCTTGCATAGATGCCTGACTTGTCTTGTTTATTCCCTCCATGAATTTGAGGACGTAGTGTGTATAGCTGTCAATGACGGAGACGCCGATGTCATTGTCATTTTCATACTAGATCCACGACACTATAAGCATTTTGTAACAAAACAAAGTTGTGGAATTCTCACGGAGTAAGAATTCTCTTCAATCTGAGACGACCCAGTGGCGAGAATGTTTGGGGAATAAGATTGAGAGTACATGGTATTCGCTTGACAAGTATCAATCATGAATAAAATTTCGTTGTATCTGGTCCATCGTGAGCTTCGTATACGACGACGCGACGGGAAATCCCACCGTTTCTTTTGCCACATTTGCTCGAATGCGTCAGCAATATCAAATGCACTTATTTCCTCTTGATCTTGAAATTTGAGGAACTCGTTTCCTCCATGCCCAGTCATGTAGACGAATATGTTCGAGTGGTCGTCTGTCAGAAGTCTTTTTGACCGTGGCATAGAGGGATCCACCCGACCTATAAAACTTTAGATGACTTCCAATCAGCACTGGGCCATTCGTACCTGTCAATAGGCGTATGAAGTTCTCCACAGTTACTTCATATCCACGATAATCTACCTCGATGTTCTCGCCGTACAAGTCTAAATGCCTGCCAGCTTCTGCATAGATGCTGCCAGCAAATTTGTTTCTTGCGTTACACGCTACGTCATCCGCCAACATAAGGATAATGTTGGAGTCTGGAATCCCAAGACGCTTGACGGTACGATACCTGACAGGTGCATCAGGTGGTGAGCAACTAACTCTGAGGATGGGGTGCTTTACATTCCAAGGGCATTTGCCATATGCTATAGCAGTCTCAGCAAAGGCGGTCTATAGTAGCAAAATCGTGCTCACCCTGTAGTTGAACCAGTACCGAGATGCGCATACAAGGACTGCCCAATTGTTGGTGTGTCCTGAACCCGAATCATGTCTACCGAAGAAATCAGCTGCGCGCTCGCCAGCAGGCGCGGAAGAACCCCATGAGCCAGCTGCCCGTGCCATGAAACATGTCAGCAACAAGAGGCAAGCCTGGGGAAGCAGCTGGAAACGCATGGAGAACACTGGCAAGTGAAGAGCAATCGGTACTCACGGCAACTCGGCAAAGGAAACGCGGTGCGGAGTTCTAAAACACTACAATCTGCCCTTTGCCTTTCACTCTCATGAACGGTAAGCACAAATTCTCTTAAACTACACACCGTCGTTACGCTTATAATTTTCAAGGTCTTCACGCCTATGGAGACGACTCGCAAAGCGACTCGGAGGAGAAGGTTGCTTCATCCTCGAAAACCAGTGTGGGAATATATCTGAATAATGTAAGAGATTCTTCACCGCAGCCTCGTGCAATTGTTTCCCTCTTTGTTGGCTATCATTCTTCCTGAGATAGGATAAGGCGCTGAAGGGTGTATCAAACTCATTCTCAGATGGTACGCATCCTATAAAATGATACATGTATGTGCCGTGTTGAAGATGGAACCCAGCCCGTCTGCTACCCAAATCTCAAGTAATCATTCGTCGACCTGTGCAGCAGAGAGGTCACCCTCGTGCTCATGCATCAGATGAGATTGTAGGCAGTTTAGAAAGCTTTCGAGCTTCCAGTCCAGCGTCTATGCCCAATGCGTTTCCGAACACGGAACAGGTTGAAACTGGATCTTCAGAAGAGGCAGATGAAATCTCTCATATCCGACAACTATTGAGACAACCGCCAATTCCGGGTTTCACAGACTGGGGCATCTCACCAGCATCTTTGTCTCCATATGATCCGGTAATTCAGGTGCGACTTCGCTCTCACTCATGGGGATCTTTCTGATTATCCTTCAGACTAAACTTGCACAGTTTCACGCTTTAAAGCAAGATTCTGAACATCCCAAGCACTTCAATGATTCGCTTATGTCCAACCGATCTTTTCGCAATCCCCATCTATATGCTAAGCTTGTAGAATTTGTGGACGTCGATGAGCGCACGACGAATTTTCCAAAGGATATGTGGGATCCAGATGACATGCGCTCTGAATGGTTTGCGAACAGCATCGGTACGTAAATTCACTTACTGTCATAACACTCGTTCATGCCCTCGCCTTTGGCACCCCTTCGCTTTTGGCCATTTGTTCTACAAATTGTTCCATCATCAATTTTTTTCTTCTGGTTCCCGGCGATGCATCTGGACTCCTAAATCTCTGCTTCAAAGCCGCGCTGCAAAAAGCTCGCTCAGAGCAAACTGCTTCCTCTCAGTCCAAGCGAACGCAGATCAATTTTTCCACTTCTGGAAAGGTACCACCCCTCACTCACGACAAGCTGGCCCCACGACACAGTGGCAGATTCCATCCCTACTCTCGCCTGCGTTAAGCTCGATATCCTTGTGAATCATGTATATTACCACGTATTTCTATATTACTCTCTCCAGAGTCCTTGAGTGTATCAAATACGCCGCAAAGGACCGTCCATGATCAGCTTTATCGGAGTCTACACTTGAACTAATGTGAGGGTGCAGCCTGCCGGAATGTTCCGGCACCAGGAGCGTTTGCGCCGGTTTCTTCGGTTTTCCTTCGTCGGCCGTACTTCGCACCTCCTGACTCACTTTGAGATCCACCCACCACTCCCTTTTCATTTCCACCGCCGAAGCACACTTCATAGCCCTCCGTATTCATTAGTTTGTTGTATAAGCGAAATCGATCAATGCACATTCGTTTGTTAGCGACGTTTTAGTTGGCATGGTCGAATTCGTAAGCTCCTGAGCGGTTGCCACTAGACAAATGGCCTCTCGAAAAAAAAAAAGACCTAGATGAGGTTTTCCAGCGCACTTTTCAAATTCAAACCTGCTTGCGTACCACGAGCTAACGCTCGATTCAGCCCAACCGGTCATAAAACCTTGACGGGTATTTGCATTGTAGCGTCATCAAGTTGAATTTTGCCACTGGCACAAATTTGTGATAAAACAATTGATATGTTGTTCTCAGGTACATAGAACTGAGTCGGTTAGTATGGGGCGGCTGGCATGTGTCATAATCAACAAAAGGAAACAATAAATGGTGATTCTTAGCAGAACTGTATATAAGGGTATATGTGATACACAGGTACTAAATTTGCAATTGAAAATGAGCTGTCCTTATAGCAAGTCCATATAGAGAATGAAGAGGTTGAGGATTATGCCAGTTCAGCAAAGCCCACCTGAATGTTTCCTTGATTGAATACTGTGTAAACGTTCTGCAGGAAAACGCCCCCGACAACCCAAAAGTCTGAAACGGATAAGGAACACTCAGCTTGTGTACACTGCACACGATACGAGGTACTCACCAACATCTGACATCCCAGCAATGCCTCCCAAGCAGTCGCTTGAACCAGCACTTTCCGGGCCAAGATTGAATGTTGCCTCTGAAACGTCGAAGGTGCGTCCACCAAATGAAAATGTGGGAGTGTATGACCCGATCGTGTTGCACGGAACTAGGGAATAAGTCAGAAGTCAGTCGTAGATCATCAATTGCAAAGGGCCGGGCGAACTGGTATAATATGTTATTTCCCCCTGAGTACTGCTGCTTGAACCCGGAATACCCTGGTAGTATGCCTCTGCAGCATCAGTAGCTGTGACGATCATCGTGGTCCCGGTATCGATGATAGATGGGCTGTTACTGGCAACCGTAGAGCCATCTCGCGAAACCGCCTCTAGGTTCACTTGCCAGTACCCTTTCTCGGTAACGGCCGTATAGGTCAAGGTGTCTTCAACGTAGAGATCGGAGTTCATCCCTCCAATATAGAGCTCGCTCTCCCCGGATGTAGAAGAAAGTTTGACACTGAACACGTTTTCTGGGAGTACGCCACTGTCACTTATTGTCTCGAAAACTGACTTTGCCTCAAGACTAGATATGTTCTCGAAAGCAAAACCGACAAGACCATCAGGCCGGAAAGTCGGGTATACGAAGTTGCTGGAGTACGAAGAGGCAGCAAGGAATATCTGGTTGGAGGCCTTAGCAGCGAAAATTAGTCCTTGTGATGTAAGAAAGAGTTATTGCGCCACCTCGTAGCCACCAAGGTATATGTCATCACTATATTCATTTCCCTCTACTTTACCTGCACCATACGATAGCATGGTTATTTTTAATTCATCCTTGGCTGTAGAAGAAAGCGCAGCATCATACATCTTGTGGCCTGCGCAATCCAAGCAAGAGACAGACGGAAGGACTGACAAAAAACGGCCTTAGATCAGGACAAACCTCTTGTCAAGTATATGCATGTGCTTACAAAGGTCTGTGCTTCCTGAGTCGATAGATACTTCAGGTAAACTTCAATGAGCAAAGGTTCCATGCTGACAGTAGAATTGTCTGACCGTTGAATGTTTGTTTTGGCGTGCCCACATCAATTTCACCATACCATAGCTCAGCTCCTTGGTTGATAAGCGGAACAACACCGTCGCCACGCTTTCCCACAGAAGACCGCATCTTCCCGCTCAAAGGGTGAGCAGAACCGGTTTTAGCTTCGAATGCAGAAAATGTCTGACGATACTTGCTGGAAGATAGGCATTGCAATCGATGAATACGATGGCTGAGGGCTGTGAATAAATCGTTTTGAACTTACTTCGAAACGCCAATGAGGTGTGTATTGAGAGCACTCATATCGACATGCCCAGCGACCTCAGTGCTCTTGCGGTTAAGAGGAAGCCGAATAATATTTCCACCGCGGCTATTAGGTGCAGCAGCTGCAATAGCCAGCAAAGAGGCAAAGGGGGACCAAAACTTCATCTTGCGTTGGGAGGCAAGGACGAAGACGCGTGGTGAGTCAAGAATTTCACAGCTACGTGTGCGTTGTTAATCCACTTCTACTCGGGTCGCTCGCGCAGTACGGCAAGGCGAAGGTAAGCCCAGGGGGCCCGGATCTGTCCATCGAACGATCAGCAGCATCCATGACACGGATTAGTACAAATTAAGGTGTTATATTTTCACCACTGCAGGGCTTTGACTACATACTGACCTACCACTACACAAGCTTCTTGCGTAGAGTGGCCCTAACTGTGCGTTCATTAAATGTCATAGCAACGTATAGTAGAAGGGGGAAATTTCTTTGGCGTCACGTACAACAAAATCATTCAAGACAGTGACTATAGGAAGTAGTGTGACCCATGGCCTCGCCGATGCAGCGTGTTAGTTAGCTGGCGATCTCTTCGAAGCTCGAAAGAGGCGTCAGTGAAGATCACTTGCTAGCAGATGATGCTAAGCTGCGGAAGCTAGTTTCCTCCAAAAAGAAACTGGAACTAAACATTTGGAAGCCGGGAACGTCGAGATTCGACAGCCTATGCGTTGGAAGTCCATGGAGTGTTTCAAGTACTTACATCCTCACGAAAACGCTTTTCAAACCCCGCAGCTCTCCGTATACGTACGAGTACTCATATACTGTCAGAAGTTCCGATATTAATACCCATGAAATACTATACTGGATGACTTTCCATAGGCAAAATGATCCAGAATAGATTATTTCGAAGCTTGAAATACATTTGCAATGGCGACGAAAATTTAATCGAGTTTTAATTTACTTAAGCAAGTTGAATCAATGCTCGCACGCGGGTTTGGCCGACTCTTGGTCTATGCGCATGCTCGTCACGTCTAACGATGACGCATGCCTGTGACCGGGTGAGTCTCCTAAACGCTGGTATCGCAGATAGGACTTCATCCTTTCGTCTTTGCTGTCATCCAGCGTTTAAGCACTTTCTGCTTGTGCACATCTGCGCCGTAATTTAAAGCTACCCACCACAATCCCACCCTCATATGTAGTGTGTTTCTTTCTTTGATTCAAGTCTCGAGAATTCGGTGGTACCTTACTTTTGTCAGATTCGGCTTTCTACTACGTATGAACTGTCCTATCTTGGCTGAGAAAATTGATTGCAGGTCCTTCGAGCATTGAGCTGGAGGACCCCACTTGCCCTAAACTACCCATGAGTTCATGCTCATTTAGTGTTCGTGCTTTGCTCTAGCACATGCAAATCATCACACACTGTGGGCATTTCCCCACGTTCCTCCACCAAAAATCCAAAAAATATTGAGTGAGAAGATAGAAAATTTCCCCTCTTTTATGTGTCGAAACATTGAAAAAAAATAATTACTGTATCAAAGATGTTGTTCACAAGGAATATACTGCAAACATTATGTATTTACGCTTACAAAACATAGAAAATGTTTCACAAATTTCCTCCTGCCAAATATACAAAGGAACCTTTGAGAGTTTCTTCACTTTTCCTCAAAAAAACATTGATAAAATAAAATTTATTATCTATTATATGTTTTGTAAATGTTCTTGGACCAAACATGTAGTAAACTGGATGAAGTAATTGAGACTTTTGATAGATAGAATATTCGAAAAACACAGGTAAGAAAATTCACATTATCACAAGCTGCTATTTGAAAGACAATAGATGGAAAATTCATCATTTTCCCTGAGGGAAAATCAATAATGTTTGCAGTATATTCCACACACGGAATATCTTTAATACAGTAATCATTTTTTTTCAATGCTGTGACACGTAAAAGAAGGGGAAATTTCTATCTTCTCACTCAATATTTTTTGGATTTTTGGTGGAGGAACATGTAGAAATGCCCGCAGTGACAAATCATTTTGGCATATAAAAATGAAATGATTCTGCATTAAGTCAATGAGTATTTCTATGTCTTTCATTTTTTAAATAATTGTGTTGTGCAAGTGCTATGATACAATATACACTGTTTGGAGACAATTTGGCACACTGATCAGTGTCGGAAAGGCAAACTCACACCAATTTTAACCTCGGAAGTGCTTAGAACATTGATCCTGACAGATATATAGCTAAAATGACAACTTCCGAGGTTGATTTGGCAGACTATTGATGTACAAGTGAAGGATATGTTATCTGGCGTGACAATCTACTACAAGACGTTACATCATTTTAAAATCCCACCATGCCACAACAGATTTCTCACGAGCAAAGCACATGGTCAGGAGCGGACTTCTAATCGGCAACGTCGGCAACCTGTGACACAGTGTGATGGATGCACAAACACTAGGTGAGATAGACTAGTGGTGCTTGGTCATGCTGTAGTAACACAACAAATCAACTTTTATGTATAGAAAAATTTGGGCTATGTTACTGAAATGGTATTCTATCTACTAATGACTATCCAATATTTATTTTGTGTTGTGGATCGAGAGCAATACGTGAGACTGTTACAAGAACATCTAGATGCTTGGGCCCCTACCATTTTTCTCCTAATCCTCCTCGTATCAGCCCTTGCATCATACCCTTACCCCGACCTTACCCTGGTCATCCTTGTCATTGTTACGACTTGGGTGGTATCTGTTGGCGACGCTCAAACAGAGCTTGTGTCGTCAACGGTCGAGGACATCCTTGGGCTAGCCCAAGGTTAGGGGTCGTACTTGGCGTGTCTTCGGCAAGTACGATTTAACGCCTATGTCCAAATCGGGTAGCTTATGTCACGCGGGTGCGAGACGATAAGCTATATCGGCCTAGGCTTACGACACCCGAAGGTTAATTGTAAGGATTGTTGTTAATTAGAAGGACAGAAGTCCGACTAGTTAACAGGGGCTCTGCTCGTCGACGAAGTCGATGAGTAAAGGTCGAGACTACAGGCTTATCCGCGATGAGCAGATAAGAAGATAGAATATAGACTGCTGGCGAGGCAGAAAGGATCACTCTGGTGAGAGTAGGAGGTCAAGAACCAAGTAGATTCAAGTTAGGGAATATGGTACATGGTAGTGAGTTTATATAGAGGGCAAGAGACGTATTAGTGGGTGATAACTCGTACTACCGGGAGAGGCAATCAGTGAAGGGTATGACTATAACAGGAAGGCACGTTCGGTCGAGGTAGAACGTGCTAGATAAGAAGGTGAGTCAAAGATCGAAATAAGAAGTGAAACACGCAGGGGCACGATCGTGCAGCTGCGGATCTAAGTATAAGTCGCATGTGCGACTGCGCACCGAGTCAGAGATCAAGAAAGGGAATAGGGCAAAGGGGATGCGTCGTGCATCATATCATAGGCTACCGTCCAGACGGTAAAGGCAGGGGGACTGTCCACAGGATCAGTCAGGTGGTGAAACGGAGCATGGGTATGCTTCGTCAGCGAAAGGGTCCGGCCAGATGTACTGGCTCTGCTGAAGCGACAGGTAGAGAGCGAAAGGGAATGCGAGGATGACAAGGATGACAAGGGTAAGGTCGGGGTAAGGGTATGACGCGAGGGCTGATACAAGGAGGATTAGGAGAAAAATAGTAGGGGCCCAAGCGTCTAGATGTTCTTGTAACAGTCATCCTCACATTCCCCTTTGCTCTCTATCTGTCACTTCAGCAGAGCCAGTACATCTGGCTGGATCCTTTCGCTGACGAAGCATACCCATGCTCCATTCCACCACCTGACTGATCCTGTGGACAGTCCCCTTACCCTTACCATCCAGACGGTAACCTATGATAGGATGCACGACGCATCCCCTTTGCCTTTTTCCTTTCTTGATCTATGACTCGATGCGCAGTCGCGCATGCGACTTATACTTAGCTCCGCAGCTGCACGATCGTGCCCCTGCGCGTTTCACTTCTTATTCTGATCTTTGACTCACTTTCTTATCTGCACGTTCAGGACTCACCCGTGTCTCACCTCGAACGTGCCTTCCTTTTATGGTCATACCCTTTACCAGTTACTTCTCTTGGTAGTACGAGTTATCATCCACTAATACGCTTCCTGTCCTCTATATAAACTCGCTACCATGTAACATATTCTCTAACTTGAATCTACTTGGTTCTTGACCTCCTACTCTCACCAGAGTGATCCCTTCTGCCTTGCCAGCAGTCTATATTCTATCTTCTTATCTGCTCTTCGCGGATAAGCCTATAGTCTTGATCTTTACTCATCGACTTCGTCGACGAGCAAAGCCCCTGTTAACTAGTCGGACTTCCATCCTTCTAATTAACGATGATCTTACAATTAACCTTCGGGTGTCGTAAGCCTTGGCAGATACAGCTCATCGTCTAGCACCCGCTTGACGTAAGCTACCCGATTCGGACATAGGCGTCAAATCTTACTTGCCGAAGCCTCGCCAAGTAAGACCCCTAACCTTGGGCTAGCCCAAGGACGTCCTCGATCGTTGACGACACACGCTCTGTTTGAGCATTGCCAACAGATACCATCCAAGTCGTAACAGAGACCGTTGTAACAACAGTCGCAGCACTGGGCTCAAAACCCGTGTTCTTGATACTCATGTTAAACAGTATTCGTCTGATGCATCCCCGACATTCCGATCCCGACCCCGATGCCCGACCCCAACCCGAAAGTTTCGGACCCGACATTTTCGGATCAGACTTGTCCTCCCTATGTCCTGTCCAGTCGTATCTACTCCCACTGGTGCGTATCTACTTGTTTCGCATTACTGAACATTACAGACAATGTTATTACATGTTATCTACAAAAAGGTGCAGTACACATGCTCTTTTACATACATTCGGACCCGATTTTGCGCTACTGTTTTCACCTAATGCACTCCGAAATCCTGCATAGACACTATTTAATATCTAGTACTTCCTACCTATTAGAGGACTTACTTTTCCCTACTCAGTAGTAGGATGGAAGTCATTGGATATTAGTAGTACTTGATTGTATTGCGAAATATCTATCCGCTCTTTTCCTCCGAAACATTCCGACACATCCGACATTCATTTGACCGACAATCCGACACACTTCCGACACATTCCTTTATCGTCCGACGCATTCCTGACAGTCCGACACATAGTCCGACACCCGACCCGACTCCGATATTTCGGACCTGACAGTTTCCCTTCAGACAAGTAGTTCTTAGCTTTGGATTATCTTCCTATTATTGATAGCTAACTATCTAAACTAATACCAAACAGCTACCCCTATAGGATTGAACGCACTTGCTCTGCAAGTATAGCAGCATAGGTCGTGCTAAGATCTACCTAAATATTTGTTGTCTAGGTAGTATGATTTCTGCTGAGCCCAGCAGGAACCAGCTTTCTACACCGTCAAAAAGCACAAACACTCGGGTACATCTAGTAGAGGGCAACCCAGGTGGGCAGGACACCTGGATAGCCTGTTTGGGAAGCCTTATTAGGCTTAGCAATAGCGTGCCTCGTCAACTATATTTAGGCTCGAAACTAGTAATATCCCAACACCAGCGTTAAATCACGCTCTAAATATTCTGATACCTTTGTACTGTAGCCTATAGCTAGGCTGGCACGTATCCTGCCTTATCCCGCCCTACGCCTGATACCGGCAGTTTCCGCAAATTGCCTGCCTGTCTTGGTCCATAGCGGTTTATCTGGCGGGTTCTCATGCCTCTGTCCTCCTACCCCCTGCACTGCTGCACACTGCACGCCGCCGCCACCGCTTCTACAGCTCAGCAGCCATCACCCAGGCCACCACTACCCTCTACAACATCTGTGCCATCTTCCTCACCTAAAATCTCAGCACCTCAGTGGTCTGTGCACCCCCAGCTTGCAGCATCCTGCAGGCTGCCTCCCACCTCATTCTACAATGCTTGCACCCAGCACCAAGTTGTCTCTGTGTCCCCAGAACACTGCCTGCACCAACCTGCTTCCCACCTCATTATCCTTGCCCACCACTGCCCTCTACAACACCTGCCCAAGTGGTTCGTGCGCCCACTATCAAACCTGGTCTCAGCTAATCGCCTACGCCTACAGATTCACCACTTGCAGATCGCACCATTCAGATCCACCAACACCTGGTGTGGTCTACTTGCCTACGCCTACAGAATCCTCACTTGGGGATTGCACTATTCAACCGTTTGTCCACCTGGTCCGTGCGCCCACTATCACCTGGTCTCAGCTAATCGCCTATGCCTACAGAATCATCACTTGGGGATCGCACTATTCAACTGTTTGTCCACCTGGTCCGTGCGCCCACTATCACCCGGTCTCAGCTAATCGCCTACACCTACAGAATCCTCACTTGGGGATTGCACTATTCAGATGTTGACCACCAGGCCACCTGGTCTGTGCGTCCCCCTTGCCTCTCACTTCATCAGCCTTGCAGTTCCCACTGACGCCTCATTTTATCTATGAATGTTTAAGACACCACTGCTGCTGCCATTGCCATCCCATCAGTTCGAAGACACCACGGCTACTGCCCTTGCCATCCTGTCAGTCCAGCACTTTCTCAAGCGTGCAGACTATCAACAATGCTTAGAGTGACCAAGACTTTGAGCTAGAGGGCCGCACAATCACATTATTGGTAATACTTGACAACTGTGTACACAACAATATATTTTTTTTCACGACACACAACCTCCATTCTGATAGTAATGAGTGATGCCATACACAAAAGCTATGACTTGACACTAGGTAAGTATAAGTGAACCTCCCTCACTCCAACATTGGCGTGGGGCCAAATATTTGATCTAAGTCAGCCAACACTTTATCACAGTCAAAGGGAATGAAGTCATCACCAGGAACAGGTGGCTCTGTATCATGAGCAGCTGGATCAGGTAACTCTTCATCACTGGCCTTGCTGTCCTCAATAGTCTCGGCACTCTTGTAATGTTTGCAATGAGTTGTTGCAGGTATTGCTGCACTGTGGCACTTCGTCCCTTTATCAGATCGAGTGCGGCAGTGGCGATCAATTATCATGCCACTCTTGAGCTTCTCTTCATGCTCCAGACGGAGTTTCTCAAATTCTTCATCGCTCAAGGACTTCCAGTAAGTTGCACCATCATCCCACCTATTGCAAAGCATCTGGAGGTCTGGAAGCACACTTGATACTTGACTAAGATTTGTAAATGGAATTTGATCCAGCCATCCTTCCACAACAACCTGGTACCGCTGAACAATGTTGCGGAAGTAATGTGCCCATTGCATTTTTGTGCCAGTGTCACTGGTACACTCCTCTATTAATGAAATAAGTAAATTAAATGTTGTAAATGCAAAAAATAAAAAAAACTTACGAAGCTTTCGGTTGATGATGTCACGGATTTCTGCGCATTTATCGGAGACACGCTTCTGGTGGTTTTTTGCAGATCCTAAATATAATTAGAACAATGTAGCAATAAGAACAAAGACACTAACCTTTCATCCCCTGGACAGCGAAGCCTTCCATTTTGCTGACTAAATCTTGATTATTGATACCCATTACGGTGTCCGTGAAGTTGTCAACACCTTGAGTGGCAAACACGACACCTCGGAGGGGAACATCCATAGAACCACGTGTAGTGTATAGAATGGATTCCATGCCTGTATGACAATGGAGGCTCTTGAGCTAGAAGATGTGAGGAAATGTCAGAGACAAATTCAACAAAGAATATACCTCGTTTTCCACTGCCTTCAAGGTTTGCGTGATATCGTTGATTTTCGACTTGGCTGTAACACGAACACCAGTCTTCTTTGTCTCTTTCCATTCAGTGAACTCAGCGAGAAGTTCAACTTGTTCTTCATTTGGGAGTGTGAGGTATTCGGACTTGTGTTCTCGGACTTGTGTTTGAAGCACCACTTTACCATGGCTATCTAAAAAAAACAATGCTTGAGCACGACAGAACACGACAACACAATTATAATAAAAACTTACTGTTCTCTTTATCTTGGTTTTTCTTCCAGCAGAACACATTCCATAAATTAGCCTTAGAGTGCTTTGAATGGAGAAGGCCATGACCTATGTATAAATCATTTTGAACTTGGCGGATACTTTTATGGTGTGAAGACGCAATCAATTTGGTAGCATCGTCGAGCTGCTTCCATGTGTCATATAAAGTGTCCTTGGACCGAAGAGATTTGGTGCATCGCTTGAGCCTGAGAGCAGCATGGGCTTCTTTACTGAGCACAATGTTCGAACATCGACAGGCAGGTGGCTGGATGAGTCTGGCATTTGAACTGTGCTTGTTGGCAAAGAACAACTGGGCAACCATTAGCTACAAGGAAGCAGCGGAGACTAGTCAACAACCTGCAATCATTTGTCCAGCTATTTAATGCACCAAAAAGAAAATTTTCACTCCATCAACATTGTGGTTAGGCTCAGGTATCACATCATTCTGTACTAAACAAGGCAGGAACATCTGAGATCTACAGTAATAATAAACCGAAAAGGTAAAGCGCACATATGAAAACTAAGATGCCAAGGATCTTGAGGATGGTGGTAAGCACTGATGACCAATTCTACGGATTGAAATTAAAATTAAAATGCGAAGAATGGAGAATGACTAACCTTCAATTTGGCGGCCTCAGGGTTGATGTCCCTTATACCTACCTGTAGGTCCATGAGGAGGGCATTAGACAAGATGGAAGCTTGTTCGTAAGTCAAGTCCCATGATGGGGACCTAAACACTGCCTCCCACCGGCTGCTGCAAACTGCTGCTACTAATGTTCAGAGCTTCGGCAAATTCTCGTCACCCAGCTTCAACCAATCGAGTGCAGCATCTGTATATGGCCCAATACTAATAAGGGGCGACCCAGCCATTGACAGATTGCAAGTGAATCCCTGAGATGGCGCCACAACAAGTGGGACAGCCTTGGTGAATACATTAGCCTGTCGGCGTTGACGCATCTCCAAGTGTGGCGTCGATGGTGCAGTTCGGTTCGCAGATTCGGCAGCCAATTCCACACCACAATGAATGGCAGCAGAGTCCGAATGAAGGAGAGGGGACTGTAGATTGGTGGAAAAGGTGTCTGGGGCTTGCGCAGAGCATTGTATTCGAGCTCCTGTGGCAACCATAGGTGGAGGGATGTAGTGTGGTCTGGTAGTGCTGATATGAGTTGCAGGGACTTCACCTTATGTTAGCAATGCAAAGAATACAATAAAAATTAATTTACTTACAGCGCCTGCTGGGTTTCACCTTTTCAATGGCACAGTGGGTAGCAAAATGCTGCAAATGAGGTACTGTGAACTCTTGTGTGAATGCCTGTACTAAGACAGCAAGATCTCCACCAATTCACTGCTGCGTTTCCTGCAACTTGTGTGGTGTGATATAGACATCAATAGGAATTTGTTCGGGGGAGAGATTCAGTGGAAATTTGCTGCCAGCACATCGAATAAGAAGGGATATACCACCATCCAGACGGTCTTGCGTGGTGAGCTGAAAAATGTTGTGAGCTTTAAGGAAAAAAATCAAGGAAATGACTGACTGCATCAAATACATCCTGGGTGGCTGCATCGAGTAGCTCATTAGGTGTAAGGGACCACTCTTTTGCCTCGTTCAAATTGCTTGACCAATTGAAGCTGATGTATGATGGGTGAAGGCCCCCCACTGTCCTAGTCTGATAATGGGAGCTGTCGATATGAGCATCATGCCTGAGTAAAGCCTGTGCGGCTGCTTGACGCTCATTGTTGCTGAAACCCGGGGCAAATGTAGAATTATGATACAGCAAAGCAAGACCTGTCATGTTGAATTGGTCGAACCGTTTGCTATCCGGAGATGGTAAAGATGCCATGGAGTGCAATGGTGAAGATTGCAATGGCTTCAAGGGTGGTGGAGATGGTGGATGCACACTAGGTGCAGTGGAGTCGTGTTTGCGAGCTTAACAAGTGCGTGGTAAGTAGTAATTTTGATGGGCACACTATTATGTACACATAGATCTGTACTCAGATTCTCGAATATAATCATGCCCAGCGCTCTATAGATAATCTACACTGCCTGTATTAATAATGTAGCATACAGTTGTAGATTATCGCTTCATAATTCAAATTCTATATAGGAGTGAGATGTAGACTACGGCGCCATAATGTAGCATGATTTAAGCACGGTGTAGAAAGCTGATTCCTGCTGGGCTCAGCAGAAATCGTACTACCTAGACAACAAATATTTAGGTAGATCTTAGCATGACCTAGTCTGCTATACTTGCAGAGCAAGTGCGTTCGATCCTATAGGGGTAGCTGTTTGGTATTAGTTTTGATAGTTAGTTATCAATAATAGGAAGATAATCCAAAGCTAAGAACTACTTGTCTGAAGGGAAACTGTCGGGTCTGAAAATATCGGAGTCGGGTCGGGCGTCGGACTATGCGTCGGACTGTTGGGAATGCGTCAGACGATAAAGGAATGTGTCGGAAGTGTGTCGGATTGTCGGTCAAATGAATGTCGGATGTGTCGGAATGTTTTGGAGGAAAAGAGCGGATAGATATTTCGCAATACAATCAAGTACTACTAATATCCAATGACCTCCATCCTACCACTGAGTAGGGAAAAGTAAGTAATGCAATAGGTAGGAAGTACTAGATATTAAATAGTGACTATGTAGAAATTCGGACTGCTATAGGCGAGAGTAGTAGCAATATTTTGGGTCCGAAATCCTATGTAATAGGACATGTGGTACTGCGGACCATGAGAAAACATGTAATAACACTGTATACAATGCTTAGCAAGTCAAAATGAGTAAATGTGCACCTAGTGGGAATAGATGCGACTAGACAGGACATAGGGAGGACTGGTCCGATGCGCAGGAATGTCAGGTCGGGATTGGACATGTGTCGGACTGTCGGAAAGTGCGTTGGGTTGGGATTGGACTGTCAGACTCGGGTCGGGGTAGTCAGAAGTGCATCGGACAAATACTGTTTGACATCAGTATCAAAATAGCTGGTTCTGAGCCCAGCACCGCAACCATCATTACAACAGGTTTCGGTCTGACCAAAAGTGTTAATTGATCCATTAATGAAGGTCTTATTATTTCTCTACAAACGTTAAGAGTATACACAGTCAAAAAAAAAAACATAAATCACCCACCTATCTACAACCCTAATAATAAGACCCTCATTAATGGATCAATTAACACTTTTGGTCAGACCGAAACCTGTGCTTAAATCATGCTACATTATGGCGCCATAGTCTACATCTCACTCCTATATAGAATTTGAATTACGAAGCGATAATCTATAACTGTATGCTACATTATGGTGTACACTACTATACATATTCAGTATCACACATCTATTGCAATCATTTGTGGCAAAGTTTTTCATTATGACGCAACAAACTAAAGGTACAAGTTGCGGTATGTATGTGGTGCCCAAATTAATCAATAATTGACTGAAGAAAATCAGCCATGTCCTCTGTCAACGTGTTTATTTCTTTGCAATCAATGGCTTCTATGTCAGTATCCTCAGTATCAATGGTTGGCGAGATATCTGCAAGATCATTTGGTTGACCTATGAAAACATTAGCATAACATCCGAGTTTGCTATTCAAACATACCATGGTCAGCAGTGCGGTCAGCGCAGACACCAACACCCCTGACTCCAGAAAAGCCTGTGAGACTCTCAATGCGATTCAAGCAGTAGCAATGCATTGCATTGATAGCCACATGTGAATGATGTTGGCGTTGCAGCTCGCAGCCTAGGTGTGGATCTGAAACCTGAAGTTTCTGTATGACAGTAAGCATATGACGTTCTTCATCGTGAATGGCAGTGCACAAGCGGCGGACTTCAACGTTGAGTCTAGTGATTTCTTCGCGTGCTCGACAAAGTTTGAAGAATTTAGTGGTTGCTTCTTGATGTCCTGGCTTTGACCAAGTGCTGCTTTGAATATCATTGCGAGAATATCGCAGAAGATCGAATTCAGCTACAAAACCATAATCAGCGATGTCCTTCCAAGAGATCTTGGAACGGGGTGGATTTAGGGCTGCGGCCTGTGTGTTGTAGTGATTAATAGCATTACGGATGGCATCTGAACGACGTTGTAGAGCCTTGCCTAGCTGCTGGCGTAGCTTGTACCCTAGAAAAAAACAGTCGTTAGTGTTGGTATTTCGGCATAAATGAACTTACCTGTGCCCAATAGTGAGAGTTTGGAGAGTTCAAATAACCTCATCACCACGAAACGCTCGAGCTTGTCTAGGGCAGTGTGGTACTTACCCAGGGACACCTCCTCCTTAAAATGTCGGCACTCTGGCCCACCAATCTCCCACTGCTGATCCACAGCCAATTGTGTCTCGATATGCATGACAAGCCCTTCAGCATGCTGTAACTTCACATAGGAAGAGTCAACACAAATCCGGGCTTGGGCAAGGGCATTGTTGATCTCCTGTAAACTACCGGTGGAATGCTAGTCAGGGCAGTATTGCCAACTTCACGAGCCATGTCCCAATCGGCTCTAAATTAGTTAAATATCAGGTCCATAATAATGGCATGGAAATTTTACTTACTGTCATTGAGTGAGCTCGTCGAGAACTTCAACATAGCATATGCAGAGTTGGTCTCGGAAGGTGGCAGCTTCAATCCGTCAAGATAATCATGCTCGTCTTTGAGAAATTGAACAAGATTGTCATCAGTAAGACTCAGCTCGGCTTTGATGACAGCTAGTTCAGCAGTAAGCGTCTGAATAGAGTTTAGCACCTCATGGTAGTGATTCCAAATGAAATTGCCTGACAGAATCAGTGATAAAGTAGTAAAACTTAAGTAATAATATTCACTCACTAAGGGTCGTGTACTTGTCGGTGTCCCAGAATGAGAAATGTTCCTCGATAGTCTGACACCGGTGGAATGGACTTGCGTGTCTCGTACTACAAGCAAGCTTGTTTGATGATGAGAAGATATGCTCGCACCCTTCGCCCTCGGTGTGTCCGGTTCCGGGAATGTACATGGGATGCCAGTCTAGCTGGCACTTACAGTTATGGGCGTGTCTGTGGAACACACCCACCATGAGATGAAAGTCTAACTCGCACACTCGCATACCCAAAGAACTGTTGGTCAGTGTCTTTGAAAATGTGCATCCAATATCATAAGCGCAGCCGCCATTTTTTCCGTATATGGTGAGGAGCTTGTCAATTATGGCTAGCAGGTATTTTGCTCTGTTGTAAATCAGTGCTTGTCAAGATGAGCTAAGAAAAAACTTAACAATTCTCTGCTCCATATCATGTTGCAAGCTAGAATGACAAATCTATGACAGCACGCTGCAATAAATATCCCAGATTCATCAAACACTGAAAACATTTTTTTTCGAGTCTCTGGACCAGCATTGCGCCATCGGTTGACACAACTGAATGCTGGGGTAGTGCCTTCAGCTGCGATCATTTCGTCCTCCCAGTTATCGTCATTTGTGTCCCTCTGCATCATGTAGTCAGACTATTGTTGCATGAAGAGAGGCTCGGCTTACCTCGCGTGTTTGGACTTCATCCTTGAACCTGTCTACGTCGCAGGTATCAATCCAATAATCAGAACATGCCTTGCAAGAATCAATGTGTGGGTTTGAGCCGTAAATTGTAGAGTTCCAGCACTTCAAACTATTGTTGCCATTGATCGATACCAGCCAATCAAATTCAACCACTGGCTCATCCTCTAATTTATAGAAGCAAGCTGGGCAAGAATTGAGCATGCGCCAATTCAGTGTGTCATGATTGAGTGCTGCACAATGACACTGTTTCATGCGGTGAAGGATTTCTAAATAGATGTCATAAGCGGCTGAAAATTGTGCGTTAAGGTACGGTCGATAGGGTGTCTGTGCGGCATTTTTAGATCAGTCAAATGATGTAATATACACGTACATCATGCAGGAAACAAAGACTTTTCACTTGGGCTTGAATGCTGAATCAGGGACATGACCGATGGATTTGACAGTAGGTGGCAAGAGTGCACAGCGATATGGCAGCTGTGGGATAAAGTGGTGCACACCCGATGTACCCATGGTAGATTAAGGTCTCATTTGGGTATCTGTGGGAGGGCTGCAATTGCAGTGAAGAGTGGCTTTGCTCTAGAAATGAATTAGCGCACAGAGAATTGGAACTTTGTGAAACATACTGAAAAGGTCAATTAGTTCTATGTTAGTTAGCGAAACACTAGAAGAATCATCTAGAAGTGGCTCCACAGACATGTTGTCAAAGGTTGGTAAGCCATCTCCAGAATCACGGAAACGATAGTCCAGGTAAGCGTCCACCAGCAGGTCTATTTGAAGTTGCCAGTGAGTCGTTTGGCTTTCTGTGCAGTCCTCCTGAGTGCGGTGATCAATACAGCGACTGGTTGATGATATAAGCAACAATCGAGACAGACAAGAAAAAAAATACACACTAGCCACCAAGGTCCGCTATTTGACCAGCGAGTCCCTCAAATGCTTCGTACTCCCCACCAGCATGACTCAGTTCCATCCCCTCCTCTCCTGGAGGCGCAGTGTATGGTATTGATTTAATGTCCATTCCATAATCACTCATCATGTTCTCCACCAACTGGTGGTCCTCGCTCAACATCTCTGTGAGAGATCGCATTAGTTATATGTAAACAATAAGAATGTGAAGATATACCTTGGACTTGAGCCTGACAGCCTGCATCTGCTGCCTCCTTGCGTTGAAGCTGATGGCTAGCTTTCAGGATATGAGTCTGGCGATGTTGCCCTCGAAAGTTGTGTGAGATGATAGACTTTGAGAGGCCCTTAAGCTTAGAATGACCCCCTGCACGAGGCATAAGGAGCCAGTGGGACGATTTTGTAGGCATAGGCGATTAGCTGAGACCAGGTGATAGTGGGCGCACGGACCAGGTGGACAAACGGTTGAATAGTGCAATCCCCAAGTGAGGATTCTGTAGGCGTAGGCAAGTAGACCACACCAGGTGTTGGTGGATCTGAATGGTGCGATCTGCAAGTGGTGAATCTGTAGGCGTAGGCGATTAGCTGAGACCAGGTTTGATAGTGGGCGCACGAACCACTTGGGCAGGTGTTGTAGAGGGCAGTGGTGGGCAAGGATAATGAGGTGGGAAGCAGGTTGGTGCAGGCAGTGTTCTGGGGACACAGAGACAACTTGGTGCTGGGTGCAAGCATTGTAGAATGAGGTGGGAGGCAGCCTGCAGGATGCTGCAAGCTGGGGGTGCACAGACCACTGAGGTGCTGAGATTTTAGGTGAGGAAGATGGCACAGATGTTGTAGAGGGTAGTGGTGGCCTGGGTGATGGCTGCTGAGCTGTAGAAGCGGTGGCGGCGGCGTGCAGTGTGCAGCAGTGCAGGGGGTAGGAGGACAGAGGCATGAGAACCCGCCAGATAAACCGCTATGGACCAAGACAGGCAGGCAATTTGCGGAAACTGCCGGTATCAGGCGTAGGGCGGGATAAGGCAGGATACGTGCCAGCCTAGCTATAGGCTACAGTACAAAGGTATCAGAATATTTAGAGCGTGATTTAACGCTGGTGTTGGGATATTACTAGTTTCGAGCCTAAATATAGTTGACGAGGCACGCTATTGCTAAGCCTAATAAGGCTTCCCAAACGGGCTATCCAGGTGGGGCAGGATTGGTTTAGAACTCCGCTCGGCTGGCTGTCACCAGCGTGACTTGGACAGCTTTCAATGAACTTCACCATTTCTTAATAAAGATTGGTCGTTCAACCTCGCAATGAAAGCTGCATGATAGAAACATCGATTCAATTTGTAAATTGTGTGTAGAAGTGAGAATTGAGTGAGATATTCAGGTCGTGACGACTTATGGGGGTGACGACTCAACCGTGGGGCATAGTATCAGATTCAAAACTCCTCCCACAATTGACTTCATCAAATGCTCTGATGAGCCTTATGCAAGCTCCGCAAACCCAACTCGCAATTCACCCATGTCAAAGATCGAGTACACGTTCTGCAAGAATACGTCGCCCACGATCCAGAAATCTGATGTAGTAAGCCTAAATCAGAGTACTGCACATTATTTATGTCCACGAAGTCTTACCAAGACCCTCCGAGCCCGCGATGCCAGCCACACAGTCATTGGATCCCTCTTCAACAGGCCCGAGATTAAATGTGTCCCCAGACACAGTAAATGGATGTCCTCCGAAGGTGAGGGTCGGCGCATAGTTGTCAATTGTATCACACGGAACTGAAAATGTTAGATTAGCCTGCAGGGTATGGAGAACCTTGAGTTGGCACTGACTTGAATAAATCACCTGAGATTCCTCGATCCATGATGTAACGTTAGAAATACCATCAAAATACCAGTCACTATCATTCTTATTCGCCACGATCAAAGTTGTTCCCGTGTCGATGATGGACGTTGCCTCCGGTTTCCCCACAGGAACGCCAGCTCGAGATATTCGATCGAGTTTGACTTCCCAGTAGCCTAGATCGATTACAGGTGTGTACGATAGATTGTCTTTCTGATACAACGCTGTATTGGTCCCTCCAATATATAGTTCGCTTGCACCGGGGGCGGTTGAAAGTTTGACACCAAACACAGCTTTCTGCAGCTGACGGCTTTGCACAAGAGTTTGAAAGAGCGAAGGTGCTGGGTATCCGGATATAGACCCGAATGCAAAGCCGGCAAGTCCGTCAGGTATGAAATTGACAATTGAGAAGTCTGAGGAATATTCTGTTGCAGCCCCGAGGGTCTGTTTCTTAGCCTGGTCATGGTTTAACTGGTTAGTATACGCGTATGATCTGACTCCAAAATAATTACCTCATACCCTCCAATTACCACGTTATCAGCAAATTGTTCTCCCTCAACTTCACCTTCGCCAAAGGTGAGCACGAATTCCCTGTGGAGATCGACAGCTGTTGAGGATTTGGATGGATCATATCTATTGTGGCGGTTGCAGCTATCATTACAATCAACGGAAGGAAGGACTGAATGGGGAAGGGGGTGAGCAAAAGTTCAGGGCGGGAGAAATTAATTTACAGAGGTCCGCGCTGCCCGTGTCAATGCACACTTTGAATAATAGTTAGTATTACCTCACATGAATAGTAATACGTGAGCACCTGTGAAAGTCTTCGCTGGCGTGCCGACATCGATCGAGGCATACCACAGTTGGACGTCTTGAGACATTAAAGGAACATTACCAACATCTCGCTCCATCGTTTTTGAGCTAGATGCTATGCTCAACGGGTGGGCATGTCCCTTATTAGCCTCATACGCCGCAAATCCCTGACGGTACTTCCTGAATTCATCGGTCAATATAGCAAACAGAAAGTGAAACTGTGCACATACGCGGAGACTTGTTCAAGGTGTGCTTGGAGACTCTTAACGCTAAGTTGGTTGTTCCTACGCTCGAGTAGCAGGTGTAAAGTATGAGTGTTCACTTGCTGGATCGGTGAGCCAGCGACCATCGACATTAGCGCGAGGAGATATGTAAAAGAATGTGCAAATTTCATCATGAACGGCGTAGTGCCACTGGGAAGAGTAAAATAATTATCTTGGCAAGGGCGTGCTGGGACACGAGAATCCGCGTCATCTCGACCTTTATATGTACACAAATGCGGGTGAGCAGAAGCGAGGAATTGTGCTTCTAGTAAAAAGCAGCTAAGCTGTAGTTCAAATAAACAGGTAAAGAGCTTGATGACCGAGGCCGAATCACGAGAAATACCTTGACGTCACCGGGTTGCTTATGTTAATTACGTGGAGCCATATACATATCCAGCAACATGTTTCGCGCGCTGATGGATGATGCTCATCTAGCAATCCTCGACATGACAATGATATCAAAGAGCTTCCTATATCTGTATTCATAGTAAACGCAGCAACTCCGCAAGCAACAAACCATGCGTACGCTAAATCATTAGTGCCCACCTCACCGCGCTATGTCCCATAAATTTTCAAACAATCAAATAGCTCCCTGATCGTCGGCGCTATGTCAGAGGTCAATCGAACGTGATACCAATTCATGCTTACATAGCCGCACTTCACGGTCCCCGCTACCAGATGCTAACAGCCGTCCGTCCTTGCAAAGATCCACAGTCGTCACTGAGAAAGGAACGTTCAAAGAAGATACAGAGGCTTGATGGTTCAGCTGCGTACCAGTGTTTTTATGACCCTGAATCACGAACTGCACCATCCCCGTCTTTAGGTCCCACATGTGCACCGTCCCATCCCGAGACGAGGACACGACACGTTGATCTCTTCCAACCTGAAGTGCAGATGTGGCAAGAATGCAGTCCTGGAGAAAGATAAGTTGCAATACTGGGATCGATGTTTAGTCAGATGTCACGTACTTTGTGTCCTTGAAGAGTTTTTCGACACTCTCTGCGACCAACACCCATTTCACTCACGTCCCAGTGTTTCATCGTTCGATCCAAGCTTGCGCTCACCAACCCGCCTTCAACAAACTGCACACTGTACACAGCATCCTTATGCCCGCTTAATGTCTCCACCGGCTCCGTGCTGTCATCTTCGGTGCCGTCAACCTTCCAGATTCGAATCATTCCATCCAATGAACCCCCAGCAACAAACTTGCCGGTTGAATTGATAGATATAGATGTCAGTGCAAGCTTAGATGAAAGTTTGACATCAGGGCTGACTGTGCGAAGCACACGACAGGTGGCCTCCATAGTTTCATCGAGGATGATTGAGCTAGCGTCGGGGGTCTCGGCAAACTGAGTTGCATCCCAAACGCGGATCGTGCAATCTCCAGATGCTGAGAGCAAGGTGTTGTTGTCAGGTGTAAACTCTAGAGCATATACCTCTCCGCAGTGCCCCTCCAAAGTATGAACCAACATGTGGTTCGTGATACTCCAGACCTGCATAGCAACATAGGTGCTCAGATAAATAAAATTTCAGTCACTGACACGCACTCTTATGAATTTGTCTTCAGAACCAGCGACAAGGAAGTGACCATCGGGGCTGATGCAAACAGCTCGTGCATGATTTGGCTTTCCGGTATTCCTCTCCAGTGTGAAGCTGCGCTATTAGTTCGCCGAGTGTCATTCATGAGAGGACAGAATGAGCACCCACGTGAACTTCTCTCCAAGACACAAGTTGTAAAGTACAACGGCACCCTCCATGCCCACTGCAAGCAATGTGCTGTCCAAGGAAAACTTGACACTGCACACCACGCTAACTCATGAAATGGTGTCAGACTGGAGTGAAACGATAAGTTTTCCAAACAAACGCACCCGTCATGAACGTACCGCGCTGCAAGCTGCACGTCCATCTGGCGAGGCACGCGGGGGTTAAATATGGCAAGCCAATCGCCTCCTTCCTTGACAAAGTCCACAGGTACTGTCGTGGAATCTAATTCTTCAGCCATGCTAGGTGTAAATGATTTAGGCGCTTTGAGAGTTGCGAGTGTGGGAGATGTGTTCGAGGCAGACACAATGAGCCTGCAAACTTGTTAAAACAAGGAAATGAGAAGTCTTAAGAAAGTTCGTGAATGGCACTGGTTCTAGACTCCAGGATAGTGTTGAATTAACGTCAGGCTATTTGATAAGAAGCCTCAATTTTGTTCTCAGCTAGACTTTTTGACTAGAAGACAAGCTTTACGAACCTGGACTGAAGGTTTTTTGACTTGTAGCCCCCTGCTGAGGAGAACTCCAATGAACCAATGAATACAGGCGTAAACTGTAGCATCACGAAGCTGAAATATTCTGCCAGGTCACGGTCTAGATGGCAAAATCTACCGTGAGACTAATATCTCAGAGCAGGATAGCCAATATCAAATTGCAAGTCCCACCGAATGTCAGAGTTCTGAGCGCCGGTCTAGACATCCCCCTCAGCAGGCTCAGCGGAATCAGCTACTACGCTCTTTGGTGCCCACTAGCTGTAAGGACAATGATATGCCATAGTGGTGAGCGTCTTCAATTAAAACTCAGCACAAGCGGCGGTGGCCGAGCAAACTGCGACCGTGATGCTGATACGTGCGAAGTCGAAGTTTTACTTTCCGGATGAAGGCTCCGAGCAATAGAAATGGAAACTGGTACAGCAATGGAATTGCCCTATACCTCGCCTGAGCAGTCGGAGATTATGAGAGCAGTGCATCCTGCAAGCACGGAGACTATGTGCGGTTACTATCCTGAGCAGCCTGAATAGGATTCTAGTGCCGCTGAGTTTATGTTTACCGATCACGTGATTGTACCTTCACAACTCAAATAGGACATGCCGCCGGTAGTGTCAAGTGTGAGAAAAGAATCAGAGTATCAGGGTCCAACGCCAGTTATAAAGGCGATGATCAACACCCATTCCGTGGTTCCCAACCTCCTTCATGTCCTCCACAATATACAACGTGAGTAATTCCGTCTGATTCCTTTTTATTTTCCTTATTACAGGTTTTGCCACATATCGTGGTCAATGTAAATTTTGAGCCCTCCTTGTGTGCTCGCTAATCCGAGAGCAAAATTCTCTATCTCTGTTGCTATGAACTCTTTCTTGGCGCGCACACATGCTGACCTTTTCTGTTTCAATAGCATAGGAGCTTGCAGCCTACGGTTCCACCTGCACAAGGACCAAACCAGCATAGTCATGTCAGGCTTAATGAGGCCGTCGATACTATCCGTCAAGAATTCGATGTTATCACCTCTGACCTTGGCATTCTTCGCAATCAACGAGACGAGTATGAATCTAAAGGTGCGCATCTTTGAATCCTCAACCATTTATCAGTTTTACATATGAGTGCACCATCTTGTCTATTTAGTCACTTCACAAATAAACGAGTTGAACATCGTTCGCCAGTCACTGTATGAGCTCGAGTCACAACATGGCAAGATTCGACAGACATACGAAGAGGAGCTGAATCGCCTTAGAGGAGAGCTCCATGCACTTCGTCAACAGGGTGTGCCAACAGGTGCTCCACATCCACCTGTCGGTCCCGCTTCAGTCGGACCTTCTGGTCCACCTGCACCTCCGCCTGCAGTGGCCGGTGTGCCTCCTGGCCCTGGCTCATACAATGAACCTTACTACAGTAGAGATCGCGATCGTGAACGCGAGCGGGAAAAAGACCGCGAACGTGCTGATCGTGATCGTGATCGCGACCGCGAAATACGTGATCGACAGCGTGAAGAGCGCGACCGAGATCGCGAACGTCCACCAGCGGAGGCTCGGGATTCAAAGCGTATAAAGACTGAGCGTATGAAGGGTGATACTCGTCCAGGTAAACCATTCACTTCAAGCTCCGCACGTTCGCCGCCTCCTCATGGATACTATGCCACCTCTTTTCCCCCTTTATCTGCGACAGATCATTATAGTCCTTCTCTTCAACCACCGAACGCGAAGCTCCCCCCTGTACCCGGGGCACCTCCCGCATTGACTACTTTCCAAGGCCCAGGTCTTCCACCACCACCTGCCGCCCATGCACCATATCCACCTGGGCCTGGAAATCCACCACCCGCCGGCCCAGCAGAACCACCAGCAGCCAGCTCAAGCACCCTCGTACCTATCAACAATGCCCAAAGTGGTGGAGGGCAGTTTCCGGATGACCTCGACCCACACAATGTTCCGCCCGAACTGAAAAAAGAAGGCAGTGACTGGTTCGCGGTCTTCAATGGAAAAGTCAAGCGCGTGTTAGATGTGTCGCTGGTGCACACGCTCATGCACGAGAGGTGCGTGGCATGATCGGCTTTGATCGAACATAGCCTCCTGATCACATCTTCCTGTATATCTACATTTTCACGTGCTATCTATTAGTGTCGTTTGCTGTGTGCGATTTTCTGCAGACGGCAAGTATCTCGCCACTGGCTGTAATCGCACGGCCCAGATCTATGACACAAAAACGGGCGTAAAAACCTGGTAGGTAACGATTTTGACTGCAGTAGTTCATCTCATTACCCTTGGACCTACAGTGTTCTTACAGATGAATCAGCTGGAAAGGCAGGTGACTTGTATATTAGGAGTGTTTGTTTCAGCCCCGATGGGAAATATCTTGCAACGGGCGCTGAAGATAAGCAGATCAGAGTGCGCTAAACTTTGTGTTTCATCAGGGCCATGCACTGATCACACTTTACAGATATGGGATATTGCCAAGAAACGCATCCGCAACGTTTTCGACGGCCACCAACAGGAGATTTACTCACTTGACTTTTCCTTGGATGGCAGGCTTATCGTCTCGGGATCGGGTGATAAAACTGCCCGTATCTGGGACATGGTTGATGGGTCATCTAAAGTGCTTACGATCAATGACGCCGATCCTGTAAACAACGATGCAGGTGTGACCTCTGTGGCTATCTCACCAAATGGCCAACTGGTCGCGGCTGGTAGTCTTGACACTGTTGTGCGCATCTGGGACGTAGGAACGGGCTCACTCATCGAGCGCCTACGGGGCCATAGGGATAGCGTCTACAGCGTGGCGTTCACGCCCGATGGAAAGGGGCTAGTGAGTGGCAGCTTAGACAAGACTCTCAAGTACTGGGATGTTAGCGGCCTTCTCGCGAAGCGTAAGGAGGCGGTGGCCAATGGGAAGAAAGATGATAAGAGCAGCCAGTGCACCATGAACTTCTTGGGCCACACGGTAAGTAAATAAGTCCCGGCTGCGGACTTATTATATATGTCATCCACCGTCCCAACTCATCTCGTGTCTGTGCAGGATTACGTGCTTTCCGTTGCTGTGTCGCATGATGGGCAGTGGGTTGTATCAGGGTCCAAGGACCGTGGTGTCCAGTTCTGGGACTCGCACACGGCGACGACGCAGTGCATGCTCCAAGGACACAAAAACTCTGGTACGAACGTTCTGATGCATTCCGGACCGAGAACCCCATTAATGAATCTGCTGTAGTCATCTCTATCGATTTGAGTCCCGCGGGCAGTATCTTGGCTACAGGCAGCGGTGATTGGCAGGCGCGGATTTGTAGGCCTTCTTTTCTTTCCCTTCTATCAGCGCTGACCACATTCACTTGGCAGGGAGCTACACCAACATCTAACTCATGCACCGTGTGGAGTTCAATTTCCATTCCGTAGCGCAGCAACGCACATTCGTATTTATGTGTACTCGATTCTTTTGTTTTATTCGTGTTGCATGTAGCTCCTCTGCCCCTATTTTTTCCGGTGCTCCCCCAGTGTCCTTTCTGCGGGTTTCTGTGCTGCTGTGAATGGTGTATTGGTCTCTACACCTTGTTACTCTTGTGTAATGTACTTGTTAGCTTTATATCCTGTTGTCTAATAATTCAATTTCTACTAGTTGGAACCTGCTCAGTTTGCTCCTGTGGAACTACCCATCTGTAAAACTGTAAGCCTACACTACTTGCTGCCGAAAATCTGTTGTAAAGTCCCAGACTCCAAACCAGTCGGCGGTGCGTAGCGAGTCTTCATCCTATGTAGTACTTAAAGCTTATTTCAAACACCGCACCTTAATTCAAACATCGCAACTAGTACTCTTTGGACTCTACACACCTATTTAACTTTCGACGCTACAAGCACTTTTCTATCGAAGAAAAAATACAAACAGTAAGCTATAAATCAATCATCCTCTAGAATCATTGCACAAAGGCAATGAGTGAACTAGTATGAGTTATGAGTGTGCTACCATGACATTGTGATTTGCAACACCGGGCCACTGGACCAGAGATACTGTACCCATGATGGACAACATCTAATTGTAAGTGTGGTTTTCTCAAGAAAAGTTGAAAAACTAAACTCGTTATTTCTTGAGGTGACCCTTCTGATCGAAAGTTATGGGAAAGCCACTATAGTTCTGCCATGGGTCATACGATGGTCGGCAAAGTGATGCCATTCTACTATTGGGCCACTGGCAGCCAAGTTCCCCCCAAAAAATTAATTCTGACAGTTAGCTGACGGCGGCAAAATCATAGCACAACTGTCATATACTCATTTTCTGACTGAATTGCGAGAGCAAATAGGAAATCATCCTGGACTGTGTATGGTCTCATTCAAGTATGATGCCTCCCCATTACCGATTGATGCGACCCTGGTGCTATCGCAAAGCACCATCACTATCAGATGTCAGATCTATCGTGGCTGGATCGACACGAATATGTCTCAATCGAGGAGCAACATGTTGTATCGTGAAAGGCCTGCCGGCGCAGCAGAGTCGGTGAAAGAGACGTGGAGCACCAACTTCCGGATGTCAGCAAGGATGAATCACTTCAAGGCCCAGATAAATGCCCATACGTCCGTGCATGCTATTTTGCAGTGGCGAATGTGACGGCGAACCTGAAAGATCAAGTTGCGATATGAGTTGCACGTGGAGGTAACGCAAGCGGGAAGATTGCAGATATTGGCAGTTCGAATGTAGGAGTTTATACTACGGATACATATATCGTAGGGCCAAGACTAGATCATTCCGGAGCAACAGTCGTTTGATCATTGCACGTATAGCGTAGTATCTGCGGTGAGAGTTCGTCGAGGTTAACGGTAGCATGTTACACTTCTATATACATGGCACTGCCTGGTAAATGGGACATACTTGGTAGCTAGTATCACCGTGCGAGATTATTGTCCCGACCCAAAATTTCCGCCCTATCCACATTCGTGGAGTGACGGACAAGAGTCTTTGCCCGAACCTGCTTCTGGCGAGGTCGTTGGGGGAGACGACTACTGCACCCGGATAACCCAACTATCGGCGGCAAATCATTCGTCGGCTCTGCTGATACAACAACCCCCAGTTCTTTAAGTAGCGGACCACTTTGAGGATGATCATACTGATTGACGATCCAGTTATTGAGCTTCTCTAAATTGGTTCCTCTAATGGTACGGCCACCAGTCTCGGAGATCTGCTCTACCGTGATGAACTCTTTACTCCTGCGTGTAACTTGTATAACAGCCTTTCTTGTTAAAGGCTGTGGCATCTCACAAACGGACCTGGTACTGGAAGAAGGGGACTCGGTAGAGTCACAGCTGTCATCCCAGGGGTCAAACACAGTGGAGACTGCTGAGCCTGCCGAGATATCCGATATCGGAGTGGAGTCACTTGTGCCAGTCATCGACGAGTCGACCAACAGTGAAGAGTTGTATCGCGTAAATTCAGGGATAGACAGAGGAGGGGTAGGAGGGCGAGACCTAGGCTTGCTTGTCTGGTGCTTCTCCGATGTTGGTGGCGAAGTGAAGAGTGAGTTGGTATGACGTTTTAAATGCCTCTGTATAACGTGAGTTTTTCCTTCGAAAGCAGCGCAAATGTCCTGCTCTGGCCGGCAAGTGACCAGTAACTTGAAATTACGGGGTAGCTCTGCTCCTTTCCCTGCGAGCGCAATCAGGAGGTCATTACGATCTGACTCGCTACCGCTGTCCTCCAACCCGTCGATGACCACCAGCACAGGGCCAATCCATGTCATTTGACTTGCAGGACTAAGGATAAAGCAATTGAACTGAGTAAGTGGGTCGATCGTGTCACGTAAAGCGCGCTTGTTCTTCACGGTGCCCCAGAGAGCCTTCATATACTGAGGGTCATGATCAGCAAGGTCCCGTGCGATCGTGCTGAACAAATTCGTAGCATTTCGCTTGTCCTTGGCGACGCGCGAAAAAAAGTACGACGAGCCGAGACGCATGATTGCGCCGAATTGGCGTGCAATGGAACATGCGATAATGGATTTTCCGGTCCCCTCTGGACCTAATAAGAGGTAAATCTGTTCATCGTTTTGATTGACCCATGAAGTTATTGACTCCACAATTTCGGTTTGTGGGGGTGTATCTGCCATCTTCTGTGATTCGATCGAAGCGCCAATAGCATAATGCATGGCGTCAAGGTCTGCTTTCACGACTAGTAGTATTATAAACATGTGCAAGAAAGAGAGACGGAAGATGGAATACTACCATGGTCAAGTAACATATCATAGACACGAAGGACATAGAGTTGCGTATGAATTGTAGCCTGATGTTGTATGGCATTCTTGAGTTCTTTAAACGTTGCTTCGTATATTTCAATTTTATTATCGATGTCGGACAACGCGTTCGAAAAGCTTTGTTTCCCTGCACTCAAAAATTTCGTTAAAGATGCCAAGCTTTGGAAATAAGCTGCGATACTTACATCCGCTCCTGTTCTGCAAGTAGTCACGGATAAAGTAGGAGCACTCGATCGTCTGGCGAGCGAGTGAGTTGATAGTCTTTTCTTGCGATTCGACCCTTTTCAGTTCCTCCACGCCAGAGACAAGGCTGTAGGTTTCGTGCATAACAGTAACGAGCTGATGGATACTTCGATCTCGGGCAAATTGTGCATCCACCACCTAATCAAAACAGATGGGCTCCTTATGTCTGAACATTTGACTGTCCCACTTGCCTGATATACTGCAGTGAGAACCATAAACGCCATTTTGGTGTAAGGATGAGCCTACAGAACAGTATCAGACATACTCAGTGGCAAAGTCAAGGGAACGAACGTGCCTCGGCGAACCTGCCAGCAAGCTGGACGAAAATTTTGATCTTGTCCAAGAGTGGAGTAAGGACTTCTGAGGCAGCTACACTGGCGACTTGCTCAGCAGCCGCTTTCAATGGTTCACTTAAACCTCCCATGGGCGGCACATATGATATAATCTGATTAGGAGCATCAATTGTCCGGGCGTGCTGGCCTGAGTCGTGCCGAGTCGTGCTATGCCCAGTGGCATTATGAAGAGGCTTGATATTGAATTCCATGCTAGCACCAAGGTGATGTTTGTTGCCATGACCGTCAAAAGACACAAGGTGGTAGATTTTAGCTAATGTTGTATTCAACGACAAGCGAACCAATCAGATAGTAACCAGAAACTCACTGCTGGAATGAGCGAGAAGCGCCTCGACACCTTCTTGTACCATACCGATGTACTGATCTCCATGGAGACAACGTTTTGCGAAGACTTTGAGGGAAATTATGGACGACGGCTGTACATTTCTTGCTAAGAGTCAATGTCATGAACTCACGGGTATGATGTAGCTCACAGTTTTAGCTCAGTCGTCCATGGTAAGGAATGCGGTTTCTCAGCAGTGGTGGTCTTGTGGTCATGATCATCTACAGAAGTTTGGACATAGAAGCTGTCGTGAGCCGAAAACAAACTGATTCGTGGAAGATGGTGCAGGTCTATGTCTGATTGACGTCGCAAATTATCAAGAGTACTGTCATTCGAATGGATCTCACGTACGGGATATTTGTATTGCCGAGGGAAATTGTGTTCTGACAACACCCTCATGGCTATGGCTCGCCGTGAGCCCCTTCCAGATGCCTTCTCTATGACCAGCGCCCACAATGGGGATAAGCTTGAACTCCAGACTTGCCGTAAGCAGCTCTTTCTTGCCTTCGAGGTTCACATACTTCAGTTGTTCAAGAATGGCTGAATTGAACTGTCATTAGATATAATGCACAAGGATGCGCCTACTCACCGCCAGGGTATTTCAAAAATTCCTCTACACTGCCATGGACCATACCAATGTACTGATCATCATGAAGTTGGCGATGTGCAAATACCTTCAAAGTAAGCTCGGTAGAGTTGCGAACATTGCTGCTGTTGAATCAGCCTTTGAATCAGGTAGTAGTATCTGACGTACAAGATATGTTTACTACTCCATGGCATAAAGCTCGTTTTCTCCGGCGTCGTAGAACAGGTCATGCCCGCATCATCAATGGATATTTCTACATAGAATTGATGGTCCACATTCAACCATCCGATCTTGGGCAGGTGATGGAGATCGATATCTGGGATTTATCAGAACTGAGTAGTCATGACAGGAGATTATAAGAACGCACCGAAAATTTGCACACCATACATATCCGGCGCCAACTGACTGGGCCTATCATTACATGTCAGTCCGTCAATTCCAAATGATAGGTAAATCGCACATAGTAATATTGACTTGTTGAAGGGCGGTCATGTTGAACGCCGTCTGAATGGAGAAATTGGAGCTCGAATTCGTCTCTGCATGATTGAAGTGGGAGCTACACGAATTAAAACATCAGATATCACATCTTGTGGGTGTTAGGGGAATCTCACTCGAGATGTTGCTGACTTGAGGACGTTAACCTCATCTTGTCTGGAGAAACGGAGCAGAGGCTTGAATTGTGTAATGCCTGCTTGCGACAGAAATGAGTGACGAAGTGACAAAAGTACAGATCTTTCAGTCTTCCTATCCTTCTGCTGGCTTTAATACAGATCGCAGTGAAAAGCGAATAATCGATGCGACAGCGGCGAGATCAAATTAGAGGGCTGCATCCTGCATGCGACCTACATGGTAATCCCATGCGGTAAGCACACGCTTGCACTTTTCGGTTCTTTGTCCCGGATCACAGCAGCGATTCGAAAACAGGCGGTTTATCATCGAGCTAACTGGAAGCTCGAAGCGCCGTGTACGTACTGAGTTTCATAACGATGCCTCGTGTACCATAACCTTGATTACATGATGGCGAAAGACTGAAGACTGGTGACTGATGGCAAATCAGATGTCTTGTCGCCTGGCTAGAGGATTATCGCGACATTTTTTGAACAGTGGCAGGTGCTTGCCGCGCCAGGAATTACTGCACGATGCCTGCATCCGATGATGAGACTCACGGTATTAATAAGGCTTAGTAGGCCCTGGAGCCTCATGCTGCCACCCTGATCAGGAAGCCAGAAAGGTGAGGATCCTTCAAACGGTAAGATTGGTCCAGGTTCGCGGGTTGAGATATAATAGATACTCTGGATATACTTGAAGCCACACAACGCCCCGTGACATGCAGGACGATGTCAGTGGTGAGGATGGGGACCGCAGCTAAATACCGTACTCTGAGATATCTTTGAGCAAAGACTCGGATGCTGGTTATAGTCTATCTTTGATTTGTAATGGGTGGTCTAGCTTGCACATCAGCATCGCATTTTAAAGTCCCAGACTGATTCTTTGGACCCTGCCACTGCCACACAGACCGCCATGTGCAGGTACTAGTAGGCCTGAATCCAGCTTCGTGAATTTGAACCATACATGAAGGCGTTGTCCCGATGGAGCCGGAGGGAAGCGAAGCCAATGCCCTCATGCTGTGGAGACTAGCAGGGTTGGATATCGATACACACTCGCTATGAGAGTCTTACTTGTCTAGACATGTTGTCCCAGCAACCAGCTGGTACTGCTGCAATGTGTGTAACCCCGTGAAGTACCCTGTTCACGATCAGCCCAGGAAATATTTTGATAGATAATAGTCCACGAACCTGAATGTGTCTGAATTTGTTGGACCTGAGACTTTGTGGATCGTTTCCTCGTGTACAAGTAATTTGGAATGCAGGGAAACAAAAATACGAGTGCATAAGCCGATCGATCGATTCTTGAGCAACGGTATCTGTGAATTCACAACGCAACTCGATGTCATGCTCGGGCCAGTTTGCTGTATAAAAATTTGCATGGTAAAGCATTTTCCCTCATCGACCAGGTCGTCGTTTAAATTGAACTACAGCAAGGACAAACCATTTGAAAAACCTTGTTGCAGACCTGCTTGGAACATGGTGCAAACATTTCAGCTGGATGTAACGATCAGACCACGGGTACCATGAACGCCGTCATAATACATCACGTTTCAAAGGCCTCCCCGATCAAATTCTTGAGAAATGCAATAAATTAATCTCATGGATGTAAAACTGAATATGCATACATGCCTCTAACCTTCCACTCGTTATCCTTCATCACTGCCCACGAGAAGCGTCAAAGGCACCAAAGGCACACGGTGCTCTGGAGCTCACACCAGACATTGAGATTGCGACCAAAGGTTCGATGTCAGAAGACATCATATGCTAAGCGACTGCAAAGAAAGGCTAGCCACCCTCAGCAGCTTCTGCTTCCAGTATCTCCTTCTCTAGGCGTGCACGCTCAGCTTCACGCATGCGAAGGAGCGTCAACGACTCGTAGTCTATCCCCGCCTTCGCAGCAGGTGGAGCTGGTGGTGCAACATCATCAAAAGCAGGCTTTCCAAACAAAAAAAATCAGCGATTCTAATGAATCGACTGAGTGAACCAGACCTACAAAACTCGAGGGAAACGAACTGAACGTCGTGCCCTCCGAAGCAGTCTTTGTCGGGGACGGCTCAGCCCACTTGGCTGTAGGTCCTTCGAGTTCTCCGCGTTCGCGAAGCCAGCCTAGTATCGGAGGCTCATATCCGCCTGCCCATGCTACGTCCATGCCCCGATCTTTCAGCAATTCAGCGCTCGATACTACGGCAAATGCAGCGCCCAACTGATTGAATGGCACCAGCGCGGTCACTATCATCTCACTGTCTACAAGCCCCTTGGACTTTTTCGACTTCTTGGCTTTCTGTGACATCACAACTGTCTCTTCATCGATCTCGCCATACCGTCGAAGATGAGCTGTGAGTGCGGATATCGTAAAAAGCGCAGGATGTGATGACAAAGCATATTTGACACGGATCGTCGTATCCAAATCACCGGGAGGCGGCGGAGCAAGGGGTTCTTCTTCAATAGTTCCATTTGACTCAGGTTTCGACCTCGTGTATTGGCGTTCCAATTCCCGCAGCTCGAGCTCCTTCTCCCTCTTCTCCCGCATTCGTCGCCCCTCCTCGCGAATCCTCGCGTTTTCGCTCTCCCTCGCAGTTCTTTCCTGCTCCTTGGCCATTCGCGCCTTTTTAAACTCTTTCTCCCGCTCCTCCAGCTCAGAGACCATCGCCTTACGCTTATTGTCATAAGACGCAAAGCGCTGTTTCTTGGCAGCTTGCAAACGGAGTTGTGCATCAAGCGCGAGACGGCGGAGCGGATCGAGGAGGAGGGTGGAGGCGGTTGTCAATGCATGAAATTTCTGGGCTACATTCTTGTATTAGCTACATTAATAACACAGCTAGTTACGCACCTGCGTTAGGATCATTTCTGTTCTGCAACAATAATGTCAGTTTAGTCTCAAACTCTCGAACTTGAATGAATAGACGTACTCTGTCTGGGTGAACTTTTAGTGAGCAAGTTCGATAGGCTGTCCTAATCTCGGATTCTGTAGCCTCCTGTGAAATCCCAAGCAGATCATATGGGTTTTGTTCTGGGTCTTCCGGCGTTTTGGGTGGCATGGACGTTGAACGTTCTGAACGATAAGGACTAGCCTAAAATTACATAATCAAATGAGCCAAAGTGATCAATAAGTAACTGAGTACCAACAACAATGAACGGACTCGCCCACGTATCTAAATGTGTAATTGTTCCTTTGTTCCACCAGATTTAACTTCTAGCTTGAGTGGGAGATCAGCAGTTTCAGAAATTTTACTGCATATCCATTCAAACCTTTGTTATCGTATGTATTGTACCCCGTCTCCTTCACGATGATCAAGGTGAATCAGACGCGACAAATGTACGTGAGCAGTGCTCCCCTACAACTAGTAGTACAACTTGAAGTGAATCAGATTCGAACATTAGTTTATTTGTATCGTAAGAGCAACACTTCTCCTCCACCCCTCAGAAAGAATACTGGTAATACATTAATGGTGCGCTAGCAATGCATCACATTCTTTTGGTAATAGGGTTTTTTACTGTAAGTTTCGTGATTTTGGTCGTGGATGCAGTAGAAAATCTGCGGTCCGCTGGACTGCGCACAATACGATAGGGGCGCAAACGTGCCCCCTTGGCTATTTGACGTTGTGGTTGGCGCATACGTTGGAAAGCAGGCCCGATCAGAAGAAGAGTTGGTGCAAGTTGTTCGAGGTTTGCGCCGGAAAGGGGGTGCACGTGCGGAGCATTAGGATCAGGAATGACAAAGAATGCGTCGGCATGCTCAGCAATGGTAGGCACAAGACGAATTTTAGTGGATTGATCTTCAGAAGTAGAGGAACACGAAGATGAGAGGGGCGAAGGGGCGGAAACGGGAGTGCGATAAAACGTTGAGGATGAGATAGAAACCTGACGGTTCCGGCATGAATGTGAATATTGACTGCTAGGTATGTGCAGCCTTGGAATCTAGAAATTATCCTGCTTTCAGTAAAGTTGTGCATATCATAGGTCCAGACTAACCTGGGGTTTGGATTTGTACAAGTCATGAAGTGCATCGATGCGGGGGACTTGAATCTTTCCACGAGGAAGATGAAGTGTATGAAGCGGGGGAAGTGAAGGGCGAACAGATGTAAACGATGCGGACGAGTTCATTATGGGAGAAATATAAAAGAATAACAATGTTCAGCTAGCTGAAAAGTCCACCGGGGTTCCCAAAGGCCTGCCTTGAGTGACGAATTTAAAAAGTAGTATGAACTGCGACGAGACAGATGAGAAACGTCAAAAGTTCAGCTGGAGAAGTCAAATGAATGTTTGATATTTATACCAGCTGTATAAGCGATGCATTGTGCTGATACAATCGTGCATTGTACAGTGAATCCACGACAAAAGCATTATGTAATTGACAATGGATTGGCAGCTTGGAGACTTGCAGGTAGCTCTCCGCGTAACCGACGACGAAATCATAGTGGCTTGTTCATTTCGTTTGACCTCGCATTCCCTAGTTAACCGCTCAATTATTTACACTTGCCTCATATGTCATATGACAACCTTGGTCGAGTCCCCACCAGCGAAGTACTAATATACCTGATAGTCTTAACAGGAAAATTCGAGCGGATTCAGTCACCACACAGCCTACCTCATTTATCTACCATTTACCATGGATGAAGTTGTACCAGGAGTCTGGATTGGGGATATGCAGAGCGCTTTGGATGTCAAGGGATTGAAGGAGAGAAACGTTTTCAGCATTGTAACAGCGATGCGGGGCAAAGTTACCATTCATGCGGTGCGTACCACTAGCGCTTCAAGTCCCCAGCTTCCTGTGCTCTAGACTTTATCCGAAAAAGATCTGAGGCAGACGCTAACGCAGACACCTAGACATTTAACAAATACCAAATCAACATTGACGATAGTGCAAACGAAGATGTCCTCGTGCACTTTTTGCCATCAATATCATTTATACAGAACGAGCTCGACAAGGGTCGTGGTGTACTCGTACACTGCATGGCTGGAATCAGTACGTTCAGGCTTAGCCGACTAACTTCATCTTTTCTTCCGCTAGCCCGCTAGCGGGTGGATTTTTGACATCTGATCACATAGGCAGAAGCGCAACAATCATCGCAGCGTACCTCATGTACTCCCTGAAGCTCGACCCGGAAAGCGCTGTAGACCTGATAAGGACAGTGAGGCCCATCGTCGAGTAGGTTACTTCACCTCGTTCCTGAATTACCTAGATAAGGATACTCCTCAGGCCAAATGAAGGATTTATGGAACAACTCAAGGTGTTTCACCAAGCGTCATACAAGTTCACGCGGCGCGATAAGGCAACACGCATGTTCTACCTGGAACGGACGGTGGAGGATATTATGAGTAAGTCTACCTTTTGCCTTGCTTATGATAATCGACACTTTACGCTCAAGATCAGTGCTGATCAATTGAATCATAGATGGAGATGGGACCATTCCAGAGAATGCAATGTTCGCAAAGCATCCCCGAACACCATCTGATTCTGTACCCAACACACCGATGATCGTACCAAGCCGTCGGATACGATGCAAGATGTGCAGGTAAGTCATCCTTTGATTATGTTACGTTCTCAGTGCTAATTCTCACACACCACCTTCCGTAGGCAAGAGCTTGCAACGCGCGAGCACATGCTCGATCACGGGCAACTAGGCCCGCCGACTCCCGCTCTGCCCTCACTATCGCCTGCCACCTCAAGGCGCCCGTCTGCGAACGACCGCGGCACATCCTCGCGGCGACCATCCATGAGCCTCGGCGCACGGGCGCTGATGGAATCACTCTCAATGTCATCGCTTTCAATGTCATCACTCTCGATGTCAGCACTCGATACGGAGGATGATCATGAGTCAGATGATCCCAAGAACGGGCACACGGGCGATCTGCCTCCCACTAGAGTTGACGTGAAGTCCTCTCGATCATTATCAATGTCAATGGAAGACCTCGGAAAGGACCTATCAGACGCACTCGATGCATCTGTCGCCACCGATGAAGGCCCATCAACAGGGACGGCCACACAATCCGAGACGGTCCGTGTGCTGTCACCTGTAAATGAGAGCCAGGATACATCGAAGACCGGTGGACCGCCGCAACCTCCGTTGGACCTGGCAGCTGAGCTGCATTCCCATCCCAAACTTGCGGCGCTGCGCTCACCTCCATCGTTGAGTATGACGGGGATAAGGTCGGTCAGTCCACCGATCCTCATGAACCCTAAGTGCTCTGGGTATTTTGTCGAACCAGTAGGTGTTTCTTTGTCTGTCGTCGATTTATAAGCAATCATGACCTTCCAGATGAAATGGATGGAACCCTTTCTGGAGAGTGGCCAATTAGCAGGGAAGATTATTTGCCCGAAATGCAGTGCCAAGCTCGGTAACTATGACTGGGCTGGCGTATGCTGCAGTTGCAGTAGAGAATGGGTGACGCCAGTACGTTACATCTACTCCTAACTCTTCACTCTTCTTACAGACTCACCCCATGTCAGGGTTTTTGCATACACAGATCTAAAGTCGACGAAGTAGTAGTGGGTTGAGCGGCAACGGAGGTTACCTTGCACGACATTTGATTATTTAAACTTACTCGGGAAATGATGAATCCAATGGAATTGAATAAAGGAGTGTGGGTATGTTAGGTAGCGTTCCGGTGAGATACAAGGAGCGGTTCGGTTCTCGAAAGTCTTGGGTAACTTTGCAAAACATGAAATAATGGATACACGAAACGAAAAAAAGTCACAAAATATAAGAGATTTATATCATGATATAGCGAGGACCATTATCAGGGAGGGTAGGCTGCGAGAAAGCGAGATATCGTGCGCGAAAAGCAAAAATAGGCGAGACAAGAGTGAGGAAACGGGCGTTTGCCCAACTACCGATCACCAACAGCGTTAGGTACAGTCTTTGTGGATCGTCGAGAGCCAAAGCGAAGTTTCCCATCATCCCCTCGGCCCCATGAAAGCAATCCGCCCGTATCACGAGAATGTGCACTCCCCGTTCGTGATCGAAGCGACCAGGCAGGAGACACCGGCCGGGCGGGAGCACTAACTTCGAGGTGGTCACCATTGTGGGGGTGGTGGTGATGATCAGAATGACCGACAGTATGACGTCCATCACAACAAGCGCGCACATTTTCCAAGCCCTCGAACCCGTCGTCCGACTGAGATTGGCCATGGAGTTCAAACTCAAGGTCGTCATCGTCTTGGCCATGACCCGTTACTCGTTCGAAGGACCTCGCGGGACTGTACGGGCTCTCGGGCGCTGCCCATCGGAGGTATTCTGCGGCTGGCGTTCCAGACCTTTTGCCTACGGACCCTCGAACAGAAATTTGTGATCTACTCCGGCTGCCCCGCGGCGTGGTGCTGAAAGCGCCACCGTTCTGGCTGCTTTGGCCACTTCGTTGACTTTTGGGGCTTGTATCATTCAAATGACGGTGATCCTCATCCGTGAGCTCTGCACTTTGAGACATGGGACTCATGGCGGCCGTATTTTCATTCTGACTGGCTGAGGGTGTCATCACAGGGCTGGGACGAGCAAGCAGGTATTTCAAAGCCTAGACAGATGTAAGCGTCCACCCAAAAGTTAGATGAGAGCGACGGACATTGAGCCAAATGTCGTGGCGCTCCTTGGTAGGAGCAGTAATCTTCATTTCTCTCTGGGCTGTGGATATCACGACGCTGTACTGGTATAATCCAGGAGGCATAGGATTGGGATCTAGGACAGAGCGAACACCTTCAATATAAGCTGTAGCCACACAAACCATCAATTTGACATCAGAGGACATCATATCAATCCACTCACCACTCTTGGCACTCGACTCTGAAACGTGTGATGATCCAGGGTCAGCAGAGCTCCAGTACAAAGTTTTGGTATACGGATGCACCCAGAAGAATCGCTTGTGTCTTTTCTCTCCATGACCCTTGCCAATGGTGCGCCGTGTATATTTGTACAAGAACTCGCCGATCATGGTCTGGGTGATCGCATGGATGACAGCAGGGTCTGTTGACATACTATGTCTGTTATCATTATGCTGTTCGACATTCTTGGCAGAGGTAATGGGCATGCTGGCACCAGGTGTGCGGTTTAAAAAGACATTGTGGTCCGAAGACATGGACGACCGTGGTGAAAGCGCGCTTCTATCCGACGCCAGGGATGTGCTCGACATCTCCCGTCTCTGTTGCTCGTGTACACCCCATGATGGTAAGCCAGACAGCGGAACCGAGTTTTGTGCATACGCCGCAGCATTGGCAGCAGCAGACCGGAAGCTACTCGTGGATGGCGGCTGCCGCAAATTTGATTGGGGCGGGGGCATGCTCGAGCCATGCTGCCTTGAACCGTAAGCACTCCCCCTGCCATGTACAGAGAGCATTGTGCCAAATGTTGGTGTGGTGGCACGCTGTACAAGTTCTGGAGGTGGCGGGGAAGATGGACGAGGTGGCGGCGCGTCCGATGTCGAGGACGTAGTGGCTATTCTCCGTTCCGGGATAAAAGGAGGGGGTGCCATGGTGCCAGATGGAGGTGGCTGGCGAGGTGGTGGTGGCAAGGCCATCATAGGGGGACGAGTCTTGTCTACAATAGAGGGTACAACAGAAGTAGTCCTTGAACGACGAGTTCCATCGTCGGCGCCAGAAGAGACTGCAGACTCAACTGACTGTCGATGATCTGCATTGGAGGTAATAGAACGGATGATGCCGAAGCTTGCAGTACTGAGACTAGAGTCGCGAATAGTAGAGGGGGAAGGAGAAGCGGGCGCTGCAACGGCGGGTGCAGGGACGAACTGGAACTGTTGCACTGCCGTGCCCACTCGAAAGAGAGCGGGGGATGCAGGGACAGAGGGTGCGGGAGTGGGAGTCGGGGTCATGGATGACGCAGAAGTGTCTTGCCAGCTTGTAATGACAGGTGAACCAGTAAATGTATCCGTTTGAACAGACATTTCCTTCAATTCTGGCTTGAAGGGCTCGGTTACCATCTTGGCCACCTCGACCACCTTCAGGACTTCAACTGGTTCCCTGATGACTTCTACAGGTACTTCTTTGATGATTTCGATTGGAACCTCTTTGATGATTTCGATTGGAACCTCTTTGATGATTTCGATTGGAACCTCCTTGATGACCTCGATCTCTTTGATGACCTCTACCGGGACCTCTTTGATGACTTCCACCTCCCTGATGACTTCAACAGGCACCTCGACTTCCTTGATGACTTCCACTTCTTTGATGACTTCTACCTCCCTGATGACCTCCACCTCCTTGACGACTTCCACCTCCTTGATGACCTCCACTTCCTTAATGACCTCGACGACCTTCGGCTCTTCAATGCTATCCATACCAACACCCTTCTCCTCGTAGGTAGTTGTGTCACGATGGCGTAACTCCCGACGTTGCGTCGCAGACGATATTGACGACCGCCTTGAGTTTACTAGCGCCTTGATGCTCTCATCATCACTCTCCGAAAAGTCGTTATCTGTCATCGTCAACACAGAGTGGAAGTCCTCCCGTGACTCTGTGGCAAGACTCCCCCGCGCGTCGTGGTAATCCTCCACATCTGTGTCTGTTTCTATACCGGTCTCTGTTGCTCCATCATCAATATCAACATCGATGTCGCTCTCCTCCTCAGAGGTGAAACCACCTGGAATGGGTCGCCGGCCGTTAGCTTCACCAGGGACGCCACCGCGTAAGGTGTTGTCACCCTCGGAAGAGCGAGAGAAATCAGACTGCGTGAGCGTCGTGCGCCTCATCGAGCTTCGTGCGACGAAAACGCGATCGGGGGGTTGCATTCTGTAGAAGCTTGTACGGGATGCAACAGGAGAAGCAGGCTCATGCTGCACAGCTGTTTCCATGTGTACCACAGAGAACTCCTCGTCAGTCTGGCACGACATTTCAGAAGTGGTAGGGGATGCTGGCACGGGTTCAAGGGCCTGCTCGACTTGCACACCCATGTCATTCGCTGGGGAAGAAGGCGAGGGTACGAGCACCGTCACGTCCTCGAAGTCAGTCTGACACGCCATTTCAGCGGTGGCTTTCACTTCAACATCTTCAGTAACAGATGACATGCCAATACCGAGCTCTGCAGACAAAGCCTCAGGTTCCCCAACAAGGGACGCGGGTCTGGCCTCCTGGAAAGCAGCACCGCCACGAGTGCGTCTTTGTGGGGCTCCACCACGCCCAATGCCGCGAGGCGAGGAGCGGACCAGCAGGGAATGGCGAAGCGGGCTAGATTGGTTTGGGAGCGCGCTGTAGGATGCAGACTTGCGGAGGATATTGGCAAACATGGGGTCCATACCGTCAACGCTTGTTCGCTTCGAGGAGGCGGAATGTAAGGACTCAAGGTTTTGCTCTTCCGGCTCGCCCTCCGCGTTACCCTCTTCGGAAAGAATGTCGTCGGTGAAGTCGGGGAAAGGCGGTACAGGCGGGGGAGGAGAGGCATTGTAATCAGATGTAAGACTAGGGCTTTGAGCTGCCATGCCGAGCCTAGTGACAAGGGAGGACCTTCCCCTGCCTCTCCTGCCTCTGGCTCTGCCACCACCGGAACGGTATGGCGTCAGCCGGCGAGGATGCTTGGTCTCAGGCTCGTCGTCGTCATTCGTCTCATCTTCTGGTGGTTCATTTTCATCATGTGCATACCCAGAGGAAGATTCTAGTTTGCGCTTATACTCCATTCGCATCTCCTTCTCGCGATGCAAACTGCCCTTGAGGGTGCTGATCTGCCTCTGAGCGTGGGCAAGCCGCTGCTGGAGGGCCTCAATCTCGTTATTGGGGTGGTTGCTCGCATGGAATGGGCGTGATGGTGACGGGTCAGGGGAAATGTCTACAAGATCCTCGAATGCGTCAGGCTGGAACACAGCCGAAGTGTCCATTTTCCGCCTGTTGTTGGTGCTTGCTGAGGTAAAGACATCATCATCCTCCACAGCAGGGGTCGAGTATTCTTTGCACTGGGTTGTGCCAGGTGTGAGTGGACTCCCGAATCGTGGACCGAGGCGACGGCTTGATTTCTCTACTTCCGCCTTCAGTGCATCAAGCGCGGACTGCAAGTCTGACTTGTCGCGCTGTAGACCCGCAGCATGCTTACGCGCCTGTGCCACGTCTGTCTCGTGCTTAGCTTTCATATCATCGTATGCAGTTTGGACACGCTGTAATTCGTTCTTGTACTGGTCTGCTGCTTCTCGTGTGTTGTTGAGCTGCTTCGTGACCCGCTTGTGCTCGCCTTCGAGGCGCACGATTGTTGACTGTGAGTCTGAATACTGGGTACGAACTTCTTGAAGAGTAACTTCGAGGTTCCAGTTTTCTTCTTTGAACTTGTCTGCGGCAAGTGAATTTCACGAGGTAATAATATATTACAAGACTGACCTGAACTCTGTTCTTGCGATCGAAGCGCGGTACGTAGAGACTCGACGGTTTTTTCGAGGTCGTCTTTCTCCTCCTTCATGTCTTGGATGGCTTTGTCACGCTCGCCGAGAAGGCTCTGGAGTCGTCGCACTTCGGTAAGGAGTCCGCTTCCGATCTCGAACGCAAATTCTGGGAAAATGGTGAGCCGTGAAAGCAAAAGCGCACCGAACGAGAGAAACTTGCCGACATCGTCTGCTCGATGGGCAGCGTTTTTGGCACGACGAGACTGGGCAGCAGATGAAGCTGAAGCTTTGGAGCGCTCGGGCTCCTCTCGAGGAAGATCATTGATTGGTAGGGCCGGAGATGCTTGCTGGGTAGGAGGACGCTAGAAATAAGTATATTACATGTTAGTGCATCATGCATTATAAATTTCATAGGCGAGGCATGGTGCGCATGTGGCATTCACCAACGACAGGCACCCGCCTAAAATTTTTCAATGGGCTCACTTTTTGGCCAAAGGCGCTGGATAGCTGCGCGTTCTCTGCGTCCCATGCAGCGATGGTTTCCGCTAGTTCGCGATAACGTTCGCGCGCGTCAGTATCTAGTTCCTCGTCTTCTGCACGTTCTGCATCAAATTCCTGGAGCTGTCTTATCTTCTCTTCGAGCTCTATCTGCTGTGCAAGAACCCGCTGACCAAGGGTTCCGGCCTGTTGTAGCTGCTTTTCCTTGTTATCGAGGAGGAGTTGAAGACGAAACTTGCGTTGGCCTGCGGAAGAAAATGCAGGTGCAGAGAAATCTGGCATATTTGATAGGACTTCTGCTAGACCGTCATCTGATGGACTGGCCATGCCTGCGCAGGCCGTCGACGATTAAAATGGTGCAATGTCTTGATGAATGGATGGACTCAAGAAACGCGACGCGGCCTTGGCCCCCCAAAACGAACATGTGCTAAGTGAAGTAACTCGTATCGAATTGGGATATATTTCTCACGATGCTTTTCGGTTTGATTGATAATGGTTTCGTGATTTATGTAATTGACCTGTTCGTGTTACTCGAAGAGGCTCACACCCGAAACCGCTATCGATCCATCACAGGCTGCAGCATCGACTTTTGTCTTGCCTTACTCCGCTGTTCATCCCGTTATGTACTCAAAATTTCCTCGTCGCTGTTTGCGCGTCTCTCGAAGCTCCCCCTCCCTCTTTCCAGCTACTTTCATAACCTCCATTTTTCTAATTACTTGTGGAATTGAAAACACAATAGGGTTTCACATTTTACGATACTGTTTGGGGCGAACAAGAGCGTTCGAAATTCCCTAGCTCAAGATGAGAACTCCCTTGACGTTTTGTAGTCATACAAGATCATGATTACAATAATTATCCACTGAACCGCGACATGCAGAGCGCCCTCAGTACGGTATCTCGCCCGACCAAGTATCGGGACCCTTTTGTCAGACCACAAGCGGTAAGAAATGAAAAAGAAATCTAGTCTTAATGACCCGAATTGCGTGCGTGCACCCGAAGAATGTCCGACTAGTCAGTAACGTCTTGTCAGTGAGTTGATCGTTTTTCTTTCTTTCTGGCCTGCTTTCAACATCTGGCCCGAATTCGAAACAAATATCAGATTTATGTAGATGACCTGGTCAGGAATATCATCCACGCACAATGGCTCAAGCTATTGGATTACTTATAGCTCCTAGTAGGAATCGAAGCTCAGATTTCGCTTATCTGCTAATTTGGTTGTACACCACGGTCCCCTTCTTGGTTGTCCTTATCATCCAGCCTCAGACGATACAAGCAGTCCCTCGACCATAAATGAGTCCAGTACACTCCATCCTACGGTTAGGCGTTGACGTAGGAGGAACAAATACGTGCGTACCTGATTTGAATCTACATGTCTCCGCGGACTCGAGAAACGTTCACCAGCGATGCAGTCCTCCTCGATCTGTCGGAGGGTTCGCGAAGAGGACAGGTTCTCGCATCAGCAAAACATCTCACTACAACAGACGTCACTCTGGGAATCCAAAATGCCATCGAGTCCGTGTTAACGCAGGCTCAGAGCAAGTCGAACATTCAAGCGCTCTGTATTGGCACGACAGTAAGATTTGCTTGGTACACGCACCAACTTGCGTCCTGATTGGCGTACATGCTAGCACTTTGTAAATGCATTGGTAGAAAGAGATCCTCGGCGTTTGGATAGAGTCGCAATCATTCGCCTATGTGGCCCTTTTACGCATGGAACCCCGCCATTCGTAGGCTTTCCGCATGAGCTGCGAGACTGTGGGTTGCTCTGTGGAACGTGCGATGACGTCCTGTACTGACGTCCGCTTCCCGCAGTACTTCAAGGTCCCCACTTCCTGCTCCCAGGAGGCCTGCAAATTGACGGAAGTGAGATTGCTTCTGTCATCGTCGCGCAAGTCGAATCTGCCTGCGATGAAATCAACCGCCAGGTACGGATAGCGATTATGGGCACGTTGGATGCGGCTGATATGATCTCCAGGGCATACATGCAGTTGTCGTGTCCTCAGTGTTCGCTCCCATCGACTTTGAGATCCAACAAGAGGAAACAGTCGCAGCGATTGTACGGAAGCGCATTCCGGGAATAGATGTCGTATGCTCCAAAGACGTTGCCGCCATCGGGCTGCTGGAGCGCGAAAACGCATCCATCCTGAATGCTGCATTGTTACGATACGCGAAGAAGACAGTAATAGGTTTTGAGAAGGCAGCCAGGGCACTTGAGCTGAAGTGCTCCGTTTTCATCACGAGTAATGATGGCACCTTGCTCAGCTGCGCACAGGCAGCGCGTCTTCCTATTCGAACTTTGTGCGTGTTTCTCTCGAAGAGGTCTTGGTGACAAGCCATTGATGATTTTTCTCGAAGTTCGTCCGGCCCAACGAATTCCATGCGCGGCGCCGCGTTCTTGGCCGCACGGGAGTCAGGCATCTCAAAGCAATCCGCACTAGTAGTTGATATTGGCGGCACAACGGTATGTCGCTGAGACAACCTTCAACTTCGTAGCAACAGGCTCACTGTTGTCTTATTCTAGACAGACATCGGAATGTTGCTGTTCGTAAACTGAGCTTAGAGATCTTGTCAACCATACTAATCTTGCTTGACAACCCACTAGACCTAGTGGATTTCCTCGTCAAGCCGCCGCTCATCATGAGTTCTGTGGGGTTTTGCTGAACTTCTCCATGCCACATGTTACCAGGTGCTGGTGTTGATAGTATGTCAAGCATTCATGGCAAATTGATTGCTTGTGCTCTAGTATTGGCCTTGGCGGGGGTTCCATCATTCGAGAGGACCCAGTCACAAAGAAGGTCACTGTTGGTCCTGATTCCGTTGGCCATAGGATCACATCTGAATCTCTAGTTTTTGGTGGCTCTACACTGACCGCTACCGACGTGGTTGTTGCAGCAGGCTGTGCTTCAAACATTGGAGACGAAAGTCTTGTTTCCGGAATTGGACAGTCAATCATCGAAGGCGCTCAAAGTGCTATCAAGAAGATGCTCCAGAACAACCTTGATGCCATGAAAACATCTTCCCAGGATATCCCAGTTTACCTGGTCGGCGGAGGGTCCATCCTTGCTCCAGATGTTCTTGCAGGCATCAGCCGGGTTCACAGATTTCCTCACTTTGACGTCGCGAACGCGGTTGGCGCTGCCATTGCCCAGGTAATGAGGAAATGACCTTCTCCTCCCATTGGTACTCAATCTCGATCTGAAGATATCAGGCATCATTGATTCCTTCGAAGACACATCCACAAAAACCATCGTACAAGTTCGCGCTGATGTCGAAGCCAGGGCTATCGCTCGAGCAATTGCTTCGGGAGCGGATCCGCGCCGTATCGCCATAGTAGAGAGCGAGGTCATTCCGATCGCCTATACCAGCGGTCGCTGCCGTTTTTATGTCAAGGCTGCCGGAGACTGGAGTGGCGTCGCTAGTCCAAGTTGGCTAGAGGTTGATCATCCTTTGCATGTTGAAGCTTCTACCGGGGAGACCGCCTCCCGGCCACAAATGGTAGCATCCGCCGCCGCCTCTGCCGTCGTGGCGCCGGTTATGCGTTCTGCGAGTGACATCCTGGAGTACGAGCCAAGGATAGAAAAGAGAGAATGGCTCTTGTCCGAGGTTGATCTGGAGTGGATTGCAGATGGCTGCTATGTATTGGGATGCGGCGGTGGCGGGTCCCCCTTGCATACTTTCCTGGAATTGAGAGAACTCGTACGGTCAGGTGAAACAGTACGAGTGATTGATTTTTCGTCAGCTACATCCAATGCACTGGTAGGATGGGGCGGAGGCCTGGGTAGCCCAGAAGTGTCCTCTGAGAGACTTCTTGGAAACGAGTCAGTGTTTCCGCTGCATGAATGAAATGTGATGCCTGATTATTATGGTCATTAGATATCAAGAAGCTAGCGCGGAGTTGTGGTCATTTATGGGGGTAATATAATCTTGGCTGATCCAACTATTGTAGTGCTCTGATGATACACTTATAGATTACGAAACCAGAAGCTCTTTGCGCGATAGAGATCGGGGGTGCGAACGGTATGATCAACGTATGATATTTCAGTTGACCGTCGAGCAAAGACAAATGTTGACATTGCTGTAGATGATTCTGGGATCGACGAAATACGCCAACATACCCTGCATGGATGGAGATTTCATGGTATGTAGCAATAAGCAAGTGGTTCGTTGTCTAAATCATCACCCATGTACAGGGCCGTGCATACCCTACCGTGAGCAGCATCATTCTGATCTTGGATGTATGCTCCAAATTTACTGTTATAAAAGTGGCATCAAACCACGGCCAATGTCTACGACGTCAGTGGCACAGGAGCCAAGATGCTCCCGAGTGTCATATCCAGTGGAGATGGGAACATCATGGTATCTTTTCCTCTCGCGTTTTCAGTCAAAATCGACGAACTATTTGCAGATTATGACAAAGGCCAAACGTGACACAGACGTCGATGCCGCTTTGCGAGCAGCATGTGTTGAAATGGGGTGAGTGGTAACATGTGTCATGAGTGCTATGCATGATGCCTATGTGGTGGCTCGCGTGCAATAGGACGCATGTGGGACAGGCCAGCTGCCCTCTGAAAGCCGATTATGTGGACAAAGCTATGATTAAAAACACAGTATCATTGAGCTGGCGCATTGGACGAGCCATTGCATTAGCTCGCAAACAATCAAGTTTGTCTCGGATTGGAGCAATTCTTGTTGATGCCGTAGGTGGCTCCAGCTCCGCAAGAGTGTTGTTCATGGGCAAGATCACCGATGTGAAAAGGCGGTCAGTTTTATTTTAATCTCCTGTTACGCAGCACGGTTGAATTGCGCCAGTCTGTACAAAGGCCATACGATTGGAGAAGTTATCATCACCGCGCTGACCGTGGATGACGATGTTGATGATGATCCTGATTGTCCCATGGAGCGCTTCACCGGAATACTCACCATTCCATTCAAGAACGAGAACCTGTATGCAGAACATACCACAGATGACGCCATAACCACTGTGAGAGTATATTTTTACCTCTGAGCCGGTGCTAAAAGAATCACGTGCAGATGGCCGCAACTGTTCCCGATCTAATCGCCGTGCTTGATGCTCAAAATGGGTCTGCTCTCGGCACGCCTCAATATAAATATGGGTTACGGGTTCTCGTGCTCGGGATCACCGCGGCTCCCCAGTGGACCGGTTCTGAACGTGGCCTTGCTCTCGGAGGCCCAAGTGCGTTTGGGTGTGTACCGTAATTGTTCTCGTGCAACCATTCGCCATAATTGAAACCATGTGCATAGATTCACACATATTCCGTACAAGCCATTGGGCAAGTACACACAGCCTCGGTCTGTGATCGAAGAGTATGTCCGTAATGGTTGACTTCCCGTCGAATTAGGCAGCTGGATCTGGGGTAGTAAAACCTCTTGGCCAGAGGTCACCTACGTGCTACTGTTCCCGATCAAGCTGTCACTAGGCAGAACTATTAGTATCCGTCCACCCGAAATGCTATTTATGGCAGTTGGGTAATTCCGTCTCTCGGATTACAGTTTCAAGTCCAAGGGTCGAGAACGCGACACACGCACATGTCCGCTTGCATTCAGCAAATCGCAACTGCAAAGGGTTTTATTCATGCCGTAACTTCTATAACTAAGGACGCTCAGTATCTGAGGCGCCAGTTCTATAATGCGTTTTCGACGCGATCTTCGCGTTTGCCGTGCGTGATGCGCAGCCCACTCACCCCTTCCAGCGGGATGCAGATCCGATCTCTCCCCAGTATCTGGTCTCGGAATTGATCAAGTTATAGTCCAAGCAAGTCATTTGGGGTGACGGCGGTTTACGCCAGTCGCACCATGGCCAGTTCTCCCCGATATAGTAAATCAAAAGACGCTTGTAGCGGCTCCATTTAAATCTAAAACATTACAGTAAATAAATCATACAGCGCATACATAATTATTCTCTCCCATTATATCATGTCCGTGAGGTAGCTAAAGCAAGGCGTCAATATTTGCTACTTGTCAAGCCGACGTAGTTATATCAGCAATGGGATATGCTCGTAAAATGAGGCCAGAGCAAAAACAAAAACAAAAAGACTGAAAATGCAAGATGCTATGGAGAATCGTGTATGCGTCAAGAGTATGCGTCAATAAGGTATGCTGAGAGTAAGCATCCACGCGTGATGGTCAAGCTTCCTCGTTCTTTTGTTTTGCTGCTATCCATTTCCGTTTCCATGCCGGGACGAAGTCCACGTTAGAGAGTAAGGTCACTGCTATAGCGTAGATAACGCCAAAACAGATAGCCGGTATTGTCCCGAAGTGATAGGCTTTGACGAGTGCGGCAAGGATCTGCTCATCGTACTGAGGATAAGCAGCATGATTGTCCGCGAGCTCAAGACCCTGGTCCACCAAAGAGTCTGGGATTTTTCCGCGGAGCGATTGTGTAAAGCTGGTCTCGTATATTGCTGTGAGGAGTGTAGTGGCAAATGTACCCCCTAATGTCCGTATAAAAGACAAGAACCCGCTGATTCCTGCAATTTGATGGGGTTTGACAGACATGGGTCCAACGACGAGAGAAGGCTGGTAGAGCAGACCGGACGCAATGCCCGTGATAATGGAAAAACCGATAGTTGTCACTGCAGGCGTGTACTGTGCCACCATCAACATTAAACCACTACCCAGTGCATATAACACCCCGCCCACTACGCCAATAAGGCGCACCTGCCCTGTGTGCGCGAGGATGTTGGCCCCTGCGACCGAAGATATGCCGAGCGTGAGGATAATGCCAAACATCTGCAGCCCGGACTGAATGAGGCTGGAACCTTTGATGTCGATGAAGTAACGGGGAAGGAAGAAGACGGAACCGAAGTAGCCAGCTCCAGTGAGAAAATTGATTAAACAAGTGATGGGAATATTAGGTATGCTGAAAAGGCGAATATCAACAACCGGGTGTTCGGCTACCTTGAGCTCGTAGAAAACAAAGACAGGTATGAGGAGACCTCCAACGATGAAAAGAACAATGATAGGTGCCGACTAGGAAATGCAGGATATGTCAATATGAAATGCGCGTGTGAAGCCATGTACCTACGTTCCAGGGGAACAACTTGTTTCCCATCTCAATGGCAATACATATCATGCTCGAGACCGCAATGGCAAGTACAGAACCAACGTAATCCACTTCTCCTAGCTGTGCAAGTAATCCGATGCGTTGCTTCCGATGAGGAACAGGGTATCGGAGGCATGTTGTTCCAATGGTCAGCGTGACTCCGATGAGCATGAGCGTGATCCAGAATATCCATCTCCAATCTGCGTCGACGGAGAGGACTGCGCCTAATACGGGCCCAATCGCTAGACCGATTGCAGAGGCACAGTTGAAAAATCCCAACCACAAACCTCGTGAGTCCGCCGTTGTCAAATCCAAAATAATGATCACGCCAACAGATTGTCTGCCAGCGGCACCTATGCCCTGAAGAAGGCGAGCGCCAATCAATGAATTCATGCTCTTAAGATGCGTGGGTATGTTAGAGATCTCCATGGACACACGAGACCAAATGGGAACGTACCGTGGCCAGCCCACACCACAGGGTTCCAGCAGCAAAAATAAGCATTGTACCGTTGAAGACCTGGGCACGCCCGAAGATGTCGGCGAGCCTGCCAAGAAGGGTTTGTGTAACGGTGAAGCCCAACAAGTAGGATGTTGCGATCCAGTTCTGGTTAGCGAGACTATTGAAGTCAGCTGCGATGATATGCATTGCAGTGGTAGCAGTAGTCTCGTTGAAGTAAGCAGTAACGTTGCCAATCCATAAACTCGCCATGATGAGAAAAAAGTGAGTGCGAGTGACGACCACGGCGGGTTGTTGTTGTTGTTGTAAGCATTGGGGTGTTTCCTGCTGGCAGGTAGTATCTGTTGATTGTTTGTGGAGAGAGTCAGGTAAGGATACTATTGGTATCTTGTCTTCGCCAATGGTGATGCTGTTGTTGATGGTTGCGCATCGCGATAGAGTAAGAGTAGGCGATGAGGTCATGGGGGCCAAGAACTTGTTATGAAATGAGAGAAAGGTAATGTATTAGTAGGGGAAACATCAAGGCGTCAGCACGCGAGAATTGGAAGCGCAATCCTCGAAAGTCTGGAAGTCTGGGAATGCCAGAAGAATACGTGACTGAAGCTGACTGAATGAAGTTGCATTTTGAGGAAATACGGCGCTGCTTGAACCCATCGGCGACTTGATGTACACACACACGAGTGCCGTTCCCTGCACACGGATCCGCGGGGACGAGGGACAGATCCCGAAAGACTATGTGCGGAAACTCGGCGAGAGAGGTGCTTCAGGCACTTATTTTCCGAAGATACAGACGGTTAAGGCCTCTGGGGTTAAAATTATGAGTAAAAAAGGAGGCGACAATTACAGAAGTACTAGCCAGGAAACTCTGAGGAACGGAAGGGCAAAACGGAGCGTCCGGAGAAGACGTATTGTGACCAAAAATGATTTTAGCCTAATTCTAGACCCATCTAGCGTTGACTCTCCGCGGAAATCATTTGGCCTCATCTGTGGAACGGGGGTGTGAGATCTGCGAGATATTATATTATAGATAGATAGCATGGAGACATGGAAACGTACTGCACATGCTCGAAACTGAGACCGACGAGAGAGCTCCGACGGTTCTCTTCATTGACGAGTGCATCGATATCGCTTGTTGTGTTTTTTTTTTCAGATTCACTGAGAAGAAAGAAGGGCAAGTTGAGAAGTTGGTACTAGCTTGGAAATTCTCCTGTTTACTCAATGTTTACTCCACCGAAACCGGGCATCGCAGTTTGAACGGCTCGGCAAACGTTACTTGAAGTCCTCGAGGAAGGCAGGTGTATGAAAAATGAGGTTGAAAGGAGTGATATCGATTGTACCTTTCCATCCTTGTCTTGTCGGTGTTCAAGATTTACCCTTTCGCACGGAAACAATAGCCGTGCTTGTGGCGTACTGGCTGCCATATAACGTGGCAACGGCCGGCTGGATAACTTGCCCTTCACATGTAGATCCCCCTAGCTAGTACAACGTTGTTACTAACCCTTACGACTTATATAATCGGCTACCATTATCATTCTCCTAGTCCCCTATTGACAGAAGTAAATAATTATTTAACTTTGCTTTTAAAGTCTTGCCCCTGTGAGAGAACTAGAAGATCACTGAATAAGGATGTCCCAGTCGTCTCCCGTGTGGGAATGATCATGTAACAGCGCTAGTGCGTACGTTTATGCGTGCACCAGGCCCCGGGTAAATGAACCCTACTGGATTGTCACGGCGTATCCTTCAGCTTCCGAGGATGTTTTACCTGAAACAATGATGATCATTCAATCCGTTGACGGCACCTTTAGCTGCGAGGCTATTCCATTACGCAGCCTTGGCTCCTTGAGGCTTAGGCTCCTGGCCATCACCTGCTGTCATATACCCCGCCGTCTTCGTGCTGTCACCACAAATGGCAACGTGTTGCGTCCGACTACTTCCGCGCCTCCAATGACGATGATGAACAGCTGAATTGCAGATCATGTCATGCGTGTCTCTATGTTGTTCCATGGCGTTCCAAGGGCTTTCTTATCCCCGAAGTAAACAGCACTAGTGTCTGTCGGCGACCGCGACTAAGCTTCTTGCCATGGGATAAACCTGGCCCGCGAAGAGTCGCGAAACCGATCGGAACGGGTCCCTCCAAATCTACAAAGTCAGTCTTCCAAACCTCTTAAATAAACTTTTCCCTTTGCAACCCTGGTTCTTAGTACACCTATACTTAGCTTAGGGGTTAAACGTCTTCCAATGAAGTCACACCACTTGTTGGATCTTCAACTGGTCTACCGCGGATTCTTTCGGTCACTTAGCCACCAGTTGTCCCTAACCCATGCGTATCATTTCGTTGTTGACGGTGATCAACCTTGCCTTGATCAATCCCTTGTCCTCCGATTTTCAACGCATTTGACTCACGTGTACGAAGGGAATGAAAGCGGCCCGTCAATTATGCCGTTATTTTTGTGGCAACCCAAGTCGTCGGTGATCTCGATGATGCATATATGGACACAGGTCAGGGTACGCGACGCATGGGAAGTTATCTGATCGTACGTACGCACCATAGCCGTGTCCACATGATTCATGATAGCCAGCATAGCAGATCTTGGTGGCACTAGGACGTAGCTAATACAGTATGTATGTCCTTCGAAGTTTCGATACTACCAAGGATCACCGTTATCCTCACTGCCAGAATATAAGACAATCGCTGATCTGCCTGAACATTTTATCTGGCAAAACACCTTTTGCACATCAAGTTCTGCTGGCTCTTCATAATCATCCCGAATCAGTGGTTCATTGTATTGTGCCTACTTAAATTTAGCCTAGTGCTACGTAAATTTATGGAGCCTGTATATTCTGCCTCTCAGAATGCATTAAAAAGAAGGACCGCTAACGGGAGATTACTCGGGTTGCGGCCCTGCAGCTGCTGGTATAAGCTCACTGGGGCCGATCGTATTGACGGTGAACCTCGTAACCGGACTTTCCCGAACAAGCGCTAGTAGGCGAGTAGATGAAGCAAAATATCAATCTTGATCCAAGATAAGACTCTTACATCCACATCGACTATATGACTCTCCGGGTTTCGGCTTGGTGTCCAACGTGTCCAACGTGTCCAACAATCAGCACGACGTCACTTTCTCGTGCGTGATTCATGTACCATATCCATGTCGAGTCGCAGGAGTCGAGGCCTGGCGCGCTGTTAGAGATACCAGAGCATGCCAAGGATCTAGAACAAATGAGTGCTTCCATTCTATTAACCACTCATGGAATTTTATTGAGTCCGCGATCAACAACCAGCATTTCACTCAGCCTGACAGCTTTCTTGAATCACATGGGCAGCCACCATGCAGCCCAATTGCGCCATAAATACGTCTATCAGCACGTTCTGTCACTGCTTTAGCAGCCCCTTCAGAGTACGGCATTGAAGGTTAGAGCGCTTTACTTGCCCCATATGCATAAACAACCGGAATGACCGACGAACCAGGCTCTGTATAGCAGCACCACATGGGAATCATGGGAGCTCCTGCCACATGCTGCAACACTTTAGGAGCATTTAAGCTTAGGCTGATAGAGGAATGGAAGCGAAACATGGAAAGAACAGTTAATTTAACGATATAAAATTTCAGAGCAATGTAATACGATGCCGAGTGTAGAGTGCCAATGATATGGCGTGGTGTTACCATGGAGATCCTCGCAGGCTCGGTCCTCCAGATAACGACTCGCCGTTTGTAAGCTATCAAAGGGAAGTGAGTCTAGACGATGGAGAAGAAGAAGAAGTGCAATACCGCAGCATTAATCTGTTTATGAATCAAACACAAAACTAAGTTGCTAATCAGCAAGGTACGACAAGCAGCTCATAGATGAGACCTACAGTCCAAATATGACATGGCAGCATTATTCTGGTCTTCGACAAGCATGTCACTAAACTCAATTTCCGTCCCATCCATATTTTGGCGAACAAGAAGCATCTTCGGGGTGCGACCTCGCTGAGCGTAGCGATGCGTGAGTATATTTCTAACCTGAGCAGACAATCGAGTGTGAAGAACAGGGAGCTGGATCTGTGATAACGAAGGTCAAAGAAAGGATGTCTTAGCCAACCTGGGCACTGACGATATTCGGATCCAGAGCTAGGAGGTCATCCACGCCATATAGGTCAAGAAGTAATTGGGGGGAAACACTGGAACCGACCCAAAATATCATGAGATCTTCGTTATCTGATGGAAGGACGTAGGTAAAGAAGTTGTACCGAAAGAAGTGCGGCACAAACCTATTAGATAGACGCCGTTTGCTTCCATGTAGGTGTGGCTGTTCCGCATCAATGACGGAAAGGACATCTGACCTGTTGTGGGGTCTGGAAGCGCTATGCCATCTGCCAAGTCGTGGACCGCAAGCAGGCGGGGATAGAGATACTGCATTGTTGTGCGCACGCTCATAGATAGAATCTTCTGAGAATGATAGTTGCGCACGTCCGCGGATACATTACGACCTGCGTAAAGCATGTTGATCGACAAAAGCAAGAAACGGCCGAATCACAATAGCACACCTTTGAGGGGTTTGCACTTCATGATTGCTAGGGTGTATACAGGCAGAGCTCGAAATGCTTCAGGTATAATTAGCTGCGAAGCTTGTTAATGAAAGAGACGGAGATGATATCTGGCAAACTCGCCTGAGAGACAGCGGTAGCAGCCGCACAATTTCGCCGATAGCCGAGTAATATGGATGAACATCTATCAGTCAAGTCTTCTCGAATGTGAGCCATTCGTCGTGAAGTCAGTTTTGACATCGCTGGAATGAATGTGAGGAAAATCGATGGTGGTAAAGAGAAGCTAGAGTCGGACATTCCCTTGCTAAATGACACACTACGGCATCCATATCAGCATACCTAAAAACGTTGGCGGCCAAGTCTGCCACTTCCAAGGCAAGATTACATATTCGGACACGACGTTGGCCATCTAGTGTTGTATGGAGCACAGCGCACTGCAAGAATGCATACTCTCGAGCATCCAACTTGCGTGAGTGCTCGATATGCACGGATATGGCTTTATCGGAGTCAAGAATTCCAATGTCCAAGTCCGATACAGAACGCTCATGGAAATTTCCATAATAATTTGATATTCGAAGGCCTGCACAACATGCTCCTTCGTGACTTCTTTGGGGAAGATATTCATCGATAAACACTTACCATTGGAACATCGCACGCGCAATAAGCAATTGTACACTGTCGTCCGAGTTAGCAAACGCCGTAGTTGAGAAGTCAAAACGTGTTGATCTCGTGCAGGATTAAACCTAGGATGGAAAAACAGTTCGCCGCCAGTGGTAGAAGATACAATACCTGTGCAGCTGTTGCTTAGCAATGAGGGCACTGACAGCGGGAAAAAGAAAGACTTGCCAATGGATCCAATATCGATAGGTTTGCTCATCCCAAGGAACATACTGACACCAATACCCTCCTCTGAGCACTCCTCAGCAATGTCTCTCCATGTCTGATGACGAGGGAGGAACATAGTTCGCTCTTTTTCCGTGCCATATAATGAGGCTTGATCATGTAGTGGTTCAAGAGCACCGGGTCCGATTGCAGGTAATACACTCTGGAAAGCAATGATGTGCCCCCCTCGGCCTGCCTGCAGAGCATGTTTAAGCCTAGATCACGTGATTATTACCTGGGACGTACAAGCGAAGCTAGCCCAGCAAGTAGCGCTCCCCCAAGCGCTGCATTATCGATGACGGTATCTAGATAACGTTCCGGTAATGCCTTAAGTAGACCTTCGATAGCGGTCCTTAAGAAGCTAATGAGAGTGGCTTGAGAATTAAGGTAATGAACGTTCCTGACCTGGATTTCCAGGGGTCCACAAACAAGCCCTCACGCAAAGGAATAAAGACTTCTTCTAAATCGGAAACCACGATCATGCTTGCCAATGACGAGGCTGGCTAGAATTTGTCTATATCAACTTGATACAATGATGCGAGTTGTGCGCTTACAGACAGATCATAGAAGTGTAGAGAAGTGTCATATGTCAGAATCGCAAGCTGAGAACCTTGGGGGAAGGATGGCTCTAACCAAGTCCCGTCAAGGGAGGTACTGCCGTAGAGCAAATCTCGCAGAATATAACAAGCAGATTTAAGAAAGCCTGTTCGTATAGCTTCCAACGAGACGTCAAAGGCAAAAAGACAGTTCAGGGATTTGGGCTCGCGTGCTTGAGAGGAAGGAGGGTCGATCGAGAAATACGACGAACTCATCCTCGGCAGAGGTGGAGGCGCCCAGTACTCTTTTCCTGAGACTATGAAGTCAACAGTTCCCTTGTTCAATTCGGGACGGTTTGGAAGATCGATTCTCGTGAGGTTTGCATCCAGATTGCAAAAATAATCCGGCAATACTGAAAACCAAGACTGAGATGCCAGTCACTTTAAAGGTCACACCATGTCATACCTTGAGTTTCATGACCGCAAAGATTACATTTCCATCTCCATCCACCGGCAGTCCATGTACACCAAGGATTAATGTACCCTCTACACTTCTCGCACCGAGGAGGACCTGAATCACCACAGTCCACGACTGGGATAGACTCTTCGCGAGGATCAAGGTCTGCAAATGGCTGAAACACTGCCGCAAGGGGAATATCGCACTCTTTTGCCAGATAAGAGGAGCTTGGAAGGTTCCACGTTGATACTCTAACGTGTTTTGGACTCGAGTTTCCTGTAACAAAGGATTTACTTGATGACCTCGGAGCAAGACTCGAAGCCAAGGTAACAAATTGACAATGTCTGCAATGAGACCAGTATGGCATACGATTGTATGAAAAGGTGTTGTCTACGTCGCACCACGCATAGCACCTAGCCCGAGCGTTACATTCCTGGGAGGAAATAAGACTTACCTTGGTCAAACGCTGTAAAGTCGGACGTTGATAATGGTGGATTGTTCCCGGGTAACGTCATGAATGAATTTCCTTCCCATTTCTCCTTGTCAGATTCTATCACGTCAATTGGAGATGGCATCTGACTTGGGTCGATCCGAGGTCGCAACCCTGGGAAGTAAGTGTCAGCTAAAGAATCGCCAAGTGAAGAGGTTTCTGACGTTCCTTTGTAAGGATTCCCCAGCGCTGTGCGGCGGTTGTGGTATGTGTCTGTTTGCATGCATGTAGACTATCACACTGGCAACTTGGCAAGTGTAAGTAAGAGTCGTTGGCTGCTGTTGGAAACTGTTGTTTGGCAAGGGCTTTAGATCCAAACAAACTAAATTGATTACGCTTCAAGTCAGCTTGCACTGCCTTGCAGGCATGGCCACTCCGCAAGTTACTTCCATTCTACCCATCACAGATGCACAACTACCACAATCATCATCTGCTACATTCATCAAAGATATGACGTCAAACGGCACTTCCATTTATCCTCAACCTCATACACGGTCCCCTCCATTGACTGCCACTTCAGATAGTAACGAAAATACTATAGGCATGGGGCCGATGTCTAGTTCCATACATAATGGTGCAAATTTGATCCTAGATCTCATTAGGACTGAAAGACAACAGGCTTTCGAAGTTGGCCAGCGACAAATATCACATCTTCAGCAACAACATAAAGAGTGTCGCGTATCGTATTCGAAAGTGGTTCTGGAAGAATCAAACAAGCGACGTGATGCTGAGGATAAGGTTGCGTACCTTTCAAACGAACTGGCCAGATATACAAAGGGGGCCACTGAAGTACAGAATATCGCTTTGCAAGCTAGAGTAGACGCAACTACTGCACGGAACACCGCTTCTGAAGCTGAAAGAGCAGCAGATGAAGCTCGCAGCCACCTCATGGCGGTTCAGGATGCGCTTCAGCGAGTTGGGATTGCTGTTAGTCAAGATGACTCTGTAACATCTAACACGCCGAAGATAATATTGAGTGGGCCATGGCTCCAACTCATCCCATCCCAAATCCATAGCTCAGACACGTCACTTCCCGATCCCTCCAGTGCTCCAGATGACAAGCCGAGTTCTTCCCCTTCCCCTTCCCACCACATCAGCTCGCCATCAACATTTATTTCAACTATTACAGAACATATCAGTCACCTCAGCAACACATTGACCGCCGCTCAAAACAGTTGCAAAGATCTTGACGCCCAACGCAATCAGCTCCAGAGCGACCTTCGTAAGCTGTGCCACGATCGAAACGAGCTTGAAAGCTTAAAGATGGAAGCGGAACATAACACGGAGTTGCTTGGCCAATGGAAATTCAAACTTACAAAACTGGAAAATGAGACACAATTATTGAAAGTAGAGCGAGATGACGCAGTCAAGGCTAAAGCGGAGGCTGCCATTGCACTCGAAGAGACGAGGACCACCTCGGCAGCTAGTGCAGCCACTCTCAAATCGTATGTTTTCCTCCTGTCCTCTAATCGTTTCGTCCTACTAACAGGTGTTTCTAACAGCAACTTCGACCAGCTCTTTCAAGATCAACAACGTCAAGCCGAGGCGAATGCTGAAAAGATTCGGCAAGCAGGGAACTCTATTGAAACCAAATCTGTACAAATCCGTGACCTGCAGAACCGGCTCATGCAGATTACGGTCATCGTAAAAGAGTGGGAGGGTAAATACGATGCAGTCACGAAGGAGCGTGACTCCGAGAAGCAGCTCATGGTCGCTGAACGGCAGAAATACAAAGAGCATGTAAACGTTGAAACATGCGACGCCGTGGATGCTGACTGTACATCTAGAGAATGCTCTGTCCAAAAGGAACGGATAGACGATTTACAGAAGCAAATAGGAGCTAGCGTCTCGAAGGACGTTATGATGGCCAAGGTGTCACGAATAGAGGAGCTCGAAAAGGAACTGACGTCAATTCAGGCACACTATGCGAAGTCGAACCAGGAGAGAGATGAAGCCGTTGCTTTAGTCAAGTCTCGTGATGCACAAATCAAAGAGTTGCAGGAGAAACTCGCAGTATCTTCAAGTCGCAAATTAACGAAGGAGTGTGCACCGAAGAAAATCTCAGGTGGAAGTTTCAAAGAGAAGAAAGCTAGTCTATCTAGACCATCGGTCCCTCATGACCAGATCCAGTTCAGAGCGCCTGAGGCGCACCCTGAAGCCGTGTCGACAGGTCTGTGTGAATACTCTCAGATTCAGTATCTAGTACTAACTCTCACGACAAGCTGATCAACGGTCTAAGCAAATCACCGGTTCTAAGAAAATTGGGAAACTGAAGTCCAAGTCTTCAAGCACCGCACCGGGTTTCTCTGCCACTCGCCCGATGGAGATCGACTCAGCGTCATCGACTGACGTGGAAATCATCTCAGGACCGATACCAATAATCTCGCAGGACTCTAATAGTAAGTGACTATCGAATCATCCACCACATCTTTAGTCACCTGTACATTTATTAGCGAAGCAAAAGTCTCTCCGTACTGGATCGAACAAAACACCTTTAGGTGTTAATACTACCCAGACAGTCGACTCTCCTGCAGATAAGACTAGTCTCAAGCGTACTGCAGACACAAACGATACTTCCACGCCAGCTACAAAGCGGCCCAAACTCTTTCTAGACTCATCCGCTAGCTCCGTCGAGAAACCTGCGTCTGCCTTATCCAGCTCGCCGATTTCAACTCCTTTGGGGTCGAGATCTGTGACATCTTCCCCGGTCATTGCGAAGCCTGTTTTCAACTTTAAATTTCGAAAACATTCTGCACGAGCAAGTACTTCAGGTTCCTCGGGCGGTGTGACGTCGTCGAAAGCTATGGCTAGCTCACCAAATATACGCACATCCAAGAGCGTGGCTTCAACGGAAGGCCCTTCCGTGGGAGCCAGCGACGGTGGCGCGTATCGCAGATCAGTTAGCATTACCTCGGAAACTGAGCTTGCAGCGGAAAGCACGCTTGGGGCAAAACCCCGAGCCCGACTTTTGAGACATGGGCAAATCAAATCCCCCGTATCGATAGCTGGCGAGGTCAATAGCTCTAAGAGACATGCTGAATTCAAAAACTTCAACCCTGATGATATTCCTGCAAAGGAACAGCCCTCTGGGTCGCCGGCCCGTTCAACGACAGTGAGTGCAGAGCAGCCGCAAAACACACAAGCTCCAGCATCTGCCACCATTAGTAGAGAAGCCTCATCATCAGCATCTACAAAAAGCAGGCCGTCTTTGCTGTGCCAATTCAGTAGGTTTATCTTTTCAAGGACATTTCAATTGAATTCACCCGGCTCCTAGGCATCATAGATAACCCCTTGACACCTCCATCCAATTCTACTCCATCTCCGTCCCTTTCAACTGCCTCTGAGAATGCAGTTGATCGGAGCAAAGCCAATTCCTCTCGCGACACCATCTCAAAGGGTACCACACAGCCGGCAGGAGCTAAGTCTAACCCTAAAGGCCCGAGGTCATCGATGGCTATGTTACAAGTGACTCTAGAATCTTCTCCCAAAGCACCGAACTCGATGCTGGCGGCTAGATCGTCAGGAAAGGTACCCCAAAGGCCTAGAGCAACGATGAAAACGCCCAATACTGGAGATATCAAGAAAAGCACCTAAATTCCCCTTCGTGTTCCATTATTTTACATGATCAACTGGGCTCTCTAATTACCTTGTCCCTGTACAGTATTCGAATTCCCCGTGTACTTGTCTTACTCTCGTTTAATATGTTTTACGGGAAGCCGGTTTTCGTCGCTTGGACTTGTTGAACATGTCCACCGGTACCGCTTAGATGGTCAGTGCAATAGATTGAGATAAATCCAATGAGCACATGAAAAGTATGTCGCACCATTAACTGCAATCACTGCACCGAAAACGCAGTGACTCACTGACTGAGTACTGAGTGACTAAGAGTAGAATTCATATGAGTCAGACTCAAGCAAGACGCATCGCTCGCGCAATCACGGCGACGATAGCTAGGTATCATGTATTAAACCCAATCAACAATTTGTTTCGAGGGACAACTCAATTTTCAGCAAATCTTGTTCGGCTCCAAGGACTTACGCACGGGGGACACAAATAATATTTGTTGACACAGCAGGGAAACTGCTATTTTACCACCTTTTACCGCCAGTGAAATCACATTCGAAAGGTATTCTAGAGTGTTCTAAAACGCTCTAGCCAGGTCCAGATCTGCTTTTGATTGGAATTTTGCAAGAGGTAAACATTTAAACTGCTGAAATCCCCGATGTGTGACGTTCAGCATAATTAGGGTGATTGGCACCAAATTTGACCTTGAACAAGTGTGCTTCAAAGCCTGCATTCTCGTGCTTTTACATATTTCTGCTACTATGGGGGAGTGGGCAAGGAGTGGGTTATGTAGGTTTCGCAATGGTCTCGTTGAGATGGCTCCTGAGATCTGAGATGCATCAGGCTCCGACAAAACACGTTTTGGTACAGATAACGATGAGATGTGGTTCAAGAAGCCTCACAACTTCACCTTCAAACCATACTCCCTGGTCTCCCCCCATAAACTCCATACGAACGCATCCTCCGGCACTAGCCCACGCCTGACTATTTCTTCATACGCAGCCTTCACCTGGTCAGGACCATAAATCCGCCGGAGTGTCACACTCCAGGTTCCACAGTCGGACATAAGCATGGTCCAAGCTTCCTTCTGCATCTGAGCGATGGCAGAAACTGAAAGCTGCTGCTTGCGGATAGAAAGCCATTCGGGCATGAAAAAATGTTCCAGTTTTGGGTCAATTCCCTGTGAGACGTCTGAATCAGAACCCCAGCTAGCAGACGAAGGTTCGATTGTAGAAGCTGATATGTTCGTCAAGCCGAGCGCAATGCATGTGGCGAGTTCAGAGTCGCCACACGCGCGAAAATGGTCGCGCACTCTGGCGTTAAGTGCATCATTACCTGCAACGTCTACATATATCCAATGTCCCCGTGGGAGGTTCCCGAGTGACGTATCAAATGATACATAGTCAAAAGTGTGGTCGTACAGGCCAAGAGATTTCGTAAAAGCGAGATTCTTCGTTGACGTGAGTCCAATTACCCGTCTTGTCGGACTCCCCTGTAGAGAGTTACGCCTGCGAATCAGATAGGCCAGGCAGAAGGCAGTCTTTGAAGAGGCAGAAGATATAAGGATATGAGTAGACCCTCCCTTGTAATTGGACGAATTGAGCCAGTCCTCGCACCAAAATGAAGTCCAGAAAAGAGGGCGATAGAGCATTGTGAGATCTTCCGCAGTTGGCGATGGATCATATAACGGGTCCGCGGCGCACCGCGTAATCTGATTGTATGGTCGGCGGTCTATGGCAATTAGCGTGTGCCTTCGTGAATCAATGGATCAACCAAATCACCTGGAGGAAGATGAGGTCGGGGCACAAAGAAAGCATATTTGTTCACGTCTGGGGATACTGAGAGCAAAAGATATCGTGCTGGGGCGAAGTATCCATACACTCTTTCTCCAGTATGAACTTTGGGGTGTGTGGACTTGATAATGGTACCAAAACCCCACACGGGGGTCACACCGTGAGTTTTTGAAGAGGCTCCTTCTGCCTCTGGAGCGTGGTGAAATTCAAAATACCTACCATGCCGAAGTGAGTAGGTGAAATGTCTAATATTGTGGGAAAGGATAGACCTAAAGTGCAAAGCCTCGCCCAAAGCTTGATATGTCATATTATTTGTGGAGAAACCGAAGCGGTCGACTTCTAGCAGGACATGATCATTAGGAATAGTCTGTGGCACTTCACATTTGACTATTATCGCTTGATTGGGATCCTGACCAGAAGACGCCCTCGGGTGACAGAGTATCAAGTTTTCCATATATTGCACGTTGGCATTCAGTTTCGACAGATGAGGCCAGGCTCGATACAATAATGGCACTGGTACTGTGGTTGAAGCGAGACTTGAGTGACAATGAGTCTAGTAAGGTGGGGAACGATGTATGCACCGCCACTGGGGTGACATTAGCTCCGGTTGATTAGTAAGCGGTGAGCGGACTTCCCCTTCCTACAGACTCCGTACGCCAAGTCCATACTGGACTTCTCGTTTCACACTTTCTGTTTGAACGCAGCAGGACGAGATAGAGAGAAAATAACTCATGATGCATAGGCGGTTCTGCCAATGACAGGATATAGAGAGGTTCCAGCTGTATTAAGTTATATTTTTCGCTAAAGAAGTTGATTGTACACTTGCTGGTACTTCTATTATTATTGTATTCTTGCTTCACAATGAGTGGCTTGGATCGTTATTGAAGTGCAGGAACACTTCAGCAACGGGCTCGATGCGCGGCGGAGCAAACCGCGCCAGACACGATAGAGAGGAATGAGTCACCGCCGATCGCCGAAAGGATATGCTGAAGAGTCCGAAGAACGACGGGCAGGAAGATTGCTGGAAAAATAGGAGACGAAGGCAATATTACGAGAAACAATCGCAATGTGCAATGATGAATGGTATTTCTGGTTTTAATAATGCGAATACGAGGGGTGGGTTGGACGAATATGCGATCATCGTACGGGACGACACGGTGCCATTCTAGTAGGGCGGGCGTTTGAACTCGTTGCTGATGATCTGTGCCTCGGGGTCGAATTCGTCGTCTTTCACGATTTTGCCACTGGCGTCGTACTCAGCAACCGAGCGATCAGGACTGGCGAATGTGTCCATCTGGGCATATGGTATTCAGAATGCAGAAGGAGGTGTCTGTGGCAAACTTTACCTGAACGTGTACACTGTCGCCTTTCTTGACGGAAATGCGACGATTTGTGCTAGCGTTACTCCTGAATGCGAGTGTTGAGCCCTGGGTGGAACTGCGTGTGAAGACAAGGGATAAGTTGAAAAACGTTCAAAAGGAACTGAGAACGTACGTGAAAAGCTCTGGGCCTTGAGAGGTAAAGTTGGTTAATCTTCGTACGACGCGACATGCTACAATCTGGAAATGCATGTTAGCATACACTCAAAAGACTACATTTGTGCAAACCGTTGATGCGATGGCAGCAGGGACATTCGCAATGATCGACAGGACTGCATTCAAGTTTATGAGCATGAAGATCGTCGCCATCAAGTTTGCCAAAAATCTGGGGTAAACATTGAATAAGCGAAGGCGCAGCATACAGCGAACGTACGCAATAGCAAAGTAGATTAGACCGTCTCCAAATATAAGCTTGATAAGTTTGGAACGACCATTAGCCGGGAACGCAAGTTTCCAGCCAGTTAAGCACAAGACTGTGAAGTCAAACGCCATGGAGTAAATGAAGGTAATGGCGAGAATTTGGTTGTCGGTGTAGATGATGACACATTCTCCATCTACCCATGCAGCCTTCAACAAAATCCCTGGAGAAATTAATTGTTAAATCCGCATATATGCGCCAGTTTAGCGGTCGAATTGCGCGTACCATGAAGGAGGAATGACCAATGACCCAGAATGATCAGAATAAGGGCGGTAACTACATATTTGTTCTGCGACCATACCGCCATGCTATAGTGCGTGTCAGTTGCAACAGGCCATAAATATATACGTTCGCGACCGACGTTCGCAATGACAGATTAATGCTGGCTAAGCCTATTGCAGTGTTTCCAAAGATCTGATTGAAGGTATACAATGCTTGGCAATTGACCTCGGATGTCACGTTGAGCGCAATAGAGCTAATGTGCTTCATCAAAACAGGTAGAGCGAATGAAGAGACGGAACTTACATTCCGATTAATGCGAAAAGTAAACTATAGCGACCAGAAAAGTAGAAGATCTGTCACAGATTATTGTTCGAGGAGGGGTCCACTCAGATGTTATGGATGCTTACCAAGGGCCATCGGAATCGCCTCTTGCCCGAGATGAACTGCCAGTCAAAATCCAGGGAACTAACGAACTCCCATCTGCGCCGTATCAGCGACAATCCTTGATTCACTTGAACGCATCTTACATGTAGAGCCCAAAGAGTACATGCATAAACTTGCTGAATGCCTCTACTCACACCATGTAAGGCCAATAAATCCAAACGAGATATTTCTGACGTACCAGCGTTGGCGACTAGCGTCTCTTGGGAGTGCCAGTCGACCATGGTAGCTTTCGGATGCACGAGGACGATAGTACAGAGGGGGATGACCTGAAGAGGCCTGAAAATGAAGGTTTTCCTTAAGTAGGGTACGGAGTGCTTGAAGGGGCTTGTTCTTGCCATATATGCGAGCAGCTTCTAACGAAACTCGAACAATATTATCTTACATGGAACCAGCTGTGACTGCAACGCAAAAATACGTAAGGCTCCACAGGCATCGCTCGGAACTCAAATATACGGGGGCACTCAGTCGGGCCCTACCGCTCATGACCAGAGCTGCTCTCCCCAAAAACAGCGGAGTTCATGAAATAAGGGGTATGAGTTCGATAATCTTTGGAACCTGTGACAGTGGCACCTGCCACTTTAAAGTTCAGAGAATCCCGCGAATTACACATGTAACTCGTCGGCACACCTGCCAACTTCAGAGCAAAACAGTTCTACTTCGTCGAATGTCTTGTTTAGTACCGGTAGTACTTGGAAAGAGAAAGTGACAAACCACCAACAGAACCATCCTTCTTGAGCTTGTGCCATGTGAACGTGTCGTAGCAAAAATAGTATGTTCTGTCACCTATATGGGTTATGAAAGCAATTAGATGTAAGGAGGTTAAGGATGCAGAGGAGACTGGGTAGACCGATATCATGATCATATGCATTCACTGGTAACGCAAAAAAATCAGCATCGAAAGTTTTACTTCCGATAACCTGGACTATAATAAAACATAGTTGCACAGGTACCAAGAAAGCCGTTTGCAGCTGAACGTCAGATCTTGAAGTCTCTGGGGTTGTGCACGTTGTCGATGAACTTGTCCCCCGTTCGCTGACTAAGCGATTCCTTACCGTTGTCATTGCGTCCTTTCAGTTGAACTTTATGTTCCGACGGACGAGGTTTCACGATTTCTTCCTACTGACAAGAGGCCGCACATTTTGCTCGGAGACTTGAGGCTGGGCGCTGACGCCGAGGACCGAGGTACAAATCAAGTTCCCCGTGATGATTAAGTGCATGCCACAGACTTGGATCAGCGCGGTCGTAACATTGTAATGTCAACGTTCTATCCACTGATTGCAGCCATGGCAGCACCAGCGCAGGTCTCTAGCATATTTAGGCCGAGCCGATGGTTTCCAAAAAGTGATCCAACCAATCAAGAGTCGAAGGAGGCATTTAGCGTGGCGACGGACGACACAGCTGCGGCTACTCATTGTGTTGAAGAGCTAGTACATCTTGATTTCTTCGCTTATCACTGTTCACTACGATGACACTGCGGCAAGCCAACTCAGTTGGTGTACGGCAAAGATTCAACGGACATTCTGTAAACAAGTTACAGCTATCATGCAGCTAACGTCACGAACGGTATGTATGGCTTCTTTCAGACAAGAAGTTCTTTGCCTGATCCCTTGCAGATCGCTAGAGCTGTACACGAAACTACTAGACTAGGATCGCATCGGGCTTTTGAATGTCAACCGTCTTCTGCATGAGTTCTTTTTCTCTTCGCGCAGATGACCTTACGTTTTTACTGGATTTGCGACGCATTGTCTAAATACTTTTCTTGTGACTGCCATCATCTCCGCAAGCAATGGGTAGTGCTGTGTTCTCCGTTGATTCGGTCGATGGCTACTATAGTCAAACCATCATCTCACGTCTGTCACCCTAGTGATTCACCCACATTTTGGTCCCCGTGCCCAGGGACGCCTCATCCACCATTCATTACCTCACTCAATCTCCCATCGTTTCACAGGATCTTAGGACAGTTGGTTTTCAACTCGGTCAATCCATAGTAAATAATGATATTGTGAATTCCCACTACTAGGACATCGCCAACCTCTAACATCAATGCAATATACCATCAGGGATGTCCACTGTGCAGACCTACCCGATGCGCTCGCTTGTACTGTCACCTCTTTGTATGCTTGCAACCTACTTTTTATTCGCCGTCCATCCTTTCTTACTCGGAACCGTCGGGATTCGATATTAATATTCAGCTTCCGATCACGGTGCGCCGCGGCGCAGACTCCCGGCCTTCCTCGGTTTGGCAGCAAATCATGTGGAAATTTTGGAGTCAGTTGGTCTTGATCCATTCCTACACTTGATCACTAATAGTGAGATGAATCTGTCCTAATCATGATCAAGATAATACAGGCCTTTTCAAGCTTTGGTACTAACATATTCGAGTCAGTCGTCCATGCCGGCCCAGACATCCCGACCCATCACGAGGCATAGTCACTGTCACGGACCGAATGGTATCCCCAGATTAAGAGGAAAAGGAACGTGCATTTAGTCCGTGACCTGTCATGCAGGTCGCGTCATCCAGGCATGTTGTGGCAGACTGTCAGTGATTTGATACGCTGCAGTTGTATAGTTGGGATGTTTCTCTACCAAATCAAGAGCTGGTCTGGACTCTTCAATAACTGCAATGATAGAGAAAGTCTGTCAAGTGCAGAAAGACGAAGATGCCCCACACACCCCACAAAATGGGAGTGCGTAAATGCATTTTTCCTCGGACCGGAACCCTATGTGTTCCGCTATAGCGCGTATTTGTAGAGCTAGATTTTGTCAGTTGCTACAAATATATATCGCTTGTCTAAAAAAAAAAAAAAAAAAAAGAAAGACGAAGATGAAGGAAGGCGCTTTCTTGATTCACGACAAGTAGATGTTTTGGTGACCGTCTCACATTGAATAGAAGCTGAAATTGTTAGGCTCGACTTGAATCTAGATTCTTGAACAAGGGCGAATTCAACTTTCCCACGAGTTATGGGAGCAAAGTCATTTTCACAAGAGAACGTTCTGGGGATCGCAAGGACACAAGCCCAACAATCATCCGTGGAACGAGCCAGCACTGCATCAGCCTGTCTGGGCAGTCGATGGACCATAAGACCGCCAATTTCTCATGGATTATACTTATAATCAATGCAATCGTGACGGCAATGGAACTTATGAAAGAGTAGTGGTTCCGTGGATCGCTGGGGCTGTTGTCGAAACAGATAAATAGCATGGCCCTGCTGATATTGTCCTAACACACTCCTTTATATTCCAACTTGGTGGATCGCTGGGGCTGTTGTCGAAACAGATAAATATCCTGGCCTTGCTGATATTGTTCTAACGCACTCCTTTCTATTCCAACTTGACGCTCTTAGTGTCATTCATAACCGATCAGAAGCTGACAGCAGTTCGCAATCGCTAATAAGATGGTAGACTGGAAATCGGAGGAAGTGATCCAGATGGATTCCAGTGCGTATTGGTGACATTGACCTTGGTTTTATTCATCCTCCTTTAGTGATCTTCCTGAAGCTTACGCATGCCCTCCTTGGTCTATACTTGTGAGCTTAACTTGTTTGCGCAGTAATGATTATGGTCTAATGGATGACTCAGATGGGAATTCTTCATCTCTCTGGACTTTGACTGGGCTGTCATGACGGGCAAGACGAGATTCCGCTGGCCACTGGTGAGGACATCTCTGGTGCTTTGCTGAAAGACACTTCCGAACCTGTCGTTCACTAGATTTTCTACTTTGCCGGCCGGTATATTCTTCTTTTTGCGCTTATTGGAATGTAAGTATGCCACGTCTTTGTTACACCATTTCTCACTCCTCACCTAGCGCCATAGCCCTGGACACACAAAGGTATGTTGCGACAGTAATTCTCGTCTTCGATAAATAATTCTATTTCCCACTAGCGAAATCAATTGTCAGGCACTTTATGCCTTTAATCAGGTGAGTTCACATCATGGGAAAACGGCATGTAAGATCATTCCATCTAGCTAGCCGGGAATGCGGCAGTTGGACTCGCGAGCATTAACCTTTCTGTCCAGACGTGAGTCAAGGATTGATCATGTCTGATGCCTGTCTTATCTGGTAATAGCGTAGCTATCTGGTCTCAGAACATCTGGATCATTGTCCTCTTGGTGTTAATTATCATCGGGCATTGGTCCCTCATTCTGCAAGGTACATCACCTTCTCACAAGATTCTCAAAATAGCTGACCGAGCGTCCTCGCAGGTATCCTTCTGAATGCCGTCTGGCTTCCCGGCCTTGATTGTACAATCACTAACAGTGACAACACTATCCTTGCTGCAACTTTTATTTATTCAATGTGTTTTGACTTTGTGGTCTTGTGCCTCTCAGCATATAAGCTCGCCTGGACACACACGTGGAGTGGCACGCACGTCGCACCCACAAGACTTGTCAGGATGTTGTTCTCTGATGGCTTGGTATATTTTTTCATCGCGTATGTCTGTTTATTTCGTTTCCAGCTATTCAACACAACACTTCCTGCATCAGGTTCGGGTCCAATGTGATCGCGACGACAATGATGGTACTCGACTTGAACCCCATCATGAGTGTCATTTTCAACGTTCCAGCTGCTATTGCTTCAACAGTGGGGTCCAGTTTCTCGTTCACCCATTTTTGTGCTAAACTATTGGCTGCAGATTGTGGCATCTCGTGTTGTCAGGCGCCTGACCAACTTCCAGCATTCAGCACTAGAGATGATGTAGGTGTATTTAACTGTACGTCAGAGTTGCTACAATGTTCGATTTTAGCAGCTTGCCTCGGGAAAATTGCTGGTACTGCATTCAAGAACACTGATGCAGTACCTTCCAACGCAGCTAACACACCAAGTACCGCTGGCATTCACGTTGAGGTGAGCAATAAATGCATGTAGTGTGCCTTTATTTCCTCATCAATCTCACTGCCCCCAGATGGACACCTACAAACATTCAGCGAATATCGACCTTGAGGGGTATCCTGGCGTCCATCATACCACTTCTTCAGCAGCAAGTTACAGTGAGGACTATAAGCCAGTTCGGGCAGTTTGATGTAAATACCATATTGCTTGGGCGTATTTGGTGACCAGGCAGTCTTGCGAGATGCTTTGTGTTTATTGTTATTTTGTTGGGACTGTTCTGAGATATTTATCGTGATTTTTATCCCCGACTCCCACGATTAGTGGGAGAGGTAGTGTTGCCGTCGAGGCGAGTTAAACTCGATGTGAAATCGATTCGGTTCGGAAACGACCAAAATCGTTGCAACTTGAAACTCCGATTTGAAACGAGTTGCACCTCGTTCATCAGGAAAAATCCACCTCACTACATAGTACTATGTAGTCCGTGTAGTCCACATAGCTCGGTCGTTACATGCCTTCTACATAGTGCTATATAGCACTATGTAGCACCACATGGTGCAACTGTAGTAAACTAGTAGTAGATTGTAGTTCATAGGAGTGGAACTCCAAGCAACTATATAGCGCACCATAGTGACTCAAATTATAAATGGGTCTCAAAGTTAAAATACCAAAGCAAAATAAAAGCAAAAGACACATTGAAAACACAAATGCTTCAAGCCGTATTTAAGCTCCGCCAGAACTGATCTTAGGTAAGTGTAATACAAAGTCATATCTTGATTGATATCGATAACAACAAATGATGCCTCATACATCAGCAAGTCAGCGTGTCCTGCAAGCACTACGGACCAAACAAATTGATCTACAACTAGCTCGGTACCTCGAATTATCCAGGATTGCTATTGAGGGACTTGATGAGTGGGATGAGAGTAGTTCGGGCTCCTGTCACAAGTACCTTTAACAAATCATTATTCTTTCCTAAATCTTCCTAATGTTACAAGAACATCTAGACACTTGGGCCCCTACCATTTTTCTCCTAATCCTCCTCGTATCAGCCCTTGCATCATACCCTTACCCTGACCTTACCCTGGTCATCCTTGTCATCCTCGCATTCCCCTTCGCTCTCTATCTGTCGCTTCAGCAGAGCCAGTACATCTGGCTGGATCCTTTCACTGACGAAGCATACCCATGCTCCGTTCCACCACCCAACTGATCCTGTGGACAGTCCCCTTGCCCTTACCATCTGGACGGTAACCTATGATATGATGCACGATGCATCCCCTTTGCCCTTTTCCCTTTCTTGATCTTTGACTCGATGCGCAGTTGCACATGCGACTTATACTTAGCTCCGCAGCTGCACGATCGTGCCCCTGTGTGTTTCACTTCTTATTCTGATCTTTGACTCACTTTCTTATCCGCACGTTCAGGACTCACCCATGTCTCACCTCGAACGTGCCTTCCTTTTATGGTCATACCCTTTACCGTTTACTTCTCTTGGTAGTACGAGTTATCATCCACTAATACGCTTCCTATCCTCTATATAAACTTGCTACCATGTAACATATTCCCTAACTTGAATCTACTTGGTTCTTGACCTCCTACTCTCACCAGAGTGATCCTTTCTGCCTTGCCAGCAGTCTATATTCTATCTTCTTATCTGCTCTTCGCGGATAAGCCTATAGTCTCGATCTTTACTCATCGACTTCGTCGACGAGCAAAGCCCCTGTTAACTAGTCGGACTTCCGTCCTTCTAAATTAACGACGATCTTACGATTAACCTTCGGGTGTCGTAAGCCTTGGCAGATACAGCTCATCGTCTAGCACCCGCTTGACGTAAGCTACCCAATTCGGACATAGGTGTCAAATCTTACTTGCCGAAGCCTTGCCAAGTAAGACCCCTAACCTTGGGCTAGCCCAAGGACGTCCTCGACCGTTGACGACACACGCTCTGTTTGAGCGTCGCCAACAGATACCATCCAAGTCATAACACCTAAGCGTCAATACACAGCACCTAAGACAAACCCTAACCCTACCCTGAAAGTGTCTATCATTCCCAAAATACCTTTAGCGCCCACGACACGTGTCTTCGATGTGACTGATGAAGAAGACAAGTTCTTTGATTGTGAATAGATTAGACTAGATACGATAAGATAAGATATGGTCACGTGATGCTTCTTTAATATTCCACGATGTTCTATGGTATGATCCCCTTTTCCTTTTTATGATTGGCTAGTAGTTGTATCTCAGTTTCAATCTCAGTTTCAATAGTTGTATATAGGTAGCACGTCTTGGTTGATAGTTCCTTAATTCAAACCTCTTGTATCTACACTGTAGCAATCCAAGATGTCCTTGCTCATCATCCTCTTGTTGTGATAACCTTAGTCTGAGTCCTAGTCTCTGCCCAGCGTTAATTCGTTATTGGGTTGTGACAGCTCCTCGTCTGAGTCCAAAGATTCAGATGATAGCATGATGGGATTGTCGTCGATATCATCCAGCTCCTTCCTCACTGAATTGCTTTTCCCGATATCGGTGTCCTCTGTGACCAAGATATTGACAGCATCACGTAGTTTCACTGAATTCAGTGACATGATTGAAGTGTTGCACGATGAAGTTGAGAAGAGTTGTGTTCTCTTTGCACGTCCAAAATTGAGTCATGCGCCATAGCTGCATTTGCTTGAGGAATGGGCACTGGATCATCCTGAAAAATTTTGCCATAAGCTTCGTGTGGATCCCCCCGTCTTTGAGCACCTTGTGAACACAATCCTCGTGCACCCAGTTTTCCACAACAACTCAAACAACCCACAGTTACCTGTCCCTGTGCAACTCACCATATTCCTAAACAGGTCATTATGGAAATGCAGCGACAACAGAGGACATCACAGAATGGGCTGGCATCTCGACAGGGACAGTTTATAACTGTCACTGACATGTGATGATCGCGCTCCTTCAGCATCATGATGCCGTAATCCATTTCGACCCACTCTATGAGGATGACCAGATTGAGAGGGAGTGGGCAAAGATGTGGGTCGAAGAGCAAACATGTCCTGAGTGGAGGGGGGGGTTTCTATGTATCGACGGCACACCATTTAACCTGTTTCAAAAGCCAGGATGGCACGGAGAGGGCTTTTATGACTGTAAATCGAATTACTCACTATCAGCTCAAGTATGCTACAAATTATAACAGAATAACAACACTAACATGTTCAAAAGGTTGTGATCATGCCGCATAACCTGCGCATTGTTGACTACGTCATCGGTGTTCCTGGGAGTGTGCATGATTCCAACGCGTTTTCAAAGGCCTGTATCGTGCGTCATCCTCAGACCTTTTTGGGCAGAAATGAGTGGATTTGGGCAGACATGGCCTATGGCTCTTGTCTGTGGTGCGTTGTGCCTTTCAAGCGGCCAGCAGCTGGTGGGTTAACTCACGATCAGAAAACATTTAACTATCATTTATCAAAGGTAGGATGAAGGATTCTCACACACCAATTAACTCTAACATTTCCAGGTCCGCGTTCACTCTGAACATGGGTATGGTTCATTGAAGGGACACTTCCAGTCCCTTTGTGAACTCCAGATCCAAATCCAAACACAACAAGATCTCGACGAGGCAAATATGTGGACGTGGTGCTGTTTAATTCTTCATAACATGATAATTGAAATTGAGGAAAAACTTACCACCAATTCATTTGAGTACTTTGCTGATGAATCAAGGCAGTGGGGTAGATGTGATGCGAAGATGGCGAAGATGGCACTGGAGATGAGAGCTTTATTGGTTCAGAAGGGCAGATTTTTCGTAACAGACTAATGGGTCAATTATTGCGCAGATCCCAACAGTGAAAGTGTAGGTACATACCTCTGTGATAATAGTATCCTCAGCCTTGTCAACCAAGGCATGCCTTGTTGGTAACTCGATTGTGGTTTCGAAGGGTCGAGGTACCCAGTTTCGGATTGTGGAGCATGACATGGAGACATGGCAGGATGAAGGAGACTGGGATGACCTTGAGGTGTGTCTTGTTGGTAACTCAATTGCGATTTCGAAGGGTCGAGGTACCCAGTTTCAGGTTGTGGAGCATGACATGGAGATGTGGCAGGATGAAGGAGACTGGGATGACCTTGAGGCATGTCTTGTTGGTGACTCGATTGCGATTTCGAAGGGTTGAGGTACCCAGTTTTGGGTTGCGGAGCATGACATGGAGGCGTGGCAGGATGAAGATTGGTTTAAGGGAGACTGGCTTCTGGGCATGAGAAATGGTGAGGGAACAAGAGACATGTATGCATACACAAAGTTAGATACATGTATACATAATTAGCTACAAGGAAAAAACAGGCCTAGAATGCAGTATGAATTTGTAAGAACTTGAGTGGCAGAGGAAAATAGCACAACTGTTAGTTACCCTGATGAGACAACTCCTTCTCCAAAGCCAAGTGTTCCAACTTCACTTGCTCCAGCTTGATTTCTAACTCGAGTTGCTTTGTCTGTTCATCCGCCATGGCACGCTCATGACTCTGAGCAGCAGAAGCACTCCAGAGCATGTGTTCACGCTCGTCTCGAGTGACACAGGCTCTAAGCTCCATACTGGCCAACTTGGACTTGATCTTCAAACACTTGTGTTTGGCCTTGGCTGTAGATGAATCCTGAATGTGCCGCATGAGGGAGTCTGATGCGTTGTTGAGCTTGGCATTAAATTCAGATGTGGCATCACGTGGCCACTTGCGAGAGACAGATCTGCTACTAGTAGATGGTAAAGGGTCGGAGTCCTGATCAGATGATGTGTGACCAGGAAGGTGAGTACTGCTGGCTTTGTGTGAATGTAGCATTAGGGTTTTCATTATCTTCCTTGTTGATGCATCGGAGTCGTCAGACGAGGGCATTATCTGCGGATCTTGAGGGGTTCTGGAGAGTTGAGGGAAATTGTAGGGCTTCGATGTGTCGTCTGGTTTGTATTGATGTGGGGTATGACTGGGCATAGCCCAAAATCTGAGAGCACCAGCTGCATGGTGAGGGGGGAGGTGGACAATGATACCTGAGGAAGCTGTGACAATGGACTGGAGGAATTGTCTGGATCATCCCAGTCAGGCCAGTCCTGATCTTTGTTAGTATGAGAAGGGAGGGGGACATCATTGGTATCGTCCATAAGAGAATCACCACCCTCCCCCTGGTGTATCCCCTCATCTAGGATTTGGCCGGGCTCAAGCTCCTTGTCCTCAGCATCTGCGCCATCCTCATCATCCATGGGTGGAGGGATCTCCTTCATCAGGAAACCTACAATTCTGCTGAATATCCTGATTTCTCTGTATTACTGATATCACAGTGATATCAGTAACAATCAGTACCAATCAGCACACATCAGTTGTGCAGATATATCAGATTATTAGACCAACAAAATTACAGAGTGTCCAGGCATGTCAGACTTCAAAAGAAAGTTATGCAGTCATTCAGAGCATCAGCTTTTCTGATATCAGTAACAATCAGTAACAATCAGTAACAATCAGCACATATCAGTTGTGCAGACACATCAGATTATCAGACCAAAAAAATTACAGAACATCCAGGGATGTCAGACTTTCAAAAAAAAAAAAGTTAGTCAGTCATTCAGAAATATCAGCTTGACTAGCTTCTAGATTATCAGAAGGTACAGATATACAATTCTGCAGTGTATACAATTTCCTATCACTCAGTACTCAATAGATCTCAGTGACTTACCACTGCCACAAATTTGAGATTGTCTAAATTGAGAATCAATGAATGACAGTTTGCAAACCAAATGACACCATATATAGTATGTCAGGTGCAAGTGCAGACGTCTGCACTAGCACCCTATTGCCTAATTAGGAAATGCCCGCTCACCACACGCTACAATCAGCTCAACATTTAACATGTTTGTTCATTATCTGATGGTGTACAATTGTTAAGACCATGCACAAAGGGTAGGACTGCTTCTGAGGGGCTTGGCTTCAGCTCGTGTGCTGCGCCCCTTACCCGAGTATGTGCCCTTAATTTCAGATTGATGTCCAGAGAAGATCCTAGGAAGTCCGAAGGATATCCGAAGGTGTGGGAAACTTTGGAAGGGCTTTCCGGACGAGTGCAAGTAACTTCTGGATGAGTGTGGGAAAGTTCTGGAGGAACTTCCGGAAATTACAATGAGGTTTCGTCCTGATATGAATATGTGTAGTGGCTACTCAGGACAAGTCCTGAGTAGAAGCAAACAGAGGTAAGGCTGCAAGGACAATGTCCGAAGCAGAATAGGTCCAGAGGACCACAGGAAAGATCCGGACGAACTTCCGGAAACTTGGAGGAATATAGGATCAGAGGATCAGGGGAGCAGGGGAGCGGAGCTCTGGCCTAGGAAATTCCTCCCTAGGCCTAAGGAATATTTCACAATGAAGGAACTAGTATAAGGACTTAGTTGTGAAGACTAGTGCGAGGACTAATATGATATTCAGACTGAGGAACTACAGGACATATACAAGAGTCTATATACTAAGTGACTATCGGAAAGATCAATAAGCAAGGTCCAAAGGCTATGTACGAAGCATAAGCAAAGTTTATCACAAGTCAAAATGCGAGTTGGAAATTAGCACAGGTTAACGGATCATAATGCATAGCCAGAAGTATAACCGAGCGACTGGGAGCAAGGAATACCAAATAAAGGAATAGGCTGTGTTAATGTTATATGAACAGGAATTGAATTAAGAAGTTTATCATATATCAGATCAGACTGGACTGGACCGGATCTAGTGTCTGAGGTCCAGATGAAGCGTGGGAACATTGTTGGACGTAGGTCCGGAATACAGGATATGACAACAATACTGATTCTTGAATAGTTATATTAGATAGATATATATTAAAATAAGCTCTATTGTATTGTATTATATGCATACAATATATATACTACATTATTACACTAATGTGGATGTACCATAGTGTTGCAGGGACTTAGTGAAATTTCGCATTTTTGATGATATAAGCAGTCATGTGATGTTGGATGAAGTTAGGTGGGAAAGCTTATGTAATCAAAAATGTGTTCAATGGTTCAAGTCTTTTGACATTGTTCAAGTCTTCTTGCCTTCTTCTCTTTCTCTCCTTTCTCTCCTTTTCTTTCCCCACCCTTATGTCAGGCTCCTGGATATTCAAGTTGGGTTATGTTGGTGTTGATGTGAGTGTTGGTGTGGATGGGACTTTGGAATTGGTGCCCTGGTGAGTCACTTATCCCCTCTCCTATTCTCTCCTCTAAAGACTGACCCTGTTCACTTCTAGCCTATATATTTTCGCATTTTTGGTCCTTTTGGTGAGTCACTTATCTCCTCTCCTCTCCTCTGTAAGAACCAACGGGGCTCTCACTGCAAGTTCAAGAGGGGTGTGGAGACCGAGACATGAATACGAATCTGAGATTAATATATGAGAGATAGACTGAAATGAATGAGTGCGAGACAAAGTGACTTGAATGAGTGGATTTTATTGCCTGAACAGTCGCAAATGTGCATGGCCATTATATACCTCAAATACTAAGGGTCCTCAGGTATGAATGATTAGGTGAAAACGGGGGCAGAAGGGATGTGGCGTCGCGCCTGACAGGGTAAGGTAGAGCACAGAGACAGTAGGAAATATTAAGAGAGTGGCGATATGAATGATTATGTTTTTGACAGAATTGGGAACGGCGAACTGAGAATAGTGATGAAAGGCAGCTGAGGGTCGAGAGTGCCTGAAAATACAGAGTCGAGATCGTTGTTGGTGGCGTGCTGATGGTGGTCAAGGTAAGCGTTGAGACGGCTATCTCCGTCTTCAGACTGATTGGTAATCCTTACACCTCTGAAGACTGACTTTCTGCTCACTTCTAGCCTATATATTTTCGCATTTTTGGTGTTTTTGGTGAGTCTTTCCTCTCCTCTCCTCTCTTCTCCTTCAAAGACTGACTCCCTGCTCATTTCTAGCCTATCTATTTTCGCATTTTTTAGTCTTTTCAGTAAGTCTCTTCTTTCTCTAACCTCTTTTTGGCCTCTATTTTCGCATTTTTGTCTATTTTAGTGTCTCTCTTAGTCAGTAGTATAGATGCCAATGTAGTAGTTACTTTGAATATGATTTTTGTATTTTTGATATTTTTGATATTTTGACCATTGCAATGTCCTGATGTTATGTGATGTGCTGTGGGGCTGTTATACAAACTAAACTATATATCTGATGTATTACATCTCTTAGAAACTGGCACCCTGAATTGTACACAAACAGTACCTCTGGGTGTCTGTGGAGCTGTTCACCACTGATTTCAGGCATGGCACTGATTTCAGCAATTGCTGCATGACTGCATTACCTGTATGTCTGATATCAGACAGTTCAGTAGGCGACAGCAACATCAGCAGAATTGTAGGTTTCCTGATGTTCCCTTTGCCCTTTCCAAAGCCTCCACTGCAAAGTCCTGGCCTGGATCGGCCGTTGAGAATGAAGTGTTATACGTAGGGTTGGTTCTCCACCACCCATGGAGGTTGACCCACCATGGGAATGCTACCAATAGTTGGTCTAAAACAAATTTAGAGTCTACACCAGCATTAGAAATAAAAGTACATACCAAGAATTCCCTTCATCTTCTCATTCCTGCTGATCGCCTCAAAGGACAGACCAGCACTGGTCTGGCTAAGTTGCACATTAATCTTGTTGTACTTTTTCCGTAATTTAAAATAGCTAGTTAGTGGCCAGTCTGCACTGAAATTACCAAGATGGTAGCCATGGGGGACTCAAGATATAAAGCGGCTTTGAATCAGCTTCATAAAGGCAAGGGGATGCACTCTAAAGTACTCCCTGACCTTCGGATCTTCATCGTTCTGAAAGATTGTTGTTGCAAGCTCCTGCAAGTATATGTTCTTCTGCGTGGTCATCTGTTGGTGTGTGCATCCTTCCTCCTTTGCATCCTTTGCAGAATCTGAAAATATCTTGAGCTGAGCCTCCTGATTGACTTTGCACCATTCGATAAGGCGAGCAGTACACGGACTGTTCTTCTTGTCCCAGTGTATGGTAGGTGGCTTCAAACAATCTCCTGATCCTGCACTGACAGGCAGGCTAGCATTTGGAGGAGATTCAGCCACTAATCCGCTACCATGCTTGGTCGAACGGCCCCGAGATCCATGTCCACGACTACCAGTAGCCCCTGCCATATAGATGCACAATGATAACAGCGACAAGAATGACAATAATGATATGAAAACAACAGTGCCAAGAATGAAATGATGACAGACCACAACAACCACAATGGACAACAACCACAATGACCATGACGGTGACAGCGATGACTGGCACAAGTTCTGTCGGAGTCTGAATGACACTGAAATTTTCAAGTCATGCCGAAGTTTTTCATTTGTTTGTAGTTTTCATATTTTACTTTGAGACCCATTATAGAACACAAAATAGCAACAAATCAATGTATTCAGATCAGTCAATACTAACAGTGGTACTGCTATGAGCCTCGGCTGCTGCTCTTGCTAGCCTCACTGTGCACTCTTCTCCTGAAGCTGGAATTGCGAGGTGAACGAGGTGCGAATTGTTTCAATTCGTTAGTCCAATCTGTGTTGATTTACCACAAATTTCCACCTCAATTTGATTTGATTTGCCTCAGCGGCAACACTACACAAAACAACACACCCACTCGGCGAGTTATCACCTACTCACAATACTCCCATTTCTCCAGTAAAATGTTCGTGCTTCTCTCTTCTGAGTAGTGTTGCTGCCGAGGCAAATTGAATTGAATTGAGGTGGAAATTTGTGGTAAATCAACACAGATTGGACTAACGAATTGAAATGATTCGCACATCATTCACCTCGCAATTTGGAAACAAGTTCGGAGTTATACGGACCAATAGTCCAACCAATGAGAAGCTAGGGATTTTGCATGCTACAATGACTGTTGAATGGCAATGATTATTTGCAAGTTACTCATACACGACCAGCAAGTATATCAATTATAATCAATGTCTCTTGCATTCTGGAGCAACTCATCAAGCTCACGAAGATTCCCAGCAGCCATTAACTTGTCAACTGCTCTGGGAGTCACAGGTCCAGATATTGTGTAGTCCTGCTCGTCAGCCACCAGGTCCATCTAGGGCCTGTCCAAGTGAGTTCAGCACTTGGGCCTTCTGTCACATCGAATTGAGCTGTGGTTCCATAGAAGAATCATCTGAAAGTGTTCCGCAAAACAATTCGCCTATTAGATAGGCTATGCTTTGCTTGCCTTTTCCTTCGTACCTCTCGTACAATTTTGTCCATGCATCAGACACTAATATTGTGTGTAGGACTCTGTTTAATGGTTTGTCTTTTAGCATCAATGTGATCTGCGCATGTGCTTCCTCGTTTTTCTCAGGATGTCATAGAGCCGATTCGAGGCCTGAATAATTTTCTTCAAGCTGGATGCTGACGAGGCAGAGGGATTTGAGTGTAAACCTTGAGCTTGCGAGATTGATGGATTGTTGGACATTGTGTAGGTGTAGATACATTGTAATTGCTAGGCTATTGTTGTGCTCAAATTTCAAGCAGGGCTCATAACCTTTTGTTCATTGCAGTGACACGCGGAAAAAAAAAACTAGACAAAGAGTGTATACTCAGTCTCGTACTTGTTGTGTAAGGACTAAAACTAACCTAGACAAAGAGTGTATACTAGTAAGATCAGTAAATGAATGTAGTATAATAAGGGATGTCTCACCTCAGTCTCGTACTTGTCGTGTAAGGACTGAGGTGTCAGTAAGTCCAAAATACTCTTAGTATGTACCAGCGTGATTAAGTAATCGATACTCGCATTCGGTATTAGATACACAAAACAACACATGACTCCCACTGTGTCGTGCGAAAAAGTTGGCCATAAGTAGTTAAGAAGTGAACTCATGATTTACTTATTGACTCGGATGCAATCTACCACAGGATAGTACTCGGTTAGTACTCGATAAGTCTGCTTTTCTGCGTCTATGGGAAATTCAGTGCCAGTGCGTCCCTATCCTAGTAACACCCCAAACGCTCAAACCTGTACATTCTGATAGGTCGGTCATCTATGATTGGTCACATGCCGCTTTCTATGGAGCGCTTGCACACTTCTAGCTTCCAAGCCTGGGAATACCATCTTCAAGGACTTCTACTTAGCATCAAGGGTGATCGATAATCATGCATCATGGCTTGGGCGTATCTGAGCCTCGTGTGGGAGACAACGAGTATAAAACGGCGATCATAACATCTCCTAACTGTCACCATCCTTCTACCCTCGTCCGTACTTTGCCATAGTAAGCTTATCCATAACAGCAGCGAGAATGCAACCAAATGACCCGGCAATCCCTGGAGCCTTAGAAGTAGGTCAAGCTGACGCTTCGTGTATTTCGGTTCTGAGATTCCTCACAGGAAAATATTCCTCAGTGCCCGCTCCTTGAAAAATCGGAGAGGGCTGAACACCACTACTTGCGACGTTGGTTGATATGGGCCAAGACTCCCGCACAAGGATATAATGACCCAGTGCAAGGATGGGGTGCACCATCCGAGCAATACACTTGGCAAGCATATGACCCATCATCTGTTCAGCCTGCACCACCCCGCGAGGATATCGATAATTACTTTTATCTCAACATCCGGTATAGTAACCGAGATGGTACGGTATACGATCCAAACTCTGGCTCTGTATTGATCTTTTCACAGCGGAACCTGAAGTAGTTTTCAGTCATTTCAGCAGCACCTTAATTGACTTCCTGCGGTCTGTGATTTATGAGTTTCTTCTTCTGCTAATTTTCATCCCATCCTCTTAGCATGGCTATTGGCGATGAATTTTTCGACCAAAATCCGGACTCGCCTCTCACTCACTTTGTTTTCAAACTCGATGAGCTCAAGGCCCACCATTTGAACGCACGTTTGGCTTTGTCAAATCTCTCAGGGGAGGAGTTGAAGATAAAAGCACATGATCTTGGCCGCTTGGACTCATTGACCCGTATGCATCATTTTATCGATAAATTCCTGCCGTGGCCATCAGCTAATGCTCAACGTCAGCACAAAAAACCGTACAAGATGCCCAGCAGTACCTCGAGGATCTCGTTAATCATCTGGATATTCTCATACCTGTGGTCGAGAAAGAGTTCGAGCCCATGTGAGCATTTCGCGGTGACGTGAAATCAAATCATGCTTATCCCTACTTTGCCAGATCCGAGCGCCTGAAACTAGAACTATCTTATGGCCACATTTCGTTCGATCTTCTTTTGTACTACTTCAAGAAAGGAGAGAAATACTATTACGAGTCTTTCGGTGATAAGGTCAGTTAACATATTTGGTTGGATGTTCTACTGAAAGACTTGTATGAATTAGCTGGCCTTCGTGCTACAGGACTCAAGCAAGGACTCGTCTTCTGGGCAAGCATGTTTCTGCCGATATTTTTGATCATTTTTGTCATGACTCCAATTCTCAGTATCCTTCTCATCAATGGCCGTGGTAGGATGTGGGATGGCTATAGATATATCCACGAGATGAGATCCGTTAGCATTTATCGTTACCCTGTAAGCTGGACCTTCTTCCTACTATTACTACCTCTCATCGATGGGATTGCAGGGGACAAAGGCCTTATCTGATCTTCCGTGCAAAATCATGCAAGATGATGTACACAACGAACTGACTGGTATGTCGTTTTTATCATGAATAACGATGTATGTCCCTACATTGTTTCTCCCAGAGCGCGGTGGATTGTATGCTGCTGTGGCGGGTATTCACTTCAAGTCATGTGCGTATTTCTTTTGGTGTCCTATTATGTTTGGCTAACCTATTACTCCAAGATGATGGCGTAAGCTCTTCGTCACTCACATTCATGAAGCTTGACGAATTTGCCCTAGCGCCGTGTGGTCATTGATCAAATTGGCGATTGCAGCAGAGAGCCGGAGCCTCTACGGTACTTACTCTCTGATGTCGATGTCGTGACTGATATGTTAATTCGAGCTTTAGTGGTTATGATGATGTCCCTCCGCATTCAAATACAACTCCACCTGATTGTAACGACGCATATTTTTCTCGTCCTGGTTCTCCTTACGCGTACGTACCATCTTGTTGCCGAATGCCATTATTCATGAAAGTATCCCTTAGCAGTGACAATACACAACAGGAATTTTTGTATGTCCTTGCTAGTGCTCGTGAATGTTATGCTCATAATGACATCAGAGACATCAGAGAGCTCCCAGAAGACCAACTGTATCTTTTACCAGTGAAGGTAAAAGGTTTCGATATGCGTCGCAAGGCATGTATCAGCCCATTGACATGTTCATCGAGCCCTCATGCCACTAACCTTGCATTAGTCTTGGGAGATGTTAGACGTTCGTAAACTCGAGGAGATCCATTTTGATGAACATGCTTGGGACCATCTCGTTCTTAATAAAGCAACAAAGGTAGAAACATTGGCAAATGAATTCGAAGTATCAGCTTCTGATAATTAATTAGGCTCTTATCAAAGGGCTCGTCGATGTCACAAAGACGACCAATACATCCAAGAAGGTGTTCTCTGACGTCATCACTGGGAAAGGTGGAGGATTGGTGAGGACTTTTTTACGCGTGGATGATTCTTGTGTTACAAAGAAGTTTTCAGATTGCGCTTCTGCATGGTCCGCCTGGGACAGGCAAAACCCTCACCGCGGAGGCTGTGGCCGAACACCTGAAACGACCACTCTATGTTCTCAGTTCACTTGAGCTTTCAACTACACCCGCTAAATTGGAGAAAAACCTGGGTGATATTCTGAGGGTTCGTGAGCTTGAATTTTTGTTCGCCTTTTCTCAATCATAGCCTTGTCGCAGCTTGCAACGACATGGGATGCAGTCGTCCTCATTGATGAAGCCGATGTGAGTTGATTCGATGTCTGCATGTCATGTTCATTCCATATGCTACACATTTAGGTGTTTCTGGAGCAAAGGAGTCTTCATGAGGTCCGTCATTACACATCCCTTAGAAGTCGCCCTGCCTGAACGTTCTTGAAGTTGGAGCGGAACGCGCTCGTTTCTGTTGCCCTTCGGGTCCTCGAGTACCATCGCGGTGTCCTTTTCTTGACCACCAATCGTATCCAGGCCTTTGACGAAGCCTTCCTATCCCGGTTTTCCATTGGTGACTACCTCATCTATTAAGAACCCTTTCATCAGTTGACATCTGTCAAAGCCGTGAAGTACCCAGAGCTAGATGTTGACGCCCGTTTAACCATCTGGCGCAAGTTTTTTGAGCTTGCTGGGTGCGAACTGTGGGGAGGCAGTGGACAGCCCGAAGATGGACGGCGGAGCCCGGACGAGTTTGTCAAACTTGAAGGACGAGAGCCGCAATGCTATGTTTCGCTTGCTGACCTGAGGGAACTGGCTGCAAAGCCTTTCAACGGTATGCACTGCTTTTGATATCTGAAACTTTTACATTGACCAGTCCTAAAAAAAATTAGGCCGCACTATCAAGAACCTTGTGCGGACCGCGCAAGCGTTAGCCATGTCCTCGTATGGCATCTTCCTGCATGATGTATGCCCCAGCACTTACACTTGTGGTTTTAGGGACGAACCGCTTTCCCTTGAACACGTCAGGGTCGTGGTTGAAGCGCAGGAGAAGTTCCTGACCGAGTTTGCTAACATGGGATTATGACCGATATGACTGCGGATATTTGGTTATCGTGTAACAATTAAACACGTTGTTTTGTACGTGATATTTTTGACCCTATCATTCAGATTTAAACGAGCATAGCATCGAGTTTCATGGTGGCTGTCCAAGGAAATTGTACGAATACGGAAGATAGGGTTGAAGAATGAAACCTTGTTGAGGGGACTTTCGTATTGGACGGCAGTTGTCCGTTGTACGTTGATGTTGTAACATACCGCTGTCCCTGTGACAAGTTTGAGGTTCAGATCTAACTCTGTTCATCACAAAGCGTCCACACCAGTGCCCATATAAACAAGGTAAGGATGCAAAAGTATGAGGGATCCGTGAAGTGGAGGAGTGGTATTATCGAACCTGGGCAGAATCCAAGGTGTGATACTAAAAAGGCAACATGTGAGGGAATTTCAAACGCTAACGACATTGCAATATCTTACGGGTGATCAGATGTAAAACGTACCGACGGTTGTAGCCGCAAATGCGTCCCATGCGGGTCGGGATTCAGCACCAGCGGCGGAAAACAGGGTTGTGTCAACGTCTGCACACGTCGAACCTCGATCCGAACCCGTTCCCACTATCATCATGACGTTGAACCAGCCCTCTCACTTTCGTTCTGACTTCGTAGATTATCGCTCAAGTGTGTGTTCACGTGTATCTCCTGCTCGAGATCAAAAGGAGATATGTTTCTGTCGAACGAGTCCGAGGGGCGTGGAATTGAGAGAGCCAATACTAATCAACAGACGGCGTGAGCGAAAAAAAAAAAAAGATTGTTGGTAGAAAAGGAAGATGGGCTCCTTGCCGAGGATCACAGAGCAAATTATGGAAACCAAAAAGGTTCGGAACAGCCCTGGGACTGGTCACTCCAAGGGTCAGACACCATCCGTCGATATAAATATTAGCCACATCATCTACTACGCTGGCACGGTATTAATGGCAACGTGATAAAATCGGGTAATGTATGGTAATTATGGATCTACATAATGGAACCGCTGCCACTGGTAGGGATCTTAAGACACACATCAGCTGTTGATCCGAACCATCCAGATATCATTACCCGCCACACTATATATAATCCCATGTTCCGCATCGTGGAACTACCTCATCCCTCTCTGAATCCACACCATGCCAGACGCACCAGAAGTAAAGGCCACCTCAAACGGCATTCCTTCTCCAAGCTTCCACTTGCCAGTCAGTCATCGTCGTGCTACTCACAGCTTCTTTCTGACAAGGCACTAGCTACCTGATAGACCTGACATCATCACCGCCAACGTTCAAAAGCTCACAGAATTAACACCCAATCCGTACGTACTACTATGGGTATTTTAAACGCCAGCGGTTATAACATAGTACATCCAGACGTCACAGATTCATATTCAAGGCGCTGATCAAGCACCTACACCAATTCGTCAATGAGACCAGGCATGTCCATCGCCTGTTAAATCTCCAGTTCTCCACTAACGCTACGACTATCTCTAGTCTAACAACAGACGAATGGATGGCAGCCATTGATTTCTTGACCCGCACTGGACAAAAGTGCACACCACTACGTCAAGAAACCATTCTACTATCAGATATCCTAGGTGTTTCTGCCCTCGTCGACTCCCTAAATAACCCTGTTGTGGGAGGGGCAACCGAGAACAGCATCCTGGGTCCATTCTTCACCGAGGACGCTGCAGATGGTGAGTTGCATCCAATTCCAGTGTACGTTCTGGTTGTGAATGAAGTCGCAGTGGGCTTTGGTGAATCGATTGCGTCTGAAGGAAAAGGAGATTATATGTATGTCGAAGGTCGGGTTTTGACCACTGACGGGAAGCCAATCCCTGACGCTGTCATTGACACTTGGGAGACCGATGACCATGGTTAGCTCTCTTCAAATCTCATCTCACGATTCATATTCATCATCTCTGGCAGGATTTTATGACACGCAATACACAGACCGCTCTCATCCCGACTGCAGAGGTCGCCTGCGCTCCGACAAAGATGGTAAATTTGGATATCGCGCTGTGGTCCCAGTAGCATACCCAGTTCCTGGAGACGTAAGTTGATGTTTCATACCTACGTCATCTTATGCTGAAAATATCGTGTTTCTGACAGGGTCCTGTTGGCGAACTTCTTCTCCTCCTTGGTCGGCATAACATGCGTCCAAATCATTTACACATGATGGTCGAAGCCCCTGGTTTCCACAAGCTAGTTACGGCATTTTATCCAGAGGGCTGTGAGTATCTCAGAAGCGATTGCGTCTTCGGTGTCAAGAAATCATTGGTAGTGGTATGTCTATGTTCCTGAATATCTTTGATGCCCCTCGGTTTGACACTCTTTACAGAACTTGAAGGATGTTGTAGACGACGAGGAAAGTCGTAAACGCGGATTTCCTCGTGGTGGCTCATTCAAGTTATTGCAATATGATCTTGTATTACTCACGGAAGAGCAGTCTGTCACGATGCGTACTGGCGTGGAGGAACGTTACACGACCCTTGGAGATCATAAAAGTACTAAATCATAATAAACTTGATAAGTCATCATCATGTATTTCATATTCCTCTCTTGCTTAGTCACGTAATACCAAACTACCGCCGTCGGACGATTCCTTGGATGTGTGACATGGAATGCAAAGTAGGGGACAGATTCAGAACACTAAAAAGCATAACTAGCCGTATATATAATAGCATACATTTACTATGTACAGATACCTGACACGACACGAACTCAACAAATCACGCCATCTCGACATCCTCTGCAGTAGTGGTTGTTCTCTTACCCGTGGCACCTTTATCATCAGCCATGAAAATGTCGAGCTCTTGATCAAGCTGCTCCGCCGTGGGGGCTTTGGATGGCGTAGGCTTTGGAGCCTTCATCCTTGATGACAAGGCAGCCCTTGCGGATCGTGGTTGGCGTGTGCGAGTCGGGCCGGCACTAAGAACAAGGATACAATTAGAAAGAGTGATAAAGGTGTTTCACTCCTTACCCTCCTTGCGGTTTCGGTCCAGCACCACCACTCAAACGCTCCGCCAATGAAGGTCGTTCAATCCTACTCAAGAGCGAGGATGTTCGTAAGGGCGCGGCGTCGAATGCGATTTCCATAGGTTGTCCTACATAGTAGGAAAAAAGCGATTGTATTAGCAAATAGCAGACTCAAACCATCAAATATCAACACCTACCTTTGGCAAGTTTACCATCAAATTGTCTCTTGGCACGTGTCGCTTGCAAGGGTGTCTCGAACGACACGACTGCTACACCGGATGAACGTCCACTGCGGTCGTACTTTAAAAATGAAAAGCGGGTTTCAGGTTCAGTTTCGTTGTCATCTTCAGTTATATGAGCCAGAAGCGAAAGCGATCCGAATCATCCACAAGCATTGTCCGGTCCATGCGAGCGAAATAAAAATCCGGGTAGGAGGTGATGGGGGTGTTTTCGAATTCGGAATCATCGTACCCTGATCAAAGGCTCGCGAACGAGCGTGCCTATTTGTCCGAAAATGGACTGGAATGGGAAATAAGGCGCTTTTCTAGCTATGGGCGGCATAGAATACTTACCACCAAATCTTTAGGCGTGATCTCGTAGTGCAAGTTGGATACGATGAGCTTCGTAGTTGAACCAGTGTTGGCTGGTGCATTTGCCCTCGCTGATTGAAGCGGAGCTCGGTCATGGACCCAATGGCCATCAGACCCTCGAGTACGCTGAGGGCATCGATGAATCAGACACGACACACCTGCTACGAAATCAAAACTTACAGTGTGTGGCTTTTTCTGCCTTTCAGACCTAATGGGGGCCATATAAGATACTTGAGCTTTGAGTAATTAGTTCAATGGATGAAAGCAGAGAAGAAGTAGCACGTTGTTCAAATCAAAGAAACATATTCCACAAGGGTAACTAAGCGGCGTTTGAATTCGGCAGTTTCCGAACGCAAGCACTTACCCAAATTCGAACCAGTTAATTAAGATTTACTACCAGTCTTGACACGCGCGTGCAGTCAAGCACTATTTATCTGCTAATTCTGCCCTGTACTTGAATGGAAAAATACAACATTATCCAAGTAGAAAGAAGCTAGATCCATGAGGACTATACTACACATTCATACCACCATTGCGATTGCCTCATAGGCTCTGCTGCATTCAGGCGATGTCGACACACGGATCTAACCCAGTCAAGTGCGTCAGGGTCTTCAAAGACGTGTCGGGGAATCGCGGGACAATGCGGCAGGGAAATTTTTCCGGATGACTGAAAGAAAACAAAATATCAGCGGATACTCTCGGCGATAAATGAGATTCTACAAACACGACGAGACCTGTAGAGAAGTTTGGAACGACTGGGATCTCTATGCCGTGCTCATCAAGAGCCTTGTGGGCTGAGAACATGGCGAGAAAGCTCGTCATCGCGATCCAAAGTGACGCTTCTGCGACATGCCGTCCCCCACTGACCAGCAGTTGTTAACGGGGCGAATAAACTGGGTGAATGCATGCTCACCAGATCCGGCGACCAAAGCCGAAGCCTATATGCATCATGTCGCTAGTGAGCGACCCATCTTTATGGAGAAATCTTTCTGGTTTGAATTCATCAGGACAGGGATACTTCTTCGCATCGTGTGTGATTGCCCTGAAGGTTTGGTCATTTCGAAATATTCAGTATTGAGGAAGTGAGAGCTTTCCATGTATTTGTAAATAAAACAACCCCTGACAGACTGGGTCGTCAGCAACCATCAGTCATTCAGCATGGCATTCACGAACCTTCAGGGATGAAGTAGCCTTTGTAGATGTCACTGGTCGTCGTTGCGCCTGGAATACCTAGGTACATTATCAGAGGGAGTAAAAAAGGGTTACGGTTGAGCGGACCAAACGGAACCACAGGGTACCACCTGAGCGTTTCACGCAAAACAGCGTCAACGTAAGGCAACGCTGGTCTGTCATCAAAATCTGGGAGTCTATCTTTGCCAACAATTTCATCAATCTCTGCTTGTGCTTTGGCTTGTACCTCTGGATTGAGCACCATAGCAAGAATGAACACAAGCAACGTGGAAGTAGTCTTGGCCGAGGGTAAAATGAGTACGACGACAAATGCAGACTAGGGCATGTCATACCGTTTCAAATGACGCTGAAGACACAAACAATAGTAAGCATCAAGGGGACAAAGTTCTGTAGCTTGGATACCTCCAAATGTGACACAAGCAGCCTCCTTGATTGCAGTTGTAATGACAGCGTCGTCTAAACCGCTCATCCTGTTCAATGCGTCAGCCACAAAGCAAGGTGCCGTGATGCCAGTAGACTATGTGGGGTTCGTCAGTTCATTGCACCTCTATGAATGGGATGGTTCACCATTCTCTCTTTGACCATTTGAAAGGGTATCTCCTTTATATCATGGGCTGCCTTGAGACACTCCAGCGATGCTCGCTTGAATGTGGCACCAGGAAACCAGTTAGGCAGCTTCAAAACTAAAATGACCGTTGAGATGTAATGTCAGGTCATCGTTGCATGTGCGAACATACGGAAAGGGAATGTTTCGAGTATCACAGTAGCACCTGGCGTCAGATTTGTGACTACCTGATTCAAATATTTTACCATGACGTGGACGAAGGGATCATCCCTGACTTTCAGTTCATAATCATATACTATAGCCAGTACAAAGGAAGCGCTAAACCTGATGAGAATCAGCCTCAGCAGGAACCAGAAAAAAAAATGTTGCAACTAACATCTCGAAATGTTTTGAATATTCACTAGGGTCCTGTAGCACACGGAGCAACATTTTGTGGGCGCAACGCAATTGCACAGCGTGGTAAGCGTGTACTTCACTTTGACGAAATGCCTGATGAAAAAATCGTCGGTGAAGGCGCCACCTGCCGGAGGTCAGACACTGGTCAACAAAACAGAGAAAACTCTATCACCTGTCTCCATACGGCATGAGTGCTATGTTGAAGTCCGAAGCGAAGCTGATAACATCTTCGTCATCAGTGCGTAGCAATACTTCGACGTGTTGACTTACTGTTCATAAACAATGGACTGAGGTTTATCCGAATATATAGTAGAACGCCCTTCAAAGAGGTCTTTCGCAACCTCCTCAGAGTTAATCACAACCACAGGCTTGTTGAGGAGACGAGCATAAATGATGTCGCCTGTTAGTAAAATATGAGCCCATCATGGATAGATCCTCGTCACGATGTGCTGACCGTATGTGGACCTCCAGGCATCGAAGGTCACCCAAGGCTGAGCGACATCAAGACTCAGAATGTTCCCCAGTATTGGGAGGGGGGTAGGACCAGGTGGAAGTGGGGGGCCCGATTGCTTGTCCTGATATTTTCGGTAACAGGTGAAGACAGCCAGCGCCAAGGCCGATGTGGCCAAGTAAAATCTGGGTCCATCGTCGAGCATGGTAAAATATATGGTTGAGGGCTTCGAAGAACGGTGGTTGAATTGTACTATGTAGGATAGCTGAGAATGAATTATGATCCATACGGAGTGTCAGGAATGATCGTTACTCGGTTCCTTCAAAATTTGAGCGACTTGAAGCTCCGCACACGGCAGAATTCAAAAGACCCCAGACTCTACGAGTCAACATGTATACTTCAGTTTCACTCTCACTGAGCGGTATATAATCCAATGAGATAATGAGTGATGGTGGGCAAAATTAGGGTAGAGAGGCCGTTGACGTGTACCTTGGGAATTAAGTCCCTTGCTTGGGAAGGAGCAGGAGTGGTGTCGGCCTTCAAGTGTTCTAGGCAGGAAGAAAAGATCCAGAGATGGCGGCGTTCATGAGCACACTGGCAAAATTTGAAAATTTTGGCAAACTTGATCATTGGTGTATGAACAATAATCCTTGCGGGTGCGTCACACCGGCTATGTTACCTGAGTACTAAGACCACATAATCACTGTCAGTACCGTCATTGACACAGCGAGGACTGACATTTTACCACCTTTTGCCACTAGTGAAATCACGTTTGAAAGGTATTCTAGAGTGCGCTGGGATGCTGGAGCCAGGTGTTGAAACCCTCACTGACTCGTGTGTGATACTGAAAGCTTAGCTTTCAGTGATGATTCCACCTTTTGATGTATATGGCGCTTGAAAAGGCATGCATGTAGGCAGTGCTAGTGAGCGCCAATGAGCAAATGAAGACTTTCGTTACTATTGATGGTCTGATCTTCTCACAAGTCGCCGGTCAAGTGACCGGCATGCAAGCGATTGAATTTTGTAGTGAGCCATTTCACCATTTTCTCGGACAGCTCTCATACGAACAGATTCTATTCAAAGTAAACACAAGCTACTCACAAGTAACTACGCAAAATATTTGTACCAAAAAAGCATGCTGAATATGACAGCTTCGATTTACAATATAGTAAACGGTCATTCATCGTCTACATCTACTAGGTGTAGTGAGAAGTTATGCCAGGGCACAGAGTAAGAGTGATATCGGTGTTGCCGCAAGTAGTTACGACATAATCAGCAGGAGTATAGCCATCTGAACGATAATGATCAGTCCACTATACCGATGGCAGTAAGATGGAAACACATACTCGAGCCGTCATTGTCAGGGAACGCATAGGCATTATAACATGTGTCGTAGTAGAAAGGACTGTTGGGGCCAGGGCCCTCGTTGTTAACGCAGCCTCCTCCACCAGAGGGAAGGGCGCCGCCGCTGCACGCGCTCGCAGAGGAGCAGCACGGGGAGTAGCACGTGTCAGTTCCAGGTCCGGGAACAGGCTGAAAAAATATGAACATGCATAATTTCAACACGGATAGGGCACTCACACAGCCAGATGAGATCGTGCAAGCGAAGTTATCGCAGCTAGAATCAGGGGAGGAAATTTCCATTCCAACATTATATCCATAGATGAGAGAGATATCGTATGTCACGCTTCCGGGGATTGCGTACTATGTTTTTAAGTCAGGAGTTATTTCAATGTCAGTGACCGGGACCCACAAAGTTAAATTCGGCTCTGCTGAAGGGAGTGCTGCCATCCCAAGTAGGGCCACCAGTGGTACATGTAGAACCGTCGCTGCTGCATCCAGTACCTAGTAGCGTGGTCAGCGAGAAGCTGAGGAAGGGGGTTACACACTTACCGACGTTGATGGCACCATCCCAGTTGGAGCTAATGCCTAAGTTTGCACTCTGGCCTGCACCAACGTTGACGTTGTTATCGATAGAGCCATAGCTAGTGCCTGTGTTCAAAAGAACAGATTCGGTGCAAGAGTTGACAACGGTGAGAGATTGGGCTTGGGCCACTATCGCGACAGTGGCTAAAACCAAAGCAGAGAGAATAGTCATTGCAAGTAATGATTGGACGATTCAGAAATGGGAAACAATGATACCTGTTTAAACACTTTATGGATCCATTTATACCAAAACTCTTGGGCCGTGAGCGCGTCAGCATTTATTAGAAGTGGGTATCAAAAATGAAGTCACAGGATTTTTTCCAGTGCCACAAACAGTGTGAATTGGGAGTAGCAGTATGCTGCGGGATGAACATGGACACTGATCTTTGGCCGGATACCCTGGATCACCGGAGATAGTAAAAATCGACGGAGAATACGATGATAGCTGGCTAAATTTAAAAATAAGTACTGCATTCAGCTTGAAACTTACTGTTCAACAGCAAAATGATTCAGTAGGTATTGTCTAAGGCTCCAATTGTAACGGACAATAAAAAAAAACTTCTGTCTGTCACGGTATTTTGTGATTCAAGGTCACGAAACTATTTCTGATTTGGCGTTAAAATGGAGACTCACTTGATGCACGGTTGCAGCACATTGTAGCCAAACTTGACCTGACCAACAGCGAAATTGAATCCAAGAAGCGGGCAGGTTGACGGTCCTGCTATTTACTTACTTGTGCATTGTATATCGGGGTTTACATAACAGTATTTTCAACTCCGCGACATATGGTTTACTGGTATGACCTTTCCTCCTTGACAGATGCACGCTAGCCAGAGCACGGTTAGGGATGGTTAGGCTGTTCAAACGCCACATCATGTATCACGACCAGAAACGCAAGGCTAGGAATGCTACATCAGACCTCACGACGGGCCAAAGCGCAAGGAAGACCTGGCTTCTGTTGTTGTGACATCCAGTGCATGTCAGCGCCGACTATTTTTGCCAATTGCAAGTGATCTCTCGGATGTAAGCATAACCCACGGCGTATAGCCCATCGGTACCGGCATCCTGCTACTAATAGTAGCTCTTCATACCCATCGTGACCATGACAGGTTGCGACGCAATGAAAGATTGCTAACTTTCTTGCCGTGTTCCTACAGTATGCAAGTCCATCACCGAGGTTTACGGGTCGATTCTGAATTTTATGGAGGAAGTTCTTCAATAGCCCTTTACCTGCATATCATATGCATCGGCATTTTCGTACGTCCCGCCCCTAGTACTCATAAAAATTAAACCTTAACACGAGCGTCTACAAGATTCATCATTCTGTAACCCCACATCTAGATTTCATTCGCCTGATCTGTCACACTTTCGGGAAAATCAAGGGTCCACGGTATTCACTACTATAACCATTGGTCAACGCATAGTCCCCGACTGTCACGCCGACTCGTTGTGCCTTCAAAAATACTTCAATTTATCAAAACTTGGTCCATCTTTTCGAATCACACCACCCGCTTTGCAGTCCAGGCACGGGGAAGTGAGTCTCTGTCGCAGAACACAGCCTGTACTGCCCCACTGGCTACATATCGCGGCCGATGATATGGACTTTTGGTCATGCATCAGCAAAACCTTTTACCACTGCCCTCCCATGGAACATCTTTGTACAGAGATGGTGAAAATAGACCATTCAGATCATCCCTCAGAGATGGTTGCGTTTTCTGGGTGGCGTTATTTCTCAGATGCTGATGTCAACAGTATAGTTGACGAATTCGTGACCCTCTCTTCTGTGGCGCAAGGAGCACCATGTCTACAGGCACAGGTTACTATCCAAGTGACCTTGACGCAGGTATTGTGAAGAGATACATCAATCAAGTTGATATGAAGGACGATCAGTATATCTATGTTACTGTGGTGCCGGTGGGACATCAAACATCATCGGACATGCTGACTACTTCGGCCTCCATCTTGCAAGCTTCCGTTACAGGATTTCTGGGACATATGTTTAAAACTGCGTACGCAGTCTCCGGGCGGGTTTAGAGCCTAAGAGTCAGACAGATTTGAATTGGGCATACCATGAGCACCGAGAGAAGCGGGGCTTTCTCTGCTTCCGCAAATATTTATGACAATTCATAGCATTTAGAGCGTTGTAATGGTGATGCTGAATCAGGCAATCATGATTCATGACCATTTGTTACCATGATGGTGAATTAGATTTGCTCGAACGAACAACCGCGAACACAAATTCCGAAAATATAATTCACAGCTATTCAACCGGCTCCCTCGTCTTTTGAATTTGCGATGCTACCTAAACTTGACAACTATGATGGTCAGTCATAATGGTGACTGCGTGTAGTGAGCTCCGATGACAGGGACTATACCTTTCACAAATCAATTTGTTTCTTTGTGTGGTTCCATTATCCATTTTCATACATCCAGTGGTGCGCTTCACAAATAGTCGTACAGGAGTAGACTTGACCCTTGATATTTTCAGCTCGTGAAAGCGATTCAGGAGTTCATCGACATCACGGTCTATGTCTTGCTGAAATTCATGATTGATAGTATAATCAGGACACTCGTAAGTTGTGCTTCGCGCATTGCAAACATAGTATTCGGCCATAGGTTAGTTGGGCATCGTGAATCGTGGCAATTACTCACCAGCCCTAGCCAAAGTATCTTCCGATATCCAACAGAGTTCTGCCCTGAAACATCGCATAGCAGTGGCGAGCCGCCAGTCCCTGACTCCCTTGACCGATCAATTCATTTATGTGACTCCTTCCGAGGGCTTGTACACGTTTTGTGATCTGTGCATACATCTCTCTACTCATTTCTGGTGCCTGGCCAGCGTTTCCCAGAGTCATGTTCAGCACCCTAGAATGCTCCAGCTTCTTTCAGACATACATGTGAACGGCTTTCCGGTCAATACCATCCATTCAGTCCTATTCACGTAAAATCTCGTTGGCTTTGGAAGGAATGCATCTCCGAAAGAACTGTGTAGGCAGTAACGTCATGGTGTAATACAGTCATTGATATTAATCACGCTGTAAGCGGGTGCAAGGACTCATGCGCAAAAACTGAGGAAACAATAAGCAAAAGAGCGACAGATACAGAAGACAGATTACAAGACAGAGTGAACATGGCTTACGTAAATGTAACGAGAAACCTGCTGATCAGATTTGGAGCCTCACTTATGTAAGCTTGAATTCGGGGATCTGTATAACGCTGCGCAGTTATGTACTACAGTAATGTTGTGGGCACCGGCCTTAGCTCGGCAATGCCCGACATATTTGGGCCTCCAGAGAACTCGGAGTACTTTGGTCTTCTCTAAAACCCTCGCTTAATAGAGTATCGGTCGACGACAATGAATTGAGTGTCCAGGCTAACGGCACGGATAAAACCGAACCGAACAAGATTGGCATCGAGGGGAATTTGGCGTGAGGTAAGGTTGTACCTAGAACGAACCTGACGATAGTCAACTAGTCACCCCTAAGGACGATGAATACGTACGATGCGATGGCGGTGTGACTATGCAGATCTGTGGCTGACTCAGGTGTGGTGTGAGTAGAAATAATAATATGTTTATGGCACATATTCAAGTTGGATATCAAGCAAAAGTCTGCGACAGGACTAGCTCTCAAGCTTAAGCTGATAGGCTAACATTTACCGTTGAGATCTATTAGAAGACCTCAATTCTAAAATATTCTTAGCGTTTGGGACCTGCATGCAGGGCGGAGCTATGGCGCTGATCAACCTGCACCCGTGCCTAAACCTTACGCAAATGCCTTATAACTAAACTTGGCATTATGACCTTATAATGGCCCTTATGATTTTTCAACAGGAAGACGCGACGGCCTGCCTCAGAACGAAAATCGAGGAATGAGTTGCAACTCGTTTATACTCGTTGTAACTGTTCGAGCCTAGTCATGGTTGCCTCGATCGAGGTATGTCCTTACGTTACGCTGTTCGTACCTCAGTCAATGTTTCTCTTGTCCTGTGCAGCGGCAGCCGAAGTAACTCATATTCCGGAACGGTTATCATTCCGGGGCGACCCTGGTATGTAAAGCGATAAGACGTCCGCGTCAGTGCTCGCGAGTAGTCACCTTTGTATAAAGTTCCAATGGAACTTAAGGTTTCCTTGCATGAAGTTTTCCACCTTCTGACACAATCCACCTTCTGGGAGTACCATGGATCCCGAACAAAATCTACCTAAGTTGCCTTCCATCCCCATCGAGCACTCTTCTCAAGTTCAAGTTCAGCCTTCGGCATTATCACTCGGATTAACAGACAATGGGGATCGTCCACAGACTCAGTCATCGGCGACTGATCAGAAGCCCCTACTTGGCAAGGACAATTCAGAGGGACATTCCCCAGCTCGTGATCGCAATGATCCATATGTGGATTTTGAGCCTGTCCCTCGAGCTCCTCCAGCTACGAGAAGCCGGGACGGTCACATGATGCGTGGATTGTCGCGGCGAACAGTCGTAGAAGGCCAGGCTCCTAACCTTGGCTGGATAGTGCCCGTTGACGAGAAACCTCACGTTTGTGTTGCTTCCCCGTTTGATTTTGCATCAATTCTTAACCTGACTTTACAGCGACGGACCATAGGAGAGCGACTCGATCCAACTATCGCCAACGCGGAGAGGGAGAGGGAACAATACGCCATAAAAGGTCAGTCAAATTGTCAAATATTACTCATCTTCTGCTCGGTATGAGAGCACGATGAGATTTCTTATTTCTCTGTACATATTCTGATGGTGTTCTTTTTGAAGCAAGAATGACAGGCTACGCATTGAACATCGCGATAGGTTTACAAATTCTGCTTGGGGCACTTACTACGGGTCTTGCGGCGGCATTGTCCGGTAAGCAGGTTAGTTTGAAAGTGCATGGATATCATCTTACGATAAACTAACTCTCATATAATTCTAGGTTTCGTTCGGTATTTCTATTCTGGGTGCGTATCCACGTCCCCTACATTCAAAGCTCTCATAAAGACAGCACCTCAGGTGGCATGTCGACCTTAGTTGCTTCCTACCTCGCTCGGGCAAGGGGATCGAATGAACCAGAGTTATCCATCACTCGTGTGAAGGACCTGGATCATTTCCTAAGAGACTGTCTTGCCTTCAAAATGGACCATGGACACGAATATGGAACACGTGAAAATGGGCTGAATGATCGGCTCGAGTATCTTAGAAAAAGGTTCGAAGAACTTCTTGGGAATGCCGATGGGTAGGTCATCTTGCGCTCGCGTTACTATGCTATGTTGACACTCGACGATCTACTTTAGGCAGCGGAAGCTTTCCCCACCTGTTTGAGTTTGCTTCTGGACCTCCTTGAGGTTCAACCCCGCAAACAAGATGGCTGGTGTCAAGGCTGGTTTATGATAAGCGCAACTGTCCTAGTAATTTATCTACGAGCTGATATGTATAACTCCCTGAAATAGTATCCCACGTTACTTTGCCGTCCTAAAACATTCACTACAGATGGTATTGCTGGTGTTGAAAGCCTTCCTTCGCACTTATCCACCATATCGGAGAGGTGGTTAACCCCCTCAGAAATGCAAGTAGTAGTCCCAACACGCATCACAGCGCCACCCTGCAGAATGTGTCAAAGTTGAAGATGCCAATAGTAGCCTTCAATTTCTCTACCAAGGCGAGTCGAGTGCCCACCTTGCAATGATCGTAACGAAGACATAGAACAGAAACATCCCTGCTAATCAGTTGATGCGACCTGGACAGCGACACGATCACAAAACACCAGTCCGAAGGCTACCATAAGACCAATGTGGCACACAGGGGGTCGAGTGTGCGGCGTTAGATCCTATGCTGGTTCATCAGGAATGTGAGCTTCACCGTCACTACTAGCTTCAAGGCTATGGCCCTTATCCTATCGATACACAAGGACGGACGTCTGACCCTCCCACCGGTCATGTGTATAGGACATTTCATGTTCGGAAGTGGCAATCACGCGGTGACAGGAAGCGTTGGACAATCTGCGACCATGATAGGCAGCATGTTCTGAAGGCCAAATTGGTCGTCCGACGTGTTCATATCCGTGTGCGGATGTCGCAATAAGACTCCAAGGTCGGTAGAACTTGTTTAGGCAGAGCGGCTCGTGTGTAAAACCTCAGTCAGCCGTTCATGATGCGGATTCTTTTAATAAACAGCTGGGCGGAAATCCAAATTCCGGGCTCCCTCAAGGGGATGTCAGTGTTGACAGCAAGGACAACATCATGCAGTAAAGGGAAAGACTCGGACCTCGGACTAAGTAGCCAAACATCAAGGTGGTGAGAGACTGACTTTCAAATACAAAATCGAGCCCGCTCGCCGGAAAACCAAGGACTCCTGTACTAATTTTCTGTAGTTAATTGTTAGCTAGATACTTAAACTACGACTCGCAGTAGAGTCTTAGATCTTGCGCGGACGCATCGATCGGCGTCGCTAGACTGCAACTCGCTCGTGTACTTTGCGAGACAGTCTATCTCGGAAGAACGTGTTTTCATTCTTCTATGGGATCTGTTTATCCTGAGCTCTTCATAAAGACTGAATATCCATCCCGTGTGATGAATGAGCGTGCAATCGACGCCCACACGCAATTCAGACACTATTTATCACGGTCATCGCAAACTGTGTCTTGTCACTGCATAAAGTGTTGTGGCAGATCCGTGTTGCACAATTCATTCTTATTCGCGAATCGCGAGTGCACGATAAGAGCGATCACCTCTTGCTCCGAGGAAACACACTGGAAAATACAAATTGAAGTTCGGAGTTAGACGTACATATCGGGTAGGCATACAGTCTCAAAGTCTGGAATATCAAAGTCCTTGGCAACAGGTTGCGCGTGGCCGTGACTGAATGCTACATGCGAAGTTGTCAGATTTGTCTCAAGATTACGTCAAGAGAGGACACACGGGATTAATGATCATATGCCAATATGCACGAACACTATGCGCTGATCCAAGGGTATGTCCGTGTCACAGGCCAACAACTGGACCGCTCGGTGGAGCGCCCGGGCAGCTCGTTTGGAAGTCATCCTACCATCTCCGCAAAAGTTTTTGTAAAATTCTTCAACTAAGCGCTGCACAGTATTATCATTGACCTTCCATAATGTCCCAACGACGCTCTTAACCCCAGCGAATTGCAGGCCAGCCGCTAGGTGTATCACCTCGTCGGGCGTACTAAAGGTACCGACTGCGGTTTCACAGGCAGAAAGAAATGCAAATTCATGCTGAGATAGATCCATCTGTGTGATGTCGAGGAGCGAAAGTGGCTGGTCACGCATGAGAAAGGCTGACTTGAAGGGTTCGTCAAATTTCTGTGTCCCGTGACATGCGAGATGGAGCCAAGTATTGTTTCGCAATGCGCACAGTGCCCTCGATTTCGTGGCGTCAACACTGGTTATTTTGGAGAAGGAAACAGTTGGGGGAGGGGGTAAAAGTCTCCGCACCAATTCCAACTCAGGCTCCACAGCATCCAAAGTGAATAAGGCACCGGCTGGGCAATCCTGGCCAATGGCAACAAAGGGAACCAATGTGGACCTATCATGACATCCGCGAGCCTTGATCAGCGCGGTGAGCGATGGCGTATACGAAGAGATATACTGCTGTGAAAGGAATTTTCCATTTGCCCTGTACTCGCCAGCAGCATGCAACGGCAAGAAATTGAATAGAGACGTCGGGCACCACCATATTCGGGAACCTCGTCGCGCAAACCCGTTAAGATTCTCCACCACTGGGCAGACGACAACGTCCCACAGCTCTCTCAAAGCCTTGATCAGCGCTGACTGGTTTCCTTTAGGATCGGCCTCTTTTTCAACTGCCTTTCGGAGTGCGAGTACTAATTTGCCAAGTTTCTGCAAATCGGTAGGGAGTTGAATGCTAGTCGGAGGTTGCTTGTGCGGGACGATAATGGCATGGCAAGAGGATTCGCTTGCGATGAGCACGATGATAGGCCCATCACGAGCTGCATCTTGAAGATCAGAGAATAAGGGGGGAAGGAGGAAGCGAGAGAAGCCCTCGATCTTCCGGATTTCTTCTACAGTTCCATTCCACTCCTCCACTAGACGTCTGTACCGGGTTTCCTCTGCTTCTACATCAATTCTTGGGATTACTTCTGGATAGTTCGCGGGAGGTTTATCGAGGAGGGAGCTGAGTTCTCTGAATCTCCTCGTGAGGGCCACTGCATGATCACCGTGAGTTTGGAGGGTGTCAAGAGGGGTGCGGGGCCGTGTCATCTGAGTCCAGATGATAGTCCTGCCTTGTTCCAACAACTCAACAGCGTGACACACGTCACCACTACGAAGCGCACATGATGCAGCGTCCACAGCGAGTGTACTCGGAAAGTCCATCATGACCTTATGACGAGACGATATCGAAGCTGTCACAGACATGTAAGCGTCCAGAAGTTGCATAGAAGTTGCATAAGCCTCCAGTTGAGTACCATGTCTGTGAAGATCAGCACAGCGAACCCATAGTATGCTTGTCTGCAGGCGGGATAGCAAGCCTCCAGAGACAACATTTGCTGCGGCCTTGAGATGATAAAATGCAGCATCGAGACTGTCCGTGCATTCACCCACACCGGTGTCGTCCATCCCCGAATGATGGAGTGATATGTAGACCTTAAATAGCGACGTATGAACTGCTAATTGACGAGGATCATGTTGCGTCAACAGAGTCAATGCACAGCGTAGGTTCTCTCGTGACTTATCCAAGTCTTCGTTGTTGCCTCGTTGCTTAAAGCGGATGAGGGATTGGCTTGCAAGGTTATTTAAGAATGAGGGTCGATATCTGTGACCGACCGGACACAAGGCCAGGGCTTCCCTGTAAAGTGCGATAGCCTCATCTAAGTCTTCATCGTTGCCTCGGTGCTCAAATCTGGAGGAGAGTTGGATCGCAAGGTTATTCAATGTCCCAGACCGATCTTTGTGGCCGACCGGGCGCAAGGCCAGCGCTTCCCTGTGAAGTGCAATAGCCTGATCAAAATCTTCGTTGTTGCCCCGGCGGCGAAAGCGGATGGAGAGTTGGGCTGCGAGGTTGTCTAATGGCGTGGATCGGTCTGTGTGACCGACTGGGAACAAGGCCAACGCTTCACTGTAAAGTGCGATAGACTCATCCAGATCTTCGTCGTTACCTCGGTGGTCAAAGCGGGAGGAAAGTCGAGTCGCGAGATTATTTAATGATGTGGAGCGATTTTTGTGACCAACTGGGCGCAAGAACAGTGCTTCCCTGTGAAGTGCGATAGCCTCATCCAGGTCTTTCTCGTTGCCTCGGTGGTCAAAGCGGATGGAGAGTTGATTTGCAAGGTTATCCAATGCCCCAGACCGATCTTTGTGACCGACCGGGCGCAAGGCCAGCGCTTCCCTGTGAAATGCAATAGCCTGCTCCAAATCTTCCTCGTTGCCTTGGTGCTGAAAACGGGAAGAGAGTTGAATAGCAAGGTTAATCAATAGATCAGACCGATCTTTGTGACCGACCGGGAGCAAAGCAAGCGCTTCCCTGTGAAGTGCGATAGCCTGATCCAAGTCTTCGCTGTTGTTTCGGTGCTCAAAGCGGGCGAAGAGCTTAGTCGCAAGGTTACTCAATACTCCGGACCGATCTGGGTGACCGACCGGGCACAAGGCCAGCGCTTCCCTGTGAAGTACGATAGCCTCATCCAGATCTTGGTTGTTGCCTCGGTGGTCAAAGCGGGTGGAGAGTTGATTCGCAAGGTTATCTAACGACTTGGACCGATCTGCGTGACCGACCGGATGCAGGGCTAGCGCTTCCCTATGCAGTGCGATAGCCTGATCCAAGTCTTCAACATTGCCTCGGTGGTCAAAGCGAGTGAAGAGTTGATTTGCAAGGTTGTTCAATGCACCAGACCTATCTTTGTGACCGTCCGGGCGCAAGACCAGCGCTTCCCTCTGAAATGAGATAGCCTCATCCAAGTCTTCGTCGTTGCCCCGGTGCTCAAAGCGTGAGCAAAGTTGAATCGCAAGGTTATTCAATGCCCCAAACCGATCTGTGTCACCGACCGGGCGCAAGGACAGCGCTTCCCTCTGAAGTCCGATGGCCTCGTCCAAGGCTTCATCGTTGCCTCGGTAATCAAAAAGTATGGAGAGTTGAGTTGCGAGGCTATTTAAGGAGCTGGACCGATGTGGGTGACCGACCGGGCACAAAGCTAGCGCTTCCCTGTGAAGCGCGATAGCTTGATTCAAGTCTGCGTCGTTGCCTTTGTGGTTAAAGCGGGCAGAGAGTTGATTTGCGAGATTATTTAATAATGTGGGCCGATTTGCGTGACCAACCGGGTGCAAAGCCAACGCTTCCTTGAGATGTGCGATAGACTGATCCAAGTCTTGGTCGTTGCCTCTGTGTTTAAAGCGGAAGGAGAGTTGAGTCGCGAGGTTATTTAATGATGCGGACCGATCTGGGTGACCGGCCGGGCACAAAGCCAGCATTTCCATCTGAAGTGCGATAGCCTCATCCATGTCGTTGTCATTGCCTTGACGCTTGAAGCGAGTGTGCAGCATTATAGCCAAATTACTTAGTAATTGTCCTCGATAAGCATGCCCGATGTTGTAGTATCCCAGTGCATCATAATGAAGGGAGATCACTTCATCTAAGTCACGCGGTTCATCTATCTGCAAACACCGCTTTGCTCGTTGAACAAGTTGATTCGGCGATAACGGAAGCATCGATGCGGCGGGACCCTCTTGCCCAAGATCATTTGCATCGATTCTTCCAGCAGAATGCAGGGTGGATGTTTCGATTATGATCAAGGCTGCTCTGTAAATATAGCTGTTCGCATGACAGACATCCAGCACTTCGCTCAGTAACTCCGTAGCTGCATCAGCATCCGTTTGAGATCTCCGTTTCGCGAAGCGAGAGAGCAGAGCAGTGGCAAGATGGAGCTGGGTGATAGGTCGGTCCGGATGTTCAGTGGGACGTAAATCAAGTGCGTCTTGAAAAAGAGAGATAGGCATGTCAAGATCGAGGTATCTTCCGTGAGCTTGGCAACTAATAAACTTTGCGCTGGCTAGATTGAACAGTGCTGCAGAGCGGTAAGGATGATCCGTGGGGCAGAGATCCGAGGCCCGTTCAAAGTGGTTGATGGATTGGTCCAAATCCCTGCTGTTATGCATCCTGCGGTATCGTGCGAGAAGACGATATCCGGCATCCGTCTTCAGTGCTAACGCATCCATGTCGCGAGATGTAGACTGCACTTACAGAGATCAATATCAAAATGCCAGACTGCATTGATCACTCACAGTAGTAAGGGGGCAAAGTACTCCAGGGTCGTGTTCATCAGATAGTCGCTTCTCCAATGTCATGAGCAGTGAGGTACAAGCAGATACGACCTCCTCCTGCTTTGGCAGAAAAGTCAAGGCTGTGATACTCGTTAGCATCTGTCAGACATCATATGCAACTAACAATACTGACGAAGCGATTTTTCGCTGCGATCCAGTAATTCCCCAACGGAGATCTCAAATGTGCGGAGGAGTTCTCCATGACAGAACATGGGACCCGATTCAAATGAGGCATACACGCTAACCCGAACTTTAAAAGATGGCTCGCACGGCCTGGATTCTTTCTCAATACCTGCAGGACAGACGGAGGTAAGGACAACATACAGAAGAATGCGTTCATGCCATTCGACGACAGCTTGGTTTACGTGTACAGATTTATTGCTTGTCTGGTATTCAGCACCTTCAGTCTTGACCACTGCATGGAAGCCAGCAGGGATCCGTCGGAGACCAAGAGTGAGATCAATTGCACGGATGGCTTGAAGAAGATGGTCAGTACTAGCTGAGCGGAGATAAATAACACATGCCAGTAATGACGACTTGTTGCACTCCACTGACGTGTATCTCTCCCGGGTCTTGGATGTGTCCTGTGTGGCTAGACTCCTCACCCAAGGCTGGAAGGGGATCATCGAGTGGGTCCGACACGGAATCTGTGATGGGAAATCATGGGTACCACGTGTTGAGTGAAGGCAGATTGCACATACTACTACTAGTTCCGTTGATGGCGACGTGTAGCATTTCACTGATCACGAGGTCCGTGTCTCTCGGATCGTGGGGTTGTTCTGGTTGGCCTGGCTTCTCACCTAAGGCTTGGAGGGTATGGTCTGGCACGGAGTCTGTCGCGAAACAAAACAGGAGATCAATGACGAAACACAGTATCGCCAGAATTCCTTTGGAAAGTCATCTGTACGGGTCAAATGATGATAGACGTGAAACACACTATTGATGACAGCTTCTAGTGTCACGAGGTTCTTCTGGTCTGTGTCATGGGAGCGTTCTGGGTGGCTCGGGCCCTCTCCCAAGGGTGGAGGATCGTCATTAAAATGACCAGGGACGAATCTTGACATATGACTGAGGGGATAGATTCAAACTAACACCTGGAAATAAGATGTATGCTGGAGGCCACGAACATGCTGTTCTGATGGATTATAAGTGGGGCGATCACAGCATGCATGTGGCATCCTCATTAAGTTACAGTGGGCGTCAGCTTTGTATAGCAGGGGCACGTTGTAGGGGTGTGATATTGATAAAGCAACCGACGAAGCGAGAAGGCTGCGAGGCTGAAGAGCAGGGCACTTGTACTTTCGCAAGAATTCACATCTCCGAAGCCGCACTGCCTGAATGTCACTGCCGTCCTTGAGCTTCAACTTGGTGACAGACCATCCTACTGCTGAAAGTGCAACCCATCAATGACAAACGGCCGGATGGTTCCAAGGTTTGGAACTTTGCAATGCCAGGCCCAATGTTTCCAATGATACCCGCGGACAAGCTAGATCAACCTTACTTGGATGAAGATGGCCGTTTCTTCCCAGTGAAGTGTTCAACACTGCCACACAGCAACTTCAAATATGCACTAATGCCGTCAAGGAGCTTCTTCTCTCTGCCCAGTTGACATCACTTCAGTCAGAGTTGGCAGACATATATCATTAGATGAATGTCAATGAACAACGTACTACCAGAAACTACAACTTCGTCGTCACTGTACAAGTTACAGCAACAAAAGCGCATTGTTCACTTGATTCATGTCATTCTTCAAGTCGTACTTGCATCATCTCCAAATAGCTGGTATCAACGCTCTGATCATAAAGACAGTCGCTGAGGTATATGCTACGGAAGCGCTTGGAGAGACGGCGACAAACAAGGGTGACATACGGTATCGGATGAGAAGATTGTGTATACAAGGGAAGAAAAGTTGAAACCGTCCGTGAATGCAAATCGTCCGTTGTCGAGAGTAGAACCAGATCAAGTCCTTGAAAACGGTGTATGTGTACAGTAATTTTGAAGTCCATTATGATAGCTAGGCATGTCGCCTTCTGAAGTTAAGGCTGGTCATTTACTCGGTCGTGACCGACTTGGCTCTGCAGGACGAAGTGAGCTTTGAACACCAAGATACAACTCAGAAACTCACAAGTTACGCGGGAAGTCGACGTCAAACCCGTTCTTGATGGCCAAGTGGTAGCTCAACAGCTGCATGGGAATAATGTTCAAGAGACCTTGCAAGCAGTCGACAGTGCGAGGAACGCGAATGGTCTTCACCCCAGCCTTGATTCCGGTATCGCCCTCATTGCAGACCACAATGGGGTGAGCTTTGCGAGCGGTTATCTGTTCGAAGGCGGACTGGACCTTCGGGTATAGCGAATCCTGGGTCATGATGATGATGACTGGCATGTTCTCGTCGATCAACGCCAAGGGACCGTGCTTGAGCTCTCCTGCAAGGATACCCTCCGAATGCATATAGCTAATCTCTTTGATCTTGAGGGCGCCCTCAAGGCAAGTGGCGTGCCTAAAAGGGATCATCAATCAATCTTACGGTTTGGATCGTGAACAAAAGCGACTGACTGATATCCACGGCCCATCAGCAACAAGCTACGCGAGTTTGCAAGGAGGCTATTGGCAAGCTCCCGCAGGCTCTTGTCATTTTCGAGAACACTCTTAATTTGTGCAGGGAGAGCACGAAGGCCGTCGATGATCTGGTTGCGGCGTTCAGTGAAGGAGATCCTATCCTCTGATAGCTGCAGCGCCATCAACATCAGTGCAATGTACTGGGAGGTGTATGCCTACAAAACGCTCAGATCAGATGGTTAATCAGATGGAAAAGGCTTCCGTACCTTGGTAGACGCAACGCCAACCTCAGGGCCAGCATTGATGTGAATACCACAGTGTGTTTCACGTGAGATCGTCGAACCGACAGTATTGACGACCCCAACACAAAGTGCGCCACGCTCCAAACAGTACCGCAATGCCAGGATCGTATCAGCAGTTTCTCCACTCTGACTGACAAAGACACAGATGTCATCACGGAAAATAGGAGTTTTTCTGTCCAGGAAGTCGGATGCAAGTTCTACACTGACAGGAATTTCTGTCAACTCCTCGAAGATCGCACGAGTTGCCAACGCAGAGTGATAACTCGTTCCGCAAGCACAAAATACAATACGGCGGCCACGGCGCATAATGTGCAGATAGGCACGCAGCCCACCGAGCGTGATCTTATAGTCATCGAAGTTCACGCGTCCACGCATCGTGTTGACGACGGATTCGGGTTGTTCATAGATCTCTTTCTGCATGAAGTGATCGAACTTGCCCTTCATGATCTCGGCAATTTCAATCTCGAGCGTCTCGATGTTACGAATGGCAGGTGTTTCAGCCTTGCCAGACTCATCCCGGCGCAGACGGTGAATGTGTAGTTGACCCTCACTGATATGAGCAATGTCATCGTCTTCCAAGTAGAGCACGCGCTTGGTGTGCTCCACAATGGCGGCAGCGTCAGAGGCAATGAAGAATTCGATGGGTTGGGGCATGCCATCCTCGGACATGAAGTTGCGTGACCGGCGACGAGAAACCTTGGGCATTGACGGTGGAGCCAATCGAGAAGTGGGGGAAGTGGGAACGACAACTAGAAGAACATTTTAGTGAAGGCTGGATCGGGGAACGAGATAACTCACGGCTTTCGGGGGCTTTGGTGTCGGCTTCCGCTCCAGCAAACTCAACATCCAAGAAGTCGACTTTGAGTTTCTTCTCAGTCTTGACACCAATCAAGAGAGGCGAACCGCGACGAGCAGTCACGATCTCATTGGGGAAGTGGATAGATTTAACGACCAAGGCGAAAGAACCCTCGAGCTCTTTCAAGACGGTCTTCACAAGAGCTGTGAAGGTCATGCGCTTGTCAGGCCGCGAGTCGTAGACGTATTTTGTTAGAATGGCGACCGCCTCCGTGTCAGTGTCCGACTCGAACTTGAAGCCACGTTTCTGCAAGACTTGTCGAAGGGCTGTAGCGTTAGTCACGATACCGTTGTGTACGACGATGAACTCGTTGTTCACATCGGAGCGAAGGGGATGGCAATTGACAACGGAGGGAGGACCGTGTGTTGCCCAACGGGTGTGGGCAATAGAGACCTGGGATATTACTGTCTTGGTGGTATCGATGCTGGATTCCGCGATACGCTGCCGTAAGCCGGCCACCTTGCCAACCTCTTTGAAAAAAACGATTTCGCCTGGCTTGTCGCCATCGATACCGAGACCTGCAGAATCATAACCACGGTACTCTTGACGAGCTAGACCGGTGCAAAGAATCTCCAAAATCTCTTTACGGTCCTGTGATGTGTAAAGGTCAGCTCATGTAATATGAGGGGATACGGCGCCGAAACCAAGGGTGTAGGTAAAGTTGCTAAATATGGTTATCTAATCATGGTGAGATTTCAAGTCGAAGGCTCGACCGTTCTAAAGACAGAGCGAATAGAATGCGCAGCCACAATGCAGAAGCTAGAAATAACTATCAGGAAGACAACTTACCTTTTCTTTCAAGAAGTTGCAGTAGCCAAAGATGCCGCACATTGTGAATAGTCCAAAGTAATCAGGTTGTCTATATGCGCGTGATAATATTATGATCAGTTCGTCGACACCAGGGATAGTGAGCTTAAACGAACCTAATGTAAGAAAAGGCTGGCGTGGAAGAACGTTGTCGAGGTCGATGAACAAGAACAAAGCATGAGTGAGACGGTTTAAGTACCCTTATTTCTGGGTCAAGGGTGGAACAAATAATACCAAATAAATCAGTCGTGGAACACAGCAATGAGTCGGTGCATCGGTTAAAGTTCCAGAGCCTTTCAGCGCAATATGGAGGCTGCGCAAAAATGTACGTCCAAGCCTTTCGGTTCAAATACTCAGGCGGTTTGATCGAGGCACGCACGGCGATCTTTTACAACAGTCCGACCGCGATTTTGTCGGTTCCGTGCTTATAAGGTCTTATTCAAGGCTCATGGCCATTCGCTTCTGAACTTCCTATGCGTTTTCAAACCAGACGTGTAGCACTAGAACTTGGGTATTCCTTGGAATTGACGTGTTGTCCTTATTCGCGCCCTTTCCAGAAATAGAACATTACATCAAATGAACGATCAACTGTTCAGTGTTGCCATCTGCTGCTAGGCAATCATCTCACAGGTTGCATCATTTTTGCTGCGCAGCAGATAAGAATATGTCCTTCCTTCCAGGCTAAACATATATCGAGTCCTACATTGCCATGCCAGTGCAACACCCAAGGCCGTTCTGGAGTTATATATGGCGTCTTCTGGATATCAATGTCCATATTTCCCAGGAGCACTACCAATGCCCTAGGGTGCATTTCATGCGTGTTAAATTGAATAATCGCATAGGAGTTAGGCTGTACTACACCTTTGCGCCCAGATTGATCCAACGTGCCAAGCTCACATAAGAACAATTACGTAGGGAAGAGGACCAGTCTAATCTTATCAACGAGGTTCAGATTGAAGTCATATTCAACAAATAGCAATGTAACTACGTTTCCATTTGCTGAACCCTGCGACAGATTGACAAAGTTTCTTGCACAGGAATACTCGATCACACGTCATGAACACAATATTAGCGCCAGTCGAATTACCTGATCTCCCTTCTCAAATTACGTCTCGTTACATCCCTTTGAGCGATCGCGATGGTCTGAATGTCCACGTTCTCGAAGCGTTTCCAGATACAAGCAATCATCCGAGCGCACCCTACCATTTAATCCTTCTCCTTCACGGGTTTCCAGAACTTGCTTACTCGTGGCGCAAAGTCTTGGTGCCTATCGCCAACGCCCATCAAGGTTATCATGTCGTTGCCCCTGACTTGCGCGGTTTCGGGCGAACAACACCGGCAGGATCCGGAAGCGCCGGCCAAGTGCAATACGAAGATACGCTTTCCTCGTATCATATACTCAACATCGTAGAGGATGTACGTTCCCTTGTACGAGCGCTCGGATATTCATCCGTTGCGATGCTTGTGGGGCATGACTTCGGGTCTCCTCTTGCGGGACACTGCGTCGTCGCGCATCCGGAACTATTCGCATCGGTCGTGTTCATGAGCGCACCCTTTTCGGGCGTTAATGGCCCACCTCGGTCTCGAACGAATAACGAGGATAGAGATGATAAAACGAGGGAAGGATCCATTGCTTCTTCGGGTCTTGACATTGCCACTGCGCTTGCTGCGCTCCAACCTCCGCGCAAGCACTATACGGCATACTTTTCTACTCTTCCCGCCGATGCTGACTTGCTCGGCCAAGGTGGAAAGGATCTATACGATTTTCTCGGCGGCTACTTCTACATGAAGAGCGGTAAATGGGATGGAAATGATGCCCACCCCCTACCTTCTGCATTTTCACCTTCGCCGAGCATTAGTGAGCTAGCGACGGATCTTGCTACTCTGCCAGAGTACTACGTCATGCCGCTGGACGAAACCATGCAAGAAGTCATTGCTCGTCATGTTCGCATGGACGCCCGAGTCACATGGCCCAAAGGCGACGAAGTCGCTGGGGGGGTATATGCCGCTGAATTTGGTCGCACTGGCTTTCAGGGCGGGCTTAACTATTATCGGAGCGCACTGTCGCCTCCACCCCCTGAGCGTGTAGCCCAACTACATGCTCTGGCTGGACGACGAGTGGAGATGCCTGCGGCGTTTATATCGGGGGCTAGGGATTGGGGAGTGTATCAAACTCCAGGGGCTGTACAGAAGATGCGCGAGGTCGCATGTGGCATGCAGGACGAGGATTTCGTTTTGATCGAGGGCGCAGGCCATTGGGTGCAACAAGAGGCACCAGAGATGGTGGTACGGGAGCTTGTGAGGTTTTTAGGAAAGGTAAAAGCTTTGTAAGCGTCGCCGATGCAATCATGGTTTTGGGGCAACGAATGGGTGGTGATCGCAATCATTCTCTCCTTTCTTTTTTGACGTATAAAAAAAGCTAGTCGGCGGGATCGGCTGTCCATGGCCGTACTATGAGGAATGTGAGTTCAAATTTTCATTCAAGTCTGGGACGGTGTTCTAGATGTCACGGCCGAGCAGTCTGTAGCCATGGCCACAGCAGTCCGCGTGCTCCCCAAGGCCGGAAACAAGTAGAAGACCGGTTCACTGTCAGATATCATCGGTCAGGATCGCCTCCCAGATGTGACTGGACCCTTTGCGTAGTGCACGCAACTTCAAAATGAAACGACCTCATGGGCACCACAGCCTAGATTAGGTCCTTGAACCGCTCGTTTTTTTTTTGCTAATCTAAACAGAGACCACATGCTGGTATTCTGTTTGAAGGACCCAGATATGGTTTGAATGGACGCGTTGTCTCCTTGCGGTCGGACATGCCATATCAGAGCCGTACTTGTCCCGGTGACATCGCAAGGTCACAGTGAATCTTGAAGTGAAGCATCGCAGGTCAGCTGTACTATGAACGTATTGGCGTTATGATCAAGCCCACGACGGATGGCCAAAAAATGGCGTGATCTCGGCATGGGCATCCAGATTCCAGCAGCTGTACCGATGCACCTGCTTACAGTCGCCCGCTATGGCGTGAGTACGATCCTCTAGCAGCGGAGTGCTAGGCTACTATTGAATCTGAAACAGGAATGGAGTCGCAAGGGCGAAAGAACAACTGTATTTACGCGCTGCAACGTTATATGTATTGATCTGATCAATGATCCAATGCCGTCCTCTAATGTCATCGAGCGTTTTCATCACGTGACCGCGATGCGTGGATCGACCTGTGGTTGCCATAATGGAGGCCAAAAAAGCCAGTTTTCAAGAGTAACGGCGTGTCAACGCGTTAAAATGATCCCACAGCGCTCCCCGAGGCTGAACATATTTTGCGCTGCGACAACCTCGGAGTGAGCGTCAACCAGAGATACAACGCTGGCGGTACATTAAATATTTACGATGCCTCAGACTGGAGTCGGTCGCTTGTGTGGACGGCGTCTTACGGTGTGGAATTAAAGGCGCCACGATGAGGACGCGAGAAAGTCCTGGTACAGGAAGCTTCTTTACTCACAAACGTTGGACGCGTAACGTTCCTGCTGCTTCTGTACTACTAGAACCGCCAAGGGTGGTTAAAATTTCAAGCTGGACTGAACGGCGCATCCGAAGAGGTTTGTAGGAATGATCCGTATGCGGACGGGAGGGATAACGGGCAAGAATGATTTATTGGCGGCCAAAGACAGGTTTGTATTAAAGATTCCCGTCTTATGATTTTATATTCCGCGGATCTTGAGGGTGCTCCTGAAACTCGCCCGGAGCTAACGAAACAAGGAGAAAGATATCAATCTGTGGTGCGGGAGGAACGCCATCGGGGCAGACTAGCGTTGTCCGCGGGGGCCTCGAGGAGAGTGAAAGAGGAGAACGCTGATCATGTTGAAGTTGGGAGAGCATCGCCGCCGACTTTTAGGTACCTTCTGGCCGAATAAGGCGGGTGGGGATAGAGTACAGATTTGCTCAGATGGGAATAAATGTTGAAAGTAATGAAAGGACCATTTTAGATGTCAGGATCGTGATCGGCATAGGAATCATAGTTTACGGCAGAGGATTGACGGGGATTCTTATTTGTCTGTCAATCCGCGGGTTAAAACACGTGAAGGACAAGGGAGGTCAAGGGTGATCGATGGGACAGCCCTTGGTCATGAGACAAGGTACCGGTGGTTGGAAACCCGAGAGTTAGTTAGATCGGTGTCAAAAGGCGGATCACGGGAGGGTATCTAAACGTTGAACAACATGTAGTGGAGACATGTGCCCAATGCATGGCAGATCTACACATGATTGGTCGAGAGGATGGGGAGCAGGAACGTGCAAGCGGGCGAATGATGCGTTCTTCGTAGTCGCTGTGCGTTAATGACCGGTCAACACGAGCTTGATTCGAGAAAAAGTTTATGAGAAGAGTTAAAATCGAAGATCTTGATATGGCCATGAAATGACTCACTTTGGAAGATCAACGACTGATGGATTTACAAAGTGCTTTCTCTTGCCTTGATCTGCCCTCGCTGAACCGTATCGGTATCACGAAACATTTATACTCCGTTAGATAGCAAGCTGTACCCGACTGCGGCACGCAATCCGAGCGCAAATCCACAACCGGGAAGGAGATCCGAGGTGACGTAAAGAATTCATGACAAAACAGGCAGAAGATGATGATGATTTTATGTGTTTTGACAAGATGGTATGGGCGTCAAACACGTTTCGGTAAATATCGGACACCGGAGAAGACCACCGGATATGGCAACTTTGATTTAGACGCTGGTGGGATGTGGATCCCAAGGCGAACGCTACCATATATGGACACCGACTTCACGGTGAGGACCACTACTTGCAACTAACGGTAGTTCACCGCTGCTGCCGGGATTTGGTAAGTTTCCGGTGTATCAAATGAATTGTTTGAAGGGGTATATTTTGTTTTGTTTTTTTTTAAATAAAATATACATGAAATTCCGTCATGGGAGTTGACATTTTTCACACAAGATACTTCCATTCGGACGTGCCTCTGCAACGAGTTCCGATCCAGATTTTAGATCTGGGCGCCCTGCATACGCTCCCTCCGTTCTTTACATCAGAATGTCAAATGTCGGATACTGAGATCTCGCTTTCTTCTTTCAAACTTCATTTTCCGTTGGTTCTTATAGAGTGCACCAAAACCTCTCGACTCAAAACACTTTCACTCCCCTGAATTATCATCCCTCTTCCTTCGCTTCCCCCTTACCGATTAGATGTCGTTGGATCATTATCCAATCCTCACAGACAGACGTTTTCAGCCCACAGACAGACAGTCTTACCAGTTACATGATTTAACTCCCCCGACCCACTGGAACTACCAATCCTCCAGATCACAAAATGAAATCCCTCATGATTATTCTTCATCCTGGAACGTCAATTTACTCAATAATTGGTCAAATGACGTCCTACCCTCATCCTCCTCTTCCTCATCCTCCTCTTCCTACATGCGCTACCCACAATCCATTTACACAGAACGTCATTTACAATCATCATCTCCATCATCCTTTGAACGCCAAGCAGCTGCACTCCAACACCGCTCCCCATCAGTAGCTTCCACTTTCAAATTCGACGATTCTTCTTCTTGGCCCGCAACTCTTTACACTTTGGATGACAGAAGTACCCCATCCCATTCCATACCACCAACAGTCACTAGCACATCTCCTTCCGCGCGTGCTTCTTCCAGAGCTTCATCATCTAGATCACCTCCCGTCAAGCTCGAACAAGATGAAGTTTCAAGCGCCGATTGCTTTGTCATGGAATTTGCTACCGCTGTCCCAGCTGCGCAGGATAGCGCCTCATTGGCTCCCCCAACTGAAGTACCCTTGCGCGCGACCCAAGCAAGCAAGGCAATGCGCAAAATGATGGGCGTCTTTCGCCTCAATCCCTTCTCAATGCATGAGGGTGGTGGTCAGGCAATGAGCACCTGGATGGGCGAGGATGCAGGCCCCTTGGACGAAGAACCTCAGGTCTTCGAGTTCCAACTCGACATTGGCTACCGCGATCCAGATGAGGAGCTCGAAGAACAACAACCTTCTCAACTTCACACTCTCGTAGAGGTTCCAGAACCTGTCCAAGATGAAAACACGAGGTGGGCGGAGGGTGACGACTCTGAGCTATCATACCCCACACATAACACTTGGGCCACCAACGACACCCCGTGCCACTCATACAATTTGCCATCGCTTAGGTCATATAATTCGCATTCCCACTCCCCTTCGCTATCTTCTGCTTCGTCGCGTAAAACGCCCTTGGATATGTCTGCCTCAGAGGTATGCTTCCATCTAAGACCAATCATATCATCGTTTACTAATTGATTGCAGTATTCGGGCCCATATACACTCCATGGCTCTGGCAGCTGCGGTTCTTCCACGGATAACCTTCCGTCACTCTCATCTATGGCGCGACGTTGGTCTATTCCTGCCAATCTACAAGCACCATTCATGATATAAAGTAATCATCATCATCATCATTACGATTAATCAAAGCGCCGGTAGCGCTCAAGTCTCGGATCACTGTTGCAGCTTGTTCTGCACTTTGGATGGCCGATCGGGTTGCTTGTTTTACTTACATACACTGTTGCATTTTCTTGTTCTTGATCATCTTTTATTGTCTTGGGTCGTTCTTCGCTCACGGACAGAACTTCAAATCAAATTTCTGGCAGGTTGGAACGCATGTAATATATACTCTGCAAAATCATATGATACCATTATTCCCCTTTGTTGCCAAGTAAACCCTTTCACGTCACGATCGTATCTCCGCCACTGTGCCTCTGCATGGGCTAGTTCGCTTCACCACTCAAAACCGATCCTCTAATCGCGCTCGCTGTGTGGCGACGAACCCTGATCTATGAAGAAGTCTTCAGGGTTTGTTAAGAGTTACTATTGGTTACCACTACTTCGTGCACTCCCTACACCAACACATCTTCAAGATAAATCACCTACATCTAAGAAACAAAGGTGGTCACTCTCGCTGTCACCTGCCGATACTGCCGTAGCGGAGTTTCAATATCACTGGCCAGAGGAAGAGGCGGACGTTCACCTATTCAAACTATTGGCTCAGGCAAAATCACTCTGGTGCTAACTGCTCCTCAGGCTTCTTCGCAACCAGGCATTTTAATAGTTTATATTCTCGCAATACATGTCTAGTGCCGAACGGGCTTTGAAATCGGCCAGCGTGACATTCCGTGACATTTCTGTGACTGCAGTGCACGAACTAATGGTAACCAATAGTAGAACACAGACGCATATCGATTCCAGACGAGTCCAGAATATATCCCGCAGTTCTGAACCGGCAATGAGGCGGTTTTTAGCAAGATTAATTTTTATGAATGTAAAATTGAAATTATAAATATCTGCCAATGTATACATGTCGTGTTGTTCACGAGTCGCCGTCAGCGTGTACGGCACGACGCGCTCGTGGGAACAAGGTACCATGTCTAAGTCCGTAAACATGTGCGTTTACTTATGGGCTCGAGCTACTATCCTGCAGAGCAAAACATAAAAAAATGATCCGAGCGCCAATCATGATAGTAGAGAAGCACACGGACTTACTATGCATCTCTCACTATTTATTTCATACAAACATTTTGACTCGGAAGCATCAGGGCGTTCAAAGGCGGTGCACTCTGAATCCATCTAGAACCTGGGGTAAATCGGTCGATGCGGCCGCAATGATTTAGAGAGCGACTTGTTTGAGAATGTTGAACCCTCGTTTTCTTCTTCTTCTTGACAGGTCGACCTAAGGCCTGACGGACATCATAACGCTTCCCACGAACATTGGTTATTATTACTGACATCAGCTGGCACATGATACAGTACAAAATGAACCGACTTGTTGACATAGGGCTACGCCCCACGGGGACAATGAATAAGATTAACCCGCGTGAAGGGTCCGAAGTTGCGAAGCCAGCGTGTTCTGCAACGTGGGGCGTAAGCTTGTTGTCAGAAGTGATTGCAGTGAGTATTCAGAGTTGTGTACCATGAATCTGGTGCTATATTATTCAGCGATCTGTTAAGGTTCAAGGAAGCCGTATCCCCGCTTGCCGCTGTCTTCAATTCTAGACGGACATGCCGAGGCCCTGCGATGGTTTAATGGTGTGCGTTCGAAGGCGGTTATGCGTCCTTACTGTCGCCCGAGCGCCCGTGAAGATCTGGGGTGACACAGAAACAGAACACGACACGCGCTCCGTGAACTCGAGAACCACAGCAGAAGAGATGAAGTCGGTTTATAGTGAGAAGTTCAGGGAGATGTCGCAACACTTCTAAAAGGTACGGAAACCTACCTAAAGTAGAGTCGAGTTAGTTACAGACAAGCTAAACTGCAATCTGCGAAGGATATCTACCCACCCCACAGATTCGAGGAGGCCAGAGAGGACAACGAAAGCCGTCGAGCGTTGCACTAACTCCCCAATAAGCTCCGGCAACTCAACAAGTTACCTTGCATGCCTAGCTATCAGCACGACTTTACGGGAAGTCAGCCAGTTCGTCATATCGTGTGAATGGTGGCGTAGAACTAGCGGCCCATAGATGTCAACGACATACGCCGGATTTCTGGTGATTCAGTGCCTTGAAACACTCACGATAATAAAGATACGATCTACTGTTACAGGCAGCCGTGAAATGCGACAGGCGATGATATGGGTCTAGGCCAGGCAAGAAAATCGTGACAATTACCAACAGAACTGCTTACAGTTGATATATGACACATCCAAAAAAAAAGGGGGGCACAAGGTCGTTAACCAACAGAAAAAATTCTTGAAACGAACGAAAGGACATACCTCGGTGGCGGTTTGTGAGCAGCAAAGAGGGTGGTGGAATCCGGACAAAGGCGAGTCAGGACATGAGTTAGAAAGTTACGAGACCGAGGATGAAAAAGGATCATTATTTCTAGCACTGACACTCAGTGAAGCGGTCATGAAGCGGGTAATCTGACCGGTCGGTCAAATATTCGAGTCACGAGCTTTCCTGGTGCCAGAAAAACACGGAGCACTCTGGCCCATTCCCCCAACAGTCGTCGGTTTTAACGAATGCCGTAAATGTCTCACTGACTTATTGCAAGGAATGGTCAAATTGTCGCCTGACATGCAGACGGAAAGGACTGAAAAGTCGCAGGCGTTGACCGCTAATAAAACAACAGTTTAGGTGTAGACGCGCACATAAATTTTCCCCACACCTCGATACCCTCTAGCCCAGCACTGAGCGTAGACGCAGATCTTCTTCATGCTAGCTGCTTCTCGAGAAGCAGGCGTTCTTTTTAGATCGATGTCAGGGATTACCCTAAAGTCAGAGTGCTGGGCGTGTTCACAATCTTGTGTCACGAACTCCGAGGAGTCTTTGTCAACGTGTCTCTACCAGGTGTTGTTCCCGTTATGGGAACAAATCCTTACGGGTAGGTGCTACAACCTCAGATCCAAGAGAATGCGGTAAAGCGGTTGGTGGTGGCAGGAACGCAAGAGGGGCTTATAGTTTTGCCTTGAACAAGGCAGAAAAACTTTTGGGCATGTTCGGGCAATCGGCCCGAGAATTTGGCGGAGAATTAAAAAGCCAGCCACGCGAGAGCCACGAGAGCCGATGGCCACGAGATCTGTCAAAACAACCACCACGCGAGCGAAGCAAATCCGAGCTATTGGTAGTCTTGTCAGCATAAATCACTTGCCACCTCCTTAAGTACTTCACATCTGCTCCTTGTTTTTCGCCATCGCCATCAAGTTCAGCTAGTTCATGCTTGATAACGAGGAATATTCTCATGGACGTCGAAGAAGCGTCGACGTCGGCGGTTTGGCGCTTGCACTCGAAAACCAAGGCCTGGGTCATGGGTGGGGTGGATGGGAAGAGGATGAGCAAGGAGAGACTCGGTAAGCCGTATTATCGTATATTTTTTATCGGACAGGTTCTTACTACTGTTTGATAATAGCTACGCTGAACTACTTAGCGATATGTACAACCACACCCACACGACCGTCAGTCACCATGTGCATGATATGTAATGTCCTCTTCTGTCGCATCTAAGTATTTAATCCGATCCCTTTATCAGCTCTCCAATCGTGATACCGGCCCACACGCGAGCGCACCTAATCAACTCTCTTGATAGTTGGCATTTCGAGCCGCAGAATCTACCTGAGGAAGAAGTCCTATTCTGCGCTCAAATCTTGTTCGAAAGCCTTTTCCGAATCGAGCACATGCGAGAGGATATAGGCGTCTCTCTTGGTCAGTTTCATTTTGATCTCCATGCGACGACGTTTCTTATCACTCCGACAGATGATATCTCCGTTTTCTTGAAACACCTGCAGCCCCTATACTGCGGACATAACAGTTATCATAATTTTCAGCATGCCGTAGATGTAATGCAGGCCTCTCAGGCCTTCCTGTGTGCTGCAGGTGTCGTACCTCCTGTGTCTATATTGTAGGATAGTAACAACTACACATGGAGACCAAACAAACTGGGGAAGGAAGGACGCCTCGCATTTGATCTCAACAACACATGTCTGTTTGCTCTGTTCATTGTCGCCATCGGCCATGATGTGGGTCATCCCGGGTTGACGAACATGTTCATGGTATGATCTGCACAGCATTTTGCAAAAATACCGCCTGACATTCATCCGCAGAAAAATGCGAAGGCGCCATTGTCTGATGTGTATGATAACAAGTCAGCTCTTGAACAGATGCACTGCACCCTCCTCATACAAACAATGCGGCACCATGGCCTTGGGAAACTCTTGGATCGGCCAGACTCCGGTTTTCGCAAAATGCTTGCTGGTATCGTAGTTAGCTACGGATATGAGCGTCCACTATCAATTCATAAGAGATTTTCAATCGCTTGTGGACGGTAGAGAATTTTCTTTGGATCGGCGCCGATTATTGCTTTGCCAGGCAATAATAAAGTGTGCGGATATCAGCAATCCTGTTCGTTTTTTTCTTCATATAAATCATATATTATTCTAACTTGCATACGGTGTAGAGTCGGCCCCCCGGTGTCTCGCATTACTGGGCAAATGCCTTGATGGCTGAATGGACCTATCAAGCATCGCTAGAGAAGCGCTGGAGTTTACCGCCATCCGTCACGCCTTCTGAATGCCCACTGGACCAAGTACGAGGACAGATATTTTTTATTGGTTCATACGCCAAGCCACTCATGGACCTTGTTGCACAAGCTGTTCCTGGTATTTCGCGTTTTGTTACTGCCCCTTTACATGCCTAATATGTCTCTTGTTTTAGAAATGGAAATATTCGCTTGTCAGTGCACTACAAATTTAGCCATGTGGGTGACCCGTAAAGAAGAACTATCCTCCTCATCTGCGGGTCATTCCCTATACCCTCCTGTAATCACACCATCCCTCCGTCCTCCTGAAGATTTCCTCGCTTCTTTCCCCCTCACTCTCCCCGCATTCGTTCTTACAGCTGACGAGCCCCATTCCTCCCGCGAATGGCATTCTACATATCCGCCTTCAGATTCGTCATCGTCATCGGATTTCGGTTCTGATGTTCACGTCGACCCTTTAGTTATATTCCCATCCCTTTCACCCCCTGCGTCTCCTGTGCCATCCGTATGCTCGTCTTCCGCCCTGGCTACGCGTAGTTCGTCATCAAGTCTCGCAAGTAATACTAGCGATGCTACACAAGCGATGCGAGCCGCTTATTCGGCGAGTGTGCGGAAGAAGAAAAGTTTCCATCACCGGTACTCTTGGAATGTAACCATAAGCTCTGGATCATCGCCGAATATCTCAACTCTCCCACCAGCCACCATTCCCAAAGCTGCACTATTGCTAACGGAGTCCGCTGTATCAAACGGAACTACAGTTTCGTCAATGACTGCCGTGGTACCATCCCCCGTAGGTGGTGAGAACAACGCGGGGCTGAAGGTGCCATAATCTCCTATAGGGGTGCCACATGGTCCATGCGACCTCAACTATCGGCACTACATTTTGCGCAATGCATTTGACATGCGACAATGACATGACTCGTGTCGGGTGGATACTGCCCGGACTCGCCTTGATTCGCGTCATCATTCTTGGGCTATCGAGCAATTGCCGATAAGGGGGAGATAGACAGGTGTCAATTGTGTTAAATCACTTAATTCACCTACGCTTTATCAAGTTTGGGTCTGTTCGTTTGCATTCGATCTTCTATTTCATTTTTGTTGTTTGGCTTACCAGGCCCAGCCGCCTTGATTAATATACTGGCGGCTTATACTATACCATGAGGCCATAGCAAATGTCCACAATGTACGATATTGTTTGTCGTAAACTACTGTGAATGAAGAGCGGGAAAGGTGTCGGGCTCAAGATATTTTAGACTCTCGGAGGGGTCACTGAGTTCAAATAAGTTTTTAATCTTAACGAAGTAACGCAATGTTAGGGCTGTGGGCGCGATGGCTTGCCGCAAACACATGGCCGAGAACATCGAAGCAGATTAAGTAAAGTGCAATATTGAAACTTTAACGCAAATAAAACACAGGGAGGTCTGCATTGACAGATATATGGTAGCGGAATTAAGTAATTTCTTGACCAAGAGTACGCCTTCATTCACGTAAAATGACTTGCATGCACATCTTGCCCATTAAAATAAAAGATATTATATTCAAATTACGGAAATGACGACATGCAAAAAACACTTCATCGTCCCCTCTTTAGATAAATTCGATGAGCTGCAAGGACAGGTTCCCGTCAATGTCGAGAGAACGTACTAGCTAATAGAGGAGAAGACAAATCACTAGCCACTCCCTTTCAGCGTGCCTTTACAAAACAAAACGTGCTTCTGGGTCCTCCGTGTACTCCACCCAGTCAATCACCGCGTCCAATATCAGGAAGTGTACCTTCCGCACAGGGATATGCGCTCGGGCATCGGCGGAATTCGACAAGGGGTGATGCTGCTAGTGTCGTGACTAGGACGGGTGAGAACCATCGGAGTGCGACAGGACGACAACGTCAGCTGCCACGGCGGATGGGCACCCGAGAGAGACAACTGACAAACAGCGGGATTGATGATAGATCAGGGTTATTCGATCATTTCACTGACAGGAGTTGTGCTGTGCTGTGTCTCTGCTGCCATCCGTAGCCTACACGGTGAACGTAACATCTCGGGATAAAATAAAATTAGTTCCGTTTTCCGAGAATGACCCCGTCAGGAGATCTATCATCGGGGAAGCGGCTGCAAGCAATGATGAAAGAGTAAAATCAGCCCATTTTTACTACAAGATCAGATTACAATCTTAGCATATCACGGGTTGCATTGTACACACCCGAATTCTTTTCCGTCAAATCAATCTCACCTCCGACTTGTTTGGTAAGGATCAGCGCTGGTGAAAACAGGCAGTCCCTAGGAGGGTGCTATTAATCTGTTAGTAATAAGCAAGCGGCATTAATACCGCAACGCGGTGAGTAGGTAAACCTCTCTTCCCTACATTTTACCTGAGACACCTGATCAGAATTGTTACCTGTAGAACAATATTAAGGTTCTGTGGGCCGTATCCCAATCTGCTCCGTCCCGTAATCTGCCCACATCGATCATTTCCAAAGCGTTGTAGAGAAGATCTTTAATTTCCAGTGGCATCTGCCCATCGAGTTCTGATGTTATTGCGTGCTGGACGAAAGTTTGAAATTCGAACTCAGCGACATTGAGTAAGTATATCACATAAAATAACCTTGTTCCCTGTGTCGATGGAGGTTTGCGGCCTCAGGATATCCATGAACAGCCTAGCCCGCCACGTTCTTGCCATAGTTCTGTTACACAAGGGCGAACTTACAGAATAACAAATACGATGCGCACATCTCGTTTTGGTTAAAGACAGGTATTGTATACTTCGTGGGTTGACTATCGTGAGTCCTCTTTGAGTTCTTTTACATGCGCGGGAAGATTGGGCTCGCTAGAAGCCGGCAACCTGACATACAGGCCAGGGAACCAAAACTATTGAAACGCGCTTGGTATGCTGCAGATATATAATGAATTGCCCATGTGTGAGTGCAATCGTGAGATAGCGTGGTTAACGTTTTTCCTCACTGATATGTATCATGGCGTCAGAGGCAGCTTCAAGATGACTGCGAACTTGAAGATGCCATATCTGATACAATGCAGTGTCTATCAGATATTAGTCTGTGTGACAGTTTGATTGATGTCAATGCGCGCACAATGGCAGCACCTTGTGCCTCGGAAGGACCGGACCGAGGAGATCCGTGAATTGACTTAACAACATGTGTCCTCAATCAGTCTGGCGTACCTAATTGTTCCCTTGATTAGATGCAGGCTGTCGTGTCATCATTGCATATGGAAACCCGGACACTCGTGCTCAATTACTCAGCTAGCAATACTGTTTATGGTAATCGGACCTCGAGCACCGCACTTGTGTATTTGTTCATGTTGACTACTGCATACCTATTTGCCGACATGGACGAAGCAGTTTCAGAATTTCAAGAACAAGCCCTTATACATCGTAATACAGCTAAATGTAGCGCAGCCAAAAAATATCAGGATCTAAGCTACTTCTGCACCAAGCACCTCAAGTCCAAATCCAGGCCATCTGCAGAACTCATTACAAACATGGCATCTCTCAAATTCACTGACAGGCCTTTTCAATATTGCCCTCCCTGAATATATCCTTCCCTTCGCTGACAGACGAGTGCATCATTATTTGGGGATCAGTCAGTAGCTCTGTGCTGCCTGTTTAATCCCAATATTAATGACATTGAGAATATAGGATACTTGGAGCACATACCTTGATAATCAGATATAAAGACCACCCCACCCATCTTCGTGTACTGGACATGTTGTGTGAACGCCAAGAACTGCACAAAGTCATACCCATCCTGTTCTGGGTCAAGTAACAGGTTCAGATCCATATTATGAATGAACTTTGTAAAATCTTCGCCATCAATGACCTCCTCAAGAAGGAAACCTGCACGCAGGTGCCCCAGTCTTTATTGTAGACTTGCTGCTACCTTGAGAATAAGATAGCGTGAGGCCCACTTCAACAAACTGCACACATGGAATATTGAATGGTGGAGGATCAGGTGTGCCTGCAATGGCGCAGTTGATGAAATCATAGACGAGACCTAACAACACTTTTGCCCAGTACAGGACATTCGCCTCCCTGAATAACGTAGGCAGCTCGTCGACTAGTGCAAAGTGTCCAATCCTGTAATTGGTGCTAGAGGTAGGTATACCTTGGGGGTATATTCTGTGAAATGGGTGTTTCACAACAATGTTGTGACTCGCCCGTGACCCCAGACCCGAGCTAGGGGGCACTGTTAATGTCAACCAGCCTTGGTGTGCTGTTTTGAATCCGCCTATTCCAATGCGTCCTTCGATGGATGGGTCAATTGTCGCATAGCCGACTGATGAGTTGGTATTGTCCACCGAGAATGAATGATAGTGGGTACACCTTGGAAGCTTGTGGAGGGGTCGGGTAGGGATTGAGTGAAAATGTATATTTTCATTCTGAAATTTGGAGACTGACACCAAACAGTGAGCATGCTTGAATAGATTAAATGAATTACAACATACTTTGTTTAACATTTAAGTCAGTGCCTCCACCTATCTTAAGGGCCTCCCTGAGGTCATTGCAATCAGGAGACAGTGCGAGAGGTACCCGAAGCTTGTGAGGGGGTGAAATTGTGCCAGAACTGCTTGCATGTTCGTGCATTCATTTGCTGGATATATTGGTACTAGGTGCTGCACCACTGGCAGACGCACTGGGAGATGTGCATTGTGCCGAGTATGATGGGGCTGCACCACCAGCAGACGTGATTTGTTCTGAATTGGATGAAGGGAGTGCGATGCTTGTGGCTGTGTTTTGTGAGTTGGATGAAGGGAATGTGACACTTGCAGCTGTATTTCGTGAGTTGGAGGAAGGGAATGTGACACTTGCGGCTGTGTTTCATGAGTTGGAGGAAGGGAATGCGATGCTTGCGGCTGTGGGTGGTGCCAGTGCTCGACTGGCCCTGGTGCTGACAATAGCCTACAGAATTCTTATGTCTAGTTAGTATAGAGCATAAGTGTACAATAGATAAGAAGCATACCGTCTCATTATCTTGCCAGTCTTCAAACTCATTCCATTGATGCTCTGGGACAACTACCATGAGCGTGAATTGCTTTGTCTTGAATGTAGGGCCCTTGATGGCACCTTTAGGACCTTTGCGGCCTGGCTGCAGGTACTGTGAGTAGAAGTATGGAATTGACAGCTGATGCGTCAATAAGTCTACCCATCCTGAGTCTCGCACAATGAATTCTTCATTGCGCCATGAAAACATGCCACCAAAAGCACATAGCTTAGGTAGCACTGTCTCCAAAGTGAGGCTGATGAGACCTGGAGCATCAATGTCTTTCTTGCCTTCACAAATATTCTAAATAAAAATACAATCAGTGGCACTCTCATAACAGTATAATAGGGAAGACCGTACTCCAATTGGTAGGCCTCTGGATTTCTTATGCCCACTTCATGGACAGCTGAAATTTTGAGCAAAATGGTTTCTGCTGCTAGTACAGCACCAGGGGTAGCATAGGCAGCTTTGGCCCATCTAAGACGTTCTCTGCCATATAACCCATGGTGTGATGAATATCCGACTGCACCAGTGAGCCTCAATGGTATCAGTGATGCGGCTGATCCCTGCCAAGACGTAGGGATGGCTACATCCGGGCCAGTGACTGCATGGCGGCGAGGGACAGGTGGTGGTCCCATGATGGCATTTGTCCAGTCAGGAACAGCGATTGCAGGAGGAGGATCAATGCTTGCTATTGTGGTATCCTTAGCTCAAGTCCCACCATACAAAGATTGATACAACTTACACTTCCTTTGAGCAGCATTCATGGACTGCTGGATCATTTGGGCACTAGGCTAGCAATTACCAGCTGTATTAGACCGTACAGTAGATGACAGATACCGTGGTACTACAAGTATTTAGATTGCATTGTTATAATAAAACCTATGATTACTCACCTGTCGGTCTCTTTGTTGAAGTTACAGACTTTGTCTGATAATGTGCATAGCAGACTGCGCATACATAACGCCCTGCTTTGCCAGGTTCAATTGTTTGCACATAGTAACAGGGCTCACCTTTGTTGATCTGGGCCCGACAAGAGGGCCGCTCACAGATCCTGTCTTTGGCAGTAAAGGCATCTTCAGTGAACTGACAAACAACATTGTCAGGGTTGTCCATGAGAGGGACTGTGAATAGTCGTAGTAGTGAAGAGCGGCATGGCTTAAATACGAGAAAAAATAACAAGTTAATAAAATTCAATTAGTTAAGTATGTTGAGAGAACATACTAATACTAAAGACCGAGAACATTGAGCACCAGTGAAGTTTTGGAAGAATGTCTGTTGCAAAACAGGAGCTTGTGAGCCACAAGCCAAGCTCCAAAAATGAAGACTCACAAAACAATTTAGTTCTTCATCTGGGGCCCAGAGACACATAGCTCATGAGCCTGGCAGGAGGAGCTGCAGGAGTTTCATCAGGCTATTAGTGCAGCAAGGAATTGTGAGGAATTATAAGGACTTACTAGAGTAGACAGTCAAGTAGTGAATGTGTTTGGAATGTGTTTGGACAATAATAAGGACTGAACAGCAGGTTAATCTGACTCAATCCGACTTGGAATTAGGGCAGAGAGAGATTTGTTATGTTATTTTGCATGACTCCAGAGCCTCCAATAGTGCCTCCAATACAAGTTAGTCAATTTAGTCCAAGGGTAGTCGTCACAAAGCTCAAACTAACTACCAAACTCACTAGGTACTTATTATTTCATTCCTATTCTGTGAATTGCCTCGTGTCTCATCCAATACGAGTTAATCAACAGTCGTCACAAGCTCAAACTAACTACCAAACTCACTAGGTATGTAATATTTCATTTCTATTCTATGAATTGCCTCGTGTCTCATCCGATATGAGTTAGTTAACAGTCGTCACAAGCTCAAAGTAACTACCAAACTAGCTAGATATGTATTATTTCATTCCTATTCCATGAATTGCCTCATGTCTCAAGTGCGTTTTGCAGGCAAGTGATTGCTTGGTGCGTGTATCCGACTTGGGAGAACCAGCTGAGAGCCAGCCTCATGTATCCTACATGGGGGCTGGAGATACATCAGAGGTATGTACTACTCAGCTTAGATACACTCATCACTAACATCTTGCATCTCCAGTGCCTCTATGCCCAATCAGTGGAAACCTACACGTACATCTTGTTCTGTTCTGTTTCTCTAGACCAGCACTGCTAACTCACATACAATTAGCACCTTTGGATATTATCCAGCTGCACATCCTTCGCCTTTGGAAGGCACGTCAGACAGACAAGCAGATTGTCGTAGAATTGCAGAAACACTTTGACTTATCGCACTATGGTCTCGGGCGAGTTTTGTTTTCACTTGTCCCTTCAATTTATGTTCTGACAGCATGCTTAGGCTCACTAAATTTCTCAAAATTCATGAGGGTATGGGCCTGCAAAGAACATGCCAGCAAATACATAATGTTGAGACTATCCGTGAGGCGATGACTGATCTGCATATGACTTATCCAAATGCTGGAGCACGTAAAATGGTGAGCTTGTTATTTCACGAACAGAACATGAGTGTGGCCAGGTAATGTAGTATTTTCATCAATATCATATCTTAATTGTTAACTGTAGTCTCTATCTGTACTGCAGGAGTGTGGTGACATCTTACTTCGCCATATACGAGCCAGAACTTGTCCTCCAGCGCAAGGCCAATCGCCTTTGAAGGAGGCAATTTTGGGCAGTGGGAGTTAACAATATATTTGCAGTTGATCAACACAACAAGTGGCTTAGGTACGGCCTTGGCCTTCATACTGGCATCGAGCCATTCTCAGGTAGGATTATGTGGATGAGGGTTTGGCACTCAAACCGGAACCTACAGCTGATCCTCAGCTATTATCTCAACACACTTGATATGCTTGGTTGTAAGTTTTTTTTCTGGTTTGCTTCTCCACTGACATTGTAATATACCTACTACTAGATATGCCCATGGTCACCCAGAGTGACCCTGGGTCAGAAAATTTTGGCATTGCCAACACACATACAATGCTTTGCCAGTGGCATGATCCTGCACTGCAGGGTGCTTTGCAGCATCACTGGATGTGAAACAAGAAGAACATCATGCCCAAGATAACCTGGTCACAAATGCGACACCAATTCACACCAGGATTTGAGTCACTACTGGACCACGGAGTCATGTCAGGTTGGTATGATAGTAATAATACTCTCCAAATGTATGTATCTTCACTCATTCATCTCACTTTGAGTCTGATCATAGCTTGCGGGATCAATTTAGGATGGTCTTTCAATGGGTTTTTATACCTTGGTTGCAGCAGGAATTGGACGGATACCAGGACCGAGTGAACAACACCCGAAAGAGGCGAGACCAGAACAAGATTCTGCCACACGGTGTGCCGAACATTGTCTATCAGTCACCTGAGGACTTCAGTGCCCTGGACTTTAAAGTAAGGAGCACCGTATGTGCTCATTTTGTTTGTTCTTACCTTTTTTTTTAACAGATCACTGTTGAACATGAGGCATTAGATCACGTACGAAATCTCTACATCGATCCTTCTCACATTGTCTTCAACCTTGTGCCACAATCATTAGGGAAGCTCATACAGTGTTACTATGAGGAACTGGGGCACCCATCAGTCACAAGGCAGTCAGCTTGGGACGTATACCTACTTTTGCTTGATATGCTGCAATGCAACGAGGAGATACCATCCGCTATTGAAGATGTTGAAGAAGATCTCCCGCTTTTAGAGAATTACCAGGACTTGCCTTATCATGAGGACAACAATGGTGCCTACTATATGGGTGGGGTGGGTGGTGGACTCGGACTCGGTATGTTATCCGCTTGTAGCTATGTCAAACACAATCTGACAACTATGCAGGTGACAATGATTTATATCAACTAGATAATCTCATATGTGACGATGAGCCTAAAACTACAGGTAGTATTGATGAAGACATCGGATTGGATCACGATGGTCTGGTTGTATGGGAGTTCTCCGATTTTTCTGATGTCTCAGATGGTGACGCAGATGTAGATGAATGGTGATTTGATTTATTGTCTTGTAGTAGCCCGGACACTCATGCTCTGACTGGTAATCTTGGTGTCGCAGTAAGGACAACAGTTTTTCATTATACAATTGTATAAGGCTGACGTTGAGTCCAATAAGGGAATTGCATGGCTCAAGGCGATGAGACTGTTCTTAGGATCTGATGCAAGTTCGTAGTGGGGAAATCAACCAATGTTCAAAGTGAGTCTACAAGGCTGTATTTTATCTACAAAAGAGTAAGGGTCCTTGATTATTACGAACGTGAAGGTTCAGTGAGACGGAGAATGGTGGCGCTGAGCCTGACAGGGTAGGAATAACGGAAATGTGTAAGAGTATGTTAGTTTTTGAATGAAGGTAGTAATAGGGAGCTCGCCGTGCACAGGAATGACAAGAACCGTTGGGTATTTGACTGCTTTTGGGGCGAAGGAATGAAACTAAGAGAGAATGACGAGAGATAGTTTGGTGATAAGTCCAGGGTAAGTTATGAACGAGGGTGAAAGACCGAGCTCGTCGTTGAGCATAACGAGAAAGTGAAGGTAAGGAAAGAGAATGTGTCCGTGTGACTCAGGACGCGAAGCGTGATGCTTGTTCGTGTCAGTGAGTCACGCGGATGACGGAACGTAAGTCCTTGAACCTTATTATGAAGCCTTAGTCGGGGTGTAGAGGATATGGAATCCTTACAATTGTTTGACACATGTAGCACATAATATTATTTCTGATTCGCATTGGCGGTATTCAGGGTCCTACAAAAGTATTGCCTATATATGGTACTGCTAGCTGAGTAATTGAGCATGAGTGTCCGGGTTTCCACCCATTTCAGAACATAGTCATACAATGGAGAGTAACGATGTGAGAACATCAGTGCAGAACAATAACACCGGACATACAGCACTTTTGCAATTAACACAGGGATAAAGCACATGTCTTTTCTAGGAAACGCATCATCATCACTGGACTTGGACATCCATCTTACGTCGGACTCACCGCATCATCGCGCAACCACGCAATCCATCTAAGTCCCATATAACTCAAACTCCCATGGCACTTGTGAGTCTGGGGAAAGATCACTCAACCATATTCTCCGTAAACGACATGTCGCATAAATCTTGATGTATGACAAGTGCGAATATGTCCCACTAGGAACAGGGGTATTTATCGCCGAGAGTGTTACTGGGCGATTGATGTCATGATGACTGCTTTCGCCATCATCGAGCTGATTCATGCCAGCAAGTTTGTTAAAGTGGGGTATCAAAGACGGAAGGTTAAGCGTAATTGTAGACCATGCTGTCAAGGGACGAGACGAGGGCTGTGGAAATGAAAGAGGCAGATGAAGCACCGGTTGTGCATTCGGAACAGGAGATATTGCGAGTTTGGGTTCCTTCTGATAAGAGGTCAGTAGATGGGCATATTACACCATGGTCTACATCGAAGATTGATTCTGAACAACAGGGGAAATCATAAACATCATGCACCTGAAATGTCGAACAGCGAACTACACCGCGCCTCCCCGACTTGTCAACGATCCCTATGTCGAAAGACCACTCCCTGCCCATGTTTCGAACTTGTAGATGAAGCCATTTATGCTTTAAGCTCAAATCTCTGTCACCGGCATCTGTAATAGGTGGGGACCGGATGAAAGTCGTCCGGAGAGTTGGGGACTGAATATGAAGGACAGTCTGATGCAGGCCATAGCCAATATTTGGTTCATCATGGTCACCGAGCGCTGGCGTCGAGCAGAGAACAGCAGGTGGAGACGGAGATGGTAGTGAGGACCCATCGTTCAGAAAATGGATGAATGAATCTGCGGCAAGAGACTCATCTGTTTGCTGTGAAAAAAGGGAAAGAGCTTCGCTACTCGTAGAAGAGAATAGAGAGACGATGTTCGGCTGCACGGTGTTGGTGAACATCTAAGTTAAAGTGTCCAGCACTGCCACTTCTAATACAATTCGTATGCATTGATTATGTTACGTGTGGAGCAAATATGTCCATTGAAGTGACTGCAAAACGAGAAATGACAATGTTGGTAAGTGAAGCTTGTGAAGTGCTGAGTGCCAAGTAATATACGAGCAGTGTATACTATTAAGTAGTGCGGGTGTAGAGAAAAAAAAAGCAATTAAAACACAAACTACGAACTGACATACGAACGCACGGCCTGCTTGAGTCCATTGAGTAGCTCTCGTTGCTTGAACGGATCGTCTGGCAGCTTCAAATTACCCATGGCAAGAGATAAAAGATAAGTAAAGTCCGCTTGGGCGACCAAAGGTAGCCTGGATGCCAACGATTTCTTCTTCCGGTCGTCAATCTTGGCTTTAAATTGTTTCGCGAAATCCTCAGATACGACTTCGGCACGTTTGACCACCTCCTCAGGCACACCTGCGAGTTTGGCTACATGTGTGCCAAAGGATGAAGATGCGACACCATCAACCAACTTGTACAGGAAGACAAGCTGCACAAATATTAATCAACCAACAATACACGATACACAGCTGACTTGCCTCGTGTTTTTCGTCGTCAAGCATGGTGGACATGTGCATGTTTCTGATATTTGGATGATAGGCAAAATCATCGGTGAGCGAACCATAATGCGTTGCAAAGAATGCTAGCGGAAGGGTGCGGGTGGCAATTTCATGGAGGACAGCCTGTTGTCGTACAAGGTCAATCAGAAAATCCCATGATATGCAAATGAGACATACTCCAGCGATTGCCATACCGTCCTGGATAAAGAGTCGTTAATAGTGGGTCGCGAAGAAAGGGACATTTTCTCTTACATAAGTAGAAGTACCTCTTCCCAGTTCTCAAATGTGGGTCAGCCGGATATCCGTTTGAAAGGGAAGATAGCATACCATCGAGGATTACCAACGATTTAGGTGTGGCATCCCGCAAGATCTTGCAACTACTCCTAGTTTATAACCGAGATGCCAAGTTGGGGAACATCACTCACCACTCATCCAGTTCAACTTTGAACGTGCTTGAATTGGAAAACATGTTATCATAAGCACCCATCCGGGTGAGAATAGCGTCTATAGGACAAAGTCTGCATTGGCGTCAGTGAACGCGTCTTGTCAAACGGGTAACAACAAATGCTCACCGAGCTGACTTGGCAGGAACGAGCATACCCAACTGTGCCATAATGACACCTGTGGCTGTCATGCGCATGACCTAAGACAAAAATTGGAAACAAATCCGTCGGGCTGTGAAACTACTCACCGTGGATTTTCCACTACGCATCATACGATGTAAGTAACGCATGTTAAAAAATGATTCTGACTAACCCCATGTTTGGACCTGTCAACAGCGCAATCCTACCGAGATCGCCGCCCAATTTGACATCGTTTGCGACGAAGCCCTCCCGCAAGCTCGCTAGTGTTGGATGTCTCAATTCTTCGAACTCGATAAAGGCAGCATCGCCTTCCACGAACTCAGGCCGACAGCTTGGCTCGCCTATCGCGACAGATGCCTTCGCGAGACTGAAGAGGCAGTCAAGTTCGGCAAGGACACGTACAGCGCGGAGCCACGTGCCCCGATCGGTATCGAATTCGGCATACAGACGTCCTCTGAAGGATTTCACCGCCGTTGAGCGGTTCTCGCGTGCTTCCTTGAGGCTTCGGATTGTCGGTTGAAGGGAGGGTACGATCCAACGGGTAGCTGCCTGACGTATAACAGTCAGCTATGTTCTCATGGTGCATCTTGATTTGCCCACCTTGGTACCGCTGCTTTTGACCCAGTCACTGGGGACTTCTTTCTCGTTCGCCTTCGTCTGAACTAGATAGATCTCCTACCAGATAGTATAACAATGAATATCAGTTATTACGACAAAAGCGAATCCTAACTTTGTTTCCCTGAGCGCTGTGCCACCACGTAAGATTGCGTCTGTAGCAAACTTATCAGCGCAAAGCGCCTTCTCGAGAAGCAATGACCTACCCAAGCTTTTTCTCAAACTTCTTGAGTTGCGCGTCTAGCGTCTTCTCAAGTTCCTCAATTTCACACATGACTCCATCATACACCTCATCCTTGCCCGCAACAGGGAGCAGCTCATCTGTTTCTATAACAATATCATCAGTAGCAAGGAACGAACAACAAGGGACACAATTTGCGTGATCCATGAAAAAAGGTATTACATACCCTTATCCACAGTAAACCGCGATTCTACGTTCTTCAGATTGGGAGTCAGATCCGGTGCTGACCTCAAAAGTCCGAGGATCGTCTTCGAATCGAATGATTCAGAGCTATCGGCGAGCTTCGCAAGGCCGCGGCTAAGCTTCTTGAAGGCCTAGGAGGCGAAAGGGAGTTAATACCAGAGATTGCACAGATCTTGAGAATGGTACATCAAGCAGGGTGGTTCAGAAGGTCAGGCGTCCACGCATCAAACGCAGTCCACATCTTGATCCATGGATCTGATGCGCCCACAATACAAATGTATTTTGCAAGGGAAAATACGTACCGCCAGCACCTTGACAAAATCTTTGACCTTACAGTTATTTGCGTGAATCCTGGAAACGATCCGCTCCAGATCGGGGAGACCTTTTGCGAGTTCGGTAAATTCTTGCTCAAAAGATACATGTGAGATGAGGTCCTCCACAGCATTCAAGCTGTGGAAGATTGTATCAGCACTATTACAATCTCTCTAACTTTAAAGAATGCCGTACCGTGCATTGATATCTTTAACTTCCCGCAAAGGAACACACAGCCAGATCCTAAAGAGTCGTTTACCTGTATGGTGATTCAGTACCTTCTAGAAGAAATGGAAATGGAAAGCCCACCAAACGGTGTGATGCATCTCCCCAGGAGTTTATGCAACGATCCATCTTCTGTTCCTTCATTATTGAGCAGAACCTGCGCCACCACATCAATTGCTGCCTGCCGGTAAGAGTAATTGATAACAAAATCAGACCCACCTCAACGTGGGCAAGTGTCTGCCCATCTAGCACAACATTGGTTCCTCTCTTCATTGGATCATAGATGTCAAAGTTCCGCATCGTAAGAAGGTCCTTGTCAATGTTCAGCTGACGGAGATACCTATTTTTAGACGTAGCATTCATGTCCTGCATCATCTTAGGCACATCAGGTACTCACCACATCAGCGCACCCAGAGCCTCCATTGCAGCACGGTAACTTGCCATGTCCCGAATACACTGTGGGACAGCGTTCGATAACTCGGCATCCTCATCCATCGCATCTTCCCCGCCAGTACTAGCCTCAGAAAACATACTGTTTAGTTCGTTAATCGTCTGCGGGTAAGTAAACCCTTCGACGTCACGGAGGCTGGTCCACAAACAAGACCCGGGGAGGACAGATTTCAGTAGACGCGTCGTTTGCACAGAAAGATTTCCCTATTCCAACAGATATAATCATTTTGGGAAGTCAAATGACGTAAAGACGATCAGACCGACCTTGGTGAAGATCACTTCCTTTGGCCGCAGTTGTCTCATCATCGTCTCCAACTTCGTCGTGCATACATCATCTTCGAATGCACTTAAGCTGAACTGACTCGTGGCGCTATCGAGGACGCAGACTCCAAAACTGCTCATGCCATCCTTCCCGTCGGCAGACTCGCGCAGGGAAATACAATGCCCCGCTTGCTCATCTGTGAGGAGGTCTTCGTCCACAAGCGTGCCGTTTGTGTATACTTTGTTGAGCTCCCTACGGACGATCTTCTCTTTATCTTTTCCGCCAGCGCCCTTCTTACCCTTGTCCTTCGCAAGGCGCATCTCAGCGCCAAGCGCCGTCTCTGCTTGATCCACACGTCCGACTTTATACCCTATATCCAAATTTTGTGCTCAACTTGCTAGCGCTGAGAATATAAATATGTACATACCCTTGCCGAGGAATTTGCTAGCGTGCAGGGCTTAATAAGCAGTCAATCACAACTGCGAGAGAAAGACTCACGCAGCCCAAAAGTTGAAGCTCATTTCAGGGACGCCAACCTAACAAGTTGTGCATCAGTGGTCCAAAGGGAAGCGAGACAGCGAAACCCACCATAGACATCTTCACGCGTTGAGTGAGTTTCAAGTCAAACTCCCGGTGCCCGATCCGTGCATCATCTTCATAGAGCTAAGTATGAGTGAGTACACAGGCTTGAAAATTCCAATGCCTCTAACCTACCTCTAAGAATTTTCTACATGCAAAATGGCCATGAACATCAGCGTGAAGGGAACGAACGGATAACACACCCTTTCTGGAAAAACAAAACCTAGTAAGAGATGCACACGTTAGCACAATTCAAATGTAATTGGACTAGCACATACAGTGTCGAAGTGATTCTGCTTGATCTGTAGAAATAATGAGCGTCAAGGACATCCTTATAAATCATTACATCCCGACGTACCTCCCAAAACTGTAAAAAAAAAAAAAAAAAATCGTAAAGGCGTCAAAATAGAAGCAAAAGAGCAGCCGCACCTGTGTTTCGAAAGGCGTGAAGTCTGCCCATGATTTCTTCGGGATATACAGTGTGCGCGGGTCATATCCAGGCTCGCCGGGACGAACACCATCTTTCTGTGGACTGTATTAGCGATATGAAACTACTACAATGCACTTAAGAAGAGAAGACGAAGACTATGCCGCACAGATGCATTCGAAAATGCTCCCACCATCCATAAAATGAGTGAGGCGTTGAAAAAACAAGATGATGCATCTTCTTGGACGAGGCTATTAGGATCACTCACATCCCGCACATCGACCAAAAAGGAAAACGGATCCTCGTTGGCTTTTTTCTCGGTCTTTTTCTCTTGTGCGCGCTGCTCTGCCTTGGTCAAAAACAGTCCACTCCCGCTTGCTGTATCACCACCACCAGTTGGTCCAGAATTTTTTGGGGATGGACGCTTTGGCTTCGCAGATTTCTTTGTGGGGGCATCTGATTCCTCACCAGATTGGTCGTCTGAGGCGGCAGACTTGGAAGACTTTGAACGCGAGGAGGCACGTGACGATGAACGCTCGTGTTCTTCTGAGTCGGAATCAGGGACAATAAAGTCGTCGTCATCAGAATCTCTCGATTTCTTCTTAGGTGCTATTCATATTCAGATAAATCTGGGGTTGAACATGCAGCTACTCACATTTGGCAGGCAACTTGCGGAACTTGGTCAAGCGCGATGAGAATTGCGAACGTACGTCTGCGTTCTCGTCGTCTTCCTCATCGGAAGTGGGAACCGAGGGTGTAGGCGCGATACGCGGTTTCTTCGTGTGACCACGTGAAGGAGAGGATTTGTCATAATATTCCGGGGATGAGGTGCGGTATGCGGCTCGTGTCGTGCTCTTCCCTAAAAGACTCTCGTCCTCCTCATCCGAGTCAGCTAGAACAATCTTGCGCTTCGTTAGGCGCGTCTGTACGGCAAGGGAAGTTGAACTGTCAGAAAAAGTCGCACAGCACTTTGTCAGTAATTTTAGCACGCTTACATTAGCGCCCTTCTTGACAGACACGTCCTCGTCTGATAACATGTCGACATCTATAGGAATGGGATCCGAGGTCGGTGGAGTGTCCTTGCCGCTCTCTGCATCAATGTCGATGTCAGAAGATGGTCTTGAGTCTGGTGTCTTGGGAGTAGATTTTGGTTTGGTTCTAACAACCGAGGAAGTCTTTGTGGACCCAGAGGAAGTTTGATTCCCTGGTAAAGTGGAGCTTTTTCGCGCTGGGGTCGCGCTGGTTGCATTCTTTGCTGCCACAACTGAGCTTGACAGACCAGGTTTCGCAAAAAAGTTTATAAGACTTTTCTGGGTCATGGTATCGTTAGACTTTTTCTTCGCAGGCGTAGGTGCCATCTTGAAGTGTTCAGGTTCTTTGGCCGCAACGCTTATTAGGTCGCGTCGGAGCGCGTTTGTACTTGTTTGGGTCCGGATTACATCTTGACACCTTGTTTTAATTTAGCAAATTTTGTTCTTGGCTTGTCAAATTTATTTTTATTACTCTCGATGAGTCGCCCTCCTCCTTTGTCGCGTTCTTGTTGCAAGATTCGCGAGTCGAATGTTGAACTGATTACATGGTTCACAAATGTGTCTTCCTGCCCAGAACAATTGAAAGTCGATACAACTCCTGCTCCTTCTCACTGCCAGCACCTAATTTAAGCACCAGATCCTCAAGGTGCTCGTTACCGGCCTCTCTATCCTCATTCTCCCCGCCATTGCTCATTCTCTCTTGCTCTACCAAGACGGATCATTTACCGCTCGGTGATGGCCGTAACATTGACCTGAAGCAAACATATCGAGTAGAGTCTGGGGTCTTTTGAATCCCATCACGGAGGGTGTGTGAAGTTTGCTTGCTCAGGCTTTGAATTTTGAAATTATTCGGAGGAACCAATTAATATTAAGATCTGAATGATGACTTCTATCGCTCCGTTATATGGACCAATATTATTCATTCTCAGACTATCGGTGCTATATCCTACCACCATCCTTTGAAACCATAGAAACACATCTTACCATGCTCGACGATCGACCCAGACTTTACTTGGCCACATCGGCTTTGGCGCTGGCTGCCTTCACCTGTTACCGAAAATATCGGGACAAGCAATCGGGCCCCCCACTTCCACCTGGTCCTACCCCCCTCCCAATATTGGGGAACATTCTGAGTCTTGATGTCGCTCGGCCTTGGCTGACCTTCAACGCCTGGAGGTCCACATATGGTAAGCACATCGCGATGAGGATTTCACCGTGATAGGCTCATGTTTTCTATAGGTGATATCATTTATGCTCGTCTCCTCAACAAGCCTGTGGTTGTGATTAACTCTGAGGAGGTTGCGAAAGACCTTTTTGAATGGCGTTCCACCATTTATTCGGATAAACCCCAGTCCATTGTTTATGAACCGTAAGTCTTGAAGTAACTTGCTACACGTCGATGACGAAAATGCTCTTAGCTTTGGTTCAGACTTCAACATAGCGTTTATGCCGTATGGAGACAGGTAATGGATTGTTCTCTGTTGTGTTGACCAGAGTCTGAAATCTAGCAGGTGGCGCCTTCACCGACGAATTTATCATCAGGCATTTCGTCAAACTGAAGTACACACTTACCACGCTGTGCAACTGTGTTGCGCCCACAAAATGTTGCTCCGTGTGCTACAGGACCCTAGTGAATATCCAAGACATTTTGAGATGTTAGTTGCAACAGTTTTCTGGTTCCTGCCGAGGCTGATTCTCATCAGGTTTAACGCTTCTGTTGTATTGTCTATACTATATGATTATGATCCGAAAGCCAGGGATGATCCCATCATCCACATTATGGAAACGTATGCCGACCGGGTAGTCGCAAATTTGACGCCAGGTCCTACTGTGATACTCGAAACATTCCCTTTCCGTATGTTCGCACATGCAATGATGACCCAACATTACATCTTAACGGCCATTTTAGTTTTGAAGCTACCTAAATGGTTTCCTGGTGCCACATTCAAGCGAGCATCGCTGGAGTGTCTCAAGGCAGCCCATGACGTAAAGGAAATACCGTTCCAAATTGTCAAAGAGAGAATGGTGAATCATCCCATTCACAGAGGTGCAGTGAACTGACTGCATGTAGTCTACCGGCGTCACGACACCTTGCTTCGTGGCTGATGCTTTGAACAGGATGGGACGTTTGGACAACGCCGTCATTACAAGTGCAGTTAAGGAGGCTGCTTGTATCGCATTTGCAGGTATCCAAGCTACGGAACTTTGTTCCCTTGATACTTATTATTGTTTGTTTTCAGCGTCATTTGAAACGGTATGACATGCCCTAGTCTGCGTTTGCCGTGATAATCGTTTTGCCCTCGGCCCAGGCTACTTCCACATTGCTCGTGTTCATTCTTGCTATGGTGCTCAATCCAGACGTACAAGCCAAAGCGCAAGCAGAGATTGATGGAGTCGTTGGCAAAGATAGACTCCCTGATTTCAGTGACAGACCAGCGTTGCCTTACATTGACGCTGTCTTACGTGAAACACTCAGATGGCACCCTGTGGCTCCGTTTGGTCCGTTCCACTGTGTCACCCCTTCTTCCTTACCTTGATGACGTATCTAGGTTTCCCAGGCGCAACAACGACCAGTGACACCTACAATGGCTACTTCATCCCTAGAGGTTTGTAAACGTACCATGCTGAATAATCAATAATTGCTGATGATCCAGCGTGTCAGGGGTTGATTTATATACAAATATATGGAAAGCTCTTACTTCATTGATACCGAATATTTTGAAATGACCAAACCTTTAGGGCAATTACACACGATGAAAAAAGATACCCCAGTCCTGATGAATTCAAGCCAGAAAGATTTCTTCATGAAGATGGGTCGCTCACTAGCGACATCATGCATTTAGGCTTTGGCTTTGGTCGCCGGATGTGGTGAGCTTACATTCATGCAGCTTATTAGCTCTCTGTTGATGACCGCCGGTCAGTGTGGGACGGCATGTCGCAGAAGCATCACTTTGGATCGCGATGACGAGCTTCCTCGCCATGTTCTCAGCCCACAAGGCCCTTGATGAACATGGCATGGACATCCCCGTCATTCCGAAGTTCTCTACAGGTCTCATCGTGTTTGCATAATGTCATTCATCTCCGAGAGTAGTCTACTGATTTTTTTGTTTTTTCCAGTCGTCCGGAGAAATTTCCTTGTCGCTTTGTCCCGCGATTTCCTGATACATCTTTGAAAACACTGACGCACTTGACTGGTTTAGATTCGTGTGTCGACATCGCAAATGTGGTGTAAATGCGTAGTATACAAGTCACGGATATCATGTGTGATCGAGTCTTTATGCAGTTTGTTGATGCGATTGGGGCAACTGCATGATGAGGTGGAGGAGTGTTGAGTGCTTGATGTCTATCCATCTCTGAGGCGTGCACCTCAGCTACACTTGCTGCACAAGTGGGCACTATTCTCGCCTGAAAGGTTTCACTGCAAGCTTTGATGCAGATGTGTCTGACAAAATTACGACGTCAAATCAAGCGCACCCTATCTTCCACAATAATCAGGATAAACCCCAAACTCCCCATTGCAGTCCAGCTTGCTATTTTATTGGCCATTATGGCAATGGAAATTACCCAAGGGTAGAAACACTAAGTTCGAGGTTGAGATCAGACAGGAGTAACGAGTAGAACTGTATGAGATTGGATGAGGATAAGAGATGAAGGCAAATGCATGATATGATATGAACTTGGTGCAAAGTTGAGTGAGATATTGCAAAGTGTCCGAACCATGACCGAAGTTGTGACTACAGGTTTAGTCCAAAGTCCGATGATTATCTAAGGTTACCATTTTTAGTAGGGTGCATGTGCGAGAGGGGGCCCGGTCGCGTGCACATGTGCACCACCCGTGAACTTTGAACATACCTATCGCTCTTCACGCTCCGTTATGGGTCATAATTTATTCTTAGTTATCAGGGCTATATATCCTGGTACAATTCAACCACCGTCCTTTGAAACCCACAGAAATACATCTTACCATGCTCGACGATCATGGCCCGGGACTCAGACTTTACTTGGCTACATCGGCTTTGGTGCTGGCTGTCTCCACCTGTTACCGAAAATATCGGGGCAAGCAATCGGGACCCCCACTTCCACCTGGTCCTACACCCCTCCCAATACTGGGGAATGTTCTGAGTCTTGATGTCGCTCAGCCTTGGCTGACCTTCAATGCATGGAGGTCCACATACGGTTAGCACATTGTGACGAGGATCTATTCATGATAGGCTCATGTTTCACCAACAGGCGACATTATTTATGCTCGTCTCTTCAACAAGCCCGTGGTTGTGATTAACTCCGAGGAGGTTGCGAAAGACCTCTTTGAAAGGCGTTCTACCATATATTCGGATAAACCTCAGTCCTTTGTTTATGAACAGTAAGTCAACATGTTGAAGTATTGCTATGCACCGATAATGAGGATGTTATCAGTTTCGCTTCGGACTTCAATGCAGCAATTCTGCCGTATGGAGACAGGTGATAGATTTGCTCTGTTGTGTTGGCCAGTGTCTGAACTCTAGCAGGTGGCGCCTTCACCGACGAATTTATCATCAGGCATTTCGTCAAAGTGAAATACACACTTACCACGCTGTGCAATTGCGTTGCGCCCACAAAATGTTGCTCCGTGTGCTACAGGACCCTAGTGAATATTCAAAACATTTCGAGATGTTAGTTGCAACAATTTTTTTCTGATTCCTGCTGAGGCTGATTCTCATCAGGTTTAGCACTTCGTTTGTACTGGCTATAGTATATGATTATGAACCGAAAGTTAGGGATGATCCCTTCGTCCACATCATGGAAAAATATTTGGATCGGATAGTCACAAATCTGACGCCAGGTGCTACTGTGATACTCGAAACATTCCCTTTCCGTATGTTCGCACATTCAATGATGACCCGACATTACATCTCAAGGGTCATTTTAGTTTTGAAGCTACCTAACTGGTTTCCTGGTGCCACATTCAAGCGAGCATCGCTGGAGTGTCTCAAGGCAGCCCATGATATAAAGGAGATACCCTTTCAAATGGTCAAAGAGAGAATGGTGAAACATCCTGTTCATAGAGGTGCAATAAACTGACGGACCACGCATAGTCTACCGGCGTCACAGCACCTTGCTTCGTGACTGATACTTTGAATAGGATGAGGGGTTTAGACGACACCGTCATTACAACTGCAGTCAAGGAGACTGCTTGTATAACATTCGCAGGTATTCAAGCTACAGAACTTTTCCCCCATGATGGTTATTGTTATTTCTGTATCTGCAGGGGCATTTGAAACGGTATGTAATTCCCTGGTCTGCAGTTGTCGTGGTAATCATCTTGCCCTCGGCCCAGACTACTTCCACGTTGCTTGTGTTCATTCTTGCTATGGTGCTCAATCCAGAGGTACAAGCCAAAGCACAAGCAGAGATTGATGAAATTGTTGGCAAAGATAGACTCCCAGATTTTGATGACAGACCAGCGTTGCCTTACGTTGACGCTGTTTTGCGTGAAACGTTCAGGTGGTACCCTGTGGTTCCGTTTGGTCCGTTCAACCGTAACCCTTTTCCCCTCCCTCTGATAATGTATCTAGGTGCCCCAGGCGCAACGACGACGAGTGACATCTACAAAGGCTACTTCATCCCTAAGGGTTCGTGAATGCCATGCTCAATGACTGATGGTTGCTGACGACCCAGTCTGTCAGGGGTTGTTTTATTTACAAATACATGGAAAGCTCTCACTTCCTCAATACTGAATATTTCGAAATGACCAAACCTTTAGGGCAATCACACACGATGAAAAGATGTATCCCAGTCCTGATGAATTCAAGCCAGAAAGATTTCTTCATGAAGATGGGTCGCTCACTAGCGACACGATGCATTTAGGCTTCGGCTTTGGTCACCGGATGTGGTGAGCTTACATTCGTGCAGCTTCTTAGCTATCTGTTGATAACCGCCGGTCAGTGTGGGACGGCATGTCGCAGAAGCATCACTTTGGATCGCGATGACGAGCTTTCTCGCCATGTTCTCAGCCCACAAGGCTCTTGATGAGCACGGCATAGAGATCCCAGTCGTTCCAAAGTTCTCTACAGGTGTCATTATGTTTGCAGAATCTCATTTATTCTCTAGAGTATCCGCTGATATTTTGTTTTCTTTCAGTCATCCGGAGAAATTTCCCTGCCGCATTGTCCCGCGATTCCCAGACACGTCTTTGCAGACACTGATGCACTTGACTGGGTTAGATCCGTGTGTCGATATCGCCTGAATATTTCACATGTGGTGATAGGGCAATCGCAAATGGTGGTGTGAATGTGTAGTCTACGGTTCACTGATATACCTTCTTTCTCCCTTGTATGTTCACATTCGAGCATAGGGCAGAAATAAGTTCAAATAACAGTTATATGTGACATGCTCAGGTCAAGTCAGGCGATCCGAGCACAAAGTGTGCAAGTGTCAAACATTACATTTTACTAATAGCACGGCGAATTAGACTGGTGACCAAATCTATCTACTACGAGGCGAGCGTCGTTTAGAGTTTTGTATATATTTCCGAGTCACCCTTCGACTCTGTGCGGATACTAGTCCCGACTACCTAGGTCGTTGACCAAGGTAAATCTGGGTTTGAATTTGGGCAGCGCTTGCTTTGCCATAGTAACGTGACCTTCAGCCAATTGGAAAACTGAGACATGAATATTTGGGCGTACGCTCGTTGATCATCAGGTGGATTACTTGGATTACTGCTCCTCCTCTCCATTCATTCCCTACCACGCTCTCTTGTGAGATATCACAATAATGAAACAAACTTTTTTATTTAGTTCTGCACTTGCTTTCCTTACTTCCGCTGTTTTGGTACAGGCAGCACAACAGGGTGCTACTTGGTTGGTTTCGCACGTTACAAATTTCATTGCTCAAGACTGACTTAGCTCCAAATATCATGTAGCAATTCAACGAACCCATGTTCATCCCAGTATCCTTGTTGTAGTGCGTCGCATAATCGACATCTTCTGTCGCATGAAATTCACATAACAATTTGTTGAACTTCCTTTAGGTGAATACGGATTCTGCGGTGATGGATATGTGCGTCATATTTTAGTTGTCTCAGCGGCATGTCACTCAATCTTGCCAATCTGTAGTACTGTCTCGGAGGGTGCAACCCCCTTGCGTCCCACACTCTCAACTCGTGCAATCCCAGCCCAATGTGTGAGAATGCTAACGTATGTTATTTCCCTCTCCTTTCACGTGAGTGGATCTAACGACAATTTGATATTCAGTACACGCTTTCGGATACCTCTCGCATCCTTAGTAACTATACCTACTTCAACGGGAATGCCTCTGAGTATGGTCAGTGTTACAATGAATTGCTTTTTAATAGTTTCACTCATGCACGTTTCTTATTTGTGACTCTTACAGACTGGGTTGTAGAACAGGGATCAATTATTAATACTACATCCGACGGCGAGGCTGCCATTGCTGTCCTTCTCACTGAAAACGGTGGCGGTACTCTTCTGTCTTCAACCAAATACGTGCATTACGGTCAAATCACTGCTAGATGTGGGTGTTCAGTTTTCAAGGAACTTTGTAGTACAATCTCCTATTCCCTTCTCGTTCATTCTCGTGGTTTCAGTTTTTTATTTATTTTCCCTCTTTTGTCCCGGATGCCTTAAAACGTGCTAACATCGGTTTAAACCTAGTAAAAACTGGCCGCTGGGCAGGTGTCGTTACTGCATTCATCACCATGTCTAGCATCAAAGATGAGATCGACTGGGAATTCCCTGGCAATCAGACGACCACTGGACAGACCAATTATTTCTGGCAGGGGGTCATTCGTGAGTTTCTTATGGTTGTGTCAATTATGTGGAATTTGTTGATGTGTTGTGCCTCTCCTCCATACGCAATCTATACTCCGCCCATGCTTGGCTTCAATGTTATCAAAAGCTACACAAACCGCCGGTGTAACTGAGACTGGTCTCACAGATACTTATTCCAACTGGCATGATTTCACTGTAAGTCTTCGATTTGTTCAGCTAATCACTTCATGTATGGTTTTCTATTTGGTACATACGCTCTTACAGCTCGGCTCACGAGCAACGAAAGCGCACACGCTTCCAGTCGAACGCTACTTGTATATCATCATTTTGCCCCATCCTTAATATGGATACTCTCCTCGAAATGCCGCCTGGTAGTCGATGTCAAAGATGTATCTGCCTCTTTGGTTCAATTCCTTCATTGTCTTTTTCGGTTTCTTGTCTCAAAGAACATACTAAATTCGTTTCCCCGATAGATCGACTGGCAACCTAACTCGCTGACCTTCTTGGTGGACGGAAACCTGACGCGTAGTATTACTGCTGTTGAGACCACGAACAACGCGACAGGCGTGGCCCAGTTCCCCAGCACACCTAGTCGCATCCAGCTGAGGTGTGTGTCCATTCATTCTACTGCTTGCTTTTGAGGATCGGGTATAGGTATCGAGTTGGTGTGGTCTAACTCTTACTACTTTCTCCTCTATCACACAATTCTTCTACTCCAAAATTATGAGACATATCTGACATCTCCGTTGCAGTATTTGGCCAGCCGGTATCTCCACCGAGCCTCAAGGCACAGTTCAATGGGCTGGAGGCATGATCAACTGGAACGACCCCGACTATGTCTCTGCTGGTACGTCTTTTTGAGTTTCGCCCTCCAGCCCCCTACAGCTCTGAAATTCTTCCGCAGGCCACTTCTATGCGCTCTTCCAGTCTGTCTCAGTACAGTGTAACGACCCCACCACACCCAGTGCCTCCGACACGTCTTACGTTTACGGTACCAACTCTTCGCTAGACACGCCCAGTATCGCGTTCTCAAATGCTAGCACAATGATTAACGGCGCGCCTGCTTTAATTGGCGTCAGTACCAGCGCGATGAGCATGTGGCTCGGCGTTTCGGTGGCGCTCTTTCTTGGTGGCTTGGTATTGTAAGCTGACACCAGGTGATGTTGAAGCTTGTTGAAATTGTCCCGGTGGTGTTTTCTCAGGTCTTTTCCTGTATAGCTACTATGTAATAAAGCAAGATACCCGAACATATGTAGTGCAAAAGTATTCAGACTCTTGTAGAGTGCGCTGTGAAATACATAAATATCGTTACAGTCAGTTTGTCATCGATAGTCCACTCAAAATGTACTACTATCGTTTATATCAGACTCCAATGCTACCAAACTCCCATCCAATACCTCCCCCCATGCTTCCCGTCCACAAAACTCCAGCTCCAGATCATGCATCTCATCCAAGAGGGCGTCAACAGCCTGCTTGATCGTCCACTTCCCTTCTTCCTCTTCCAAATGCCCTTCAAGCCCAATCGTATCATCCATCGTGCCAGTACTCTCAAGTGCAGCTGGCATGTGCCTTTCGAACGCTGCAGGAAGCGGTAACAGCAAGTTATACCCCATACATGCCTGCACAAGCCTGATTCGGCGGTACGTGGCACGCACAAGATATGAAGTTTTCACCACTGTTGACATCGTCAACATACGTACATCCTGGTTGGACGATGCTGAGCGACGTAAGTCTGGTATTGTAGGACCGAGGTGAACGATGCGCGGCTGTGCACTGACAGGCGATGTACTTGGACTGCGCTCAAACCCTGCCTTGCGTGGCGTGGATTCTAGTGTAGGAGGATGAAGCGACATATGGCCGGTATTAAAAGAAGCTGATGGAGAACTGATGAAGGGCGACACAGCTGAATGCATGCTTGATAATCTCTTCCTCGGCTTAGAGAAGATAGACGGGGGCCTATTTCCAGAAGAGTGATGAGAACCGTTCTGGAAGCAGCGGAGCTGCTTGTCGAGAATAGCAACCTTTTCTTGTGCGAGCAACTTCAACTGGAGTATGAGAGGTGTGCGGTAGCGAGAAAGGAGCTCCAGGAGAGACCAAAGCACGTAGTCGATTACTCGTGGTTTCCCTGGGGGAGGAGACGGGCGGCGAACGTCAAAGGATACCGACGGTGAGAGGAAAGACTCCTGAGCAATGAAAGGATCAACTGAAGTCATACTAGAACTCGAGTGAGGTGGGTGGATGGGGGAGGATGGCGCAGATTGCTCAGAGGACTCAAGGGCAAACCGTGCATCTCCATCAGAAACCAGAGATCTAAAGACAGCAGCAAGACGAATCCATATTGAAGGTAGGGACGCAGAGAGGTCATCTCCAGCTCTCACGATAATCATCTTCATGATTTGAATTGCGGCTACCAGTGTCAAGACCTGTTCTTTATTTGATGATCCAGAACGATGCTTATCATCAGATTTTCTCCGCTCTAGCGAGGTTGATTGTCGCAACCGGCCTGGATTTTCACAAGCCGCCATCACATAGGAAAGCAGCCGCAACCATGCACTGGTGCGGGCAGCACGCAGCCATGCATCATGGTCTTCCATCGGCGACGCTGAAGCAGACGTTTCAAGCGAAAGAACGAGCTTGAAAATGACGCCAGATAAGAATTTATGTGATGGGGACTGTTTTTCGATCTCAGCAATCACGTCGGCCTTTCGAAAGGATATGGCAGTGGCAAGGAGCGAGACCATGGAAGACCCCTTGTACTCAGAGCTCCAGGCTGCTTGAGACTCCAACCCACCCCTGCAGATTTGCGTCACCACCAAATCGGAGAACATGATGTCGTTGGTGAATTGGTTGCTAGAGATCAGATGAGATATGGCCTCGTAAATACCAGCAAATTTGTTAGCCGACGCATAGGCGCTCATGATAGGAGCAAGGTTCTCGAGAAGTCCAATTGCTTCCTTGGAACTAGGTATACGTTCGACGAGACTGGCCTTTGAATACTGGCATAGGAAATCAACGACTTCGTCTTCTGTGTGCGACGCTTCTCGCAGAAGAATTCTTGCGATATCGAAAATCTTCTCTGTTGCGGTGTGGGGCAGCTGTCCTCCAGCTGTAACGAAAGCGAGCGCCAATCCGAGATATTCTATCCGCATAGTGGTGAGATCACTGGGGGCCTTCGCTTTCTTGTGGAGCTTGTCCGCCAGAACAGCTTCCTCCTGCGATATCTCCGTAGTCAAACCGCCCACCGACTGCATCGTCAATAGTTCAGGAAGCTTGGCCTTCGCAGCTGTGCGTAGGATGATTGTCCCAACTGCATCAATGCCATCGCGAAGCACGCTCCTGGCCGATCTGGAAGCATTGTACAGTGCAGGTGTCAACAATTTCAGGAGCGATAGGAAATTCTGGGCTCTGGCGATGGCAGGATCATGACCAATAACAGTCAACAACAACCGCACGAGATTGTCCATATCAAATGATCTCGTCTCGTACTCCTCGGGAAGGCTAATGATCAACTCTTGCGAGTCCTGGCTACCAACCCTTCGGATAGCAGCCATGAATGCTTGAGGTTTCTCATCAGCAGTGGTGACCATCAATGCTTCTTTCTCTTGCAGTCTGTTCATGTTTCGAATGCCAGAAGCATCTGGACCTGCCGGATTGTTACGATTCAGTGAAGACAACATCCGAAAGACGCTCTTCGCCAGCCAAGAGCTATTGCAGGTCGGTTCCAAGAGGGCGTGTACCACTATATCTAGTGTTTGGAAGACGAACGACTGCGGGTGAATGGCGTAAAAGCGACTGATGGCATACTCAATAGCTTGCTGAATTCCCCGATGGTGCTCTTGCTCCGTATACACTTTCATGACAGATAACATGAAGAGGGAATAACCTCCACCAGACGTAAAGAGACGCCTGAAGCGGGCACTTGCCACCATCAACGCTGCGAACCTGTGGTCAGATATGATCATAAAAAAGATTCTTGGCATACCAATCAGCGACTGGCTTACAATCCCAATGTCATCTCCATGTCTGAGCAAGATTCGATTTAGACCATCTATGAAGATGATCAGCTCGCTGCGATCACTAAGGTGTCTCGACATGGATCTGAAAATCTGGGCTATGAGCAGAAGATGACTCCGCGAAAGGATCAGGGAAAGCGTAGTCAAGATTGACTCTGGTCCGTCCCGTTGTGCAAATAATTGCCGCGGTACAAAATCTGGCAACTCCAGAGAGCGTGTTGACAAGGCGTCTGTTGAGGGCAGAAGGATGTGCTCCATAGTCTTCCGAATGACTCGGACGTCCTGAGAATGTCGCTTTAACATAGACAGAAACAACTGATTCTGATTCACACGGATCATTGTGATTGATATCAATGATGGAGGGATCTCGAATGGACTCTCACTAAGAGGCAGAGCTTTTGGAAACATGGGGCCAGATGGAGACGACGCCGTGAACCACAAGGACCCTGATGGAATGAGAAACCAATCCATCTTCGCTCGCCGAATCTCCCTGATGGACATCTCGCTGACTTGTGTGACTAGGTTCGACAACAGAGCAGCAGCAAGAGCGAAATTGCGAAGTGCATCAGTTGAAGTGACTTCTCGAGCAAGGAATTTAAGATATCCAGCAAGATGGTTGAACGTATAATGAGCCATGGCGGGGGGGAGGTGCTGATTTAGATGTAATAACCCTCGGATAGCTGTCGTGGCCGCTTCTTCATGATTGCTAGCGAGCAAATCGAGGATAGGTCGGATAAGAAGAGCAGGTTCATGTCGTAGTAAATCCATGACGCTGACACGGGCCGCGCATGAGACGTCAATGCAAGAATCGAGAGTCAGAGAGACCAGTTGAGGAAAGATAGTTCCGAGTGCAGGAACGAAGACCGCGCGGCGCTTGATGCCACGACTTGTAGGATTTGACGATAGTCTACTGAGGTGGTCATCGGAAACATCACTATTGGAACGAGGTTTTGTTGGCGTGGATGCTGGGGATGATAAGGGTGAAGATTGAAGGCGCTCCGCAGAGCTAGCGTTTCGATCTTGAAGAGTACTAGGTAATAGTGACAATGGTGTCCTCACCCATTCGCGTTTCTGGTCTGTTGGTCGTTTTTCATCCAACCATCCTACTTCGGCCAAGTGTTTACGTAGTTCTTTGGGCATATCTTCATTACCATCATCCTCCTGCTCTAGGACAAATAGGCTTGAACCGATGTCGGTTGGAACAAATGGCAATGGGTCACGAGCTAACTTGAATGGTCTCCGATGATCCCTATCCGACAAGAAAGGCTGAGACAGAATCTGGAAGCGCATGTTCACCAGCATGTTCAAGCGTTGGATTGCAGTGATCTTCACAGCACTGTCTTCACTGTGAAGTCAACATTAATACCATGCATGACCAGTTAAGGTTCTAACTCACTCCCGCAAGTCGTCCCTGATGAGTTCAAGTATGCTGTGTGGAACTTTCTCTGCACACTGCATGACCAGAAAAGAAGCCTAGAATACTCCAGTGAGAACTATCACGCGTGAATCTAGGTGGAACACGCACCGAAAGCACTGCCTGTGGTTCCGTCCAGTCAAAACATCGTGCCCACAAGGAAGGTCCGATGAGCAAGTAATCGTCTGATGTTAGGCAGGCAGAAATCACTACCAATAAATTGAGGACTTGGCGAGTTAAAGATTGCGGTAGGGACGATAGCAACAGCATTCTCTCGTCCAACACGTCCATAAGCATAGTCCTACGTTCAGGACAGTCCCCAGAAACATCACTGACACTCGACAACAGAGGCATCGTGCTTCGGCGCTGGATTTTTCAGCGTCAAGGCAAACAAAGCAAAATGAGAGCCCTACCTGGTAAGATGCTCGAAGACTATCCTGTATCGAGGCGTAAATATCTTTCACTTTGCCCAATGCTTGCGAGACGTCACTGAAGACGCCATCATCAACAATCGAAGATTCATCTTCATTCACTATATCTCCGACATGCAACTGTAGCAGCCAACCAATCGCTGATTGTAGCCAAGTCGGACTTCCTAAGTTTCAATTCTCAGTTACAACAGTAAAAAAAGCTAGCACATACCGCTTTACGGATCGTGTAAGTAGTCTGATTTCTGTAAACAAGGTCAAATAGAGCAAGCGCATGGAGAGTGGTAGCAGGGCAGCTCGTTCCTGTATAGTGTAAATTAGATCATGGGCTATCCGTCGAAACCAGAATATTTCCTGCCTACTTTCGCTTCTAATAACACACCTAGACGCGCTTCTAGCATACTGAAAAACTGAATTGGAGCAATGACCGAGGCATCAGAGTGCTGTAAATTAAGTTCGGCGCTGTCTAAAATATGTCAGCCTAGGATCCACTCACCGAAAAGTCTTTACTGATTCGCGGTACCGCTTTAACACGCGCAATTAACTCAACTAGTATGATCATCTGTCCAAGCCTTGCTTGTGACCACTTCCTCTTGGACCCAGATTGTAAGATGGCAGTGGGTTCGTTCATCAACGCTACCAATATCATCTCTGTATGTCTCGTCCAGAAGTCGGGAAGGAACACCGAGATAGCAGCAATAACTCCAAGTTGATGGCAGATCGTGAGCACTTTGGAAGATGCTGCACAGGCGAAAACCGGTTTGAAGAACACTTGAGGATATGTGTGTGATACCTTGTCTAGGACGTCCGTGAGTTCCGGACAGTGCAGAGGTGGCGGATCTGCGACTATTCTCTAAAATTCATCAAATGTACACTTTGCTATCGTTAGCGAGTCAGAACACACACACCTCTTGCAAACACGGTATGGACCACGTGAGCAGCTGACCACGAAGCTCATCTGGTAAGTGAAATAGTGCGGTCAAAATTCTGATTATTGAGGGCCATTCATCCTCAGTAATCTGTTCAGGGAGAAAACCGTGAATTATCTTCCTTTAAAGTGAAGTGACACTAAGAAGTACATACACAGTGTTGCATCATCTTTTCCAACGACGTTTTCCACTCAGATATTTCTAGCAACTGCACCGTGAGACCGCGAATGACACCAAACATCTCGTGAGTGACCCTCTCAACGCAGAGCAACTCGATCAAGAGCCTAGACACGCTGGCACGGGCATCCGACGCTTGTTTGCCAGCCAGACACGTCATCTCAGGAACGACACGCGATTTCAGAATATGCAAAACGCTCTGCATGTCCGGATGGTTCGACTGTACAGATACACAAAGGAGAGATGAAGCATGAGCGAATGTCATGACAGCTCGAGAACGGATAGCTGAAATCATAGGGGAAAAGGATCCTGTGAGAGGTAAAGGAGTCCAAAACTCCTACGTATAATTGGTTGCTCAGCTATTTCACGGCACGCTAAAGAGAGAAATTATACCTGAAGGAGTTCGTGCAAGACCTTCCGCTTTACGGTTAGAGGTCCATGATCAAGACACCTGACCAAGGCTTCAATAACCAAGGCTTCCCTGACCTCCGACTGGCGCACACCGACCAGCATCACCGGAGAGCCATCGATCTCTGCTGCAGCGAGAAAGCCTGCGATGCTCCCACATGTCCCGTCTCGAAGTTTCGAGATGATGTCTCTTATAGTAGCCGCTTCTCGGTCTTCCTGTATCTGGAGCAACGTTATAGCTAGCGCCTGGACTAGAGAAAGGAACGCATGGGCACTCGGGAGCTCGATTGGGCCAGTGCGGGGAAACAGGAGCGATGTGAGAACGCTGAGAATGCGAGTCCGAAGGGAGGATGGTATGGACGCAGCGTCGCAACACCAAATACATCTCTCGATAGTAAGCTACAAAATTGTGAGCAGCCTGGACAGGCATGACGTACAGTCGTGCCACGTACATCATCCGACGCTGCTTGCCAGGTTTGAACAGCAGCCTCGAAAGCTTCAGTTGCGGTCCATCGCTCGTTGTCCACATTCTGATTGTCCTCGTTCGATAAAAACGGAGTCAATAGAGCGGAAAGAACAAGAGTTTCGTGAGGGAGATAATTCGGGTTCTTCGACGCATAACGAAGGATGGTCTCGTGCAGCATCATGACAAGCGAGGAGTTCTGTCCCCCTGAAATTGTGGAGGAAGGTCTCTTGATATAGTGTCCTTTTTGAGTTGTCTGAGTCTGCACCATAGTACTCCCAGTCGTGAAGGAGCTCAGAGTCCCACTCGACACGAAAGGGAGATATAACGAAGAGCCAATTGTGCCCAATGGCCCATCTCGCTCATATTTACTCTGAAGTGACAGATCCGGAACACGAAAGGACCAACAAATTTGGAGCAGCTCTTCTGCAAATCGACGGGACTCGTCTATTGCAGCCTCGCGTGCACGCTCCACAAAATGTCGGAAGCCAAGCCGCGCAAAACGAGATGGCTTGGGCGTGTGTGGTCGGGAAGGGCTTTGAGAAATCTGCGCGGACGGAGGAGGAGAAGCTGAACGGGGTGCTGCCAAAACATGTTGCCGTATCTGTTCCCAGCGGACCTTCGAGGAGGTTCGAGTCGGAGCGTTCCCTGAGTCAGATCGCTCCGTGACGGGCGGTTGCGTAGTGGAAGATGAGCTTGATGCCTTGAAAGCTTGGGAAAACGCAGAGGAGAATTTCTTTTTCAAAATAGGGCTGCCACCTGCCACTGACCGCGCTGGCCTTTGCTCTTCAATTGTGTATGACCTTGGAGAGTCAACTGGAGGTTCTCCCATCCAAGTTTCTGATTCTGCACCATATTGATCGAAAACCGAGTTACTGACGTTGCCCTTCTCAATACCGGCGAGTTGCAAAGTCGAAGTTCCGGATGGAACACGAGCATGGACTTGCGAGTTGTCAACGTCTTCTGTGACAGTGTTGGGTGAATCGAGTTGCTGACTCTTGCTTGATGATGATCGAGAAGTCACCAAAAACCTCTTCTGTACAAGTCTTGAGCCAGTTGGAGGACTCGGATGTGAATGCAAGTCATGGTTTCCTGGCATTCGAAAGGATGCTTTTCACCTTTGAAGTTTTACGGTTACAGGGTACTGAGTACTTGTGTGAGTAGGATGGTCAGCGCTCAGCATGGAACTCCCATGGGGGTGGTTGTTAAGTAGAGGCTGACTTGAACTTTGAAGCAAACGGCCTTCTAATCGAAATTATCGAATAGCCTATTACAACTGGCGCTTGACTCCGAGTCGGGTCATTTCTTTCAACAATACACCACAAAATGCATGATTACAAGACGAACAAAACACCGACTATAGGGACACAGAAGACAGACGTTATTACTGATTACTATCAACACAAGGATGGAACGCTCGGCAGAAACGGAATTCTGGGACTGAAAAGTGTTTAGCAAAAGACAGCTAAACATATGAATGACATACTTAAAACAAGAATCTATAGCATAAAGACTGGTGCACGAGTGCTATGTATTTGCCTAGAAGAAGTCCAACAAGTCCATTTTTGAAGGTAGTGAAGCATTAGAATTACGAAGAGCACGAATGGGCGATATAGAGTCCATCCCACAGGGAAAGTGGATCGATCAAGCATAGAAGAGTGGTGTGAATTGTGCTGGTGTGTTGACGCGTGTGAATGAAGAGAATGGTGCACGAGAAGGCCTGTATGGGCGAATGTCGTTACTCCAGCTGCTTTGAATGGATTAACTTTATCTATTTGAATATAACAATTTTACCTGGAGCTCGTTGCGGAGCTAGATCTAGAAATTGTATCAGCAACATGTGCCCTATGGTGATATGTAACAGGGCGGGGCGCGAATGAGGCAGCTTGCAAGGTATCGCTGGGAAGACCGAATGGGGAACAAAAGTCGTTGACAAACGAATCGTGCGCAATACAGCTAAGACCGGAAGCCAAGGGCAATAAGCGACGAGATCCAAAGACAAAAGGAGCAGCACAGGGATTAAGTCCGGCATCAGATGTTTTCGGTAGCATGGGAGACTGAGCATACGCAGCAGAAGCAGAGTCAACCGGATGGATATTGTCGTGAATGAATCGAACTTCCAGGCGTGAGGTTCCATAGAATTGTCGTTGAAGTGCGGCTTTGGCCTCCTGAGCATTGAAGATATTCACGTATTCGACTAGAGCGCTTGTAGTTGCATTGCCGAGCGTAGCAGAATCCACGAGCTTCACCTCCTTAATGGGACCGAAAGGATAGAAAAGAGGATGCAAGTCACTGTCCTGAGCAAAGAGAAGGGTCGGCAAGTTCGATACCAGCAGCTTCGAGGAAGGTGCCAACGAGATATTCCATTGTTTGGTAGCGTATTGGGGTGAACTGGTGGTCGGAGGTGCTGATTGGTGTTCGAACTCCATTTCCGGAAGTGACGAAGGGTTCGAGGATGCCAGCATCATCGTTCTGTCTGCTCCATCTAAGAAGCCTGTCAAAAGGATAAGTAAGATGTATTTGCGACTGAATCGAGCCCGCACCTTGAGAACGTTGTACAACGGCCCATGATACATCAAGGGTGTGTCCTCTGCGGTGTGTCAGTGAGTCGAGCTGTGAATGTCGAAGTAAATGCTCTAATACTTCATTTGCGTTCGCGAGAGCGCATTCATCGCACGCTTAGCTTCCTCATGAGATGACATTACCACGAACCCGCGACGGCGAGATGCGTTATCGACAGTAGCGAGGATGACAGCATGCGTAACAGTACCGAAACGCGAAAACAAGGCAGAAAATTCAGGCCTAGTGAGTCGTGAGCATGAAAGGAGTAGGGGCTGAGAATATGCACACTTGGTGAAGTCAAAGGGTAGACCGAGGACGTAGAGATTACGACGCGTATCTGAATTCTTGCCAGTGCTCGAGGATGTCGTTTTGTTATCGATAGCGGGTGTCACGATGCTTTAAACGGCGCATATATGCACTGTTCAGTCTCCCCGTATTGAAAAGCACTCACATGGAGGATCCACCGATGTTGTAACCAGACATACGCAAAGCTTTCCTGTCATGTGGTCAGTCGGTACAGTAAGTTGAGAGCGTACAAATCTTGCTTAAATGCATCATGTGTAAGAAAACATATCACGCAGTATGGTGTGGTCGTTCCATCACGATGAATCTCCGCACGCTGGACAGGACCTATGTGAGATGAAAAATAATATGATCTAGTACAAACAAGGTGACAGAGCACGGACCAGCGGCGCCACTAAAAATGGATTCGACGTCCTTCTGCTTGACTATGCATACAGTTAGACCGGTTTTATTCGGTGTGTTTAGACCAACCATTTTCGGGGATATTCTCGACCTTGATGGTATATGTATCGCGAGTCATGGAGGATGAAATTAATACTGTAATAAAAACAAACGATTGTGCTCGGCAAGAAATGAAAAGGAAGAGTGCAACGTCTAGCTGTCGTCGTAAGCGACACGATACCTGCAGCGATGATGGAAAAGAACAAGAAAGAACGGCAAAGTCCGCGAGGGGTTTGGTTGTATTTATGTACGCGACCACTCACGTGAATTTAACTTTTGTTCATGTTCTGCAATGATACCAGCTGAGGTCATCGATTGCATCAGTCATCTGGATAACAAGCAACAAGACAAATTATAGAGCTGCCGCGGACGGCCATCAAACTTGTATCATTATTAAGTTGAATCCAGGCTCCAAGCATGTCCAGGGACATCCTCTTCCACCCAACCCTATCGTCCTCGCTCCAACTAGCGCTAATACGTGCAGGTTACGAAACACTCGACGATCTCTGCAACACTCCCGTGGAAGCTCTTTCTAAGGGTGCGTAGCATGTTAATTTCCGCAGATCTGGTTGGAAGAAGATAACCCCGCAGAACTGGGGATTGATATTTCCGACTCGCTATCCATAATCACCGCATCACAGCGGCCTCCAGGACCGCCTTTGAGTCAATCTTTGGCTTCTTTGATATCTAGATCACAGATTTTTGCGTGCAGCTACGCTGCTGTAAACACGGCACTCGGTGGCGGTCTTCCGAGGGGACACATACTAGAAATATCTGGACCCCCAGGCAGTTTCAAAGAAACTCTTGCACTAGATTATGCTCGAATTTTTGTCGAGGCAAACGAGGAGGTTATATTTATTGGTAATGTATTTCGCGTTTGACGTGTCAGTCCACCTTTTTGAGAAATGAGGTGTAGATACCCAGAATATGACAAGCCTTGCCACGATCAAGAAAACCTTTCACAGTACGCAACACGTCACTCATTTCCGCCGAGGTGAACAGCAGGAATAATAATGAAATAATAATAGATTCCTCCACCGCTGCTGACTACCAAAACCTTGTTCGCTATACGCACCTTCATACCCTCCCGGATCTAATGTTATTCATACACAACCTACTATCTGAAATCCACGCCAAGGTATGCAGCCAATCGATAACGTCAAAACTAGACATGAATAGTCAGATAGACGGGGCTTCTCGTCCTCAATTCAATTTCATTTCCGTTTCTATCTCATCCAGATATTCAGTCCTCTAAACGGACAGCGCTGCTGGAGAAGATCCATCAGGTATTTTTGCAAGCAAGTGCAGTGAATAATCTGACAGTGAGAACAAAGAGTGCCTCGCCGTAATCAGTCGCCTCATTTCAATCACAGATTATCACAACTTCCCAAATGTCAACAAAATTGCTCAATGCTGATGGCTCTCCTGGAAACTTCGAGACAGGAGCGAAGGCTGTGATGGTACCACAGCTAGGTACGCTCGCTAAAACAACATGTTACGCATTGCTCACTCATATGCATAGGCTCGACCTACCTACCAAACGGCCGATCCTATCGATTGGTAATTGTTCCGGAATCACGAACAACTGGGCAAGACAAGATTTACTCAGATGGTATCTAGTGCTAACTTTCTGTGACAGAGTAGTACAGCTTATTTCATCTCCTACGCACCCTTCAGGACAGGCCCGGCACCAATATGATCTATGTAAGTGCAGCCCATGCATGCCACATCAATAATTTGATGACATGTGTATCGCCAGCGCATCATGGAGCATAAAGCGTTCTCCACCGTTCCTTGCGGATCTCGGTATCCATCCTAAGCTCGAGGTGCAGTGATAATCTTGTCGGGTGTGATAATCATATCCATCTTCCAATCATGGTCGAACATCGGCACTTGTCCGTGTTCCAAAAGTTGCTGCTCCAATGCTAGAGCGACTTGAGATTACAAGTTAGAATGGAGTCCCGTACTGCTCATGATGTACTAACCTAGCAATGGCCTCGATCGTTCAGTAGAGGAAGAATATGATGTTATGAATCGATCATAGTAGCCTTTTCCATGCCCGAGCCGCGAGAGTGATGGATCAAAGGCAACACCTATGACAAAAGAGTATGATCTCCACGGATCGTGTTGATGCATGCATACCCACCTGGCACGAGGATTAGATCCAAATTGTCGCAGTCTGCATCGAAAACTTGAACAATAATGAGCTTGCATAACGATCTTTTCGTGCTAATTCGACGCACCACTTTGGCGTTTTTTACCCGACCATTCTGGCGTCGGTTCTGGAATACCCCATAGACCGGATGGAAGACTGCGATAGTCTTCTTCGGTATACACTCGTACAAAGTCCATAGAGCCATCTTTGGATGTGATGCTAGGAACGAATAACGTCTTCCCTGAAACGTGTATGAACACACGCAATCAGATCGAGGTAAGGACCGTCACGCACCTAGATCTCCAAGAATGTTCAAGATCAAAGAAGTCGTCTGAACCTCAGCTGCTGGCATGCTAAGATAACAGCTGACAGTCTTGCATTGCTGGAATGCGGATAGAGACAGAACCTTTTCGGTAATTGCCTGTGCTTCACGCAGAGCATGTTAGTCATATCAGTGTCAAGCTCAACATGGTATTTAAGAGTCACATTGCGACTGGATATCGGACTGGGATAATTCCCGAAGGGTCGTGGTGATCGCTTTGCGGAGTGCTCTTTTATTAGTGTTTTGAAGGATCGACATGGGTTCTGGCTGCCCAAAAATGACAGCGAAGATCAATATTGTTGAGTGGGGCAACTGTGGGTCCAAGTGGGTCCAAGTGCCAGTAAGTTGGCCTAGCTAAGAAGCGCAATTGTAGATCCGCGAGCAATGCTCGGTCAACGATGATGATCGTGGACAAAGTCGCGACGGGCTTAGGGCGATTATGCTCCGTAATCATATTATTCCCAGCCTCTGAATGTACACTGTCTGACTTGCGTTTAGCGCCCATGGAGACCTTAGCCCCATTTCCTCTAGAACCACCTGATGAACGCCACAGTCGTGCACCAGAATTTTATGGTTTCGTAGCTTGGACTTCTACATCCGTCGTGTTTGTCTTCTATGTTCTATGGGCCCTGCTCCCAGATGAATATATCGTCTGGCTAGGCGTGAAATGGTATCCGAGTAGGTAAGTCATCATTACGATTTCTGCATCCGAAAACCGCCCAGTCTGACTGCGCATCACATCTAGGGAATGGGCTCTGCTTCTCCCGGCATACTCCATTGTCGTCGTACTTTTGACGTACTTTGTCTATTTTGGCATCGCTATCGCACGAACTCCAGCCTTCTCTGACCCCAGCACGTTCATTGGTGAGCATGTTCCGAAAATAATAACTGCGGGAGTCTAAACAGCAGGTAGATACCAAAGCACACCTTCCTGCGCTAGATATACATGTTAATCATGCGGATCCAAATGCTATCCCTGAACTGTATGATGTTCCAATCGGAATCGTCAATCGTGTGGTGTATGGACCACACCGCTCGCGAAATGAAAAGGGAGAAAGTTTGAGCAAGGCTGACAAAGTCCAAGTATTTCCTAAAACCCTATAATTTAACATTGCTGCGAATTCTAGAATACAAATGCTAGCTAACTGATCCTTGAATCGTAACCTGTGCATTGAGCGTCTAAATGTTTAATCAAAACTAATCAATGTGCGGTCGGTCTTCGCATTAGTATTAAGCAAGGCATCGAGCCTCCTGTAGGGTAAGTACGTGTCATGTGAAAACCGAAGGGAACGGCTATTTTGTGGAGCGATTGATTGGGTCGCACCGACAGTCATTCTACCCCACTAGAAATCAGCGCGATTTAACCCCCGAGCGGGACGAAGACGGACCTGACTGGGGTAGTGGCGAGAACCAGTGTCAGCATAATCATCACGATAGGCTGATGCCTGGTTTAATGAAAATGAGGGCTCCCCTGCCGGCAACGCCACTGAGAGCACAGGGCATGTTCTTTTCGAATCGCCCTCACCCGACGATTGGGAGCCGGTCCACTCGATGATAGGTTGTGTCCTAGTAACGAGGCTGTGCGGAATCCACCTGAGTCTTGTCGGTGGCCGGCCGGCATCATGAACATGGTGATTTACGAGAGGCTCCTCAAAACCGACCATAAAGCTGGTGCCTTGAGATGGGCCCTCCATCAAAGAGGGGTCAATCTTGTGTGTCTTCAGATGCCGCTTGGCATTAGATCGGACTGTAAAGTGTCTGTCGCACGATGATACCTGACACTTGTAAGCTGTTGAATACTGCAAAGTCAAAAATAAAGAGCGATTTGTTGGGCTGCGACGCACGTTTGACTCCCGAATGAGAATTCATATGCGTGTTCAAACCGCTGGGGCGCGGGAATATTTTCAAGCAGATGGAGCATTGGTGCATCTTGGACCTTTTAGACGATCGTCTCCTTCTTGAGGCTGTGTTTAGTGAAGCAATGGAGTCAATGTTTCCATTGGGACCCCCAAAAGGAGGCATCTCATCGGGAACATATGACGAGCACCCTTCTTCGGGAGAAGATACTCCAACCACTGCGTTCCCCTCTATGACGTTTCCGCAGCTTCCTGCTACTGGCCCATCATAAAAAGAACTAGAAGACAAGTGGGGAGGTGAAGGCTGCGACGAAGATTCGCACGATTCCCCCGATGTGTCTTCATCAGGATCGTCAAAGCTTTCCAAAATCCTCGCGTTGTCCGGATCTGCGACTGGTCTAAGAGACTGACGGCCCAACCGAAAGGTCATAACAGATGGTATGGATGGCTCCTGGTCAGTTAGGGGCATCGTCATGCCTGGATTCGTGGGAGGCGTATGAATTTGGAAATGGGCCATCATCTGGGACATGACTAGGCCCGTCTCCATGTCTGAGTCGTCAGGATACGTGTATTCCGTGCATGCGCTGTCTGCCAGTGGTGACACTTGCTCCTGCCCGGTGGGACTTCGGCTGTCTGGATAGCCCAATAGCTGGATGTCGAGATGAGCTGTCGGGTTTATTTGTTCGTCATGCTGGCCACTGGCCCATCCTGTGCAACCTGGGAGGATGTGAGAGGCACGATGACCAGCACGAGAGACCTGAGATGATAGAAACGTGGAAGACACGAAATAGTAGTCTTGAAGGTCACGGTCGTACTGCGCAGTGGATTGGGATGCAGAGGTAGTCCTTTGAGAGGACTCTGGATATCCAACGGACTGTGATAAGGAGGGCGACAATTGCTGTTGGTGTCCATTCACTTCAAGCTCGTTTGTGGTACAAGAAGCCATGAAGTGTAAACTGAGGCCTTTGGGAGAATTGTCGCCGTCACCAAGGTATCCTGAGGAATATTGCCTGGGTGCACGAGGATAGGATGAGTGGGTATCGGGTAACAAGTGTTCTTCGGAGTCGTCAAATGGCATGACTAGGCCTGAGATTTGACCAAGGAGCTGGTGTGCCTGCCCTTGGCCTCCCATAGAACTAAGTAGTTGATGGCATGAGCACACTACGAAGCGGAACAAGGATAAAGGCAAGTACGAACTCTAAGGATAGTCGAGTACCTTTTTGTACCGTGGGAGGGAAGTGCGAAGGATAAATTCAGAGAAAGAAGCTATTCTGGCGTCCAGGGAAGTGGTATGAATCTATGTGAGGAAGAGTGCGGCTTTTTGTTTCGCCTGTAGTTAGATAAAAGCCGAAGGGCGTGTGCTCTGCGTGCGTGTCCATCAGTGAACATGAGGGCTCGTGTCTGGAACTTGCGGGGTGATATGAACGAATTGAGAGACGTGGCTTGCACCCTTTGGGTACTTAGAATTAGAAAAAGTCCAACCCCCCTACGATTTGAGAACTAGCCCTATTTGATGCTTCATGTCCTTTATTAGTTATGTATTCAAATCTCGACAAGAATCTTGTAAAGATTTATCACATCCATCGTTCTGGAAACTACCCTGGATACCAAGCACTGAAAGGTGATTTGGCAATTAAAATTGTCACCGTTTGGCCAATATCAATAATATTCCAAAACATATTCCGATAGCTGCAAAAAAAATCAGCGTCGTAAAGCTCCTGAAGCAGAATAATTGCTAGGTAATTATACCCAAATTGTTCTGGAACCGGGGGATGGCGCTCTCGCCCGATCCGAGTCTTGAAGACTCATTGTCAGTCGAGCGTTTTCGTAACTACGAATTTACACTCCGCGACGCCTGCGTGGCACGACATTCGCTGTGAGCCTCGACGTAGACCTGTAAAGAGGATGAAACAGTTTTCTGTACAAGACACGAACAGAATTGCGTAATACCGATCCGGATTGCATTGATTAGATTCCGCTTTTATTGACGGTACTAACTAGTGGGATGCCTGCATGCACGGCATGCTAAACATGAACAGATTAAATGCTACAAAGAATTAAATTAGTACTTAACTGGTTGCTTGCCGACCTCATGTATTTCTAGTCTGGTATCGCGGCCATTCTTCATTCCACCATACAAAATTATATACAGTGATGGACGTGAAGTAGATATCGGAAATAACCAGCTCGAATACAGAATGCAACCTTAAAACGCTTTGCACCTGTCGCCCGAATGGCTATAAGCAAATTAATGAACCTTACGACAGTCGCACCGGACAAACCTAAATTCCTCAAGACAACTTCCTCCTATCGTCACCTGCCGCTCTTGGTCGAGACCGGGCGACTTACCGATCACAAATTGTGGACTATTGCGGATACCTGTATCTCCCACAGCCTTCAGGGTTCTTTCAGCCCTGGATGCTACTGCACTAGACAATGGAAACCTGACTTTGGGTAGTGCAGATCCTAGCCGAGTACGGCAGCCAGGCTGCCGTCCATCTGGGGTGATCGTAGTCTCGCGCCTTCTGAGCACCCTAGTCTTCTGTGGGCGATTAGACATCTAAGATACGATAACAATCGTCAATCAAACTTTGATACGCACCGAAGTGTGTAAGTCCTTGTTCAGGGCCCACTTATTCCACCACCCGTTGGCGACTATCTCGGTGCGTTTTGCGCGTGCACTTGCCTCGGTTACTATATATTCCTCAGCCGAGCCATCTATGTCAAATCCGTCATTCGTACCGTTGTCTTCCGGAGTAATAGGACCACTAGTGGATGATGACTGATGCCGAAGTGATTATATCATCATCGATCGCATCGATATCTTCAGGAGGTTCAATGTTGAGAATATCACGCAAGTCAGGTCCTTCGATTTCATCGCCAGAACTAATGCCATTCATCGGCGGCGGCGTTTCCCGAACGAGGATACTGACTTTCTCTTTCTTGGGCGGTAAACATTGATGTGAGGCATGTCGCATGACTGTTCTCACTGCCGTAGGGCTGGGGATGAGATCGGCGCCGAAGTCGTCTCCGTCACCATAATCACGCCGTGCGGGGTTATACGGCCGTACAGGTGAAGAGAGATCAGGTGTGGCTGATCGGAAGTAGGATGGGGAAGGTGACAGGTACCCATCTTCTTGTGTGACGGGATCCCGGGGCTCTTCTAGAATGTCGTCTAATTCTTCGACTACAATAACGTTGTCGGCATAATCGGGGAGATTTTCTTTATCAGATAGGGGGTGTGGGATACGTGAACTGGGCATCAAATCGTCCTCGGCTTGTTCCACCTTCTGTTTCGATATCAATGGAAAGGGGAAGAACCTTGAATGTGTGGGGAGAGAAATATCTGTGGGAGACGAAGCCTGATTTATTTTTATGCGTTTCGCGGCGAGGTCTTCATCAAGTATATCGACAAGTGTTCTCTTTCCGCTACCTTTACCGGGCACCGCCGTTCGCTTTGTTGGCGCGGAATTACTACGAGTGAGGGTAGCTTTTGGCTTTGGAGCTATAGGGATACGGTCAAATATGTGGGTTTTATCGGCACTGAAGAAAATACCGAAGAAGGTAAATAATCCGCCACTCTCAGGCTCGGCTTTTGCTTTACCCTTTCCTCGGACTGAGCTAGGCCGATTAACATTATTTGCTTGAAAGGGGAGGGGCTTTACTGTGCGAGGTACGAAACTTGGATTGATATCAATCATTGGTAGAAGTGTCACTGGATCAACATCCCCTTGAGCCAGCTTTCGTGCCAAAGCAGGCTCTATGTCACTTTGAGAGAAATGAATCAGCGCTCGAATCTCCATCAAGCAGTTGTTCAGAGACTGACCCTCCGATATGCGATTCCACTTTATCGCCCCACTCAACTCCTGGTGGGATATCCGTCAGGTTGACGAGTCGCTCATCCAGGGGACAATAAACACGTTGGTGTAGAAACACGTTCTCCGTCAGATTATATGCTTCTAGATACCCTCTGGGCACAAACTTCTTCCCTTCAAGCCTTATAGCCTGCACAACCTGTTCTACGCTTCTATACTTCCGTAGCAAGGACCACGCAGTCTTCAGTCCGATTCCTGGAATGCTTGGCAAATAATCACATCCGCTAAGGATAGCCATAGCCCTGAACTGAGCGTCCGACCATCCAAGAAGTGATATTCCCCCTTCAGCAGCAGTCACGGATCCAAAGTCGTCCCTCGAGATTGAGACAACAGTACTTGAAACAGAGTCCAGCTTGAAGAGCACCTTTCGACATCCGAAGACAAGCAAATCCGAGTCTTCGGTGATTATGCCATCCACAAGACCAATACGCTCCAAATACGCCATTTGAGCGTCAGCTTCGTATGGTGCGACTACATATGGCACATTCTCTGCGCGCAGAGCCTAAAGTGAAAAATGGATCAGACGAATGTCTAGCCCAACGAATGACAACAAACTTTTATGAGTTGGTACGCCATCTGAGGGGTTACGTCGATACATTTAACAAAGTATTCTCGGGCTTCCTTGTGTCTTCCCTGGGACGCCAGTGCCTTTGCCTTCGCAAGATTTTCTTCTCTCCGCTGCTTGCGTTCACTCTCGGTTCCCATCTTGGCCGGGAGTGGCCCACCGTCAAACACAATATACGGGCAAATTTTGTGATGACGCAGTAAGCGAACACGCTGCATAGCATAATCAACATACCTAGGTGAGAAGGTGAGCACACTAGCAACTGCGAACCGCCTCCAGACAATTCGAGAAACACTGACTTTGTAGTGTGCTTTCCAGTGGCTATTTCGGTGGCGCAGGCGTATACGCCTCGGTGAAGCCAGACATAAGCATCCACCGCAAGTGTTTGACCAGCGAAGTCTGAGAGGTGTCGGTGAACTTGGATTGATTTGAGCAACGGTAAAAGGCCAGATATTCCCATGACTAAATATTGGATGGCTCAGAAAGCCCTAACGGATGACGGATGAGGTGCACTAGAGTATTAGAAATTTAAGTTCTTTGGACTACAGTGTGACCAGTGGACCAAGGACCATTATGAACAAACAAGGACAAAGAGACGCGTCGCGTCAAAGGAACAATGCGTCTCATGACCGTGACACTTAACATATCTGAGCCGTCCACGGTCAAACAAATGTTGTTGTTGTTGTCGTCGTCGTCGTGACCCATCGATAATCGATCATTATCAGGTGATTCTAATCTTCTTCAAGTGCTGGTGATTGACCAACAGATCCAGGGACATGACCTAACCCGAGTGACTTTGTTCAAGTTGCAAGTGGTAGGCTATCTGTCGGTTTACCGCTCAGCTCGATCTGCCGCTGTTGGGCCATGTTGATGCGCACAATATGTACTACCCTGGCATAGTCTCTAGATCGTCGTCGGGTGTGATAGAAAGGGAGCTTATCGGCGACTGTAACTCCCAGATATCATAAAACCCTTGAGGTTTACTGCAGGTGATGCATTACATGTAATTGTCTGCGTGCTGATCGGGCCAAGCTATCACTTAATGAACAACCCCACTACACACTTCTCCAAGTTCAAGGGTTGTAGCCTAGTAAGGCTTCGATACCATTCTGATCTGATCCTGAATCACATGTATCCACACGAGGCACTTCAGTGACAATCATTATCCCACAGACCCGGGACTGTGGCGGACCTTTCCCGGACTGCGCAGTATGCTTCTGGATATGAATCGAGTTCTGGTTCGTAACAAGCGCTCGAGAAGTACTTCTAAGCGGTATGTATGCCGACATGAAAGAACACTCTAGAGAAGTTTCAGCATACCCTCGTGCAGCAGGCCTAGCCCTTTGACTCCATTCCACCATTCCTTCGCAGCCAGAAGCGCACGATCTTGGGACTTTAACTCCAAAACACTAAGCCACTCTCCGTCAGCACAACTTATGAGTACTGTGTGTGTATGTGGCGAATACACTGCCCAACCAGGCTCAACAGGGCCCAAGTCATCATGGCTCATGGAGACACTGAGATGGTGCAGCTGAAGAGTGCGTCCATTGGGCATTGTAGTCGTGATAGGACGCTGATGCGAAATAGCATGAGAAAGTCGAACTATGTCCAACGCAGTTTGAGACGTAAAATCAATCCGTGCATCGGAAGCGGATATTGCAGAAGCACGTGGGGTGGTAGATGAGACTGGAGGTTGCGGGATGCTGCGAGCCTGATCGAAGCGTAAATATTTAGAATCAGCCAAGTATCCGTCGACTAACCTTTCCTAGCAACATATCCCGAAGTACTGTGACAAGTAGATCTCCTCCTATTCGGGCCAGCTCCACTGACATCGAAGGAAATGTAGCGTTTTCTGGAACAACCTGCAGTAAAATGAATTATGCATTATTAATCGCTCGTTGTAGTACTTGCCATCCTCTCGCAGCCCCACACGCTTCCCGCATCAATCCCTTCCTTCTTCTCCATCATATCAATGACACATACACCTGTCACATTTTCTCCTCGAATCAAAACTCTCTGAATGGGGGCCGGACCTCGATATGCAGGCAGTAAGCTTGGATGAACGTTGAGTCGCTGACCTGGCAGAAAGACACGTAAGAGCGAAGGGTGGAGAATACGTCCGAAGGAAGCAGTGACAAGAAGATGGGTTTCACTGGCAGGGTCAGAGAAATGAGCTTCGTTGGTGTTCGTAAATGGTGGTGGAGGCTGCGTGGAAAATGAGGCCAGTTGAGCAAGAAAGAAAGTAACACGCACCATCCAATCCCTGAAGTCAACCTTTCGTCGTGGTATAGTGTGAACTGGAACCTCGAGAGATTCTCCAAGCTGTTTTAGTGGAGCTGTTGGCGCAGCAGTAAGTATACTACCGCTATGAAAAATGCATACGCACAAATTGATAAATGTGAACCCCGTCGACCAGTTTTCACGTCTGGGTTAGTAGCGATTGAGATGGACTTCCAAACATCTATATTACCGGTCAACATAAACCTTGGATTGCCCATGTTATGAGCTATACTTGCCTCGGGCGTCATGCAATTGCTTGAAGACATTACAAGAGAATTCGTCGCGACCGAAGAACAGGATGTCGAATGGCTTCTTAAGTGCGTCGGTCACGCTACTACCAGTGTAGAAATGGGCGTTCAAGCGTTTTATTAACAGGCGTCTCCGCGTGGAATTGACCCGCACAGAGTTATAAAACGTTTGACTGCGCATCATGATATCCGATCTTCGATAGACACCAACCAAAGCTGATCTACAAGGGCAACGTATTAATTGGAGGAAAGTGGGTCATGCGACAAGTGGCAAGGCATCCGCCGAGCTCTCGGGTAGCTTTCCTCGATTTCGCCTCCTTCAATTTCTTTGGTATAAGATGTCCGGAAGGTTGGCTACGAATTACATGCAACAGTGCTCCAGGCTGCGCTCGTCATGTGATCCCGCCTTACTTGTACATCAAGGCAACCCTCGCTGCTCACGCCTGTTACGTTCGCCAGCAGATATTTACATTCAATGTCTTGGGTGAAAAAAACTCTTTATTCTGCCACGTGGATGGCAGAACTGCCAGATATCAAATCATGCTGGGGCAGGCTGAGGTTCCGTCAAGGTTCTGTATACAAAAACATTGATGATGATGCCAGCAGGGCACAAAAACGAGTCCTTGATAGGTAGCAATTAGTACCTATCAATACATCATTGACGGTATACATTGCAACGCAGGGTGATGGAGAAAAACCCATTTTATCCTCAAGTTTCAAAGAAGGATAGGCAGAAGACCGGCTTTTATATCCATCCCCGGATGCGGGCGCCGCCGCCATTCTGAGGAGAGGCGTAGAGGCTCTTATTGCGGTATTCTGAGTCACTAGCTGTGTGCGGATTAAATTACTGCTCTGACAGTCAACAGAATTTAGGTACAGACGCTTGAAGATTCGTGACGCAGGGACATGATCACGCCGTATTGCTGAGAGCCCTGGACGAGGTAAGACTGGTATGGTGGAAACCACAACGTGTGCTGGTGACGACGGCGAAGGGGTCGGCATCCAGTTGACATCTACGATTCATTGAAACAAGGCATCTTCCGTCGTTTAATCTGAAGATCTATCAAGAGGGAGAACGCACCCTTGTGTTGGGACGAGGCAGTGTTTATGGGTCCTTTCTGTGTCCTCAGGACGCCAACCTTAGCATCAACTTGACGAAAAGCAACAGTGGTGGAGGGAGAATGGATACCATTCACACTTTCTATGATGTTGCGTCAACTCCGTTGATGAGAAGTGGACTAACTCCTACCCTTGCATGATATGTATTTCCGAGATGGGGGTGGTGAACGCAGTACCTTGATGTCGGAGGGAGCAGTAGTCCCAACCCATTGGACACAGGGTGACGAAGCCTTGAATACATCAGAGTCCTTTTGGTCAAATGACGAGCACATGTTAACAATCATGAAAAAGTGGTGACGTCGAAACATTCCACCTGGAAGCGCCCGACTGAAATTGGAACCATCGCATCATTTCCGTTATTCTGTGGGACGGTGTCTTCATTAGCGAAGAACATTTCACGGGTTTCCAGATGTTATATGAGCATGTGAGTGTCGGAATGGAATTGCATCAGTGGGACTCACATACCTTGAAGCTGCGTAATACGACGGCCTAGCGCCGCCATCGCTTTTTCCCGACGAGCTTCTTTGGCAGCCTGGTCCGATAATTGAACGCCATGATGTACCTTCACGGTGTCTAATGTAAGAGAAGATACTCTGGACTGAAACGCCCCAAATTTCCTTGTCATCTGTTCGCGCAAGAGTGCAACTTCTTTCTCGGTCCGATTTTGGTCTTTGAGCTGGTCAACGATCTGACTACGAAGGTGATCCAACGATATATTGGTCTTAGTATCGTTGATCGAAACCAAGTCCGAGAGTTTTTGCAAGTCTTGACGCAAAGCAGCGTAGTGTTTCTTGCACTCAATATGTTCCTGAATCTGAGTAGTAAATTGAGCGCGAAGACATTTCTGGGGGGTCTCAAACTCTTTATAACTCTGCGCGTGCTCAACAAGTGGTTGGTGGTCTGGACTAATATGGATTGTGCACGCCTGGCGCAGCGTGCTCACTCGACCCTGCTGGATGTTCATGGTGCTGGACGGGTAGTGTAATTGTCGACCCAATTCCTCGCAACAGAACGATGCCTTGGTAGGATTCTGTGATACTTCGTCTTTAAACTGTGCCAAAATCGATTCATGCGCGTTGGTAAGCAAAGCGATTTGATCCTCAGCTGCAGACAACGATGACTCGAGCGAGGCAACAGAACGACGCAGTGACAAGATGTCTCGCGAGATAGAAGCCAGTTGACCTGAGAAGATAAGAAGAAACTGGTAGAACAGAGGAAAAGATGCAGTGGAAGATGTCGTGTCCGAAAAACCCAGAGGATAGCCGGAGTCGCGGGTGGAAGGATCCTGTACAAAGTCTTCACCAGTATGATCAAAGAAGCCCATATGGGAAGCGGACATGCGAGTTTTTGACGGTCCAAACGAAAAACCGTTCGATAGTCCGTTAAACGGGAAATAGATGATCGTGTTGGTCAGGCCAGTGGCTAGAGACACTCCACGAGCCTCAAGGGCGGAAAGGAAGGCAATAAGGGAAATAAACTGGAGAGGATCAATAGCCATGCTGATCGAAGGAATAGAACTTCCCGCAGAAATTTGTGAGGAAACGGAGTGGAAACTCGACAGATCACTGAGTCTAGATTCGATCCAACATGTCTGTTTCATGATCGGTCAGTTCCAAAATCTGTGCTAGATGCCTCAAACCAGGACTCGTCATGTATCTGACTGTTATAACGTGTTCTGTATATACTAATCACGGGTCTTGATCATCGCGATTGAAAAGGAAAAGTTCCTTTGGCGCAGGAAAGTCACGGTCCGGCGTAGAGTGGCTGGTGAGACTCTACAATAATTTTTTGTTTCCATCGCCGTTGTTGATATGATGAAACAGGCCCAGGGCAGTAAATGAAAGTAATTTTGAACGCATCGCAGCATATGTGTCTTGCATTGTAACTTCGAGCGCTTTGTTCTGTCACACTGTGCACCGACTTGAACAAGTTGAAGCTCGAAGCAAGTTTCGGTCACAGGACACGTGCTTAGTCATCCTCCCTGACTGGACCACTCATCATTAGGGACAAATTGGCATTCGAACATTTGACTGGCAACATATATTTTCATGCGCAAGTCTCAAAGACATCGTAAACATATCAAAGGCATAGGGCTTCTGACCCGTGTAGCAGATTCTCAACGGTGGTGACTGGGCATTGTGAAAGATTACGTCGATTTCTACTGCCACACATGAAACGCATCGTCCATTCTGTGGATGATCATACGCATACATACAGTATAATGTGTACTCTGCCTTGCGGCTATTACAAGACAACAAGATCGGCAGCGGACGAATCAACGAATGAAAAAGCTGTGTGCAACGGCGAGCGCACATACGAGCGAACATGCAACGAATCCAAGGGGATACCCTGACGGATCGTCTCTGATGCCAGCCGCCCAGAGCTATATTGTGTGTAAGGATGTCATTGTACCACCGGAGCGCAGAGCGGGTACTCACGTATCCGCCAAGAACAGGTCCAAAACAACGTGCAAGACTAACTATACTTTGCGCGACACCGTTTGCAAAACCAACGGCATGTGGGGGTGTCACTATAGACATCGTCAATGGAAACCCATCCTCGCACAAACTCAATAAACGCACTATAGTTAAGAAGAATGGATATGGCGGTGTAACCAAACGTATTTCCGCAATAACGTATAGCTCTGCATACGTGTCAGCAATGCTCAGGTGGACTGTCCAGACGTCACTCACGTGCTCAGAGCCAGCGCTAACATAAACGAATTAGCTATGGAACAGGAGGGATAAAGAAATCACATTATACCTGCCATAAGAATGAAACTTCCCTGGTCATTAGAACTTGCGAAACCCCGATACATGGTGACAGTAAGGTATGCCGGTATAAATAGTAGGGACCCGAGACGAAACATTGCAAGGTGGGAGAAGCGTCCTCGAGGAGGTCTACGAGCAAGTGCCATTAAGGGGACGTTGTACAAAAGATCCAGAAAAGACTTGCCCAATATTTCTGAAAGCAATAAGTCAGCAGAGAGATAATCAAAAGATGAAGTGGCCATACGGATAGAGATAAAACTGGTATACAATCTGTGCGAGGCACATGAGAGCAACTGTAGGACACTATCAGCGAATCCTTTGTATCGAACAACTCAGCCCATACTAAGCTGGGAGAAATGCCCAGGATTGAGGTTCAGACCCCCCGACTCGTAGTCGCTGCTTGGAAATTAGTAAGATGCACGCAGCATTACCCGGACTACGTACGTAACAAGATATGACAAGAACACTTGATCGTGTGTTGTGCTGTGGAGCGCTAGCAGACCGTACTGAAAGATGACAACCAGAGGTAGCTGTGAGGTCAAAGATGGAGGCTTCCCTTGAGGAATCTCCGACTCTGCGATAGATTGCCTGTGTTCCAAAATTGGTAGTAGTGAATTGTCACCAGCGGTCTCCTGGGCACGGGCCTGGGCATCGAGGACAACGGATGGCGTACGCACCCCAGGGTGTGAGAATATCGACGGGGAACGCAGTGCGAACGGTACCCCATCCGGTGCGGGAGAACCCATCATTTCTGACTGCATGCGTGAAGATTGTCCAAATGTCATTACAGATGAGCGTTGGCCGGGACTGCCGATCGCGCTTGCGAGGTTGCGTCCCATGGAACGCCCTCGATGCACAGGAGATGATGTGATGGAACCTGGAATGTGTTCAATGTACTCCGAGTCAACGTTCATGTCTAAGTCTTGCTCAGGTTCAAATGTTTCGTCATTATCCACATTCAATGCCGCTGCCACCCAAAGATCAGCAATGTTTGTTACCGCGTTCTCGTTTGCCATTAATAGTCTCTGAGCAAAGTTGAGGTCGCCTGGATCCGTGAGTGACGCCGGTCCCTCGAATGCACTTCCGTGCCTCCTTCTCATAGTGCTGGCAGTGCTCACACGCCTCACACCAAGTGTGGTCGTGCTGACCGTGCTTGTCGCCCTGTTGCCTCCCCCATAACCATACGCGGATCCATTGGTTCGGGTGATCCTTGAGAAGTTGTGCGGGCTGTCCATTGGCAGCGATATGGATGTTGTCAGTGGCACTGACAACGACTGGGCTTCTTGTGTGGTGACCGAGTCTCGAGATCCGAAATAACCAGACAGTTGACCGGATACTTTCCGCGTAATGGAGTGCATGAAGCCGGACTGTGGTGCATCGTTGAGGGTGCTGGGTGTCGTGATATCTTCCTCCTCTTGAATGGTCGGGTGTCGATCTTCAGGCTTTTCTAGTGCTAGCCGAATTGCGCCATCCCTCGGTCCGCCGTCGCGGCCCAGAAACAGGGACAAGAACGACCCTGTTGAATAAGTGAGTGTTTGTGTGATGCCGTCCTTCTGAAAACGCACCTGTTAATGTGATGCTAGCAGCCACTGCGCACGGGAGTAGGTACGGGTACTCCACTAGTAGCTGCACTTGGCCAAACACGCTCGGCCACTTGTCTGCAGGCTTCTCAACTAATGAATCGTCAGTAATACTACTATGCCTTTACAGAAGACACTCACATGATCCTCCAATAATGGCGCCCGCCACACCACCAAGTCCCCAGCAAAAGCTGGTCACGACATCAGCACCAGGATCTCAAGCAGGCGATTGGTACTCGCCCCATGATAGCGTATGCCCTCCCCTCGTTCGTTATGTCCGTTACAGTAGCAACGCATCCGCGTGCCACTCCGACAGCCCCGGCGAATATTCCCTGTAACAATCTCACCGCAATCGCTTGCCGGAGGGATGTGCATGTCCCAAAAAGCAACACCGTCACTGCACTTCCAAGCAAGGACAATGTTAGCACCAATCTACGACCATGTCTATCTGCTGCGGTTGCCTATTGCCCCGAATTAGAAACAAGCAAATGACGACATTAGTGCAGAAGAAGGAAACGGGGCATACCCATAATAGTGAGGTCAGGAACTGCGTTAAGAAGAACGCAGACACTGTGGTAGCGTCAAATACAGTCAAATATTAAAGATGATGAGCAAGAATACCAAGTATGCCAGTCCAAAAGGCGATCTGTGCTTCATCGTTGATCTCGCCAAACCCTGAATCCGAGTTCGAGTTAATCAGACAGCAATCATGCTACATGTCATATGGTCGCGCACCTTTAACCATGAAAAGGAGAAACGGCATGGCGACGTTGGCAGAAAGAAACTCTCCAAGCATTGTCTTGGCGCTTGATCAGTGATATCACGAAGGTGCATGCAGATACTTACGATGGACAATACAATCATAGATAATGCTGGTAACGGAGTCGAGTCGGACTCGCTGCCGCGAAGGGCATTGGGTATCGGAGGTCTTTCAAGTATTGGAGACTTGATAGCGCTCTCTACATCCGTGCTCGTCCTCCAACGCGAGACAAAACTTTGCCTTTGTTGGATATGACCGCCCGTCGCCCGTCTTGTGCTGCGCTCCGGCGCAGAAGGGTCATTATCCTGTTCAGTGTCGTTCCGCATACCAAAAGACCTTCTTGGGGGCGCGTATAAAGATCGTGAGCTGCCGACGTTTGGCGGTTGGAGGGAAATACGGGTGGTCATGATGAATATATAAGTGTGTCTTGGAGTGTCTATCCAAACTCCAACTCTTTGGAGCCCGTAATGATTTTCCAAAAAAGGAAAGTACTTTGCTGCGCGCGCCACACAGTGTCCGGTCGCAAATTATGCTCTTCGAAGCTCCACTGCAGTTTGCTTCTGCAAAAATTGAATAACGTAACCACAGCGAGGGCTATCGACTGGCAAAAACCACTCTTCACACCATTTGAATATGACTTGCAACTATTCTTACTTCTTGTCTTCAGGCTAAAGGAAAGCAGGAACTTCATCGGGAGCAGCGATACCCGTACGGCGTAGATGTGCTTTGTAAAATTTGCTGGCCTAGGGTTATCCATAATCGGGTGACAAGGAACATTGTTCTCCCAAGTTGCCTGTGCGGACCGTACCTATGCATTGCCGCTACTCTCTCAATCAAACTAGCCCCGAGTCACGGGTGCAACTCATACCCGGTACAACCTGACAACTAGCCCAGTGCATACGAGTTGCTTCCTGCTTTACCGGGTACCAATTGATTATATGCCACGTCCTATGTCGGGTGCGGTGTTTTGTGATCTTCAAGTTTGTGAGTCACTACGTTTTCTCTCTGCATTCACTGAAACGAGAAATGCAGATGATAAACCAGATAAGACATGTTCCACCATGGACTATACGACGTTATTCTACCCTATTTCCTTCTCCTAAGTTGGGTCTAGCCTCTTGCTCATTATAAACTTGGGGTTTCCATCTTGCATCATCTGACAAGAAGAGCAGAGGCTGCAAGAATTTACATACTCGACCACTTCAAACATTCTAGGCGCCTGTTTCGGTGTTGCGATGCACCTGACGTGAAATGCTGACAACGTTCTTGACCCTCAATCTTATATGCCGAGACAAGTCTGGTATTTCTAAATATGTAGTCAAAAAGTCTGTTTCATTCAATCCGTGCGTCTGGTTTTAAATCCAGCTGGGTTCCTGCTCAACATCAAAAAGCACAGCCTACCACGGACCTCGACTCACTCCCGTTCCTCTTAACCTTACCCTCACATAACGTTCTCGTCAGTCTTCTAACCTTTATTTTCCTAGAAACCTTTCCTTCATTTTCCCAAGATGTCGATCACTGCAGCTCTCCCCACCAAGTTCATCCTCCCTGACCTCGTCTCCCACTGTGATTTCAAGCTACGCATGAACCGTCATCACAAACAAGCTACTGTTGAATCAAAGCGGTGGCTTTTTCGTGGAGACAACCTCAGCCAAAAGTCGCGCAAGGCGATTCATGGGCTCAAGGCTGGTCATCTCACATCCATGTGCTACCCAGATGCGGGATTCCCTCAGCTTCGCGTCTGCTGCGATTTCATGAACTATCTCTTCCATCTCGACAACCTCTCAGACGACATGGACAAGGCTGGAACCAAAAACATTGCAAATGTTGTGCTGAACTCGCTTTATCACCCGTACGACTACTACTCGCCCGCCCGATTGAATAAAATGACCAAGGAGTAAGCATTCATTTATTAACCACCAGCAGGCTGATTCAGTGTATCACAGCTTCTACAAGCGTATGCTTCCTACCGTCTCTCGTGGAACGAGCAGACGCTTTATAGAGACAATGGATTTATTCTTCCAAGCTGTGCACGTGCAAGCTATCGACCGCACAAAGGGCATCATTCCTGACCTCGAGTCTTATATCTCCCTACGTCGCGATACTAGCGGATGTAAGCCCTGCTGGGCACTCATCGAATACGCTAACAATCTCGATATACCCGACGAAGTCATGGAGCATCCGATCATTCAGAGTCTCGGCGAGGCCGCCAACGACTTGGTTACTTGGTCAAATGCAAGCATTTCAGTCAATTGCTTTTCTCGGGCTAACTCCTAGTTTAGGACATCTTCTCCTATAACGTGGAACAGTCAAAAGGGGATACCCACAATATGATATCTGTCGTCATGCACCAGGAGTGCCTCGACCTCCAGTGTGCCGTCGACTTCGTCGGCGAGCTCTGCAAGCAGTCTATCGACCGTTTCAATGAAAATCGCGGGCTTATTCCTTCCTGGGGTTCCAAAATCGACAAGGATGTTGCAATATACGTCGGCGGTCTTGCAGATTGGATTGTCGGAAGTTTGCATTGGTCGTTCGACACTACCCGGTACTTTCAGAACTCCGGTCGTGAAGTTAAACGGACTAGGGTTGTCAGTCTCTTTCCTCGAAGCAAATGATTCTTGGAGCAATGTTTCAGCGCTGCTGGTGAGCGTCACATACAGCTAATTACCGACTTATCACTGAGCATCTACTGTCGCAGCCGGTTGGCAGCTCTCCACACTCTCTAAACACTGGTAGACTTGGTACTTGGGAGCTGTCTCTTCACATTCCTTTAGATCATTTTCCTGGACATTCAAAGTATCCACTGTCGCAGCTGGTCGGCTCCCCACACTCTTTTCAGAACGGGAAACACTCGTAGTGTCTAACACTCAAGTTTCTGGACTCACCTATCGTTTCACATTCCTTTAGATTCTTGAACATTAATGGACGCTTTTCACAACTACTACCAACTAGCCACACGTTCATTCCTCTGTCTCCCAACCTCGAACAAGAGTAAAACAACATATTATCTACACCCTAAAATTGTATGTTCTATATGAAGATCATCAAGTGATATAAGCACAACAAATCAATTGTGGTAAAACAACGCCAAAAAGTAGGTTCAGGCAATTTGAGGTTCCGGATCAGGATATGCGTCATGGTCGACGCATGTCATCGAGTACACTGGCGTTCCCTGTGGGTATTTTGAGCGCAACACGATGACTGGATGTGTGATCTGTACCTGATGACACCAGATTGAACGGTCGTCCATTTTTGTCATCGAAACGTACACCCCTTGAATCCCAATGTTTCCACCACCTCTGAAGAAACAAGGGATGTTCCGTGATATTCGCTAAGGTTCCAATGTTACGAATTCGGACCTGGGTCAGTTTCGGAAGTTGGGACTCGTCGATCTGACACAAGAGATCTTCGAGCGGCTTCATGATATACGCGCTGAAAATCGCTTGAGGGACGCCAACGGGATCCTCACTGATTGGGAAAATACCAATCCGCTTTAGCGAAGGATGCGATAGTAGATCCAAAATATGATGAGGAAAGATAGTGACAAAAGTGTCCAAGTTCGGACAAGTTGCGATAATTTCATTTAACAATGGCGTGAATGCGACGGTGCGGACAATGCGCACTTTTGACCCGTGGGTTCGCAGGAAGTCTGGACTAAAGGGGGAGAACCCCTCCAGCCTTTGCAGGGACGGAAGTTGCTCGGGAGACTTGGCGAGCATCGTAAGAAAGGCATTTAGGGGAACATTGCCCAGCGACGCGTGCGAGAACGAAGGACTATCTCCGAGAACAAGCGTTTTTAAGTTGGCTAAAGTAAGGTAATGCGATGGTCTCTCCGTGAAGTTGCCATATATATTTGCGAGTGTCAGGCTTATTATGCCAGTAGCCGTTTCAAGCACGCGCATCAGGTCGCTCCAAGAAGGATATTCGTTAGATGTCCACTCCAGTCGTCGTAGTGACTTAGAGCATGTTCCAATGAGGGCATCTATAATTTCCGTTCGCGTCTGAGCCTGAGGTGGTGTGATATGAAAAGTTGGATTCATCGCCATGTAGTAATTGCTATTGACTAGAATTTCGATGTTTGGTGTACACCGCAGGATTCGCACAAGTGCGTTTAAGCATTGATCGGACGGGTTCGACAGCTGAAAGTCGATCCGTCGAGTGCACGTTCCCAAAGGGTGCTTTATTGAATGCCTGCGACTTTCTTCCAAGCGGTTGGCGATAACAGCCACTTGCTCTGCCGACGTCAAGTGAAGGTGCTCATGGGTAAGCTCTGTGACAACGTTATGCCACACTTTGCAGACCAAAAGGAGTGCTGAGTGAGTCTTCACGTCTCTGTTCAAGAATACGACAATGTCCCGAACTTCCGAGAATGGATCTTGTCGGTCGGACGAGAGAACCCCAGGCGACCGGACGAGCGATGCTAGTATCGGACGCCATAATTCTACGGGCAAATTACGCAGCGTGCCCATCCCACCCAATGGATGCGCTATGTTAGAGGTAAACATTTGGCTTCGGCAGCCATCACACACACCACACACCTGGCAATACGAAGAAGCGAGTAACAATGATCACGTCTGACTGTCCTGTGGACCTGTTTGTAGATTATAGACTAACTGCAGATGTGCTTGAGATATTTGAGAAACCTAGTGATCGTCACACATACCGCACAACTTAGAAGTGTTTCGAAAGCCTTCGGTGAAAAGGGAAGGGACCCACAATGATAAACTGATTAGGTTACGCGGCTGAAAGTGGTTGTTTGTTTCGAAAGCTTTTGCCAAACAACCGTCATTCGCCAATATTCAATGTTTGCTATAAGCAATTTTTGAGCAGAACATACGCCGCGTACGCGTCATACGTGCAAGCAGTCAGATGTCTGGAGACTCCAATTCAAAGCCTGTCTTTGTAAAACGGAAGGCCAAGGCAGGCTCTTCAGTATCCAGAAAACGACTCAAAATGCAACCCACGTCTTTGGATGGATTACCTTGGAGGGCCGTACGTCGTCCCAGTGAGACGGGTCTTGATGGTGATGATGGAATACTGGAACTAGAAGAAGCGGAAAATGTCGAAGTGGTGTACGAGGATACAGAAGGAGGGAGAGTCATGAAGTTCAATGTAAGCGGCAGGACGCGGGGCATCAGATTGGACATTGATCAGCGCTACCCTAGGTTCTTGAACTATCGAAAAAGACAACAAAGGCTACTGGATCCTCTGGACCTGAGGCAGATGTGACATCTTCTGCCAGCTTGGAACTGTTAAATCCTCCAGTGTCGTTCGACTGTACGTTATCTTTTATGCTAGTGACCCTCCTGATTTTCGGACCCTTCGATACCCTCCAGCCGAGTCTTTGCTACCCAATTGGCATGCTTTTTGTATACATTCACATCTTTTACAAGTTCTTCATTCGCAAGGATTCGCTACACCCACCCCAATACAAGCTAAGTCACTGCCAATAGCCTTGAACGGGCGGGATATTGTTGGAGTGGCAGAAACCGTTTGTTAATTCCTATTAATTTCTTCGACGTTCTCATGGTTTGCTTTCTAGGGATCCGGAAAGACGCTTGCATATGGCCTTCCCATCCTCCACAGTATCTTATCATGTCCCCGGCTGCAAAGGACTAAGCGGACACTCCAGGCGCTTATCTTAGCTCCCACCCGTGAACTAGCCCTACAAGTCTCTGATCATCTCAACGTGTTCGCACGAGTTATTGATACGAAGGCCGAACAAGATGTTGATCTCAGAAACACCGAGGCTAAGAAAAAGCAGCACAAAAATATTACTCCGCCCCTCGTCAGCATCGCTGCCATAGTCGGCGGAATGTCGGCGCAAAAACAGCGGCGTATAATTGACCGGGGTGTCGACGTGTTGGTAGCGACGCCAGGTCGACTTTGGGACATTCTAGAGGAGGTTAGTAAATTTTGTTTCAATTTTACCTTGTCTGATTAAACACGTTTTCATCCAGGATGAGGAACTAGCAAGACAAATCAGCCAGCTGAGATTCTTAGTGCTGGATGAGGCTGATCGCATGGTCGAAGCGGGACATTTTGCTGAAATGGACAACATCTTGCGGCTCACAATTCGAAAATCCCAGTATGCGTTGTGATATCATTGTAGTTATTGAGACGTTGACATGTTCCACTCCCAGAGAAGATGAAATTGAACCCCCTGAAGCACCAGTTGATTCTCTCGATGCTCATAAAGGTGCAGAGAACACTGAGGCTGTGGATGCATTGCAAACCTTCGTATTCTCTGCTACTCTCAGCAAAGATCTCCAGAAGAATCTGAAACGAAATTATCACCGGAAGGGCTATAAAAAGTCGTCCAAATTGGCTAGCACACTGGGTATGTTCATTTCCGAGCGCTCTCAGACGTTGTTGCTAAACAATACCACCAACAGATGACCTTCTTCTGCGCCTTGATTTTCGCGACCCGGATCCAGCTATAATTGACATCAGCCCCGAGGGAGGCGTTGTCTCCACACTCAAGGAGAGCAAAATCGAGTGCCTTTCCACGGATAAGGTGCGCGCGCAACCATACATGCGCAGATGGCGTCTCATCCCCCACAGGATGTATACCTGTACTACTTCCTGTTACGGTACCCTGGCCGTTCCCTCGTGTTCTTATCGTCTATTGATGGCATAAGGCGTCTCACTCCACTGATGGAACTTCTGAACCTCAAGGCCTTTCCTCTCCATTCTCAAATGGAGCAACGCCAGCGCCTCAAAAACCTTGATCGGTACTTTTCATGTCCACCGTAGACATCGACTACACCCATGCTAACACAGACGCCACAGGTTCAAGGCAGCCACAAATGCTGTTCTTCTGGCCACAGATATTGCTGCCAGGGGTCTTGACATACCTGCTGTTGACCATGTTGTTCACTATCAGACACCACGTTCTGCTGATGTATTCGTTCACCGCAATGGGCGTACCGCTCGTGCGATGCAAAAAGGTTTTAGTTTGTTGATGTGTGCCCCCGACGAACGTCGAGTGGTCAGGGCACTACTAGCAAGCCTGGGTCGTAGTAAGTAACACCAATCCTTACTCACTGGTTGTATATTCAACGCACGCACTATTAGAAGATACAGATATTCCTGAGATATCAGTGGAGCTCAGCCTTATTGATAAGCTCAAGAACCGTCTCTTGCTCGCTCGACAAATCGATTCTCAGCAACACAAAATAAAAAAGCAGCATCATGAGCGGAACTGGCTGAAGGAAACGGCGGAGGCGATGGAGATAGAGCTTGATTCTGATATTTTGAGGTGAACGAAAATCCTGCCGTAATAAAAATGATGATGCTGACAGGTCGGTCTAGCGACTCCACAGATGAAAACAACCCATCAAAGCACAGAAAAAAGAATAATGACGCAAAGATGGCGGGTTTGAAAGCCAAATTAAAAGAACTCATGTCCCAGCCCCTCCTTAGCCGAGGTGTCTCGACGAGGTACATCACCTCTGGAAGCCGACCGATCGCTGACGACATCATATCGGGAGATGGTAAGTCCTTTAGATGAACATTTTCCCCCTTATTCTTACTGCGTTGTATAGTTCATGAAACCATGCTGGGCCTCAGGAAATCGGAGGCCGGTGACGACTTAGTTGCCGCCGCCAAGCGAAAGCTAGTGCACAAAAAAGTATATGAAGAACCAGAGGAATGGAACGGCTTCGGTTCATCAGACACGCTTTGATGCACGAGGATGTGTTAGTACACAGTGCATATCTTCCTCATCGTGAGCGGTACTTGATAGTAATTTCTAGCCTGGCAGTGCGTGAGCAGCCGCGACGTCGCTTACGCATGAGAAGCTACGTATCATCATTTCCATGAGTGTCGAAGGACATGTTAGATTTCATTTTTGCCTGACCTCGATCGTGCCATGTGGCTGTTCAGGAGACAACCTACAAGGTTTAAATGATGATAGCACGATGCGTGTTAATTGATTGAGACTATTGGTCATGCAATTGTGGGTCTTAGCCTGACGTATGATTGATGCCACGCTTGTCGCAGTCCAGACACGAGGAGTGATTGCCGCCCAAAAAAAATAAACCGATTGACCAGTCATAAACTAGTATCCTTTGACGTTGTTGCAAGGGTCTCGAAGCACTGGATGGTTACGACTTGAATGAAATTGTCGCGTCTTTGAAGCTTTGTTCTGTTCGGTTGAAACACAGTAAATCTGCACTGTAGGGGCTGGTTAAGTTATGTAGGACTAAAGTCGGAAGCCAAGGCTAGTCACATATAAACTCCGACGCTTGCCGGGGCTGGCAGTACACTTATATACACACAAACTTATCGACCAGTGTGGCTGATTATAACTTCATTATACCCGACATGCTGTCGTCTCCACCATCCCCCATCAGAACCCCGTTGACCCTTTCTACAGTTACCAATGCACTCGTAAAATTACGACGGAGCACGTCAAAGGCTGAATCCATCGACTCTACCTCGGGCGAGCCACAGACTCACCCCTTACTGCGAGGGGAGGGTGCTACGTCAAAACGCAAGGTCCCATTGGTGCAGAACGACCTGTACTTCTGTAGAGATGCAGTAGATGTGCCAAAACTGTTGAGGGGGTCGAGAGCAAGTTTGCTCGAGAAAGCAGAGAACATAGGTGGAAATGTATTAGTTGACGAAAGGTGCGTGGAGCTCGTGGAGTTCCGATGCGTCTTTGTTGCTCATGCTTTGAATCAGCTGGGAGTGTTCAATACGTGTCCCCAGGGACAGACGACACGGATTTTTCAAAGTTCAGGTTCGTCGTGGGTTTTTTTGTCTGATTTGAGTCTCTGAGACCATTTGTCTAGGTCCGCTACAACGCCTCGGCTTCGCGATCGTCCCTCCCAGATCCTCAAAAACCAGTTGCATTAGACCGAGTCCAGAATGTGTCAGGACTCATGACAGTCGTGGACCGCGAGGAATCGTTACCATGAAAGCGCAACATCGGAGCTCTTATGATAGTTGTCTCTGCACTCCTTTGGGCCTGCAGACATTTTCGTTACTATAGCTGCATCACCATAATCACACATGCATTGTACTCTAACAATCACCATAACAGCCTAGTATTGTATTCATCTCATTTATATCTCTTCCTCGCTCTTTCTTCATGTTTTCTCAAAAGAGCCGTGGCTTTTACATATCGGTAAATTATTCAATGTATTCAAAATGGTCGCCACTTCATGACACCAAATTTCTTGTTGTAACACAACACAAGAAACACACGCTTATCTGCTTGCCTCTTCAAATATTTCATCATCTCCTGTTATCATACGGATCATTTCGCGGGAAGTAGCCTCCTGGAGATGGGAAGGAAGCTTGTTGGTCTTGATCATCGCTATCGAACGCATGTTGCCCATAACGGCCACCATACACCGGCGCTTCGGGGAACTCGTGACCGTGGATGTCACGATGTTCGTCAAGAAATCCACCTGGAGGTGGGCCGCTTAGTTGCGAGTACCCGCCTACATGCGGACGGTATGATGTAGAGTGATCACCTGCAGGTGGAAATGTTGATGGTGGAATGCTTGGCGGCGGATAGCTGCTTGTAGGTCTAGCGCTCGGATAACCGCCTATAAATGGAACATTTGATGACGGAGGTGGATACCCGCCGGAAGGTCTAGTGCTCGGGTAGTCACCGGGCGCATCCTGCACGTTCTGCATGTACGTGCTACTTGCTCCGACGAACGACGATGTGAGAGGGGGCGACTGTATGTAGGACGGTGCGTACTGGCTCTGGACAAAAGGAGGATGGAACGATGACCCGCTCTGCGAGTGCTGCGCATACGGACTAGGGGCATACACCGCTGACGGTGGCAGCGGGGCCGAAGGAGGCGCGTAGTTCGAGCTAGTGGTTTGCATAGTTTCATACGAGACGGTTGTCTCTGGTCTCGAGTAGCAGGAATCCGGCTGTCCACTAGATTGCCCGCCCTCTCGTCTCGTCCCCGCGGATCCACCCACCGTGCTAATCCATCCCTGCATCTGCGTAGCACCGGGAATTCCTTGCACGAGACCCTGAATGCCCTGCTGCATCGGCACATTCTGTGCATGAGAAACGGGAGCACTCCCATCGGCGGCTAACCGAGTGTTGTTCTGCGCTCGCACCGCTTCCTTCGTAAGACGTGCAAGTATGGCGTGCTGATTATGTCCGAGACTCTGCACCCAAGATCTCATATATTCCAGCATTTCACGCTGGACTACGGAGGAAGACTGGTGGAAGTCGGGATGGAAGCTGCGGATAATGGTCTGTCTGTGCCGAGAAAATGAAAGGAATGGGACATACAGGCACTGCAAAGCCTCATCTGTGATCTGCTTCGCGTTGAGTGAACTGTCATCCCAGGCCTTCGTAATCAAATTGACAGTATGTTTCTATCCGTAGACAATGCTAAGCGCAGCTGTTCCGTGTATCAGAGAGTAACTCACAAGAATGATTTTTGCGATATTGCCGGCAGGTTCATTTAGGATTAAATTCTGGAAGCATTACATTTAATGAATCGAGTGATACTGCGCAGCTCCTCAATATGCGGAGGATTAGGGTTTACGTACGAAGTGATCTTTGCTAAGCAAAGAATGTGTGGGGTCGCTCTGTGGGATAAAGGGGTGATAAGGGATTATTGCAGCACGTATCAGAGTTATTCGAACTCACAGCGTACGGGACATTGAACACCTGCCAGAGGAAGAGATATCAGTAGATGTTGATATCAAGATAAAGAAGAAGGGAGAGATCGATAAGCGAGCACGATGACCAAGAGCGATGCAACGAAGACCGAGCATCGGGTTCCGAAGAGATCGAAAACGAGGCAACTGAAGATCGAAACACGGAGGGACACGGAAGTACTCGCGAACCAAACACTCCAACTACTTCCTTTGGAAACACTCACCTCATATTGATCATGCTGATTGATTACCTCTGATGAGGCCGACGATAGTCCAGCCGTCGCGGTCTCCAAGATCGGTTTCAAAAAGGGCTACGTTCCAGGTAATCAGCAACCGCAGCGGGGAGGACACATTTTTGGAAAATTCCTTACTTCCAAAGTAGTGAAAACGAACACTGATGAGAAGCCATCAGTACAACTTGATCAACGAGTTGATTATGAACCGACCAGAAATTGAATCCTGAATTTTCTCGATAACCGAGTTGAGTCCAGGGATCTTCTCTGTAGCATCCATCAGTGCCGTGAATGCTTGTCATAAATATCTAAATTTACCTAATATCCCCGATATGCTTTTCATAACTTGGAAAGAGTGAGACACCAGTGAGGAACGTCAAATCAAGGGCATACCAGAATCTCTGAAGCTCAAGACCTTCCACAGCACGCTATGCAACTCTTGTGGGCTCATGTCCTCAGGCCGCCTATCCCCACGTTCCATCCCAGCGCGCATGTGCTCGATGCCCTCCATGTCGCGGCCCATCTTATCACCACTTCCACCAGGAAGTTTAAGAAAAGCATCGCGGAGTATGGCATTCGACGAATTAGACTTGGAGCGTGCACGATCAAACTCTTTATTGAGATCCGTGACAGAAGCTTCACTCTAGAGATTGGATCAGAAAAATAATTGTATACCAAGATCAAGAATCTTACGATGTGATCCGTAGCCTCTGAATGAGAGTGAGTTTCGATAATCGCTACTATGACACGAGAGCATAGGTACATACCTCCAAGTAGGCTGTGGATAAAATCACTCGATCCAAACGTGCCTGAACAGACATAGGAGCGAGCGTGGTTATTCCTTGAACGATATCGTAGCGTGAAAGACGCACCAGTAACGATTGGCGCGACCATTTTCCCGTTGTGTGCACGCACTCGTACAGCATCACCAGTATGCACAAATACATCGGTATGTCCCATGGAAACAAGAGCAAGTTCACAGAAGTTAGAGTGCGCAGGGAAGTCTTCAAGGGTGTGGAGCTATTCGATGAGATCAATTGGTGTTGCGATAAAACCGATACGATAGAAAAAAAGGTAAACACCAACGACGGATAGGACTAGTATGTGCCACAATGTACACCGCACATATTCGGTGCATCTATGCACCACAGGTAGAGGTTTTTAGTTGAATATTCAACTTACAGCTTGTCCAAGGAGTCGAAACGCCTCATATTGATCCGCGTTATCTCCAGAACTCTTGTATTTCCTGCCAAGGTAAATGCACTGCTCGAGCACTCTACGCACGAGGGCCTTGGATGTATCCCAATGGCCATTTTCTGCCACATCCATGAGCTGCTCGAGGTCAAAATGGGATCGAAGTGAAGAGACAAACCATTTGCGATATAGTTTTTCATCCCCGTCTGCGGATCGATAGCGAGTTCATCAGGCTAGAAATAATGAGTAGGGCAAGTGATAGATAACCAAAAATAATATGTACGTGAACAGGACCGCGCAGTCTGCGGTCGTACTGTCGTGCGTCTTCTCCCTCTCCATAACCTTTCGGGTTGTCAATGTGTTCCGTCTGTGGGTGTGCATTAATATGTCATGTATTTTATATGCTAGGGCACTTACTGGCAAATATGCACCGAGTCTCTCTGATGTGACTTCAAATTCGCCAGTGGCATATCCATTAGCCTAAAACAGAGTGAGAGCAAGTTTCCAGGGCGGCGATTGCACATGCCATGAACCCGAGCACCATGACTAAATTGAGAATCGTCTGAAAATTCGTGGAATGATGTTTCAAACATGAGTCGGGGGCAGATATCACGACGTACTTGCAAATTCACTTTCTTCAGTGTACCGATGTCAACGGCCTATGAGACATCATGAGCTTGCCAAACTTTCAAACATCAAAAGAGTCGTTGGATTACCTGGCTGTAGTCTCTCAACCAATTGCTATGATGGATTAGATCACGAAGGAATATGTGTTGGCATCTACAAATACACACCCAAAGTATACGCGCTTAATGTCGAGGCCACCAAACTTTGGACCCTTTCCGATGAGACTGGAGAGTGCGAATCCACCGACCCCCTTCTTCACGAGGTCTGCAAGTGCATCCTCCTAAAAATGGCGGCGATTAGTACGCTAGAATTCGATCGTGTTGGAGAACTCCTACGATATCACCATGCCTAAATGCCTTGCCTTCGACAAATGCATATCTGCCAAATCGTGAGTGAAAGAAAAACTTAGGGAATGGATCGTGCTGCTTTACGAAGGAATATTGCCTGCCCCGAAGGCGTGCACGCCGTTATTTGACAAACAGAACGCCAAGATAAAGAACAGCAGAAGAGGAAGCGTTGGAGAAATACTGGGTGGCATTGTGTAAGAATGAATCACAGGCTGTGAGCTGCGCAGTCTCCGCTATCCACTTATATATCCAAGTGGAGATTCTAGGTTGCCCAGCCTACTTGGCAATAAACTATGCGACTTCTGATTACATTTCTAGAGGTTATGAAGCTTCGGACCTCGAGAGCCTGTTTGACCGGTAAAATTCCCTGACTGTTGGTTTTAGAGATCATGAAGCTTCAGGCCTTGGTCACTAGCTGCCCTTACAGCCTCTGTGACCAGTAAGATCCCCTGAAGACTCTGATGAACTATATAGAAGAGGATTTTGAGCGGTGAAACTTGACAATGCGCGGGAGCGGAACGCCACGTGATTTGTCAGCAATCGGCAAAGACCGGTGTAAAATTGAAGGCTGTTGTTATTTTTCTGTCTGTCTCTCGCATCCTCCGTTAGTAAACGTGGCTTAGCTTGCGTCTGTTCGTTGTAATCTCTAGACTCCATCATCACGCACTTTTGATTCCCTTCAGGTCAGTGAAACCAATCACTTTCATTCAATCATCGTATTAAAAAAAACAAGTTTCAGCATCATTCCCTCATAATGACCAGCTCTTCCGCTACTTCATCTCCTTCTCAGATTCATCAGAATGTCGTTCCTTCTGAAGTCGGATGGCAATTTGTTCCACAGTATTACACCTTTGTCAACAAGCAGCCCAATCGTTTGCATTGCTTCTACACAAAAACTTCCACCTTCATTCATGGTACAGAAGGCGAGGATGTCAAGGCATGTTTTGGCCAGCAGGTCTGCTTCAATTTTCTCTATTCATCGTCTATCAAATCTTACAACTAGTTCAGGAAATCCATAACAAGATTACCTCTCTTGGCTTCGACGACTGCAAAGTCTACATCCACTCAGTCGACGCCCAGTCTAGTGCCAATGGTGGCATCATAATCCAGGTCATCGGTGAAATGTCAAATCATGGCGACCCTTGGCGCAAGTTCGTCCAGACCTTCTTCCTCGCAGAGCAGCCAAATGGTTATTTTGTCCTCAACGACATCTTCCGTTTCCTGAAGGAGGAGACCGTAGAAGATGATGCCAGTGAACCTGAGGCTTCCTCTACTGCACCTTCCGAACCTGCACCTGAATCAGTTCGCGAGCCAACTCCCCCGCCTCCCGCTCCTGAACTTGAAGTCGAAGAGCCAACCACTATGGTCCCTGAGCCCATCTCCCCACCACCTGAGCCCGAACTTGCTCCAGTTGAGGTCAACGGTATCCATCACGAGCCTGAGATCAAACGGGAGCCTACTCCTGAGCCATCCATTCCCGAAGCTGAGCCAGAGCCTGAACCCTCCGCTCTGATTGCGCCGCCACAAGCGCCTGCCCCTCCCCCGCTTGTTGCGCCGCCACCAGTGCCTGCACCTCCTGCTCTAGTTGCTACACCACCAGCTCCTGAACAGGCACCCGCTCCTCAACCACCAGCTCCTGCACCAAAACCTGCAGCACCGAAAACGTGGGCCAGCCTTGCTGCGGCCGACTCTAAACGCTGGGGCGCACAGGTTGCTACCGAGTCAAAAGGGATGTCTGAGGTCCCAGCTTCTGCAGCATCCCCATCACCACCGGCTGCTAGTGCCCCTTCTCCTGCCCCACGGAGAGATCACTCGCACTCTCACTCGCCTATCGCTTCTGCCAACGCACTAACCACTCCCCAGTGCTTTGTCAAAGTATGCCTCCCTTCTCTAACAATTCATGCATGTCACTCACTAGGACGTTTTCCATTAGGGTGTCACTGAGGTCGTATCGCAACAGCAACTGATAACCCTTCTGGCTCGCTTTGGCACTGTCAAGGACGTCGAGATTGTGCGAAGTAAAGCTTGTGCCTTCCTCGAGTTCAACAGCCTTGATGCTGCTAAAAAAGCAATCATTGCCTCCCTTCCCACCAACGCTGGTGGTGAGGGTGGATTGCGCTTCGATAGCCCTGAGGGCAACGTTCGGATTATCGTTGAGACCAGAAAGGAGCGTGGCGAGCGGCCCATCAGTCGGCCAAGAGGTGGTGCGCCTAATGGCGAGTCCAGGGGTTCATTCCGGGGCCGTGGCGGACCTCGGGGTCGTGGTGGCCCTCCGCCACCCAAACAGTAAGAACGCATATGCATGGTGGTTCGGAGGGGTGTTCATCTGCGTGGTACACTTGTTGTCCTAAGCTTATTTCATTTGCTTTTGTCCATGTAGACGTGCGTGGTGGACGTGATATAATGCGAAAATCACCCTCGTACTCGTATGTTTTGCTTGCTGTCGTGTTTTGGTAGTGATTCGATTAATGAATTCAGGGGTATGATATTGTGACGTGACGTTCTTTACTACTTAGTGCTCCTACATACTACTCGAAAGCATGTTTAACTATGTAGTACTTGAGCTTGATTGTGTGAGATCGCACTAGCACTAGGCGACAAAAATTCTTGTTTGGTCAAGTTTGACGATCTTCGCTACTACGCCTTGAGCACATCGTCAATGGCATCAACGGAGCCAACGCACGAAACAGTCATCAATGCCGAACCCATCAACCAAGAACACCACAAAGACCAAGATACCTCAGATGCCCAAGTTCAAATAATCGCATCTCTCCGTTCTCAAGTTACCGATCTTTTCTCGCAAGTTACGCAGCTCAACGGAAAGCTCGTCAAATCCTACGACCGCGTCTCCGACCTCGAAGATCAGCTGCACGATTGTGAGAGCTCTCTGCGAAATGCGAGTATCACTGTATCATCGCTCGAGCTTGAGCGCACCCACCACCTCGCTGCGCTCGATACAGGGCTGCTGGTCGAGAAAGAGCATGTCACCGCTGAGCTGAACAGGCTTATGGAACGTGCGACGGAAGAAGCTGCGCAGCGTGGGCAAGCAGAGACAGCTAGGAGTGATATTGAGAAAGAACTCGATGATCTTAGTGCATCGTTGTTTCACCAGGCGAACACGATGGTCGCAGAAGCACGATTGGCCCGGGCCGCGAGCGAACGCAAGGTACGCGAGGCGGAGGAGGCGCTAAAGGGAGCTGAGGAAGCCGTCAAAGTGATGCAGACCCAGATGCAGACTCTACATGCTGAAAAAGAGGATGCTGAGCGTCATGCGGAGGAGGCGCGACTCATTATGGGAAAGGGCAAGTGGGTCGAGCGGGACACGCAGCTGGTTCAACAGTATCCGGGAGATGTACGGAAAATGCGCTTAGTGACCGTGCACGTCCCCTATGCAGAGTTCATCGCGTTTATTTCGCACCTTCGGGGACTGAGGGTTTCACAGGCTACTTCACCTGTTATCTCAACGCTTCTGGGTCTACCGTTCCTCGCACGGTTGCTCACTGAGGATTCGTAAGTGATTCACGCGTCTTGTTTGCCGATGCATCTATTGATCATGATTTAGAGAACCGACCGTCCGGCTAGACCTGGCCCCCTCGTTAAACTGGCTCTCCCGGCGATCCGTTCTAGCAGCGATCCACACAGGAATGCTCATTGTTGAGCCAGTGCCATTCTCATCGCTTGTGCAGGAACTGTACCCCCACTCTCAAGCAAACACACCTGTTTCCATTTCATGTGCTCTTTGCGGGACGGCAATCGTGCGTGCCCAATCGCACGAAGCACCCCCAAGCCACCCACTCGCGTCCCTCGCGCGCAGCCGCAACAATGTCCGCCTCACGAATGGTAACCTCTGGTTCAAGAATCCACTTTTCAACTCCTCATCAAGTCATGTTGGACATGACGCAGATATCGAGCAGCCTGAGCAAGTGTACGTATTCCGTCTGGCACCTGCCACTCCTGCCCCAGCTATCGCGCCATCTATACCACTGCACACCTCTTCGCCTTCTACACCTTCATTTCCCGTATCCAGGCCATCAGCGTACCCCACGGGGGCAACCCGCACAAATTCTACTCAAACACACCAGCCCTATCCGTTATGTACATCCAATTACTGTCTCATGCGCCTCCGAAGTACGTGTTCCCTGTGGGCTTTCGTCCGCTCATGCGTCGTGGAGCGTATTTGGGAGGAGGAACCTGTTATACCCGATAAGAAGCCCATGATTTCGGATGCGAATCGGACGGATAATACTCAAGAGTCGAATAAAAAGAATGCTGCTCCAGCTGCGAGTGCATTTGCGAGCCCTGCGGGTGAGAAGCCACCTGTGCCTCCTCGTCGCAGGCGGCTTTGGGAGATGGCGAGTGCACTTGGGGAGAGGGCTGCTAGCTGGACTGAAAATTCCAAGGACAAGGATAAAGATAAGGACAAGGACAAGGAAAAAGAGAAAGGAAAGGATGAGGAAACGGGCAAGAAAATTGTGAGGAAACTTCCGCCACCGCCACCTACCCTCCCTTCTGTTCCCGATCTACCTGTTCAAGCACCCCCTCCCCTGCCAAAAAGGAGCGAAGAACGTGGCCATTCAATCGACACTCGCACTGCTGTTTCAAACGATACTGACAAAAAGGCCGGTTCTGAAGCTGGGACGTCCGGTTCTCAAGAATCGTTTACCACCCCCATTGATGAAGTGTCCTCTTCTCGCCCGTTTTCCGTAGATCTGTCTTCTCCACAAAACATAATACAGCCCCAGGCCCCAGCTTTACAGCCAGAACGCCCTCCCTCCCCACACACCATTCCCCTGCCAGAGACACCCACGTCACCTGTATTCCGTGCTACATCGCCACCTCCGCGCCCACGTTCTCGTGTGGCCTCTCCAGCTCCCTTACCTTCACGCATCTCTTCGCCGATACCTCATCGTGTCAGTATACCTATTGCTCCGAGTCGATCGAGAGCCGGATCGCCAGCTCCCCCACGCGCGGGCTCTCCATTCTCGTCCTCCAGGGCCGCTTCGCCTGTACCAAATGGAGCTCCACCTGTCCCCAAGCGCGCTCCTGCACGAAGGGCAGTTCCTGTGCCCCCCACTGCTTCACAGACCGAAGCAAAGGAAGCAATTCCGATGCGTTCGACTGAAATCAGCAAAGATGAGACCCCATCGAAAGTTGAGGCACCTACTACTGAGAAGGGAGAAGAACACAAACCATCTGCTCCCGCTGAACAGAAAGCAGCTGCGGGTGAGGACGCTGTAGAGCCCTCGACGGCCAAGCATGACATCGCCGAAACCCCCAACCCCCTACCTAATGCGAATATGAACGGAGATGTGTCTCTCGAAAAGCGAGCATCCGTGGATGTTTCTCCCCACGCCACGCAAGCCACTGTTGTCGACCGATTCTCCGAAGCTGGCCAAACCAGGCGTGCGTCCGAGGATTCCAGCACACACGGGAAATCTATCGACACGAGTAGTACAAAGCGCTCTTCTACTAGCGATGAGGAAGGTTACGCTGGTGACGCCACATGGGAGGATCGTACGTGGAAAGAAATTGTACGTTTGAAAGAAGACATGTTTTGGGCGCGTGTTGGGGGCGTGCGGTAGTGCTTTGCGGTGTACCTGCTGCTGCTGCTGCTCATCTATTTCATGGTAGGATATAATTTGTATGCCCACATATGTGCAGATGTGTGCATTATCGTCTGGACTTGTTGTTGAATTTAAGACGGACTAGCTTGGACTACATTTCCATCAAATATACTCCCAGGTCCCATCGATGGTCAATGCTTTCGTGCGTTTACTTACATATCCTGTCGACGTGGATTGGACCACAACATTAGAGATATGACTTGGCAAGGAGGGTTGCATACAACCGGAACCTCTTGGCATGCAGACATACCATCACTTGTACAAAACAGCGACAATGCAATCTCGAATTGTCACAACAGACACTTCTAATATACTCGACGCAGCTGAGCAACAATCTCAGCAACGACCATCCACAACTGCGCACCAGTGGGTACAACTAGTATGTCACCGCATAATCATCTTTTAAGGCCATGTGCAAGACGTGGAACCCCCTCATTGCCCTCAGAGTTGCTCTGATACTAAGTGGTTTCGTGCGTTTTTTGATCCACCATTACCCATTGCTATTCATGACGACCTGATTACTCGGCTGCAGATCTGTGCAAAGAGGTAAGCGATTCGCATCGAAACCGCCTCTCGCAGATACTTACACCAGGTAGTCGCCATGCACTGCATCGTCACCAAGTAGTCAGATTTGAAATCGTCAGCGTAGCTGGAACTTTACCCTGGCTACCTACTGACCTGACCACTGCATAGCGACCTTCAACTTACGGCTGGTGATACTTGACGTTTGACAGACGACCTTGTATCGGAGACATGGTTGGATTCGTTGTTTGGAAGACAAGTAGTCGGAAAAGGATGATAGGCTGTAGTCCTGACATCGCAACATCATTTATACGTGTTCCTCAGGCAGGCTCAGCATCAGGGGGATCATATGCGCCCCTGAATCATGTTCAATTATTCAATGCTGGCGGAGTTAATGCATGCAGTCGTGATCTGGTGATCAGTCATCGTGACGAAAGCTAAGATATCGATACGTACTCCACCCTTCGCACGCACTTCCATTGAAAAAGAGCAATGATCCCCGCGAGCGAAATTGAGGAATGTTTTTAAATCAGCAATCACCGCCAGGGGTATCGCTAGGCTGAGAAGCGACTGATCTAGGAAAAAGCTCATTGTAATGCCATCAAAGAACATTCCTGGTAAACGAGCATCCAGGGTGTGGTACGTAGTCACTGCCGAGAATTTGATAGACTCCCCAACAACGAATCTCGATCATCATGCATATCAGCGGTATTTCGAGTCTTCGAAGCTTGCTTGAAGTGGCCTGACTGCGTGTTGACCAAAAACAGCGCAAACTGCCCAATTAATGAGCAATGTACTGAATCACGCCACTGATACCCAAGGTAAGTGGGAAGAGAGCTCTGTCAAACACCAAAAAAATCCCGTCACTAAAAGAGCTCCATACTCTTTGTCACTGGTTCACCGTCTGACACACCGTCGGCTGAAAAATTGAAGCACTGGACTCTTTGTCGTGGTGAGCATGTCAGCTGGTGAATCTGTCTCGAAGGCTGATGGCAAGCATTTAGCGCTGAGAATCGATCAGGGGATAGAGCGCGCGACGAAGCTCAATGACTTTGTTCACATTAAGCCAATCAGATGACAAATGGTCTTTTGTTCCTAAGCGAGTCGACGAGCTTGTGTGTCTTCATTAGGGCATCAGTGAACCAACCTTTCAGCACATCCCTTATGCGTCCACTCGTGTTCTCGGAACTTGGGATGGAGGGAGGCTATCAATGAATGTTCGCCTAAAAGGGAATAGTGTAGCAGACATAGAGAAGTATTGGCAAGTTCTTGACAGTGGAGCTATCTTGTTGGTATCTAGATAGGCCGCATTATTCATAGCGGGGTAGTCCAAGCCCACCTGAGTTGTTTTGAATTAGAACACCTGCCCGCTAGAGATCATTGCGTTCGCTTACTGTCTCAAATAAATATGCATGAAGCTGGGGACCAGGATACTGGATTGTACATCGAAAGAGGATGTTTCCCAGCAATGAGATTTACAAACGGGCTCTTCGCTACGGCCATAGCACCGGAGACGGTATCGATGAAGTTCAGTGGTGGCGTACAAGTGGATCTTCGAGTCACGGAAGCTGGAAGGGATTGGTTGACACCGCTAGATATGCCATGCTTATCTTTCGGGACATTGAGTAATTTGTGCTGAACGGGATGAGAGATGAGAGTGAGAATGAATGTTTGGAGCAGACCTATTGGCTGAGATCCTTTGAGACTCAGGAGATGGTATACGTTTTGAAAGAAAACATCATATTGGGGGCGTGCGGTATTAGAACGGAGTCCCCATGGATTCTTGCCCTTCAGTGGTCACTTAATTTAAAAGGATAATCTCGACAGGAGGACGAAGAACTCGACAGGTTGACAATAGCCTTCACAGCCCATGTAGTAGGACCTCAGCAGTCAAAATAGTCTTGGCTTATTTCGAGTAGGTGACCTTGAAAGATCTGACACCCATGGTATTGCCAGTGCGTGAACGAGCCCACAGCTGTCGTAGTGGTATCTATCGTTATAGTAAAGGTGCCGTAAGTAGTTGACAACGAGCCGGAACTTGGTTGTCTTGGTGGCAATCATGGGATGCGGTGGAACATACTTTTCCAGGAACTTATTGTTAACAATTGTTATTTCCTATTATATATATTCATCACTAAACTTGGACGCCGTACACAACACACGCAAGATTATACTACTTTGTGCCTTGCTTATAGTGTTCTTGTCTTTCTTGTCCTCCACGTTCCCTCCTTCTCCCACTCATCTTTCTAGATGCCTGAAAACCCTCAGCAGGCTCCAGCTCCCGCTGCAGCACCCTCAAAATCAAAACACGGTGCTACATCCCAAGCTCCAGCCGCACCGAGGAAAGTTAGATTCAACGTCGGTATGTCCACATCCTTGCTCTTCTTTCATCTAATTAACAAAATATCTCTCAATAGGTACTCAGTATCAGGTTCTCGATGTCGTAGGCGAGGGCGCATATGGTATCGTTTGTTCAGCTGTACACCGGCCCAGTGGCCGCAAGGTTGCCATCAAGAAGATCGCACCCTTTGATCATTCCATGTTCTGCTTACGGACACTCCGAGAACTAAAACTCCTCAAATTTCTCAGTGAAGCTGGCGTAAGCGAAAATGTGAGCATATTTGCAAGCCATTCATCATATTTACGTGGAGTCACTCATGACTTTGAAGATAATTTCAATTTTGGACATTATCAAGCCTCCCTCTTTAGACGCTTTCAAAGAAGTTTATCGTGCGTACAAAATACGTTATTGAGCACACATGTCATTCAAACTTTCACACAGTGATTCAGGAGTTGATGGAAACAGACATGCACCGTGTTATCCGAACCCAAGACCTCTCAGATGACCACGCTCAATATTTCATTTATCAGACCCTGCGCGCACTCAAGGCTCTACATTCTGCTGATGTCATCCACCGTGATCTCAAACCTTCAAATCTCCTCCTTAATGCAAACTGTGATCTCAAGGTCTGCGACTTTGGCTTAGCAAGATCAGTAAAGACTGCCGAACCATCAGGCACCGAAACCGGGTTTATGACCGAATATGTCGCTACACGGTGGTACCGAGCCCCTGAAATCATGCTGACGTTCAAGCAGTATACTAAAGCTATCGACGTCTGGTCTGTGGGTTGCATATTGGCTGAGATGCTCTCCGGAAAGCCACTATTCCCCGGTAGAGATTATCACCATCAGCTCACGCTGATCTTGGATGTTCTCGGTACACCAACGCTGGACGAGTTTTACGCCATTACAACACGCAGATCGCGAGATTATATTCGAGCTCTTCCTTTCCGCAAACGCCGGCCATTTGCGCAAATCTTCCCCAACGCCAATCCTATGGCTGTAGACTTTTTGACAAAAACTCTTGTAAGTTACGATCTTTTCATCTATCTCATTGGTAGCTTAAACCTATCCTAGACATTTGATCCCAAGAAACGCATAACAGTTGAAGAGGCTTTGGCTCACCCATACCTCGAAGCATATGTATGTGTGCTTCTTACTCCTCGAGCGCACAAGCTTACCTGTGGCTAGCATGATCCTGATGACGAACCAGTTGCGCCACCGCTGGACCCGGAGTTCTTCGAATTTGACCGTGAGTATTCAGGTTTAACAAGCGCGCATGCATATTCATCGTATCCGGCAGTACACAAGGACGATATCAGCCGCGAGCAGCTCAAAGAGCTTCTCTACGAAGAAATCATATCCTTTTGTCCCGCCCCAATCACCTAGACACACCACCGCTGTCCATAAATCAGAGGATTCATATGTAATACTGTGCCGGGCGTCAAATCGATTCAGGGGATAGAAATATGTACGAAATATGTTCTTTGGTGCCTTCTAACTGGTAGTCGTACCGCTTTGCTATGGACAGTACTCATTCAATATTTTGGTGTATCTTTTCACAATCAGCAGCTCATCACACGGATCTTGTAATTATTACATTTTTTGTCGCCGCGACACCCAATATTCAATTTATGCAATTTTTGGGGACCAGGAGTGCCATGGACATAGTCACCGACAACTCGACGGAACTTGAGGCCTGCATGATTGTGTAGAATAGCTGAACGGATCCTATGGATAGTGTACTTCATTCATGTCATATGGAAAGAGCATGGCAGGGCGTTTAGTCGAGAGATACCCAGACTCCACGATTTAAGGATGATTAGAAGGTCAACTCCCCGAGCAGAATCAGCAGAGAACTGTGTCGCGGAAATCCGATATACGAGTTGTCGCCGGGCAACGAATGAATGGCTCTATAACAGACAACATGATTGCGAAAGCGAAAACAAGATGGCTGGGACCAGGACCACATTACAGAGAGTAGTTCCTCCAACTTGAAGCATAGCGTAGACAACACAGAATGCATATAAATAATGTGTAAAACCGTTCCAGATCAAAGCAACGTGACATGACGCTGCTCAACATCATGGAGAACGACACTCCGCATACTGAATTTGCATTTTTGTTCGCGTGTTATGCCGCCATTAGCGACGAGGAGAAACCCGACGACCTCGCAGTTGGATTCCAGTTTCGAGATTCAAGAGCATCATTGGTACGCTGTGAGTGGTCGGTGACGTTGTCGCGAAACAGGTTGTCGAATCTTTCTACGAGAATATGTTCAAGGATGGTGCGACGAAGGCGGCCTGGGGTGGACATCCTCCATGTATAGTTCCCGCCCACGTCCGTCTGACTTCATTCGAAAGGGGTGTGCTGTGTGGAGAGGAATGGGAGTGAATGCTGCAGTCGGACACAGCCAGATTCAAGACCAGCTCGTTACTCTGAAGATCTGCTGAAGGTCGATGATGATGGGAAGCATGCTCTCGTCTCATACTGTCTGCAAGGGGACTGGAATTCCTTCCTCGTCTCCTCTGTCCGTATAAAAGCTGCAAGTCGTATCTCCCTGGAAAAGTCACTCTTGAACTTCTCCCGATGTGTGTGAGCGATGAGCGGGAAGCGAAAGTGTTGAGGCTCTCCTAGGTCGGAACGCAATGAGGATGATGACTGGGCCATGACGTGCTGCGGCTTGCAACTCAGTATATAATGACAGGAGGAGGAACCGCGAGAAACCTGGAACCAGATTTCAGCCATCACCGCTTCCCGCTCCTGTATTGAATGGCTGCTCGGTCAGCACCTCTGGCGGAACTCTGAGCGTAAGAAAGACGCTTGCTAAGCTCTGAGAACTTGTGAGCAAGGTTAAGATCTGTCGACCCAAGATCTTCAAGTGGACTTCTTAGACATGAAGCCAGCCAGGGGCCATTGCTGACCACGACCTTGTTCAATAAGTTCAATTGCGTCTCATAGATTGTCAAGGCGCGTGACACATGATCCCGCATCCACAGGCCGGTGCCGGCCAACGTTCTGGCACGACGAAGAGTTGAAGTAGCTTTGCGCAACAGTTGAAGATTGTGTTACTAAATGTCTGTTAATGCATCCGTCTACGTCGTCAATGCTACTGCGTTGTGTAGAGCCTATACAAGCTTGTCGAGTGCTTCTGAACGGTGTTCAGCGCTTCTGTGAGGTGATAGTAGACGATGGATGTCATTGGATGATCGGGGTGGCCCTGTAAACGCAATGTAAGGGCGTTGCGGAAGAGAGAAGTGATAGAGTCGATGTCTTGAAAATGGCTTTTGAACGTGGCCATGAAGGAAGTGATAGAGTCGATGTCTTGAAAATGGCTTTTGAACGTGGCCATGAAGGCAGGCCCACGCCAGGTTGGTGAGAGCCGCTGCACGGTCAGGATGGCCGACTGAACATTGGTTCAAGGCCAACTGAATCTCAGTGCTGTACGGCATCGTTCAGGTGGGAAACTGTCTTACTTGTTACGTATGTGGTAAATCGTTCAAACGTTCATGATGGCCCAGTCATCTGTGTTCCGAGCAATCTCACATTCAACGATGAGCTACAGCCAAAAAAATACTTACTACAAGACGATGAAAAATGCAAAAGGAGAGGCGATACCAGGGCTCGAACCTGGGTTTCGGGAAATCAGCACTTGTCAGAATCCCGAGTGATAACCACTACACTATATCGCCTTGGGTGTCTGTCGTAACTCAACACATTACGAGCCCATTAACGTAAGTACTGCTCCACCCCGTCATACTATTCCGCAATCCCTACTACTTACTACATACAAGTTTGACATTTCAGTGACTAGGCACGTCTTTGGGCTGACATGTCCGCAGGCGCTGGCAGGACCCCAAAGCTGGGCAGTGGTGCTAGCTCAATTCCGAGCTATAGTTGCCCGTACGCCCATGCCTCGCCGACGAAGATCGCCTTGTGGGGACAAAGTCTCCAGGAATAGTTCTTTGATGCGGGGGGCCAGCGGGGCAGGGGCAAGTTATGTAACCCTATTATTTTCCGTGAGATTTCTTCTCATCACCGGGCAGCAGCGCCTCAATTTTATTTGAATTACCGTGGTACGGAGACAGCTAGTACCCGATGGGATGACAGTCCACCTGACTTGTGTGATCTCATTATAAACGTTTGGTCTCATTTTCCTCTTGTTCTCTTGCTCCTGCAAGCGCTCAGCCAGCATCTTTAATATCGCGGAGTAGCTCGCTACCGTTTACTCCGCTTACGTGCGTGAGTCATCTCGGCCTGCCTCGGTTTCAATGTTGGACGAAGAAAAACGTCAATTTTCCGATGAGAAGGAAACCAAATCCACAAGCGACGCTGCCGGCAATAATCCCATAGTAATATCTGATGAAGAGAAGAGGCTCGTGCGCAAGCTTGACCGTAGGATTCTGCCAATAACATGCCTGCTTTATCTCTTTGCTTGTGAGTAAAATTTTATCATGAGAGCTGGTTGACGCCTGTCCTGTTGTGCTGATGGTGAATCAGATCTTGATCGCACGAATCTTGGAAATGCACGCCTTCAAGGACTTACAGAAGAGAACCTTGGTGGCGACCCTACTGGTACATTGTACGATTGGGTAAACTCGGCATTTTTCTTTTCGTACGTGAGTAATATGACTATAGTTTATTGCCCTATTTTTTATTTGTTACCTCTCAGATTATCTTCCAAGTGCCTGCAACGATAACCTCAAAGTTGTTTCCACCATCCTATTGGATAGCGGGTGCGGCCGTTGGGTGGGGTATATGTTCCACGTTAATGGTGAGTCATACTACCGCTCTTCTTTATGTGTACATTCCGCTTTCCCTTGAAGTTATTCCTTGACTACTGGGAATGTTTTGTTCATGAACAAAACCTCCTATGATACATTCATCATTACTAGTAATTTACCAGCGCGTCAGAATGGCCAATTTCTACCGTAATATTCAGTGGCATGTGCTGATGACTTGATGTTTGATCTCTTTATCTGCAGATCATATAGGTCTTGCGGAATATTCTGTTTGAATACCTACCTATTCAACTGTTTTGTGTCTTATCTATTAGCAATTTCGAACCTGAACGGTTGCTCATGATGCATGCCATTTCTCCTGCAGGCAACAACATTCAATTTTGGAAGTCTCATGGCCGCCCGCGTTGCGCTTGGCATATTTGAAGCTGGTTTTGGCCCTGCAATTCCACTTTATTTTTGTAAGCCATACATCATGCAATAGGCCCGTGGAGGAAACAGTATTGTTGACACCACCATCCAAGCGTTCTTCTACACTCGCACCGAAATGGGCTTGCGCATGGCATATTGGTTTGGTTTTGCGGCGGTCGCGGGTGCGTTCGGTGGGCTCATCGCGTTCGGTGTGCAGCAAATTGGGTACGGACCGTATCTCGCTGGCGTAGGAGGAGAATGGGACTGGAAAGTTCTATTCCTTATTGAGGTTAGTTTCCGTGTTTGCTCAAGGGACAGGTGGTACTCAAGCCACTCGCATTTATCTTGCCGAGTGCTGCTGTGTTCTATATTCTGGGATCTTGTTTTGTCTCAGTTTTCTCCAGGCTGCTTGGCCTTTGATATGTGCAGGAGGATCCCGTTTACCTGAACCACACCGCGCAATGTTCGCTGTGCTAGCCTCTCTTGCATTGCACTTTTCTCCTGAGAGATAAGCATGCCAGTGATGCTATGCATTGTTTTTTTGTAATACTATCTAATCCCTCCAGGATTAATTTTCTGTGGTTTAGATGTGATTTGTCCTCTATAGACTTATTGGCTAACAATTTGGTTCTCAGGGAATTCCGGCACTTCTTCTCGGTGTTCTGACTTTCTTCGCGCTCCCTGACCGACCGGAGAGCACGAGATACTTGAATGCGAGAGAAAAAGAACTTGTAATGGAACGCATGAACAGGGGCACAAGCGCGGATATTGGCGCTGTGGTCAACAAAGGCGAGCCATTTCCCTATCCTCGTACAACGCAGCAAGGGCTCATCGACTTATCCTACTCAAGAACACATCATTATAGCTCTCCTAGATTGGCGTATATACACCGGCGGAATGATTTACTTTGGTGTGAATTGCGCTCTGGCGAGCATTTCGGCATTTTTGCCAACGATTATTGAGACTTTCGGGTACAGTGCGTATTACCCTGCAGTCTGATAAAGGTTTTTCTTGTTGATAGTTTCTTTCTAGCCAATGCGCTCGCTCAGTTACTCACAGTACCACCATATGCAGTGGCTGCCATTGTCCTCTGTATGACGTCCTACACATCTGATCGCATCCAGAACCGTGGCTTGGCGGTTGCAGGTGCATGCACTGTCGGTGCTATTGGTACGTAGCACATATGTTGATTTACGTTCAAAGTTTCCTCATGTGTCATTTCAGGCTACCTTCTTTTACTTACAGTCCCCAACAATGTTCACGTACGATACTTTGCCGTGTTCTGCATCACGAGCGGGACATACACTGCCATTGGCTTAATCATCGCATGGTGTACGCTCTCTATCGCTCACCATACTTCCCACCACAACTCACGGTTTCAACAGTTGCACACAATCTCGGCTCTGAGACCAAGAAAGCGACGGGCATCCCGATGTTCATGGCAATTGGGCAATGCGGGAGTATCCTCGGCTCGCATATATACCCTTCGACGGACGGTCCGAGGTACATGTACGTCCCGCACTTATCCCCTCGCATCGTGTCTTCATGTGTTGATTGGTTGCTGTTGGTAGCTCCGGCTTCGCTATATCATGCGGCCTCGAGGCGTTTGCCACTGTTTGCGCGTTAGTGCTGTGGGTGTCGTACAAATACGATAACGCGAAACGCGATCGTGAGTATGGGCGTCCGGACCCAGGTGCTAATGTGGATACGAGCGAATTGGCGGATAAGGTGGATACCGTCTGACTCCCATTGATATTATCCTGACACCTTCCACAGGCGCCTATGTTCAGGTACATAGCTTAGTGAGGAGGGAATGTACAAATTTGCAAAAGATTGGAACAATTGCAAATAAGTATCTATACAACATACTAGTCACATCTTCCCTATGACAACACAGTTGAATCATGTACCTGGACAACAATTGTAATCATGCTGCGGATAAGTCACCATTTGATCAAAGAATTAGATATGACAGTGGAGGTGGTCTTGCGTAGCGAAGAATGACTTTGGCATTCTTATGGCCATCTGGTTCTGTAAATGCACATAGAATTAAGAGGGCGGAAGTGCTTACGCACGTAGTATAGCTTCACTGATAGGAACTGCACAGTTCCGAGTCGATAGAAAGAGTTCCAGAAGGCATAAAATTACCTGTCTTTGAAAGGCGTTTTTAAGAGCTGAGCGTTGATGATGTGAAAAGAAATGCGGAGCTCATGATAATTTGAGGGTAGAAGGGGGGGGAAGGAGTACAAAATATATGTTGGATGAATCGACTCAATGGAAACATGACCTAGGCCAGCCCGAAATTTCGTTGTTATAGATTCAAAAGCGCCCGGATGGGCAGTCCAAGCTCCCGACAGATACCCTCCATGTGTTCTCGCTCCCTATCAGTGACATTATCACCGAACGCAGCATCCGTTTCTTCCAAGGTCTGTACAACGTCGTCAGCTATGTTCGACAGGACATGCGTGCATAAAAAAACTTACCCGACCCTTGGTCTCTGGGAAGAATAATACTATAGAGCGAGTTAAGCGTATTATTTGACACGATTGCGGAATTTGACGCACAAACTGAGAGTAACGCGGCAAGAGAAAATCCGGCAAATATAAAGTACGCCATCCCCCCTACATCCAACATTATCGGCGTCACGAGCCCGACCACACTGAAGCACATCAATACCAAAAAGACGGAGAAGGGTAATAAAACCGCGCACAAGTTCGATAGCCATGTGGTCGATGTAGTAATGGAGATGCCAGTGGACCGGAGGTGCAATGGGAAGATCTCACTGGGAATTACTGGTGAATGCATTAAATCATCGTGTAAGATGAAACGAACCACTCACCCCATCCAATCGGGGCCCATGAGTAAGAGAAGTTGACATCATAGATAAAGACGAAGACTATAAGATAGTTTAACATGCTCTGTAGGTAATTACAGTATACCTACCAATGGCCATGCGAGCCGCTATTGCATGTGCTGACCAGTCCTTGCCGTAAACGGTGACAAGAGAACCCACGATTGCCAGACAAGTGAAACATCCGGCAGCACCAGAGATTAATAAAGGCCGCCTGCCCAAACTATCGAGAAGAACAATAGCAGGTAAAGTGGCGAGCATCTTCAAATGATGATAAGTTAGGAGTATACGTAGCATTGTCGATACTCTGAACTCACGTTAACAATTCCATAAACACCAGTGGCAAACAGGGAGGTAGTGTTTGGGTCAAGGCCCAGTTGGCCAAAAACTGTGGATGAGGGTCAACTCTGAATCCAACAATTGATATCCTTCGTAAAACTTACTCGTAGGCGCGTAATAAATGAGAGCCTTCAACGAAGTGAGCGAAGTCAGTTCCAGAAGGATGAGCCACAACTTACGTTTATCCCCTGGCAAACCATAAGTCACTAAATGATAAACAAGACTGATTTGAAAACCCACCATAAATTGTTGGAACATCATAGTAAGACAACCCACAATGATACGCTTGGACTTTGGCCAGCTAGATATCAATGCTAAATATTTATTGATCGTCTGCCTGACTGGCCCCGCATTAGGATATGCTGCCTTCGTAACCTCCCTTGCAAAACGAACTTCAGCCATGATCTCTAGGAATTCAATGCGAACCGAATGATTGTCAGCGGGCTTCCGGCGAAGACGCGACAGCTCCCCCAGAGCCTCCTCTTCGCGACCTTGCTCAACGAGCCAACGGGGTGAGTATGGCATGAAGAACATGCCAATGCCGAGACACTGCGCTTTCATAGGTATGAGTCAGAGGCAGAAGATATAGCCAACACACCAAAGCAGGGAATAATTGGAACGCAAGTGGAATTCTCCATGACGCTTGAGTTTGACCAGTACAGCCACCAGGCGGGACATCGGTGTAAGGATCAAACGTAGGTCTGCCGTTCAAAAGCGCCCCGGTGTATGGTATTTCAGGGGCACATCGGGTCCCCCCGATATGTGAGGTGCCATATGCAATCCAGTCTTCAAGAAATGAGCTCAGACGAATATATGAAAGCAGACTGCCACGTACAACTAACAAGAATCTACATTTTGTGGTGTCCAATGCATGACCTCAGTACTGAATGTTTCGCTTTTGCGTCACTCACCCCAAATGTGATAGCGAGTTGCTGCAGAGAAACTAAAGACCCACGAATTTTGGCACTAGATATCTCTGCAAGATACATCGGGACAACATGCGTTAGAGAACCGATTGCCAAACCGGCAACAGCGCGACCTGCGAATAGATAAACTAGCAAAAGAACTCTCAGAAAGCTGATAAACGTGAATGGAATGTAACTTACCGGGAGATGTGGCGCCTGCTTGGAGTGAACTTCCGAGAAGAAAGATCACCACATTGCATATTATGTCTACCTTCCTCCCGATCTGAGTCATTGTCCATCACAATTTGTCCTGTCTCGCCAGATGATAGATCTCACTTTGTCACAAACGGGACCATTCACATTAGCCCCGAACCAAGCAGCTGCGAATGTGGATTAACTGACGGACGCTTGTAGCATGCCGCATTAATTTACCAACCAAAAGTGTGGAGACAAACCATCCCTACAAGTTGTGAGACTCAGGAAGGCACAACATCTATTAAAACATTACCCTTACCTTCAGCGTTGCATTCGTGTAGATCGCCGGAAACTTCGCCCCAAAAGACTCAATGACGAGCACGTTGCTCACCACTCCCTGATGCGCAGTTAGATGCGTATCTACTATTATAAGAAGTCATTTCTCGACTCACCTGATCGTAGCCAAAGAGCTGTTAATGTACACAACAAGGCACAGTGTTACTAACGGTCATCAATTTTGTAACAAATAACTCACGAATCCTCCGAGAGACGAAAACAACGATATGCCAAGTCTGCGCGACAAATGTATCCCATCGTTCATATTCACTGGTACACCATATCTCCAAGCCGCTCACATGAATTTATTTTCAAAAAGGCCTCTGAATCCAACACGACCTTCTGATCCAGCGAGGACCGAGTTAGAGACACTTCTAGTACCGTTCCCGTCTTCTTGCTTTGACTCGATCAAATTTGAGAGCGGTGCCAGTGATTGAGGCATATTCTTCAAGTTGCAGCCTGTATTGTAAAGAGGGGAACTGATAATCAGGCTTAAAACATGCCGCAACTTATAGCGGGATAATCAACTCTCGTTTTCAACTCTGATCAGAAGGGTACGACGACCAACAAGGAAACTCCACCTACAGCGCCAAGTCCTCTACACTCGCACATTCATCTTACTTCGGTCCGTAATGATTGGGGGAGAAAGAAACTGCGAGAAGCTGCTTTGCGCGGGCCCACGGGGTCTCGGAATCCACCGTTCAACATGCCAGAATCATTGGATGTCCTATTCCTTTATGACGCTGTGAATAAGTCATACAATGGTCTTGGGCAACGTGCTGGCAGGCTTCAAGCTTCAAGCTTGAGATAGAAACTAGGACTCAGAAGTGATGACTCGAAACATTCCTATCGGCAATGGGCTATGGCCTCTTATCACGACGGCGCGGGTTACTAAGTGAGCCTACTAAGTGCTAAATGGAGCCGCGTTGCCACGTGCTAGTATGGAACTGAGGAAGTTCCCAGACTATGACCGTGTCTCACAGTCCAGGGTGAGAAACGGGTGAGAGTCACAGTGATTATTAACTTTTGAAAGAAGCCAACCTGTCTCGTAAATGCATGGTCACAATTTCCAGTAGAAATGGTATGATATTCTGGAAAATGATACAAGGAAAATGATATGATAAAGCAGGAAGGAAATCGTAGAGTATGTAGAGATAGAGGATACGATAAAGAGAAAGAGATACGATAAAGAAACAGCTACAACGCAGAGAAAAAGAAAATGAGAGGGATGGACGGAAGAATGGAAAGCGAGCAAGAACGATACTACATAGAAGAAATGATATATGATGGAATAGAAAAATAGGATGCAACTCAGGAATGGAGGGGTATACAACTAACAGTGAAGCCGTGGGTGGGATGTATAGGTGTGGGGGGATACAGCGCTTAAATATGCGGAATACCAAGCATGTAGGCCTCAAGGCTTACTCCAAGAGAAGGGCTATGGAACGTTCGAATCAGAGACACATCCAAAGGGAAAGTACAAAAACACATACACTTGAAAGGAGGGACCGCCAGGGCATCGTCGTCAAGGAAGGACATCGAGTCCAATGAGTGCATCGTCCCGCACAAGTCGTCCAGCGATGAAAACTGCACAGCAGCATCCAAAGCTTTCATGGATGATGACGGGCGAAGAGGTTCTCGGTGACAATTGATGCTTCGTGCCTTATTCCAGCCAAGATCTGCGGAGAAATATTCAAATCAGGGCGCTTCCAGCAAATAGTAAGAGTACATACTCTTGAAGGGAGGGATAGGAAGAGTGTCATTGTCAAGGAAGGACATCGAGTCCAACGAGGGCATCGTCCCGCACAATTCGTCCAGCGATAAAAGCTGCACAGCAGCTTCCAAAGCTTCCGTGGAAAATGACGGCCGGAGAGTTTGACCTGAAACTTCGTGGCATTCGTCAAGCCAGGACATCGAGTCCAAGGAAGGCATCGAGGCATCTAGATCGCCCAGCGAGTGACACTGCATAGCAGCATCCAGAGCTTCTAAGGATGATGATGATGACAAAGGTTGATTGGCAACACCGTCCAATGCGACGTCGAGCCAGGACATCGAATCTAGAGAAGGCAATGGATCACGCAGATTGCCCAACGAATGGAGTTGCACAGCAGCATCCAAAACTTCCAAGGACGGTAACGACGACAGGGCCCCGAGTTGACTAGCAATGCCATGCGATACGTCGTCGGGCCGGGACGTCGAGCGCAAGGCACGCAATGTGGTAGCGGGGGTGACTGGGGACGAGGACGGAGGCAACTCCCGGTTGTTACCTAAGGAGTGAATGGGTCAGGATGAAAGAAGCAGAGTAGAAAGAGCACTGACTAAGTTCTCGCGCCTTACCCTTTGCAGCATTGCTGTTCTTCAAAGGTTTAGGCACTTTCGCGTTGTCCTTGACAGCACTGCCGCTCTTCTTGAGAAAAGGGGCTCTAGGCTCCTGCACCTTGCCCATGGTGGCACTGCCGCTCTTCTTGAGAAAAGGAGCTCTAGGCTCCTGCACCTTACTCTTCTCGAGAGTCGCAGACTCTCGGGGGGGACGGTTATCACAAGATGAGTCTATGAACGTCTTGTCCTTAGAATCGTCAACTGTAATAGCAAGAACTCCTTACCTTTGGATGGGAGATTTTTCAAGAGTACTTCTTTAGGCGCAGATGACGCCCTCGTGCCAGGAGTCAGAATCTTCGAACTCGGCAGTACACTAGATACCGGAGACTTGACGGTAACTGGATGCCTGATGGAATCAACCGTCGCAAACGTCTTTGGGGTGGTGAACTTCATCGGGATTCCAGCTGCCTTCGAGCCGACTGGTGGGGATGGCTCTGCAAAAGCATCTGTCAATTAGATAAGACGTCGCAAGTGATGAACAAGAAGACATACGAATGTATATTGATTCACGATCAATAAATCGAAGCGATCTAGCAGAGATTGAGATACCTGACCTTTGTTTCTTCGGTGCAGCACTCTTCGGTGTAGGAAGATGTTGAAAGCCAGGAAGAACTCGCTTTGGGATGGTGCTAGCATCCACAAAGGTAGTACTTTGTACAGGTTTGGAGTCCCAAACGATGTCTTGAGGTGAAGGAGGTGGTCTAGCTTGAGATAATGCAAATTCTAGAGCGGATATCCTCGTGTGGTATAGAGAAAGTGTCTTAGAGATATCCTTGCGAAGGTCGGCAACGTCGTTCTCCGTTCGGATCTGATCCTTCACCTGAGAGGTAAGTTGGCCATGCAGGCGCTCGTGGAAGGCATCCAGTTCCTTGCGAAGGTCAATGACATTACGATCCGTTTGAACTTGGTCTTTGATTTGACAGGCAAGTTCATTACGCAGACGCCTGTGGAAAACATCAAGCTTCTTGTTGTCCCGCGAGACACGGGAAGTAAGCTTGTCAAGAATCTTCTTGCTATCTCTCGAGGATTCGCGTTCCTCGTGGAGTTGTTTGCCGAGCTCGTCAATTTGGCGTTGCTGATTGGCGATGAGGGTAGCGAATTCTTTAGCCTCGAGGGTCATCATTTGTTCGTGGTAATAGGTCTGATCTTTGACGGCATCCACATCTTGTTTGACGAGTTCCACTGTGGCACAGAGGTTCATGATTTCGAGGTCGGTGGTCTGCACAAGAGTCTCGAACGAGGAGGAGAGAACATCAACGACATCAGATAAACGTAGGAATTGATGTGCGAGGAAACCGATTTGACCAATGATTATGGTAAAGAGCTGGATGGCACGACACGAGAATGAAGTTGAGAAGGCGTGTGACATAGCACCATCTTGATTTTTCATCGATGTTGCGTTGTCTGTGCTGGATGAATCGTCGAGGAGGGCGTGGGGATCGGAAGCAGGAGAAGATTGTGCAAAAGCCGGAAGGGTGCATGCTGCTGGATTGACCATACCAGAAGTGGATCGCGCCTCTTGGATAGGTGCAAGAACGAAGGCGATAGGGATTATCTTGGTGTAGTCAATCATGATGACAGTGTGAAGTGGCTTGAGGTGAGAAAGTGCGAGGTGATTGCACGGCGTCGAAAAGATAAGAACAAGGCTGGAGCACAACACAGAAGAAAATGGCGCCTGCGCCCCCTTTATACCCGGGCCTGCTGATGAGTAACCTGTTTCATATCGCAAAGACATACCAGTCTAACTCCAGCATGACAGAGACCTTCGAAAGCGAACCGAACGTCCGAGAGCCAGAGACGGCTTACTATTGGACGTTGAACAGTTCGATATTAAAGACTTGTTTCATACTACAATTCAAGATCAGCTTATGGTGGTCTGCGATATTGCAAGACAGTGACGGAGTGGGAATGACAGAATTTTAAACCGTTGGTCTGGTTTGGAATTGCATTGCTGATATGTCTCATACCAGAATTCGACTGCAGAGGAAAATAAAATCGTCGGAACTCTACAAATCGCCGAGACGTACTACTAGGTCACCTAGGAGTCCGAATGCAAACACAAATCAGCCTAGTAATGCAAATTCCCGAACAATAGATCTAACCTTTTATTTGAGTGCTGCCTAAAAATCGAGCACTTCAGTAGCTGCCGCAGGAGTGATCATATAGAATTTCAAGCAGCTTGACCATTGTCAAGAAAACTAACAGCTGCAGTGAATCTCAACATTACGTTCAACTCAACATTCTCGGCTGACTAAGCGGGCTCTGGCGCGCTCCGTGGGAGTTTCTTTCTAAACTCGTAAACATTCAATGTTCAAATATTCGCTCCTCACTGCTCCAAGTTAATTATCAACCAAGCTCTGGTCAAGTCATGGCCGACGCAGGTGAATTTCCTTCCACCGAGTGCTTTCACCGAGATTCCGCTCACCGCCTTGAATAATAGGATTTTTCAAAGGCACTTCTGCAGACCAGGACCGTCGCTTCTCAGACAAAGAGTTGAAGTTGTTAAAGTCTATGAAATTTCCACCAGAGTTTGATAAAAAGGTGCGCCATTCAAGTCTGGTGCTCTAAATTTAATTCCTATCTCGTTCCTCAGGTGGACCTCAAAAAAGTAAATCTCAACGTCATACGCCCATGGATCGCCAAAAAAGTCACAGAACTCGTCGGCTTTGAAGATGAAGTGGTCGTCGAGTATGCCATGGGTCTTCTCGACGACCCAAATCACACCGTAAGCCCTTTTATATGTTGAAAAATTTTCTGTGTCCATTTCATTTTCCTTTAGACTCCAGACCCAAAGAAAATGCAAATAAACCTGACGGGATTCCTCACGGCATCAACGCCCTCCTTCATGACTGCTCTCTGGTCTCTACTGCTGGAGGCTCAGGAACATCCCGCAGGCGTGCCGCAGACATTTGTGGAGGAGAAGAAAGAGGAAATGCGCAAAGCCCGCGAGGGTGATGTGCGTGCCATAGGTGAGAGAGACAGGAGGGTCCGTCTCGACGAGATAAGAGACCAGGAAAGAGGTGAACGTGCAGGCCGTGGACGCGGAAGGGGTAGGGGTAGAGGGAGAGGCGGATTTGAAGGTGGCGGTCGAGGCAGAGATAACGGTTGGGGTGGACGCGGTGGTGGTGTAAGTTCTCTCAATGTTTCTTTGAGATGCTCTAAGAGTCATATGATATAGCGTCCTAGCCGCAGAATTTCTCGTAGTCCACCGCCCCATCGCAGGCGCTCCCCGTCTCCGAGCTCCCCATTTGACGCAAGGAGTTCCCGATCTCCGCCCCCTTCCCTCAGACGCTCACGCTCTCCAAGGCGTTCCAGATCCCGCAGTCCTGTGTACCGCCGAAGCTCCCCTCCTCCCCGTAGATCCCGGACCCGCTCACCTCCCCTTCGTCGCCGACGCTCCTTAACTCCTTCTCCTCGCCGCCGCAGACGTTCACCATCGGTTGATTCTCGATCTTTGTCCCCTCCGCCACCAAGGAGACGGAGACGGTCTCCCAGTTACTCACGCTCACCTCCACGGAGATTCGGGCGAGAAAGAAATAGCCGAAGTCCCCCGCCTCAGCGTCGTAAACTATCGCGTTCGCCCTCTCTTGCTTCGAGTCAGTCACGGTCTGCGACGAGATACGCCCGTCGCAGGAGTCCGAGTCCTCGTAGGCGGGGCAGCGTCTCTCGCTCGCCTGTCAGACGACGGGTTACTCGCAATGAAACCGGTGATGGCGGAAAGGGAAAGCGTCCTGCGAGGCGTAGTCCTTCGTCCTCGCGTATGGATGTTGACAGACTGAGAATCTCTGATGAGCCCCTTCCACAAAATGCCAGAGGTGAGCTGAAAATCAAGGGTCAAGCGAGGCGAAATAAGTGGGATGACGCGGACAGGGATGACGTATGCTTATATTCTTCATCACTTGTGCTCAGCCAATATTGATCGTGAATTTTAGGGAGGCCTAGAGCAGCATGATCTAGAAAAGCGAGAGAAAGAACTGAAGGAGAGAGCATTAAGAAATAAGGTTGTCAGAACTCGTAAGGGAAGTAGTGGCGCTGGCGGTTCGGGATAGAGGATTCTATTTGTTATCCCGACCCATTGACAGAGCCACATTGCGTGCAAACACCGTATCGTTTTTCTTTCTGCTGTGTCCGACTTCTAACGTACTCAATTCCTTATGCATCTAGTGTTCCATGTTCATTGTGCACCCCAGCCTGTCCGTATTTTCTGTTAGAATATATTTTCCTGCCAGTGTGAAGTCCGCCCTCTTTCTCTAAGCTTTGCTGTGTATCCTTTCTAACTTTTTCTTTTTGAAGACAGCGAGTTGGATTTCTCCTGCAGTTTGACTCGATGGGTTGCACTCGCGTATCTCGGTGGCTGTCCCGAACTTGTCTCCGCGTGCTCTCGGTCCGTGATCTGAGCGCTAGTACGAGTAACTTGATACATTACACAGCGGGGAAACTGACATTTTACCACCTATTGCCGCAAGTGAAATCACATTCGAAAGGTATTCTGGAGTGCTCTAGAACGCTCTGGGCTAGGTCTGGAATGCTCTAGCCAGGTCCAGTTCTGCTTTTGATTGAAATCTTGCAAGAGGCAAAGTGTTGAAACCCCCGATGTGTTATATTGGGTAATTGCCGTTTCACAGACAGTTTTTCTAGACTCTAGCTTATTATCAAATGAAACGCTAATATTTCAGTACCATGTATCCAAGACAATCTCTTTGAGTGGCCGTCCCGATTGATCTACCCACGGAGGGCATGCGTGCAGAAAACTTCAGGATGTGTATAAACAAACTATGTATACTAATCGGAACGCCAACGATACAGACAATACAGTTTAGAGACAAGGGTTATGCTACAGACAAGATGTAAGATGTCAGACAAATGTAGGAAACAAGCAGAGCAGCTATAAGTATGAATTAAAAAAAAAAACAAGCAGAGCAAATCAGGATATCCTAAAGTCTACCAGTGACCGAGTTCAACTTCGTCTCTATCAAAACCAATTTCAAGCCAACGCTCAGGAGTCTCTTTACAAGGAGCCCGGAAGCCCACTTGTTGGTACAACTTCTGAGCGGAATTACTAACGCCAACGTATAACACAACTTGCTCGTGCGTCATCAACAACCTGGTCGAGCAGAAGTTAGTATCATAGTACAATCTCATAGTTAATAGTTCTCACTCTCTGCAGACGCGGCGAACCAATCTTTTAGCATATCCTTGACGCTGCCACTTGTTTGGCGTGTAGACCTTCGTGATGGCAGCAACAGTGTCTGACTGCCGCGTGGCAGCCACAATAGTCGCGATATCAATTTCTCCATCCTTCTCGATCTCGCATACCCAAACCTGTTCGTTTTCGATCAAGAGCCTGGCCTCTTCAGAAGCTCGCTCGGAAGAGAGAGTGAATGGATGCTACAGATTTTCATCAATAAAGGTCCGCTTGAAAGACAGTAATACAGCAGACCTACCGAAGTATTAGAAAACTCTTCACACAATTCAGAAATCTTGCCGGCATCCTGTGATACCGCAAGACGTAGCTCGATGACTTCATCCACTGATGGAGGGTTATCGCAGACCTTGAACGTCTCAGGAGTACAAATCGAAAAAAATGCATCATAGTACGGTTTATTGATGCGCTTGACCTCTGCGATTTTCTCCCATGCGCTAGCAAAAGCTTCGGCGATTGGTTCAACAGAAAAGACAGAGAAGACCCTCTGCCTTTTAAAGTCAACATCTTTCAGAAGCGCCTCGCAGAACACCTCCATGGAACCTTGGAGGAGTTCCAGGCTCAATTCAACGGGGGATACTGGAATAATGAAAAGGGGGTATGTGCCCAATGGTCCCTCCGTGCAGGATAGTATGAATCTGATGTTGGAAGTTGTAGGCTCCGAGTAGACCAGCCAAAACTGCTCGGAGCCGGGCAGGAACTCTGGGTGACTGGAAACCTTCTCGGCGTGCGGGAGGATCACATTTGCGCGAGCAGCATTGTCCCTGCCCCGTAAAGTGACCCAAACATCCTCTGGGATGTTGGTGCGATCAAAGCGGCGAACAGATGAAATCAAGTCAGGCATGTTGTAAGGATTCTAAGGCTGGAAGGATAACTGTGTAGGAGGTAGTGTGGGGGGTAGTGGATTCTCGAGCTTTATATCCATGACTGCACCTGCCAGACTACGTTACGAGGTTATCTAAACGTTGGGATATTCAGAAAGAGCCCGGGGTGATAAAGAAGGCCAGAAAACGCGAAAACGTACTGCTGTATAGGAGAAGTAAACGGGGACATGAAATATAGTAGCAGCTTTGTGCAGAGGTCATTTTTCGGTAGAAGTTCAAAGTACTTGCCTGGTGGCAGAAAATGTCAGCATTCGATGCATGACACTCCAGTTGTGAAACTTATGAGACAAAGCGTATTTAATGGATGGTAGCCGAAAAACCACAGGTAGTTGAGAAATTGGCACGTGCCGATAACGCTCTCCACGTATTCCAACGTACCGACATTCATGTAAGCGAGATATGGGTGCCGTGTCGAGTTTAAGGGACGAACACTAGATCATCGAAAAACTGTTATATATGCCATAACAAGTACGATAAACCTACAGACCGTGTTATATTCAAGTATCCGGACTCGTGCCCAAAGAAATATCGCAAAGATCGAGAAAACGCCAATTGCTGTGAGCGCGCTTTAGATCTCGGTACAGGCATATGTTTCTTATCTCTTACAAGATTTTTCCATGGAACGGTTTTGACATTTAGCGTAGCCCGCAACGATGTAGCCTCTCCTCATTAAACCCCGCGAGTCCGACCAAATAGCAATGCGGCCGTGTGGCTGAGTTCCATCAATCATATATGGAGTGCTCGACACCATTCTTTGACTATGGAAGAGGACAGACGCTAACTTTGAAGCTGGGATATACCATCCGGAAAGTTCAGTATGTTCCAACGCGAATTATGTTGCGGGGCGGTGCTAACGTGACTGAAACATGACAGAGGATAGCGTGCACAGGAAGCTCACTAATAGTATACCTTGAACCAGGCGCGTTCCAGTGCGCCAGCGCTTTTGATGAGCGGAACGTTTCCCGTTTGAAGCTGAGTCCCACTAATGTTGAATCTCGGTCCCGCGTACCCTGTGCATACACAGGGCATCTCAGACTCTCCATCTGCCTCAAACTTGGCAGTCCTATGATACATCATAACTGATCGGTTTCACCTACGTGAAAATTAAACTTTAAGGTATATGAGAATCATGAAGTACTTACAACAAATTCCATTCGTTCTGATATTACGTCTGATATTTTCCACTCGGTCACGTCGTTTCCAGCACGCAGTAAGGGTTGTATCTATTCAACCTAAACCTGGGTCTGTTTCTATCGCGAGAGCAGATGATTAAATTGCAGTATAGTATTAGTATATTATCCGATGATGTTGGTTGACAACCTTAGTACCGATTGGAGTTGTTTGGCAATACCCTGCGATTTACACAGGACCAAACACAAGCCAAACATCAGCGCTTCAGCTGTGTAAGCAAAATATTGCTGGTACCCTTTGGGAGTGCTCCGATGTCGGATAAAGCAGCTCGGAGCTACACCCATGTGTCAAATCGTGCAAAGGCTCGGGCAACCGTAGAAAGAAAAAACGTTTTTAAAAGTGTCCTCGAAAATCCATTCCGAATACAATGGTTGTTCTGATCTCCTCCAACTTACAATGCGTCTAACATCTCGAGTTAGGCCCTCAATCCCATCAAATGCGCAAAATTTATTCCTCGCGAAACTCGTAACCACTTTGGAGAGCGAGGTGAGGAACGGAAGTCGAAAATCCTTCAAGGCATACGCTAGGAAAGCCCTACTACGATCAGAAATTGCAGATTCGGTGGAAGGAACAAACCCGAGCTTAGGCTCGGTGGTAGGTTCCAAACCCTCTGCATGCGCCGTAGGTTCCACTCCTTTGCCAGCTCCGGCCGTTAGTGAACTTACTCCGTCGTCGGGCTACATGACCGTCGGTATCAACGAAGTGACAAAGAGACTTGAATCGCAGTTGAAGTCTGTCCGACATTCAGTTACACTCACTACCACGTCTCCCGCCAATCCAATATTCCCCGAAATGTCTTCCATTGCTGTTGTCTTTGTGTGCCGTGCCGATGTCAATCCTCCGATCTTATTGGATCACATCCCTCACCTTGTAGCAGGATGCAACTCTACACGCCTTGGATCTAACCCTTTGGGAGCTCGACAGCCCCTGAAATTGATCATCTTACCAAAGGGCTCAGAGTCCGCACTCGCGCAGGCGCTTGGTCTGAGGCGAGCGTCCGTAATTGCCATTCATGTAAGCGTTTCAGATGTCATGATCCTTACTTCTGATGCCCTCGATAGGATGATGCCCCGTATTTACCGATCTTTTGCGATATGCTTCAATCTGTACCTGTAATCAGCGCACCTTGGCTTGTACCTCCAGCTCAGCATAATTCTCCGAAATGTTTGATTCCCACTCATATCAAACAACTCCGCACCACTGCACCCAAAGATATGAAATCTGCGAAAGAACAAAGGGCAAAAGCAAGAGTTGCAGCTAAGAAGAATGGTGCAAAACGTAGGCCCAAGAAATGTCTCCTTACGACGGCAACGCCAGACGCATAAACTCGCGATACACAACGTCACGCTCCATGTATTGGTGAGTACTCGTCTGCAAGTACCGATTGATTTCTCATCTTATCGTGACACAGTTTGTTGTTTATGTGTACCGTTCTCTTGCTGGGGCTCGTATCAACTCTATGCGGCAGTTCTGTTGCCCTCACTGCTCAGATAATATGAAGTCGCGTGAATTTAGCGTCTGAATTATTGACATTTGACAGAAGTTAAGACATGTGTGTATGCATTCCATTCAGCGGTGCATATTCAATTGCACGGAAAGGATGTCCTGCTAAGCCCCTCGCTAACAATGGTTGTGGGAAACGTCAACAATATGGATGTCCAGCTGATTTGTCTCCGGTACACACAAGAATATCAATGGCACGCTTGGACAGTTCTTCAACCCGCCGAGGGACAATTATATACTTCCCCATGGGTTTTTGGTATACGCCGTCACCACCCACAGGGGTAAAGGACAGAAGACAGTAAGGGACAACAGACGTCCCTCGTGTATCAGATCGATACTGGAAAGAATCCAGACTTTGTGGCCCTGTTACATCCCAAGAAAGTACATCATGGCAGCCAATTCGAAGCATCGTCGCAAACCGACGGAGGAGCAAAGCAAACTTGATCCAATCTACGAAGATCTCCGTTGATCTTGGGGTTGATAAATCCGACAGACGACGCAAAGCCTATTGGTGAGCAGTCCATCTAGAAACGTCCAAGGATAATTGGCTGGATAACAGAGTCCTGGTTACGAACGGTGATACGCCGCATTGATTTCGCAATTGTTTGTGTCATGCTTATTATGTGTCAACGTAATGTTGAAATCGATGGCAATGATATCTGCATTTGAACTGGAGCTCGAGAGCCATCACTGAGAGAGCAAAGGTGGTGCACGTGTGAGTCTTATTACTAAGCGGCGTATGACCAAATTAGGATTTCATTACATGACGACATCTTCCGTTCAACTATGTAGGTCTCGCCCGGTTTTAGTAAATTGTGAGTATATCGAAGAATTCGTGCTTGGTCTGGGCCCCTTATGTCTGTCACCTCCACGCCCACAGGCATCCGAGTTCGCTCCACTGGCAGCTCCAACTCATCGCCTAGTGTTGCGATGTCTGCCTATGGCTTTCTCCTCATATCAGTCGCCGCTCTGTGTATCATAACTTTGTGCTGCTTTGTTCGTTGCCGGCCTGGCGTGTTTATCGACACATCCTGGGATACGACAGAGCAGCTAGATGGGAGGGTTCGTCGACGAAGGAAGTTGGTACCTCCTGTCTTGTGGGATACTTGGCTGACCCGCCCTCCGTCACCCACCGAGGAAGTCTTGGGTGTGGGTCAGTTTGAATGGTCGAATATTCAGGTATGCACTGTACTTATGTTCTGTTGCCTTCGTGTCTAATGATCGCTTCCGATAGCCTGTATATGTATCTCTCATCTATGCATGTCAGTCTCGGCCTGCACGTCAATTCGCAGTAGCCGAGTCAGAAGTACCTGCGGATCGCTCTACCGTGGCACAACTTCTTCCCCATTCTTCTTCGTCCTTACCTTTACCCCCGCGAAGACGGTTTACATTCCCTCTTGTCCATACTTTCAACTTCCATATGTGGCCACGACGACGCTCACACACTCATCATATATCAACATCATCCGAAAAGCCCATAGATAATGAGACTGAGAACCACCCAGAAGCTGTTCAAATTGCTGTGATGATCTCCATGCCTTCCTCCGCCTCTAGATGTTGGAACCACGCAGGGGGTCCTTCGTGTCACTCTACTGGCCCCGACGATGCGCTGTGGGAGTATCAGTTCGGGGTCGCGCAGATTCCATGGATAACATAGTGAGTGTACTGATGTTGATATGCTTTGTGTTCTTCTTTCCTGCTACTAGCCCCCAGTGTGTGGACGTAGCTGTTCGCGTTTGATTGAAAGAAACATGTGCATATTACATGTACCTAGCAATAACTCAAAGATTAATCTGTGATATATGTGGGTATGAACTTTCGGATGGTTTGTGATTGAACATTGTCAAGGCCACGACGATCTATGCCAATAGTTAAAGTACTTCATCTAGGGCTATAATTTCAGGAATGACGTGAGGTTGTCGATTCCTTGTGCCTTAGTCCTAGGAAGGAAGCGAAACGCTGTAGGGCCGAAGGCCTGCGCGAAACAGATGCTCTCGCTTGCACATGATCAGGGGTAGGGAAGTCAATAGGCCTAGTTTTGGGGTCAACTTCTTCCTCATCTGATTGCTCCGGAACATTTGGGACCCACGGTTCAGGCAGATCAGCGTGGTTAAGTGGCACTGACGCGTGAGGAGGGAGATAATATGGTTGCTGAGACTGTTGGAGTGGATATAAGTACTCCGGGGTGTATGGGTACTTGGGGGTGTATGGGCACTCAGAGGCGAGATGCTCAGAAGCCTCAGAGCCGTATTCAGAGGCATATGGCTGCCCGTACGGGACGTCAGCGTCTGGCATTTGCACGCTGATCTCAGGCATGGGCATAGGCATAGGAAATGACGGGAAAGGCGCAGTCAAGGGGTCTGGAATGGGCGGAAACGAGTCGGCTATAACGTAACGTGCGGTCAGTCCAACACCGACGGGAAAGGAAGGGGGCTGTACGCACACGAACGATGTTCCATGCTATGAGTATGTCAAGGCGTTCGAATAAAAACACAGACTGAGCACAACTCTGGCTCGAGGAGGCGCAGGGCAAGATGGATGAAACAAAAGTGAAGGATGTGACGGGTATCGTAATTGTTCGAATATCCAGCTATATAAGCGTCGGTCATGACAGGCGAACGTCTGTTCGAATGGAAATTCTGGTCCTGGGGGCTGCGCGCGATGACGCTCACGAAGATTACATCTTGGCTGAGGATCCGGCTCTTCCGGACACATCATAGCCTTAGCCGCCAAAAATAGGTTCATAGAGGTGTACCGTCCTGCTTTATCCGTGAGTCACCGAGTAAACATGCCAAAACCTTGTGGATTTCATGTCCGAAAGAATAGCCTGAAGCGCTCTGTACAGGCGCTTTGCTCTTAAATATTAGTTCCAACGACAACTATGGGCCAAAAATAAGTCATGTCAGTGGCGGTAATCGTGGGATGACAAGGATACGTATGCAGTAGTTATGAAGCGTGTGACAGATCCAGAACTATTCAACGTCCAGCTCGCACGCCTGACGTAGAAGTTGTACAGCATCCGTTTCAGTCCAAGGGCGATGAACAAATCCTATGCCCAACTTCTACCTGCGCGCCTCCCAGCTTCTACGCAGTCACCAACGCTCACGCCCCCCACGCCGGCGCCAATCACCTCTAGCTTACCGCTCCACGGCTCTCCACGAAGCACATCGCTTAGCTCTCGCATCCGCTGGAGGTGCCCCACACGCAGCAGGGGAATGCAATGTGCGTTGTTATGCACCCTCGCGATGAGTGGGTCGGGCAGACGCACACCCAACTGCTCAGAGAGCATATCTACGAGGCGAGGGACTGAGGTCACAGGCTCGCGGAGCATCGCGGTCATTTTCACAACATCTGCGCTCCACGGCGCTTCCTGTGCTGACATTGATGAGGAGTCGAAGACACACCCCAGGATCGCATTCTCCGGATGTCTAGATGATGCTCGGGGCACGAGGTACCCGAATCCCTCAGGATGGAGTGCATGTCCCGGAGACGCAAGGAACACGAGGTTCACGACCGTCACCGACGAATATGGATTTGCAGTCAGGTGTGGCAATGGCGTCTTGGGTGAAAGGAGCCCTTTCAAGCTCGGGAGAGGCACAGCTGAGACAGCGTGCGTCGCGCGCAGCGTCTCGCAAGACGAGGTCGTTATCTGCGCAGAAGTAGTTAGTAACAAAAGACTATATACTCAAAATGCATGCGTACTTCGAACTGCGCAGTTCTTGGATTCATCCGGAGCCCCGTCGCTGACACCCCGCCAAGCAGGCGCACATTTCGGCGTGTCCTCAACTCTCGCAAGAGTGCTTCTACCAACGTACCCATCCCTTGCGAGAACGAATACACAGATACTCCGCGCATCTGCTCGTCTATATTCCCTAGCTGATATGGGGGGTCATCGGCCTCCGCTGTCGCTAAAGCTTTGGAGGGCCGAAGAAACCCAATTACCAAAGAGCCACGACCGCGTTCCTCGGCATCCCAAAGCGACGGGAACGCTGCACGGACGCTCAATTCTCGAGAGTCCGCTGCATAAATACCGTGCACGAGTGCACTTCCGAAAATCCTTGCAAATTCGCTCCCGAAACGCCTACTCAAGAATGCGTCAACCGACTCGTCCTCGATCAATAGGGGCCTGTTCCATGGGCGAAACGGCTCTCGTGCAACAGATGAAAGAAGGATATGGCCAAGGGGGGAGTACAAGGAAGATGACTTGGGTGAGAGCCCAGAAGTGAGAAGGCTGAGCGGAGATGATGGAATGCAAAGGAGGCCTTGTGTGCCAGGTAGACGTAAGAAGCGATTCCGAGCGGCTGGCGACGACTTCGAGACAGTTAAAAGAGGCGGCGATAGGTCCAAAAGGTTAATCTAGCCTGGGACGTGCCCGATGAGAAGGTCAAACGGGGGTGGCATTAGACTATCCTATTACCCACCAATTCAAGAACACTCTTTGAATTTGGTCTCAGAGTGCGTGGGCCAGCCTCCAAAAGCACGCTGGTCTCGCGACCGTCTTTAAGGGTGATTCTAGCGCGCCTAGAATGTACCCATCCGCCAAAGTGGATGTCCTTATTCAGCAGAGTGATCTGAGCTGCTGGAAATCGACGTGAAAGGTGAAAAGCGGCAGACAGGCCGGTCAGACCACCACCAAGGATAGCGATAGAAGACGGTGCCATGATACTCGTATCTCAAGCACGACACGAAGTCAGCGACACATTTTCCAAAGAGTCTTGTTATGGGCTTGGCGCTCCCACTGCCCAGTGGTCGAAGCAGCAGTAGCTACTTAAAGAAGTATTTTCCCACATATGTACAGTGACACGTCCTTCATATGCTGCATACCGGTGATTAGTACCCTACGCACGCCTTTTTGCTCTTCTCCAGCACCATGGCACCCCGAAAGAATGCCAAAGGACTTTCGCCAGCCCCGTCAACACCAACGCGTCGTCCAAGCTCAGCTGCTTCTTCTCCAGAAAAACCTCCTGGTCCATTGAGCGTCACTATCTCTCCGGAGGAGCGCGAGGTTATCAAGGTCAACAACTACAGCGCAACCGAGCTCAAGAACGCATGTGATGATGCTCTGAAACGAGTGCGTAGTTTTAATAATGCGGCTATGAAAAAAATGCTCACATAATTATAACTCATCATCGCAGTACTTGTCGAGACCCGTTTTATTTAAACAAATACATCTTCACACTGATGTGCGACTGGCTTTGGGATGGGCAGGCGTATTCACTGCATTAGCTACTGGACTTTATGGGTGGAAATCTGACTTCGAAAAGTCGAAGCCTGTAGTCTGGGTTGGGTTCATACTGTAAGCGTTCGCTATGAAACATCGCGTTCCTTTTTTATTGAAAATCCCCCGCATAACAGCTACCTGGTCCTCACCTCCCTTCAGACACTATATTCCTACTTTGTGGAAGGCGATACCATCTTTGTCGGCCGACGAAAAACCTTTTCAAAAAGAGTGAGTCTGAACCTAGTCATGCCGTCTTTCATTCCTTATCTCTCTTCAGATAATAACAGAACGGATAACAATTTCCTCGCGCACGCTTCCAGTACCGTCTTCTAAATTAAGTCTCAAGCCGAGCCCCACGAACTCACCGTCATACTCGATCTCCATTAATTACGTCCAGTCTACATCAGGGGGTAAATCACTGCTTGCAAAGGGCCGAACACACGAAGCGAAAGAGTACTCGGCCTTCTTTGATGAAAAGGGCGTCATGGCACAGGAAGTGTTTGAGCGATGGATTGGAGAGCTGGTGGAGGCAGTGATGGAGGGAAAGGGGGCATGAATTGTATGTCTACGTAGAGGCCTTTCATTGGTACGCTACTAGTAGAAGGACGCGTTGTTGCGATCCACCTACCCCAACTTCGGTCTGAGAGACAGCAGCCGACGTTATATAACATTTCTTGACCATGCAATGAAATGTCGATCATCTCAGCATCCACACATGTATCGGATCGATGAATCATCCCATGTCACCCCCACTTTCAATGTCGTAACTCAGGTTGACGTTGCAGAGTTCGTTATGTAATTTATTGTTTTCGCCATGACAGTGAGTTTATTGAGTACGTACTATGTAAAACCTTCAAACCCACCTGCACCGTAACGCGACTTCAACTAAACACCCTCACAGCTCGCCCACTGACTCGCCCGCGCAGGCATGCCCACCGACCGAAATTTGGGTATTATTTAACGCCTCATGCACGTCTTGAATGGATGACCACACATTGGATACCGAGGGCTCGTACAATTATGCCAGCGAACGGCAGGTATGAGCAAAGTTCCTAGTAGATGGTATTACTGCATGGTATAACGACCAGCGCAAGATTTCTCTCTATAAGCTTCATAACATATCACAGTAAACCAACGTGTCTCATATATAGCTTAGATAAATCATATCTTGCCAACAAGCAAGTTCTTAATCATTTCCCGACCCGTGATGCGAACGGTGTGGTATAACGTCGGAAGATCTAGTGTAGATGTGAATGTATCCGCAAGACCAAAGGGCATCATCAACGGGATCCAGCCTAACGAAAATTGAGACAAAACGACAGGGCCATTTAAAAAATGTCACGTACCCCGAGCATACTCAAGCGCAAAGCATCCCTCATGCATCTTATATTGCTTCGCCGTACCCCTCGGGAGGAAGTGCACGTCCCCAGGGCCATACTTCTCCATCTCCAATGCGCCTGGTCTGAATGCCCACTGCTCACCGACTAAGATATGAAAGTAGTCATCTGCGGTGTGCAACCCCGTGTGTCCTTCCGTGCCTAGAGGGGTACCGAAAATAATGAGGTACTCGGTGATGGACGCGTGTATGATGTACATTGCGCCCATTGCGCCTCCAGCGTTGTTGAACACCCACTCGGAGGCGTTCACGTTAAGGGAGAGGGCAGGGGAGTCGATTTGCGGGTATGTAGAGGTGAGGTTGGTGAGGATGTGGGTGATCATGCCTTGGGGGTCATTGGGTGAGATGGAGATGGCTTCTTGCGCAAGCTCATGCAGGAACTTGGGTTCTAGGATGTACCACCGGTCCTGTGGTCGAGGTCACTTGATGTAGTAGAAGAGGCGGAGGAGTGACTGACCTTGATACCATCGAGCCAGGTGAATGTTGCAGCAAGGAGCAGCAATGCAGCTATACGTGTTATCCACTTCGTGAAGTTGTTTTGCGGCTTTGGCGGGGGCTGCTTGGAAGCTGCATCTGCATTTCCTGGTTGTACTTTTCCCATTACAAATTCTGACCTTTGTGACTTGCGAAGGAATGGGAAAGAACTTGTAACGCCAGCAACTAGGTGGTGGACGCACAATTGAAGAGAAGCCTGAATTAAATTCAACTGCTGCACGCGCACGTGACTAGCACAAAAATCGAACGACGTATTAAAACAGAATCGACGTGATGCCATTTCAGAGTGAGAAGAAAATGATTACTATGAAACATACAAGTACATCCTATACCGAACACGGAAAATAAATCGAATAATAAGATTATACTTCCTGGCTCTCCTTCTTGCCCTTTGCACTTTTACTGGGCAGTAGTTCTGGGTTGATGAAAGGAACCACGCCACCCTGTGAAATGACGACATCTCCAAGGAGCTTGTTCAGCCTATTGAAAAAGGGAGTTAGACACTAGAAGATGACTGGGAATGTTTTTGCGTACTCTTCGTCATTTCGGATGGCGAGTTGCAAATGTCTAGGAACGATACGTTGTTTCTTGTTGTCGCGGGCTGCGTTACCGGCGAGCTCCAGGATCTCGGCGGCCAGGTACTCTAGTACCGCTGCAAGGTAGACTGTGCCACCAAGTTAGAACAAACGCTCGAGTTGAATTTAATGACGGGCTTACCGGGTGCGCCAGCCCCAACACGCTGTGCGTAGTTGCCCTTCTTCAAGAGACGGTGAACACGACCGACGGGGAATTGAAGACCGGCTTTGGCTGAACGGGATTGAGACTTGGATGATGATTCACCAGAAGCTTTGCCACCAGATTTGGCCTTTCCGCCGACTTTGCCAGACATGATAGATATATTGAGATGGGTGTATGTACAGCGACGAGGATGGGAATGCAATAGGGGAGTCGCGATCAATGGACGGCTGTATTTATACTGGGGACACGTGATTTTATAAAATAAGGTTCAACAATCAACAAAGAAATGTGGACGCGTTGATCGAGTGCCAAATAAGACCACACGCGTCACAAACGATAAATACAAACGCCCAACCAATTTCTGATAATCATTCACACTACCTCCACTTCATCAAATGGCACCTAAACCAGTCTCGACCGCCTCAAAGGCCCCTGCTTCCACTGCTGCCTCAAAGGCACCTGCAAAGACAACCGACAAGGCTAAGAAGGCTACAAAGACTTCTGCCGCCGCTGCTGCCGGGGCTGATGGTGAAAAGAAGAAGCGTCGCAAAGTCCGCAAGGAGACCTACTCCAGTTACATTTACAAGGGTCTGTACTATTTACATCTTTGACAGTTCCAGATCTGATTCCCATCGCAGTGTTGAGGCAGGTGCACCCTGATACTGGTATCTCCAACAAGGCAATGGCCATCTTGAACTCTTTCGTCAACGACATTTTCGAGCGCATCGCAACTGAAGCATCCAGTATGTACTTTTCCATCATCTCATTGATTATTCCTAACCTATTCCATTCAGAACTCGCTGCTTACTCCAAAAAATCGACAATATCTTCTCGGGAGATCCAAACATCTGTACGACTGATCCTACCTGGTGAACTTGCCAAGCACGCCATCTCAGAAGGCACCAAGAGTGTCACCAAAGTCAGTTCCTTCACCTTCATATCGTCTTCATCTCACTCATCTGCATTTACAGTTCTCAAGCTCATCAGCAAAGTAGGCTTGTCCTTGGTTGTTCTACTGTTGTTTCGTTGGACAGCATGCGCTGTTGTACTCTAGATGTATCATTTACATTATTTTAATCTACTGTTTCGATCGGGATCTTGCAAAATCTGTGGACCTTCAAATAATGAGTGTTGAGCTCGATCACTAGAAAGTGACCACCGATATACTGTATACTTCAGTGACCAGCCGTGATTGGTATGATTCACGGCTCGGGTGCTCGGAGATGTCATATGATTGAAGTATGTAGTAGCTTCAACTCCGACTCGAACACACTTGCATGAAACCAAGTCCTTTATCGTCTACAAGTATGCTCAGCAAGGTTCTGCCAGTCCCACTGGCCTTACTCGATGATGCCAATCAGACCCGATGGGCATCTCAGTGAGCTTTTGAACATCGAACATGAGGTGCACACTGGCACACGGGGGCCCCCGGGGCGGGACTCACCTGAATCTCACCGGGGCCAGATTTGCTTGTAGTGATCGGTGAGTCTGCAATATATCAGGTTCTTAAGCTAGCCCATGAAAAGCCAATCAGATCCATTGAGTAAGGCGGATATCAAAAACTGTCCCTGCTTCTGGCTCAGTGGGCACGAGACACCCATATCTATCGTTCGTTCGGTTCCTTTGGACAATGGGCACGTTAATTCCCGCTATTGCGAAACCCTATAACCTCACCTTTGGTTCATAATCCCAGTCTTTGATAATTTGGACGCCCTACTCGGGTGACCAAGTCCGCTGGCTACTTGAACTTCCGCAGGTAATAGATACCCCGCGGTGCGTTACGATTTCTATTCGGTTCGTTGGACAGAAACATGATCCCCTGTATGTCAATATAGTAAAATGTGGCCAATGTCGGCTCACGGTCCTCCCATACCCCGATGCCGGCTAGACATTTTCTCCCTAAATGACAGGTTTCCCGGTAGCCAAACACCTCGTGCTGGTTTTCATCTCGGCTTTCGCGACTTATCCAGTGGTTATGAACTTTGTTTCTATTCAGACCACCTGATGGACGGGTTCAGGGTAGCCTAACCTCCGATAGGTAGTGGTGGATTATTCGCTTCATGCACGCATAAATGGCCTAGGATTTTTCGCTTTCAATCTATCCCCCAAAAACTGTATCACCATGGCAGATTATTGTGTCCTAGCAAACCACCGCCTCAACGAGTCAGCCGTTAACCATGATGTTCCCCCGCAAGACCTTTGTCACGATGGCCAATCCAATGCAGGTCTTAATGATGATATCCCCGAAGAGCACGTCCTCGCACCGTATATCGGCTCATCGTACTCACCCTCGTATCTACAGGGACCTCGTCAATCGTCTCATTCGGGACAACCAAGACATTTGGAACAACTTGCTTCACAACAGGTTTGTCGAGGACATGCGTATTGCAAGTGCAGACAATGAGCACGTTCTCGGCGGTTTCAAATGGTACATGATCGTACGTCACTGAATATCTGTCGACGGCTTCAAGCTGTGACTCATCACTCTACACGTGCAGCAAGATTTCTTCTACTGCGTGCAGCTCATAGCATACAACGCCGATCGCGCAGCAAAAGCTCCCAACCCAACGGTATACGGGAAATTGACCACAACTCTCAACAACACCCTGACGCAGTGGGCTCCTAACGCCCTCAAAACTTGCACCGATGCCGATAAGTTGAACATCCCAGACACCGTCGTCTTCGCAGCCAAGCGGGAAGGGGTGACTGAAAACTACACAAAGTTCATCTCTGACACCGCAGAGGATGAGAATTGGGTCGTCTCCTTGCTTGCTCAAGTTCCCGGCATTCAGGTTCGTGAAAGGGATTATGAGGTCAATTTGTATCAATAGCTGACGTGGACTTGACGTGTTAGTCGTACTATGCCATCGCTAGTGACCTCAAAGCCAATGCTCTCAACACAGGCTAGTATTTTTCCAGCAGCGCGCGAGCCTCCAAACTGATCCGATGATACTTCTAGACACTGCATGGTACAACCTCTGGGTCGTCGATAACGCCAAGCACCGCAAGTCCACGATTGAACAAATCAGTGAGGGATCAATGCACCATGTAACTCTGTCCAACCATTGACGCCGTCTGCGTAGATTTCTTCAAGACTAACTATGAGAGCTGGAAAGACATTCCTTATGAGAAGTTGACCAGAATCTTCAGGAAGGGGTGTCAATGCGAGATCGATTTGTGGAACGTAGCGCTGAACCCTGGACCGATGGAATGAAGGACTCAAGATGTGTGGACCAAGCATGTAATAGTATCGAATTAGAATATCAGGCCCGTCTATGGCGAAGTATCAGTCTGTTGACACGAGATCAACAATACATAAACTGAGGTCATTATAACGACGTGCCTCACGATGACGGTAGGTGGTAGGCCAGTTCCTAGCCATGTACAGAAAGACCAAGCAGAGAAACCTTATCTAATTAGGAATACTAAGAACATGAATTAGAAAGCGATATCAACAATCAAGAAACTTTAGGTATGCACAGATGTTCCAGTAGGTATGATGCTAAAGATTGTGCTACAATGCAAAAACAAAGAAGACCCTGCCCCGACCTGCAACCTACAAATGAATGAGGGTCCCATACTACAAGTTGATTCAGTTTTGTCTCTTCCCGTTGGTAGGGTCTGACTCCGGCCTATGAGTTAGGCCCACCCTGCGGGGCACATGGCCCCCTTCTGTTGTAGTCCGATTTGGTTGGGGTGACACCGTCCGCCGCGCTTCCCTGTGCCCGCGGTCATTGTCAATATGTTGTCCCTCCTGTGTCGATTGAGGCGCAGGAGAAACCATCCCTGCGCAAGGCGAGGAACTCTTAGACTGGCTCTCTCTCCCCTGCTCACTCGAATGAAATTCGCTTCCCTCTCTAAATATCTCTTTCGCAATGCTGCTGACAGGCGGAAAATAGCCTGTATCATCAGCCGGTCCACCCTGCGGAGGGAAGTAATCGCCCCCAGAATTAGGGGGATGACCATGGTTTTGCCATCGCTCGTCTGCATGCACGGGGGCTCCCGGAGCTGGATTTATCCACGGTGCTTGCGGCCAAAAAGCACCAGGTGTCATAGTCACGCCGGGCGTCATCGGCACCCCACCAGGCGTCATCGGCACCATCGTCACTGATGACGGATACCCGGTAGATACGGGTACCATGATCCCAGGTGAAAGAGGAATTCCAGGGGAGAACATGTGCGAAGGCAGGTGTGGCGAATACGGAACTTGGGAGTGCGGCGGGAGGTGGTATGGGGATGATGGCGGGGGAGCCTCTGTTCGGCCTTCCGTCGCCTGATTCTGGTAACTCCCGTCATTTGAGCCCTGCTGCTCTGTGCTATTGGCGTGCCCGCTTGATGGCTGCAAGAATGTAAATGGCGGCATGCTTGGAGTAATGGGAGGTAGGCCGTGTGGTGTTATGACACCATAGTGCATATGGTAAGGGGAATGGAGCGGGCTGACCGAGGGGTGATGTACAGGGCTGCGCATACCCGGATGATGCAGCGGACTCATGGGATGAGATGGCGCATAGCCAACGTGATACATTGGACTCTGTGGGTGGGGAGGAGGGTATGGGGACAGCACCGGTGGATGTGGTAGTGTAAATGTACATGGAGGAGGCAGCGCAATAGGTCCAGGTTGTCGGCGGGATGATGTGGGCTTCTGCGGAGATGGAGATGTAGGTTTCGAATTTGGCGAAGATAATCTGTTTTTCTCTGCAGCCTTGGAAGCCAACGCTTTGGACCTTCGCAAACCCAGAGACCCAAGTGCGGTCGCGGTGACGTTGGTATTTCCTGAACCCTCCAACTTAGCTGGCGTGGATCCTTGACTTGGTTTGACCTCTGAAGCACCCCACATAGATTGAGACTTGTTTGACAAGTCTGAATTGAGGATCGGATGCGCAAGCACGACAGGTTTGGGCGAGATCTGCCGGGGACTCGACATACTCGGCCATCCCCCGCTCGCTGGAGGGGACGTTGACGGGGTATCACTGCCTACATCCGACTTAGGACGATTCAGTTTGTGCGGTAGGGAAAATGTTGAGCTCGAACTCGAGCCCGAGTTTTCCCGTGACGTGCCCATACTGACAGGATGGCCCACAGACTCCTGCCCTTCTCGTTCGTCATCGAAGAATGGCTCGTTCAATAGCGAACTCGCGCTGAATGTAGGGCGCCGCGCAGAACCGCCACTAAAGGACGGGCGCTGAGACGTGGAGCTAAAGGTGGGTCGTTGAGATGTCGAAGAGCTGAACGACGGTCGTTGGGATTGCGATGCACCAAACGACAGCCGCTGCGAGAAGTTCGTGCCATCAGTCAATGATGATGCCGTACTAAAGCTTGGCCGCGATGACCCTGATGAAGTCGTCGTGGTATAGCTTTGCGCTTGCGAAGAGCCGGCAGAGACACTTGGACGCGGCGAGCTGGAGCTTGATGTCCGTGATTTATTTGATGATAGTGGGTGCATGTCGCTCCCGAGCTTCATGTCCGTGTTTAGCTTCAAGCTAAGGGAATCGGCAACACCCGAGTGTGGGGCCAACTTGATAGTAAGCGCGTCGGTACCCAGAGATAGGCTAAGGGGAGCAAAGTTTGTCGAAGCATTGTTTGAGAACCCTAGATGAGGTGAACTTGTCAACGAATGCGGATGGGTGGGTGTAGGTGCTAGTGAATGGGCTGCTGACGGTGCAAGGGACTGAGTGTGCGGAAGTGCAGGCGAAGTCAAGGAGGTGGAGGTAAGGGGACTTGAACCAAGAGAAAGGTCAGAGGATCGAGAACCTGATGAGGCGATTGAGCGAGCTAACAGGACTTCTACCTGAGCTGATGTTATGGGGTCTAGATCAGGACGCCTAAGCGGATCTAACTGAGCGTGCATTAGAGAATCTAGTTGTGAATGTAACAACCCGTCGCGTTTGAGCTGAGATAAATGTTCATTTTGTTGGCGTCCCAACTGATTTGACTCCAATTGTAGGGATTGCAAGTGAGATGCAAGAGCATCATACTGTGATAGAGTGGATGGGACTGGAATTTGTACGCCAACATGTACCGGAGCTGCAGTCGGCGAGAATTTATCATAGTGGACCTTCAATGGTCGTCCATTAAATTCATACCTGGAATAGATCATAATCACGAATAATCAGCACATGAACCAGAATAGATTAACAGAACACGAAGGTATCGAAGGGTTCCTATCGCGTGTAGTGCCGCGACACGCCACATCACTACACAGCGAAAATATTTTGTGGTCAAAATGTAAACAAGGTAATGATGTAAAATGAACCCGGAACGCATCGTACGTTATGAAGAAGGTGGCCACGTACCCATCAAACATCCTACACGCTCGCTCAGCACCATCTTCCGTGACAAAGCTGACTGTTCCGAACCCGCGGGAGCGCCCATCAGGCCCAACAGTAACATCAGCTCGAGCAACAGCACCAGCAGCACGAAATAGGTCCTTCAAATCCTGCCATTGGATATGGAAGGGAAGCTGAAGTGGAAGGAATGTGAGCTTGCAGCACCACAAGCAAAAAGATAGGCTGAGAGATAAATATACGGAGATGGTCATGCTAGAAGGTCACTTGTACAAACTCGAATCTCACACGATGATTGTACACAAGGGGAGGAGTATTAATGAAAGTGGGGGGAAAATCAGACAAGAAGATCGACAGACTCACATTACCCACAAAGAGGGTTTTCATTCCAGTGCTACCTACCACATCCTGTCCAGATGTGATTTCATCATATGGATTGCCTGAAGGCGGGAACCCTGATGGGTGCCCGTTTGTGCCTCTGATTGCGAGGCTGCTACCCATTTCATCAACACTTGCGCCAAGCCTGTCGGGGCGCACCTCCAGGACTCTTGTCTGCCAGCAATATCCATTTAACATGTCAATTGCCCTTCCCGCATCCTCCGCGGTGGCCAAAAGGACAGTACCATAGCCTCGTGAGCGATTGTCAGGCCCTAGCGACACATCAGCACGCAAGACAGTGCCTGCACGACGAAAAAGATCTTTTAGGTCCTGCCAACGGACACGATATGGGAGCTGCGATATTTGGTCAGGGCTGATCAGCATTCGGGAGGGTCTACAGGCGTCCATACATTTCCAACGAACAACTGAGCGCGGGTATCTCGTAGTGGAGCTAGCTGGCGAGAATCCTGAGAGTTGCTAGATGATGTGGCCATTTGAATGACAGCCTCGATATCATCATTTGTAGGACCCGGGAACTCGGAGGGACGTATCAGGTGAGGAAGAGAGAAGTCCTGTTGCGATAAATGAAGAGGAGAAAGAGATAAAAAAGGCATTAGCACCTGGACGTGATAGAGGAAGAGAAAGGTAAGGAGATCAACGCACAGAAAGAGGCGTTGCTGACGCCATCTGGAGCGGAAGGCGCTAGTACGGTTGCAAGGGTATCGTTGGCTTGGGTTTATTTATGTTAGGGTATGGGCTTCGCGGTGCGTCGCGGCTTTATCGCCGCGTAACGCGTCGGTTGCTACAAAATTGATGGTGGTGGAGTCGCGATATCTTGTCAAGTTAACAAGTATGCTGGAGGACGTCGAAAACAGCGAGCTCGAAGATCTGAAAAGTGAATTTTAAGGGTATTGTAAGTAAGGAACAAGAAAAACCTGTTAAACGTTTCTGAGCTGTGCGCTTGGATTTGTTTCGCTCATTTTACACGGGATGCTCCACACGAACAAAAACAGGGTACCCCCCCGCGCCACTAGCCCTACGTCATTCTCCTTATTTGGAAGTCACATCCCGGCTGATCAATTTTTGACCCGAATTTCTCACTGGCACGCTTCCCACTCATTTCGTCCGTCTACTTGGCAATTTCTTGACTCCTGCCTAGCTACTAACAGCCAGCCTCATACACAGTCACTATTTGTCGTACAACTCTCGCGATCATAACCGCCAAGTACGTATTCTTCTTCAACCACCGGATGCACACTCCGATTTCTCACGAGCGCCCTGTCCCTGCGGTAGACCCCCTGGGTCTGCTGTTCAAGCAACCCAGCCAGTGGTGATGTCATTATGGGAGCCTAGAAAAACACGCACCAGCAGACTCAAGATCATTCACCCCACGCACATTTAATATTCATCCAAAGGCAATTTGATTTCATTCGCAGGTGCCGATCTTCCTACCGAGAACACACAGCTGAACATCACCGCTGACATCTTTAGGCATATTCGTTGTTGGCGAACATTCCGAAAGATTTATTATTGGCAGTGACATGTAGGCGATATCAACGAGAAGATTCCGAAATCGGAGCAGTGGCTCGGCTCATCTAATTAGTCTTGTCAGTAAAGGTTTACAGATGGCGGCCCTATAATAATCGTCGTCAATCCGACTGGGCATCAGATCTCTATCTCCCCTGCGGCATGGCAATGGTATGATATCAGGAAAGACTGACGAACCGAGTAATAGTGGGGTTTTGTATCACTGCAGCAATTGTTATGTAGAAATCCCGATCGATGCACCAGACTCGGATGTCCTGGTTGGTAAGCTTGGCTTACTAGGTGGTTGGCTGATTTTTATAATCAGTGTATATCTGGATCATCGAACAGTCCTTATGGCATGAATAATACGAAGGTCTTGAAATCAAATCCGGTGACCGTTGATTTATGTATGTGTTTTCATCAACCGCCCAATAGCTTGAACTCCCCGGAGTCTGATGTTCTCCAGACACCTATAGAACGTTTTTCGAGATCCGCCCTGGAGTGAGTTTCATTCAACTGTGTTCCTCGTGTTACCTCCTCACCTACATTCCATAGATAATTATTCTAGGTTAGATTGATTCACGGAGAAGTAGTTTCCCATTGGATTCTTCGAAGTTATGGAAGACTATAGTGAGCTTCGTAACGGATCTTCTCAACATGCCTGCTACTGCTTTCCCTCGTTGGTATTCTAACCTGATCAGTTGAATGACAACTACGAAATTTAGCAACAAAGCACAGTTGCTGTGCATGGTGCATGGTATACCAGAACACTCTTCAGAGTGCACGTAACTTGTCATGCATCATGACTTGTGAGGGGGACCTTAACATTGGTCACTATTTACGGTCAAACGTTGTGATCACCTGTGCCATTGGAGGCCCAATTACATAACTTGCCATCTGTGAATAATAACTGTACGGAATTCTCCGGATAAACTTGCCACCCATGTCATGGGCCGTAACTTATTTTCTAATTTTAACCCAACAAGTGGCTGGCGCTGATCATCGATGCGGCGACCAATAAGTACTCAAAGTTGCTATTAATGTAAAATCTGGTCACACCATCGGTCGCGAGGCAGTGAGTACCACAAAGTTGACTCCCAGTCAAAACACGCACATACACAACCATACACTGTGGCACTGCATTCGCGCGCATGACTTAGCCCATGTGTATGTGCAAATATGTGCAAATGACCTGGCGTGTGAGACCGCGTATAGTGAGAACAGTATGCTGCGACTACAGTGACAATAACGGGTGCATAATACAGTGAGCAAGTGGGACGAGAATGTAATACGGCGAGTGGGTATGAATAATCTTTAATGCAAGCGAGTGAAACAAAAGCATGCAGCAGCGGACAGGTGAAACGGGAGCATGCAGCCATCATATAGTTGCTCCCTCGTCCTCAAAGACTCATTTGAGTGTACTGGCGTTTGTGCTCAAGGGACCGATAACGGGCCAGGTTTGGTGTTCTCGCAGTTTTTGCGGTCCGATGACAGGATTGTTGACGTTCGTTGTGGATCTGGCTTGGGAAGGGGTAGCCGTAGACACTTCATCACAGGCGTCGTGGGGCAGGAGTTTCGTGTATGACACAATTCAGGAACCGAGACAGAGACGGCCTGAATCCTTGAGTGCCAGGAAGTGGTATGCCATGTGTGTCACCAGAGTCATCGGTATTGACTAGAACATGTCCGTCTGCACCTTCGACTCGGGGCTCCTCATTTTCAAGTTTTTCATGAGTCAAAGAATATAATCAATGCGGCCATTATCATCGACGGGCTGGCGCACAGTGGGAATGCTCGAAGGGGGGCCTTCCATCTCGAGACGATACCTGTCGTGAGGCCTGTAGACAGAACAAGTTACTTGTATTGGTGTACCTCCACATTCCTGTAGAAAAGTGCGTGCGCCGGTCTGCTGGCATAATGTTCTATGATGAAGGTGGGATCTGTGGATTGCGAGCCCAAGTTAAGTTGTAACTCCGATAGAGGCCTTGGGCTGGTAAACGGCGCGACACTGATCCTTGTGAATTAGTTATCTAGACACAAAATAAGATTGCGAAGTGCTCCGAGATGAGGCTGTGAATGGGCGTTACTGTGCGCATGTTTGATAGGCTCTTTATATAAATTGAGTCACATTGCACAAGTTTGCCCATATGACAGGATCAATTACTATGGGCGCCGCAGTAAGTCTGGGAGGGCTTTAGAAAACGCCAACAGGTTGCAGTAAAATAAGAAAAAACGCGCAACGGAGCAAGATGAAACGAGCCGACTCCTAGTACTACAGCTTGAATATCTAAGGGTTCCACATCTTGCCCTTGACAAACTCTAATAAGAGCGTATCACTCATTCTTTTCAGATCCGTCGAGTTGTCCACGCCCTAAAAATGGGTTGTAAGCTTTTGACTACTTTCGAGGATCATAAGATAGCTAGACATACCGCCTTCTGCGCTGCCCGTATCACACTGACAGCGATATGTGCACTGATCTCTCTGATGCGCTCGATACGGGGGTACACAAGCTCTAGTGCCCGTTCATCCCACGAAAGAGAGTCTGCTAATCCGAGCGCAGACGCTTGTACCATACTATCTGTGACGCTCTTAGCGTGGCACAGTATAGCACCCAAACCAAGCCCTGAGATCCACCAGTCAGCTCAGATACAAGCTTAAAAGGAGAGAGAGAACCTACCAGGGAAGATGTACATATTATTACCCTGGCCCGGCTCCCTCCTGACGCCACCAATGACCTCGCTTCCAAATGGCGAGCCACTTGCGAAGATTGCGGCGCCGTTGCTGTGTACGAGAGCCTCAGTGAATGTGCACTCTGATAGATGGACAGGGTTGGAGAGAGGGAAGATGATGGGACGAGGTGTGTTCTGCGACATCTGACGAATGACTTCTGGGGTAAAGGCACCCTGCGAGAGAGTGAGCGCGACAATGAATATATAATATATGTTTGAATTATACCGCGATTGTCGAGAGACCAAGGAGCACAGTTGGCTTCACATACTTAACAATTTCTGTAAGGTCACTCATTGGAAGACCCGTGTAATGCCTCCTTGCGAAATCTATGGCATAGCTCGTTAGGTGTGAATCATCCCTCCGAAGAAAAGGGGGCATACACATTTTGTAGTCAGCAACCTCTTCCCTGCCGACGTAAACGAGCCCCTTCGAATCCACGAGCCATATTTGACTCCTAGCTGCTTCCTCGCTCATCCCATCGAGTGTAAAAAAGCTCATAAGCTGCTTAGCAACGCCTACACTAGCACTTCCCGCGCCAAACAGCAAGATTCTATGTTCGTTGCGCGGGATTGAAACCAGTCGTGCAGCCGAAAGTAGCCCTGCAAGGACAACAGCACCTGTACCTTGGATATCGTCGTTGAACAGTGGTAGTTTATTGCGGAAACGCTCAAGGTAGGAAAATGCATGGTCGGTGGAGAAATCCTACCGTCCACAAAAATGTTTATTTGCTAGAATAGAAAGGCTGAGGAATGTGAACGGACCTCAAATTGCACTAAGACTTTGGGGTAGATACGTCCCATCTCGGTAGTGAATTCATCCATGAAGGCATCATACTCCGCGTCAGAGGGCCGGCGTTGGTGCAGCCCGAGATACAAGGGGTCGGAAAGATTAGATGAGTTGTTAGTTCCAAGGTCAAGCGTGATAGGGAAAGTGGACGATGGGCGGATACTGAAATCAATTGGTCAGACGGTCACAAGAATAGGACCGGGGGTGGACTCACCCAGCACCGGCGACATAAAGAGATAGTTTTCCAACAGCAATGGGCATCCCATTTGCACCAAGGTCACCAAGCCCAAGTATGCGTGAACCTAGTGCATGTTATCAAGCACTGATCACCTAACTAAATGGGATGACACAAACCATCTGTGACGACACTGATCCGAGCCTCGTTCGCAAGGGGCCAATTGCGCAGAATGTTCCCAATTCTGCCTTTGTCCTTGAGAGAGATGAACTATAGTACCCATTAAGCGAAGGAGACCCATGAGGTATTTGTATTCATTACCAAACCCTCGGGGTTCCTATAAATTCTTGAGTACTGTAGGCATGCTTCACCAACGGTTGGTGTGTAGATTATAGGTATGATCTCCTGAGTATAAACAATTAATTGTGGTTTCCAATGATTCTGACATCACTTGTCTCATACTAGCATGTACTCGAGGCATAGCTTGTAAAAGGCCTCGACATCAGTTTGCTTGACTTGCGCGAGGAAGGCATATTTCTCGATAGGGGATGCTCTGGAGCGCAATTGGAGAAGGGTACGATCCAACTGAGTTTTCACATTGAAAACTGGTGGTGCCAGGCCTGGCACGGCTGGGGCTTTAGCTAAAGGCAGAAAAGATGAAGTATGGATATCAATAGGGTAGACCAAACGTACCCCGAGCTTCCATCTTGAGCTTCTGGACGCCCTCATGAGGTGACCAGTAAGGGGTAAGTACAATAGACATTCTATATGGTTTACAGTAGGAAAGAAAGTTGTAACTTTGCGACAAGGAGACAGAGAGGGAAAGAACAATTAAAATGAGCAGAAAAATGAGAAGGTCCTGAGAAGGAAGGGATCATCGTTTGGTATATATAGATGCAAATCAGTGATGAGAACGGTGGTCGCTGAGCGTGTCAATGGACAGTGCACGGTGTGAGTGCGAACTTGTTTGGTTGTGACCACGAAAGACACGCACAGCGTTTGAGTGACGCGGTGATGAAGATCGCTCCGAAACACCACGCGAGAGGCTACACGGCCCTGGTGATTGCCCATGCTTTTGAGAAATAGTAGTCAAGTACTGCATTAACTGTAAGGGATCACACTTACACGAACCTCTTTGATCATGTAATGAGGGAATGGAATTACCTTCGCTAGCCCCTGGGTAGTCATGTCTTCTAAAAGAATCTGGCCGAGAATTCTTACCCTCATAGATTACGCATTTATGCTGTATACATTATCCCATCTTCGTCCATGATAACATCTGGAGGGGGTGTATTATCCAGTTCCTGACTCTCCTCTCCTCTAGTGATAAACTTATCGAGCATCGTAGGTTCACTCTCCGCATTCTGTAATGCTTTAGGTCTGCGTTTTTGTGGAGGTTCCGTGCGTTGAAAAGCGATGATCTCTGCATGTGAAACTATAAAAAGAAGATATAGTCAAGCCCGGGAGAAACGTACCCTCGAGGAACATAAATTCATCTGCTCGCCGCACCACACTTGCTGCGAGAAATGGAATTGAGAAATGAAGTACCGACAAGGCACGCTCCAGACGTACCAACATCCTTCTGCTGCACAGTTGTCCGCTTCTCCCGCTCCGCAAGCTTCTGGCATGCCTCTGAAAGTCTTCTGATGAATTCCTCGGTGGCAAGTGAGATTAAGAAAGTCGCGTCGCGCGCGACTATTGGAAGTTCCTAGAATGCTACATGATGCTACCTGCCACCTGAGTAGGATCTTAACACGTACCTTGTCCGCTTTGATTATCTTCTGCACTCTTGAGAATGGTAAAATTGACTTCCCCAACTCACGCTCGCGCTGTGGCTCTTTCTCTTTCCGTTTCTTGGTCATCGCGCCTGAGTTCGTATCGTCTTCAGGCTCTTTGTCGACAACCTCCACGTTCTGCACATCTTCCGTAAACTTCAAGTCATCCTGCCGTGTTTGCGCTTCAGAGATAGACATTATTGGTCAGTGGTGGCATTCAGTGATCCAAACTGAAGGTCAAACTCAGCCACAGACGCGCCCGGAAGTGCACGTGGAAGACTCGGAGTTGACAACAACTTGAACAGACTTGCTACGCACGCTAATCCAACCAAAAATTCTCCAACTTCTGGTGGGGTCAGTTCTTCAAGGAGCTTCGAATACAGGATGAGATAGACGGGCTCCAGCTGCCCCGAATACAGACTGGCACGTAGGTTATCTTCTCGGCTAGTGTATTCCCTCCGTCCTTGGCGGCCACCAGGCTGATGCTCGACATCCCTCTGGTATTGTGTTGATGCCAGGTTACACCCTTCCATCGATGGGATTCGATTGTCTTTCTTACGGACTTCGCTTCCTTATTCGAAAGAGGCACAAATGAACCCAAGACCCACACTGTCATCTTTGGCCAAGGAGATGTTCAAGTCGGCATTGAAGCGATACCACCGTAATGCCTCCATCTGCATTGCACAACATTTAGTGAGTGTTGTTTTATATGTTATCACCCTATTGTAGTAGAAGCTCTAATCTGCTCGAATGATAAACTTTGGGTACATTCTTAGCATCGCTGTGACCTTTTCATGTTATTTCATCGTCACGAAGGTCCTGGACAAGGATTTCTCCTATTCCTTTCGATGCATACCACCGATAGTGCTCCAATGGATATTTATTTAAGTCGTGATCCTACGATGTTACAACTTGGAGACCCATAACACGAACTACGCCGTGAAAGGCTGCAGACATCTATCACTCAACACCTTCGATTTGGTAGAAGTTTAATCCCATTCCTGGCAGTGACATGCTAGCAGATGGTGGAATGACGATGGAATTCAAGACATCCATGGACATCCAATCTTGTTATGCATGCACAAGCGACATGGAAGCCATTTGTGCACTGAACGCTGGATGGACATTCACTTCTGTCTCTGCAGCGGATTCAATATTTACTGGGCAACTTGCGGCCCTGTTGATTAATCGGTATCTCTCATGCGTCATGCACCATTGCTCTCGCTAGCATCACAACTTATGTGTTACACACTATAGCTACCTCGTCGAACATTTCACAAAGCTGGCACCTTCTATGCGGAGCGGCTTTACTCGAAACCGCTTGTCTCCATCACCAACCCGTGCATTCCTCTGTCTTGGCTCATGGCTCCGCTGTGGTCTGGTAGCACCCGAAGACCTTACTAAGATCTCTGAGGAAGAGAAAACGAGCGTTGGGTGAGGTTATCCTACATAGTGTTACAATTCCTTGTTTGTGTACCTGCGGGTAAATGCAACACCGCGGGTAAGCCTGCTATACCGCGGGTTAGCACGGGTAATACCGTACCCGTACGGGTACGGTGTTGACGGGTACGGGTGCGGTGTTGATCTTCCGACCCGCGGGTATACCCGTGCTATACCCTATTGCAGCACACAAGTCGTATTGATTTGATCTGTTCGTTTCGAAATTCGCCACATGATTTTCAAGATGTTGTGTTGCATACGAAAAAATTGAGACTTTAAATGCACAGAATACTCATTGACACGGTACACTAGTCACGCATATGGCTATCTGGTGTTTTGTTTCCATGTATTGTAAAAACTACTGAGGTGCAAGTCAAGTGACTTACGCGCGTGACATTTCCTCACGTGCTTTTTGTCACTCAAATTGCTCTCGGTTAGCAGTACACACCTTCATCGATAGCGACATACATAATACTTAGTTGTTATTCCTCCGTTCAACAATGGCCGACTCTGCAGAGACATCGCCGGAAGTGATGCTCCAGTTTTACCGCATGCTGTACCCTTTCAAATCCATCTTCACATGGCTCAACCAGGAACACACACCAAAAGATCTGTTTACAAACCGCGAATTCGCATTTACTCTCCAGGGAGACGTGTATTTACGTTATAACTGCTTTTCGAATGCAGAAGAACTCAAAAAGCAGGTGTGCGCACTCAATCCGACGCGCTTTGAGATCGGGCCCATGTACTCATCTCGCGTGAGTCGTCTTTCGATCAGCCTGGCACTTATGCTGATAACACGCAAGCCAAGCGAGCGGAAATTGGCACGGTCTGTAAAGTCGGGGAAGCTCTTCACACCTTTAAAGCGCGAGCTGGTGTTCGATATCGATATGACTGATTATGATGGCGTGCGCACATGCTGCGCCTCAGCAGGAATATGCAAGCGCTGCTGGGCATTCATCGCCAACGCTGTACGCGTCCTTGACTCGGCCTTGCGCACACAATTTGGATATCACCATTTGTTATGGGTATACTCAGGTCGTCGTGGTATCCATTTGTGGGTCAGCGACGACGAGGCCATGGGGCTTACCGATGAACTACGTAGAGCTGTGGTTGGGGCGCTTACTGTGATAGAAGGAGGTAAAGAGATGGCGAAGAAGGTGAATGTAAGAGGCGTGGGCACGAAGAGTCATCCAGGAGATTTGCCACCTTCTCTGTGGCATGCGCGCGATGAAGGGAGTAGGATGTGGTATCAATTGTTGGATGACCAAGAATGCTTTTTATCCGAGGACGGCTGGCGAACGCTACTTAAACTGGTTCCGGACAAGAAAATTGTCGAGACTCTAGAGAAGCGATGGGAGAAACAGTCCGGCATCGAATCGTCGAAGAAATGGGACGAGCTGAAGGTCGAGGTGAAGGGTACGGGTGTATGTGCTTCACTCCTACTATATATGCCATTCCTGACGCCTCATAGGCCCGAAATCTAGCTGCGCTGGAAGACATTATTCTGCAATATACATATCCACGCCTAGATGCCGAAGTATCCAAGCACCGAAACCATCTTCTTAAAGCACCATTCTGTGTGCATCCTAAAACTGGCCGAGTTTGCGTTCCCGTTGACCCAAACCACGTGGAAAATTTTGACCCTAATGCAGTGCCTACGGTTATGCAGCTCCTTCAAGAGCTCGACAAGGCAGGCGAGGGTGCAAGTGAGTGCACAACATGTTACTGCCTGTTGTTTTCATTCATTTTGATTCAGACTGGGAGCATACAAGTCTCAAGCCATACGTTGACATGCTAGACAGACACGTTATGGGAATTCTGGACGACGTCCGGATTAGAGAACGGGCAAGAGCTGTGCGTCAACACGGTGCGTGGGTTTTGGTGTATTTTAGGGTCATTCAGGTTTACTGGCAATTGGCGCTCCAGATCTCAACTGGTGATGGACACTTGGACTTCATTTTTATCTTATTCTACAGCATTGTAAGTCGTAAACAATATCACGTACCCTGTTGTATTCCGTTCTTTCTGCCAGTACATAGCAAGTACATAGTTCTGCAAGGTTCAAGATTTACATCATGTCACGTGAGTCGATTAGTGAGACTTTTTGAGACTCGGAGGCACTATCGTGCTCACGCTCGACATCATAGTGTCAGATACTTATGCATCCGTTCGTCTTGGGAATGCCCCCCACGCTTAGGTGTCGTCGTTGAAGAAAACCATGACTACGTCGTCAACGAGCCAATACTCCTCGTTGCTTTCATCGACGTCATCATCCGCCCCCAGTTCGACGTCGACAAGCAATGTAAATACGTTGAATAGCAGTTCATCGCTACTCTTTGGCTTTCTCGTCAGTGTTTTGTCACTCTTTGGCTTGTTCATGATCAGTGGTCTCATATGGCATCGTCTGGTCATACGGCGTCGCATGATCGATGAGTCGTTGCGGGTTGATATCCCCTTGCAGAGGAATCCTGTGCAGAAGCCTGCACTGTGGGATGTATGGACTTTGCTAGGTCAAGACTGTTCGCAATGGAGAGACACACAGGTAGCGCCCATGTCTTGTCGGTGGCTAGGTCCTTCTGATCCTCTCTCACCTTCATAGCCGTTGGCAGCGGAAAAGTACGACATGCCGTTGCCACCGCCGCTGGATAGCCAAACACCGAGATCTTCTTTCTGGAAACGTCAGGTTATCGACCGCATACCACCTGAGATAACCTATATCTTTGCTCCTCCCACCCTAGCTAAAGTGACTGATTCACCACATTTGAATCATTCGAGGATGGAGCTCCCACTGGACCAATCTCTTCTCCAAGTTTCGGTTTTAATAGCCATGCCGCAACCACCGGATTTGTTACCACCTTCGTCGAAAGGTGTGGGATCGAAGAAGCTCAAACCATTGTATGAGATCGTTATTGGGACATCGAATGTGCACTATCATGATCATGACTTGGACTTGCAGTAGATATGGTGTTTGTTTTGAATATTACGACTGCTACGTGTTTCCTGCTATCTTTCTACTTTGACGTATCTCACCAGGGTATAATTATTGCACTATTATAGTTTTGGACTATTTGCTATTCTGGACTGTGTTTCGTCTACTTTGCCACCCCCCGTGAAGGCGCAAATGCCACTGGTCCGTCGCTCGCACATTTATTATGGGTCGACGATGGATATTGAACCCAACTTTCAAAGATAATCATATGTCTTTTTTGGGTCCGACAACCTTACTCATACTGCTTACGTCCTCATCAGCTAGAACATACAGCAAGTCGGTACTATCCGATAGGTTCTGCTAACAAGTATTGTCTATCCAGGGCTGCTTAGCCTCTTGAACTGGTCCTTGCAAGGCAACTTTGTCCCGAATCCACTTGATATATGGGCATCCCGCTGGAGTCCGTGATCGCGCCTCGCGTGTTTAAAAACGATGCTACCCTGTCCGGCAGGCATTCCATTCATAGTACACTTTGATAACGACTTATCTTTCCACAAAAGCCTCGTGTTTTTAAAGTCACGACACTCATCGGATCCGCGCCCCAATGACTCGACCCTCCGTCCTACCGTCCTTGGCCGACATATCCGTGATACATACGTGAGTCTTCCTTGACTGTATCTAGATTCAATTTATCTTCTTTCACATGTCAAATGGCTATCAAATGGCTATGCATTAGGCTCTACGAAGTCTTATATTCACCGAGAAATTATGTCTCCGCTCGGCTCGGCTTAGACCCAACACCACTTTTTAGAAGGCCGCGGATTATCTTTTCACTGCCTAACCTCCATGGTAATACAGCATCTGAGTCTTCTCCCTTCTTCCCCCAATCTGTCGTCACCATTTCACACACTTGAAATCACAATGTGTCGAGGCTGATGTGATTACAGCAAGAACGCCGCGTTGTCATTAATAACCTTTTCTCTTTCAGGTATACGGAGACATCAAACCTAGACAAGGCGCATATGCGTCGTCTTTATTTAGCGAAATATGCGGCGCGTTCTTCGATGAGGCAACTGAGTTATCATCTGTTGGTATCGACTGCGGGATCTGAATGTATTCTGTGGTGGGGCTCTAATCACCACTGCCGTGAGGCATCAATGACAGGTAGGGGACATTTCATCAGGTATAAAACTCGTCTTCTTACTCCTGTCCTCCTGCAACCTTTCAAACCTCACTCCACACTTCACCTACCATGGCTCAATCCACCACTCGTACGCACGGTGTCAAGCTCAACCCCCTCTTTATTGGTTCGGCCAGTGGGGAGCGCTATCACGTACAAGTCCCTATAGAATGGGATGTACGCTACCATCCAACGCGTCATGCAGAAATAACGAACCTGCCTATACAATCATCCCACCTATCACAATTTGCAACTAATCCCCCTATCACAAAGTTGCAGCTTGTATGTGACCTATTGTTCCCTGGATGGGAGATAATAGCCCGTAACCCAACGGGGGTGACGGTGCAGGATGTGCTAGAAGCGATTTATGAGACACTTCGCGGACTTCTGAGGACGCATGAGTGGGAGGGCATGTCGCTCAAGCAGCGCAGCAGGATCGAAGACATACATCGCGCACGATGCATGGCATCTTTAGATCCTGAGTACACACGTTTGGCGGGGGTGCGCAGAGTGGACTGTCTGCTTTCAACGACCATGTTTGCTGGACTTACTTCGTTGGTCAGGAGGAGAGATCAGTGGCAGGTGGTCCTCACGCTGTCACGGGATTTTAGACCCCGGCGTGTCTACTACCACTAACATGTTCTCTCAGCAGTGCTGATGAGAACGTGATGCATTGAATTATGGAGAATCATTTATGAGCTAATTTGCTGACCTGCAGTTTTATTTTACTATATCAGATTCAGACCTCTCCTCGACTCGTCAGGTATGTGTTGTTAGTGCCCCAGCATCGTGTATCTGTTCTATATATGCGTTATTGTGCGCGTGTATCTCTGTATATATACTTATATCCTCTGTACTTGTAGCCCTGTATCGTTACCCGAATCAACGTTGAACGTTGAAGTAGTACTGTTACTGTAGTTTGTCGACGCCCTGGTATGGTTGACGATAGGAAATCAAATGTTTATTGACTGCCAATTACTAAATGATTATCTAAACCAAGGGTCGTGTTATTCGGCCCGTTTGCGCTTCACGGCTTCACCAGCACCTTCAAGACACGAAGACAACTCGTGTGATATATGCAACCTTCAACGGCCGCCATTTCCACAAGGCATGTTCTACTAAATCCCTTTTAAAGTCTGTACGTACTAAGGAGTATTACAGGAACAATAAGCCCTATAGCTTGGACAAGTAGGTAAGTGTCATACATCGAGTCATGTACATAAGTTTGCAGCATATGATCAGGTATTCATCGAAACAGTCCTAAAACTTCCTGTGATAAATACTCTGTTCCTTGTCGTCCGAGTCTATCTTCACCTCCACCGACCCGATGCAGTACTCTTCCAACTCTGTCACATCATGAAGCCACTTTGGTGTGGATACCCCATCTGACACTTCGGAGCTTGGGGAGTTGTCACTGCCACGCTTCCCACTGGTATTAGGCGACGGCATAGCAATCGTAAATGCCATCACGACGGACGGACCATCCAGAGAGGGAACCTTTGACCCTGGCCGTTCCGATACATCATCAAGTTCATGCATCTGTGGCTCTGGTGGCAGCACAGGTGGAGGGTTCATAAGTCGAAAGTGCCGTCCAAAAGTAGAAATCCGAGTCATCACAAACGATGAACGTGGCGGATTTTGAGGCTCAACCGTGACTTTTGTCAAGACCGGCGGCCGAGGAGTCTCTTGCGGAGGACAGAACACCATGGCGCAAAAAGGCTAGCCAATGGCAGATCTGAGCACCATGTCCAACGCCCACTGTGGGGCCTGACGCACCGTTATATTTTCCCATTTTAAATCGATCATCACCTCTTCTCTTCTCGTCCACATATCCCAAAGCGTGGGTTTCTCTCCTAACACAGTCGGTTTTTTCCTTGGGCGAACCCGAGCTGGCCTGGCAGGTTGGACCAAGAGTCTCCCTCTATGCAGCCTTCTCCACCCAAACAAGACCGCCATGATCACGAGAAATAACCCGATCGTCAGAAATGCGACTACCAGCGATGGTGATTTATCTGTGCCGAAAATGGTACTTATCATTGGATTATAGTTGTTAGGATTGCTGGTGCTTGAATATTGTGGGGACGTGCTTGTTTGACTACTCGTACTCGTTGAGGCCATGGTGCTGTATTCGCATGGCGCGAGGCTGTCAGTCAGATAAAGTGGGGCACTGCACGCAGCCTTGAGGCGGGATTAGATATGATATGCTCAAGACTGGGCTCAGTTATATAAGGATCTGCACGAGCGCAGGTCCTGAGAGCGTTGCTGAGCAGGGAACGAGGGCGATAGAAGGGGGTCCGTGATATATCTGTACTCCATTCCAATGTAGTTATCAGGGTAAGGGTGGGCCGACAAAACAAGAATAAGAAAGTTTGCTTCAGTGATACCGTGTAAGAAGGCTAATTACAGCTGTTGTACAAGAAAACAAGAGACCAACGACGAATAAATAGTCGCGGATAAAGTCTCAAAACAGAGCGTGGTACCCTTTTTTCATCACTGCCGACGCTTGACTCCCACCCAGCACTCCACCGGCTTTCGCAAAAAGCCTTCACGTGTGTCAAACTAGTTCAGTGAAGTTAGTTCGCGTGAGATGGCCGGCATGGGAGGAACATACCACTTTATCCGGGTTGGCCAAGACGAATTCATAGCGGCGGAGAATGGAGGAGATGATAATTAATAGCTCCATAGATGCAAGGTTGCGTCCCACACATGCTCTGAGGGTTGGGTGGTTAAATCAGTGATCGCGTGGAATTGAACAACGTGTACCTGGGCCCATACGAAAACGGGTTGAAGGCTTTTTGCAGAGTGGCACCATCACGCTCAAACCATCTTTCTGGACGGAACACATCCGCGTCTTCTCCCCACACTTTGGTGTTCCTATGAATCGTGTAACTTGGAACGCTCAAAACAGCGCCCTGCGGGAAATGAATGCCTTGGATGGTCAACCCCCCTTCTGGAACTATACGAGGAAGGCCTATGGAAGATGTCGAATGAACACGCAAGGCTTCGTTGATAACAGCTTCCAGATAAGGTAAACGTTTGACCTGTTCGTATGTCGAAACGTATTCATCTTCACTGCCGAGGGCGTCATCGAGCTCCTTCTGGAGCTTGTGTTGTACATTAGGATTGGCAGCAAGGTAATATGTGATAGCGCATGACGAGCTGAGATGAATGAGGAAGATGGTCGACCATTATTACTAAGAAGACTTACTTGGAAGTAGTGTCGGAACCGGCAATAAGTTGAGTGAGGGCCTCTGCGGTGAGCTCTTCTCTGCCCATAGGATTTCCCTCATCATCACGTCCTTCTTGCAGCTTACTCAAGAGATCGACACGGTCCGTTGGAGTGGTAAACCGTTTGGCGACAGCAGCGATTGCAAGACCAGCCAAATTACTGACAGCTATTCCACCTTTGCGGTACCAGGGAAGAAGACGAACCCACGGTCGCCACGCGGGCGGTAGAACACCCATAGAAGCCGAGAACTCTCCACGATCGTTAAGAATCTGAACGGCAGGAATATCGACATATGCACAGTCATTCTGCGACCCATAGGAGTTCATGACATCTTTCTGTGAAACAGCAACAGGGGCAGAGTCTTTGGCGTTTAGAATCATCCCAAACGGTGATCCGAATGCCAAGTCACCGATGATATCAAATGCCAGATAGTTGTACCCTGACATGTCACGAAAGTCAGGGTAGTGGAAAATGAGATATAGCTACTTACATGGAAGGCAATCAAGCCACAGACGACCTCCCTTACCAAACCAGCCACCCTCTCCCTCGGTTCCGGATTTGTTTTTGAGGGCTTCATCGAATAAACGGTCCCACTGGTTCATGAACTGGCCGACATAGAGACGAACAGAGGGTTCGAACTCCAATACATTCTTTTGCGAAAAGACGTGAGAAACTATCTTGCGCTTACGGGCATGGTCAGCGCGGTTTCTGGTATTGAACAAACCACGATGAATGGAGACGAAGGCGTCATAGAACTCGGATTTCAGGCTGCCATTGCCATGAGCATATACAATTTGTAGGGCGTCCGGGTCGGCAATGGAGACGTGATTTGGTGCAAGACGTACGAAGGTGCCTATGGGCAGGAATGTGAGCCAATGCTCATGCGGCTGGAGTGGTCAGATGGGCACATACCGTATTTGTTATGCAACTTATGTACACGGTCTGAGCGATGACCTTGACTCGCTACCCAACCTAGCCAGATATCCGAAAAGCGCGCAAGGAATGGACCTTGTATGCTGCGCTGGTTGTAAGGGTCCCTGAGATATGGAATTACATGGGCCAATAAGATTGGTACTGGAATTAGCAACACAACCGAAAGGTAGTTGAGGTCTTCAAAATGAAGGGGGACGAGGTCTTTGATGACTTTGAGGAGATTGGACGACATTTCTGCTGAGCCTGGACTGGGTCACGGTGACGGAATAAAGGACTGGCAGAATTAAGTTCACATTCGCTCACTATGTATATCTACCGGATCTTGGAACTTACGGCGTCAACTGTTCGACACGCAACCGGCGGTAATCACATCAATAAATGAGCCACATCATCCTTGATCCCCATTCGCGCGGCGCACCTCGATAAAAGCTCTCACTCAGGTCCCCGTCTTAATATCAGCTATCTTCACCTGTATTTGGGTGCCCGAGCCGGACAGTGACTAGTAGGAGTAAGACTACTTTCAGTACACTGTTGGCTACTTAGTTGAACGACACGACTTAAAAGACAAGACAGTCATATGTACCTTCGTCATTTCCCATTGATCCACGATTCTTGAGCGACGTCTTCCTTCTATCAAGGTCTGACCATCCTACTTCCTATTATACGGAGATCAACATCAACTTGATCGAAGGAAGATAGAGGGGCGCTTGGCATCGAACCATAAACTCAGTGTCAAGAATCCAGTTTCGAGCAACTCTTCTGGTTTCCTGCCACCACTAGGTCATCTTCAGCCTAGCCACTTCAAGTACTCCTCGAGCTTTGCCTCAAGGTCATTCGTCAGTAAAAACCCATGGATACTACTAGCCTGAAGTGGTAACATCGTTTTAAATTCACAGCCTGGGCCCTGCACAACGTAGTCTAACGTCTATATAACTCCCGACGACCCTACCATCGACGTCGCGCTTCGACTGATTCATTTTTTGGTTGTTGACTCTTGAGCGCCTTCAATGATGGTCAGATCTACTGCTCGACAACAACCTTCTTATCTGACTCAGATAACCAAGCTGCGCGCCAGGTGGCAATACTAATTCAAGATTGAACTTGATTGGCCTCGGTCAAAGGTCACAATGTTCATCATGTCACTCGGTCATGTACGTGCTTCGCCTGTCCCACGTCATCTAAAAACACGCCTAAGCGTGATGTACTTCCAAGACGCCCCTGCTCAGTTACGGTATAGGTGAAATGCAAGCGTTTTATGACCGTGCTTGCAGGACAACCCTCAAAAAATTCCCTCTTACCCTTCTCTTCCGCGTCTGCTCCTCAGGAGTGTCGCCCTCCATGTTCCATTTTGTCTCATTCGTGACACTGTCCTTGGTCCTGTCAGGCTATGCTCAAAGTCCTACTTATTCGGCAACTTATTTGCCTTCAAACGCTCCCTATCAAAGCGAGCAGGGGCAGACAGGCTACAACAACTGCACTACAGGCTACAATCAGACGTCGGAGTGCCAGAATGCTTATGGTGCGCTACCAATCGCTGATAACCATCCTAAACATTGACTCAGCATATCGCCAGTCAACAGTGTTCAGGACTGGTGTATCTGGGGACCTCCTCAGCCAGGCCCTGACTCGGTCATCGGGAACACCGAGGTACATGCCTTCACTTCTTTGTTCGATGACGAAACAACTTGTAACTTCGTAGCAAATCGAAGTAGCATGGTGCATGAAGGTGATTTGCCACTATATTTAGTCTCCTACATGACGTAGTAAATCTCTCTTAGAGCGGGTACGGAACACGACTGATCCCGGACGGCTCCATCACTGGTGCGCACGTCGTGGTTACTCCAGACTATATTCAGGTCACAGGTGAGTACATTTCATAGTACAGACTAGGCATCCACAGCTCCAACGCGAACCCAGGCGTTGGCAATCTTACAAACATCAACATTCCTGCCGGCGACGGTGGCGGCGAACTTGACCCCCACGGTGCAAATGGAAACGGCAACCCTATCGGCGGCCTCGTGTTCTCTAGTGCATTCGGCGCGTTGGAGGAAATTCACGAGTGGACGGTAATTTCGCTCGGACAGACTACCACAGCGTCCTGATTAAGTTCTTACTTTGCGCACCCAGAATTTTGTGTCGGCTGATATGTTCTGCTTCCGCGCTTGCAAGCCCGCGGTAAATGCGCCGACAATGTGTCAGCACATCTATGACGTCATGGGGTGTTATTGGAATATGCCCGCTAACTATTCTCCTGGGGTGTTTGAACAGTGCTTGGGTGACTCGGCTGAGGTCAGTGTCAATTCCTTTCATGCATATTTGTCGAGCTGATCATTTACGAAGCCTATGGGTGTCTATGGGACGTCCACGTTTTATCAAGGGGAGCCTGTTACACCATCTGCGCATCCCATACCTTCTTCTTCCAGTTGCTCTTTTTATAGTACGATCAGTAACGGTCAGGGCGTTCTGATCGGAGGTGTCACATCCACAGCCAGCACGTCAGCATCAACAGCGACTGTGGGTACTCATCATACTTCCCACTTTCATCATCACTCGTGCTTTAGTGATTTTTGTATTTCTTCTGCCACTGTTATCACATCTTCAGATGTGCCAGCGTCCGTGACGCCCACATCAATTTCACCGGACCTTCCGAGTTCCATACCTTCATTGAGTTCCTCGTCGCTTTACTCGTCTTCAAGTCCTTCGTCGAGTTCTGCAAGTGCATACTCGTCCTCTTTTCCAAATTCCTCTTTGTTTCTTCCAACGACATCTCCATCTCTTCAAGCTTCGTCGTCGTCTATAAATTCTCCATCTTCTCCATCTTCTCCTTCTTCCTCCTCCTCCCTCTCTACCTCCGCCGCCACCATCTCCACCTTCTCTTCCGCACCTATCCTTTCATCTTCCTTCTCTTCCGCACCTACCCTTGCATCTTCCTCCTCTTCTGCACCTACCCTTGCACCTTCCTCCTCTTCTGCATCTACCCTTGTATCTTCCTCTGCATCACAATCATCTTCCATATTAGGTGGCCAGTTTAGCTCACAGCAATGTCCTCTTTTTGCACAGGGTGCCTTCAAATCTGGATCGTCTTCATCGGGCGCGCCAAATTCGACGGGTTCTTCAGCTGCTCTACCGACGGCGCCTCCTGTAGGCTATCAACGCCTGGCTATCATCGTTTCGACGATTGTGATAGGGTTCTCTATGGGTGTCATTGTGACTTTTTAAAGCATTTACCTATCGACGCTTTACTACAATCATGCTGATTGAACTTTTGGACTAGCTATGTCAGTTGTGCGGCTCACATTTCTAATTCGCTTCTTTTACTTATGGAGTAACACACCATATTGGCTAATCAAAAGTGTAGGATACATACAGTCGGTTTCGGGATACTGTTGGAATACATGAACTTTGTTGTTGTGTGCTAGACGTCATCTTTCTGCGAAATTATAGTCATAATAAAACTTTACAGAGGCTCGATGTGTGGGACTGGGCCAACAGCAACTACCCTGGAGGGATTTACCTGCTGAATGTGAACACGGGTGCGCTAAAGAGCCCACAGCACAACGCACCAGTGTCTGGGACCAGTAGTAATGCTCTTTGATGTGATCGAACTTGGTGCTCGACTTGAAAGCATCATTCTTCCAGTACAACTTCCTCATCGAGCTACGGAACATGAGTCTTCAGGCATCCTCGGAAAAAGTATGACACCTCACAGATGGATGTTAGGGTACCCGTGACGGATATCGCGCAAGTTGCACTTGAAGTGACCTACGTACACGGGATCAAAGCGGATCTGGAGCGAAAAGTGTCAGAACGGGATAGAATACGTTTAAGATTGAATATACAGTGGTGACGAATAACCTGATATCCGCTTCGGTGAGGGTGTTGCCTACGAGGTAATCCTTGCCTTTGAGCATCTCCTCGAGTCGGTCGAGGGATTTGAATAGGGGATAAACAGCGTTCTCATACGCAGACTGGGATTGTGCAAACCCAGATTTGTACACGCCATCTGCAGCGCATGATGCCATCAAGACAAGTCCCACCCACAAAATCAGACGCACTGTTCACGGTGTCATACACCCACTCGTTGATACTATCAATCTCCTGGCGGTGTGCTTCAGGGTAGATATCAATCGCCGCTTTGTCAGCAGGAAGCAACTGATTGAAGGCGGTATTGAATATGCGAATGATCTCAGAACTTTCGTTGTTGACAATAGTGTCGAGCTTCTTGTCCCACAGCACCGGGACCGTAAACCTAACCATGATGTAGCAAGTAGTAGCAGTTAAGAGGGGATTAAACGTGCCTTCCACCATAGTTCGGATCAGCGAGGAGATAAAGGTCTTTAAGATGCTGGAAATTTGGGTGTAATATGTCGTCATCTGCATCCTCCCAACTCGGATCTGCATTCTTGAACGGCCAGCCTTGTGCAGCCATATGAGGGGTCACCACAGAAACAGCTACAAAAAGGTGGTACAAATTCGTGAAGTACACAAAATTGATGAGGACTGACGAATAAAATCCTCGAGTCCTTTCAGTTTCCGAGTGATGAGAGCTCTCGTAGCCCAAGCTGAGGAATGTTCAGACAAGATGTGACTGCACCAATCCTAGTGTCACTGACGGCATGAATAAGATACATAGAGATGGTATCTTCCTGTGTATCAACTGAGCTGGTCAATAAGATAGATATGCTTTCGTCATTTACCTTTCTCTGGCGGGAATTTGCCATCGTCATTGATAAAGTTCCTAAAGCTTGATGGGGCTCTTTTGAAGGAGCCGTCTGAATCTGTCTTCATTTTACCGATGTCACTCTGACTCGATACGTCTCTTGCAGAGGTCATTTTCGTGTGTGAGGGAGTAATGGATGTCCTGGGGAAGAAGATACTGCAGCCGGAGAAGCGTTTGGAGTGGCTAGCAAGTACCAAAGGCCTTATTAGTAGGAGAGTCATACGTGTAGGCGCCCCTGTGGTTATTTGTCATTCAGTACCATTATCCCGTGATTAATTACATAAAGATCGTTAATCGTTGGTGTAATCCGCAGTTGATGTCGGGGGCAAAACTACTTTTTTTGTTCTTAGTAGGACGTGCGGGAGCGAACGGACGGACTAGAATAAACGAGTGTATACTCAGTCTCGTACTCGTAGTGTAACGGTCTGTAAACTAACCTAGAATAAATGAGTGTATACTACGAGAGTCAATAAAAGTATTAGAGTATTAAACGAATGTCTCACCTCAGTCTCGTACTCGTAGTGTAACGGACTGAGGTGCGTAACTCTAACGTGTCTGTATGTACTTGTGTGATTAGGTAAGCTGATTCTCGATGTACCGATAAACAAACTATTAACAACACGCCCACTCGGCGAGTTATCAGCTATCAACTTACTCCCATTCCCTCGACGAAACGCTCGTGCTTCTCTCTTCCTAATGGCTTCGTCAAAACATCTGCAATCTGGGCGTTCATAGGGACATATTTGAGTTCGATTTCACCAGCATCAACCTTCTTGCGGATGAAATGATAATGGATCATGATATGCTTCGTGTGGCTGTGGAATACGGTGTTCTTCGCGAGGGCAATGGCAGACTGATTGTCAATGAGAAGGAGTGTTTTCTGGAGCTGGGGAAATTGTAGTTTGTCCAGAAAGGTATTTATCCATATTGCTTCCTTCGTTGCTGATGCTGCCACCATATATTCCACCTCAGGCAGCAGTTCTCAGTGCTAATAAGGGGTCTTTCAGACCCGGTTTCTATGTTATGGGAAACTAGGCTGAGAGACCCTTCATCCTGCAAGGATCTTGCTAGCTACCATCTAAAAATAGCATATACCTCATTACCCTCCTCTTGCGCCTCCTTTTGGGAGCATCGTTGCCCTCTCACACCTCATTACCCTCCTCCAAATCCTCTGAATGTAAATATAGCTACAATCTAAAAATATCAATTTGCCTCATTTGTTGCCTCCTGCTGTACACTGTTCCTGTGCAGTGTGCTCCTCCTGTGTGTCCTGTTGAAATTTAGATACCTCGACTATGCCTTACATGTTGTCCCAGAGCATCTGATGCCACCTCAATGATAATGGTCACTTGTCACTTGGCCGTTTTTCTCAACTCCTCTGCTCCAGCCATCAAGATATCATGGCCCCTCATATGGGTACCCATGCTGCTCAACCTGGCACATCATCTGGGCTAGGTACCCAGCCCACGGAAACTTAGAGACAAGCGGAAAACACAGGTGCTTGTTGAAGTGCCAGGTCAGAAAGCTAAACAAACCAAGTTGCTTGCCAAGATGGCAAGTCTACTCACTGGTCCAGTGACTCGGAAGCCTGAAGAAACTCCACTTGTTCTGCCAGAGACAGAAATGGATCCTGTGGTTCTCAAGAAGGGTGTTAACGAGGCTTGGGAAGATGTCCCTAAACCTGATGACAATTGCTTTCCCCAATCTCCTTCACAATCCACACCAAGTTGTCATACCCAGCCTGATCTTACATCTGCTCGCTTGTGTGACAGCTGGAAAGCTCTTATTCCTACACTAGTTGAGATCCAACTAGACTACACTGCGTGAACACTAGGTGCGCCTCTCGAATGAACACCAAAGGTTCTGTCTTTGTGCAGCTTGCACACATGTGCACAAAAATGCACATCTCTTACCTGTCTCTTTTTTGACTGTAAGTACTTGGTTGCATTCTTTGACTTAAGTCAGCCAATTTCTTTCTAGATTTCATCTCCATTGATGCAATGAGCTGTAGATGTGCAAACTTAGCACAAACACTCATTTTCCATGGCTTATTCCCTACTGCACCCTCACAGCCCCAAATGGCTATATCCGTCGAGCTGCTCGCCTGCCATCGCTCTCTTTTTCAGTGCTCATGTGATGCTGTCAATGCACTTGCATCTGCACTTCACATGCACTACACCCGATGAGGATACCAAATAACAAATGCAAAGGTGGCCGCTCTATTCCGTAGCGAGGCACGAGCGAAGGATTAGAGTAAGGTCTTCGGGAGAGCGGAAGACGCCGGTAACGTCTCTTGTTTCCGCTCCTCCATCTAGTAGCTCGCAGTATCTAATCCTAGCGAGTTTTCTTTTCTATTTCTTCCCGTTAATCATCCGTCTTTCCCATCATATCTTAAGAGCTCTCATAAAAATTCACAAAACCTAAACTCTCACTTACACAACATGGCTAGAATCGCAACGAACCCAGCACTTGACATTCAACCCGACTTTGCCTCCCCTACCTTCGAACTCCTCAGAAATCGAATCATCGGCGGCACGCAAACGACGCACCAAGAAGTAGCTGCTGATCTGATCGCAGCGTGGCAGCAAGACCGAAACCTCAGGAGCATCGCCTGGGTCGAGCAAGAGACTGAAGATGCGCGCTTAGCAGCTGAAGCCGCACAGGCAGAGCACGAGCATCTGGAGCAAGAACGCCTACGCATAGAACAAGAGACTGAAGCAGAGCTACGCGAGGTCGAAAAGAAGAAACCCAAAATCAACGACTTCAAGAGCGGAATGGCCGTAGGTGACACCCTTACCCCGCGCCCATCTCAGTATGCGATCCACAAGCTCAAAACCTTTGAGTACGTCGAATTGTGGTATTTCAGCCCAGACGGTTGCAAGGAAACCTCAGACGAAGCGAAGTCAACTGCGGACGACACATTCGGCTTCGCCAAAGTCGACGATTTCGTCGCTCTCAAACCAGTGGCCTCCTTCAAAGCATCACGCAAGGCCATCCAGGATCACAGCCTCGAATGGCGTCAGTTTGACCTGGCCAAGAACAACTTCCTCCTCTACATCAACAAACTGAATTGGCCGGAGAAACATCAGCGTGCTCTGACCATGTTCTTCATGAACATTGTGGCGCACCCATCTCGTTCCGAACCCTTTGGCGAACGAGCCCTACTCCTATACACAGCTCGTGTACGACGAGACTGGCACGATCTTCTCGTTCTAGACAACGCGTTTGACATCAGTGTATTCAATCTGCTGTTACTGAAGAACATGACTGAGGAAATTTGGAATAAAACACGGTTCGAGAGCCTCACTGAGGTCAGTATGCTTCAAACATTGTGCAAGCGGCTGTCAATACTGACTCGTCATCCGCTCCCTCTCATACTTATGTCAAAAAATGTGACAACTGCTGCCATCTCCCGCTTCCGCTACATGCTACCTCTCTGCTCCCGCTACATGCTACCTCTCTGCTTCCGCTACATGCTTCCTCTCTGCTGCCGCTACACGCTTCCTCTCCGCTTCCACTACATGCTTCCTCTCTGCTTCTGTTTTCGCTCCCATCACCATCGGCCCCTTTCCCCCGCTTCCCATACCTCCCAGTTTCAGCTTGGCCACCAAACGCAGCGAAACCCAAACCGGGACCAGCCTGCCTCGCACCGAAATCAGAATCGCAATGGGTTGCGGCATGCTAGATCTCGTTCTCGCTCTCCACCACGCAATTCCTCTGGTCGTCTTCCCCCCCGCCCTTCTTCTCCGAACCGGCAGCGTGCACGACAAGATGAAAGAAAACCTGCCCAGACAGGCAGTCTTTTCAGGTCGGCGCAGCATCCAACGGCCACTATGCTTGTGCCCTCTGCCTCGGCCGCTTCGCGCACAATGTGCACAAATGCAAGAGCGAGTTCTTATGGGACAGCAAAACTCCCACTTCCTGTCGTCGAAATGCCGAGGGTCGTCTCGTCAATGCCCGAGGCCTACAGCTGTGCTATGATTGGCAACGCCCCAACAGTTGTTCAAGCACCAGCAAAGACCATGTGCACGAATGTTCTGGATGTGGGAACGCAGATCACGGAGCTCAAAATTGTCCTCGAGGACAGGAGGCTTAAGGCCCTCACCCCGTATATTCCCGATGCTTGGCTTCAGGTCCTTACAAAATCTCGTCTTATACTTAAATATCCGCATATACCACACTCATTACAATACGGCTTCTTTGGTAGTATTCCCATCATTACAAATACATACACACCACCTAATAACCCTTCCATCATCCAACACGCTGACGCCTTTGCCACGATCCTTGCCCGAGAATTTAAGACTGGCTGCTACCTGGGTCCGCTCTCCAAAGCAAACCTGGAGTCACTCATTGGCCCTTTCCAAACCTCCCCGCTTTCTCTTATCCCCAAACCTGGGAAACCGGGAAAATTCCGCCTCATCCAGAACCTATCACACGAAGCAAATTCTCCTTCACAACACATTCAATCCATTAATTCACGCATCGACTCTAACATCTACCCTTGTACATATGGTACATTCGCTACTATTTCGTTATTGGTCTGGAGACTCCCTCCTGGCTCTGAAGGAGCAACGCGAGATGTCGCAGAAGCTTATAGAACCATTCCCCTCCATCCTTCCCAATACCCAGGCCTCGCGGTACGTACAGGAGAAGATGAGTTTGCAATTGACACTAGGTTTTTGTTTTCGGGTGCTCGTCGGCAGCAGGGTCTTACGGTGGACTTGCAGATGCAGGGGCGGATGTTCTGCGCAGTGAAGGAATTGGCCGCTTTCAAAGTGGGTCGACGACCACCTTTTTCTTTCGAATTCTCCTCAAGTACCTGGACAGGTACAACGAGCAGAGAACATCTTGGGCTCAGGGCATACAGACCTCTGGTGGACTTCGCATCAATGGCGGGAGAAAATGGTATCGAGGAATTCTCATTCCCAGACGAGCGAGTGGAAGAATTCGACGAGGATTGCTCATTCCCCATCCGCGATTCTCCCAACGAGCACCACGTTCTCCCCAAGATGCCCTATTTTTCATGTTGCTTCGACGACATTGATTTTCTTCTCCGCGCAGACAGGAACACCATGGGAACCATCGAAAGATGTACCTTTCAGCTCCGAGCCACCATGTCACAGGTTTTCATATGGCACCTGGACTCCCGCACGGTTGAACTTGCGGCCGGGAAAAAGGAGAAGTACTTGGCGGCAATCTCAACCTGGGAGGCCCAACCACGCCACACCCTTGCCGAAGTCCAAAAACTCTATGGCAAGCTCTTGCATGCCGCACTCATTGTTCCCGCTGGAAGAGCCTACCTCACCGAGTTGGAAGCCATGCTTCCTATCTTCGGTAATCGTCCGCTCGTACCTCATTCCCCTCCCAAGGACTGTCCGCAGATCTCAGATGGTGGACTGCAACCCTCCGCAAACCTACCATCTGCAGAGCCGTCCCAGGGCCATGCGAAGTCGTTGATCCCAACGCCTTCTCAGATGCTAGCTCAGGCGTGGGTGTCGCAATTTGGATTGACGGCTGGTGGAGGGCATGGAGACTCGTTCCTGGCTGGAAAAATGACAACCGTGACATTGGATGGGCTGAAGCCATCGGTTTTGAGTTCCTCGTCCTTGCCATCACACGCGCTCCCAAACCCAAACCAATACCTTATTTCAAGGTTTACGGAGACAACCGAGGAGTTGTTGAAGGCTGGTGGAAAGGGCGCAGCCGCAACCGCGCAACCAATAGCGTCTTCAAACGCATCCACAGCATCACGGAATCCGCATCAGCATCAGTCCTCACCCGCTATGTGCCTAGCGCCCTTAACCCCGCTGACGGAGCCTCCCGTGGAAAGTACCCTCCACGCTCCTTACTTTTGCCCCCCATTCCTATCCATTCCTCTCTCCGGAACTTCCTCGTTGACTTCGACGCTCCTCTACACCCAAACGAGATCTGCAAACCCCACACCCAGGTCTCGGTTCACGACCATGCCAAAGCCCGTATCCAACCAGAGCTCGCCAAGCGTGCCTTCGCTAACTGGCAGCTCGAGCGCCAAGGGGAGCAACTCGTCAAAACGGCGGAAGCATACCTATCCTGTTGACCTTACCCCAATCCCATCAGCATTACACACTGTGCAGCAAAAGATCGGCTTCGACTATGGCTACCAGCCACATCCAGGCTTCCCCCCAGCTCCCTCGCATCCAGTGACATGAACAGGATCCAAGATGTCATGATACATGCCTGGGCTGAAAGCACCCGCGAGTCTATACGGTTCTGGTCTTCTCGTGTTTCATGTATACTGCGACTCACGTTCAATTCCCGATCAAGATCGTGCTCCCGCCGATTCCACTCTCATTGCCGCCTTCATCGCATTTGCGGCAGGATCATACTCAGGCAAAACAATAGCAAATTATGTCTTCGGTGTCCGTGCGTGGCATATCCTACATGGTCACCAGTGGGTTCTCAATGACGAGCAAATCGACTCTCTCCTCAAAGCGGCAGACAACATAACACCCGGCTCCTCAAGGCGCAAGAAGAGGCGCCCTTACACCATTGACTTCATATGTTCACTCCGCGACCAGCTCAAACTCGAATCCCCACTCGACATCAGTATATAGCTGTTTGACAGCAGCCTTTATTGCACAGCTAGAGTTGGAGAGTTCACGGTGCCCACCCTGCTATCCTTCGACCCTAACATTCACGCCAAACCGTCAGACGTACGCATCGAGCGTGACCGCAACAATCTCGAGATGAGGGTAATTCACATTCCCCGACAAAAACTTCGAGGAACGGCGAAGACGTCTCGTTCGCCAAGCAGAACGGACCCTCAGACCCAGAGGAAGCATTTCTCAACCACTTGGCAGTCAATGCACCCCCTCCTGGTTCCGCGCTATTTGCCTACCGTCACAAGAAGGGCCACAGACCTCTCACGAAGCAAAAATTCATATCCCGCTTAGCAGAAGCAGCTAGAGCAGCGGGAATGGATCCGCTTCAGGGACATGGTATCCGCATTGGTTCCACTCTCGAATACCTACTCCGAAATGTCCCATTCGAAGTCGTCAAGACGAAGGGCCGCTGGGCTAGTGACGCCTTCCAGTCTTACCTGCGGAAGCATGCCCAAATCATGGCACCATACATGCAAGCCATCCCCGCCATTCACGAAGAATTCGTTCGAGTCTCCATGCCCAGAACTCGCTGAAGTCCACTGCCGTGAGTACCCCTTCCTCCTACCTTGTTGGGTTTCTGCGGCTTCGCTGCGACGCGTCGTAACGGACTCCTAACCTGTTGGGGGATTCGCAGCTCACCTGTTTTCTCCTAGGCAGATCTTCAATCGGGGCCGGAAGCGCTGCGCGCGTTCGCCCATTCACTTAGTATCCACTCGTCACTCTTCGTAGTCTCCCCAGAACAAATATATTGACCTATGAAATATTTTCTCTCCCATCTCGCACGTCAGAGCGTCACCCTAAGATACGTGTTTGTTGACTTGGGTACTTGTTCAGCTACTCACATGAATGAACAAGGGTGAAGTATTCAAGAACCTTTCCACCGAAGTCTAGGTCATGCTATTCAGTGGTTCAATGTCCTGCAGATAGAGGTCGAGTGCCAGTTAGAAGCAGCCATACAAACTTGTCATGATCATGTAGAAGCTTCACAAGCAACTCCTGTGCATCCACAATCACCTGGAGCTTACGGACTTGGATAGTATTGTGACGACGCTCAAACACAGAGCGCGTGTCGTCAATGGTCAAGGACGTCTCTGGGCTAACCCAAAGTTAGGAGTCTTGCTTGGCGAGGCTTTGGCAAGCAAGGTTTAACACCTATGTCCAAATCAGGTAGCTTATGTCAAGTGAAGCTCGACAATAAGTGTATCTGCCAAGGCTTTATGACACCTGAAGGTTAATTGTAAGATCTGCATTAATAGAAGGACAGAAGTCCAACTATTAACAGGGGGCTTTGCTCGTTGATGAAGTCGATGAGTAAAGATCGAGACTAAAGACTTATCCATGATGAGCAGATAAGAAAGTAGAATATAGACTGCTGGCTAGACAGAAGGAATCACTCTTGTTAAGAGTAGGAGGTCAAGAACCAAGTAGATTCAAGTTAAGGAACTAGATACATGGTAGCAAGTTTATATAGAGGAGAGGAGGTGTATTAGTGGATGATAATTTGTACTACCAGAAGAGGAACTGGTCAAAGGGTAATACTAGAAAAGGAAGGCACATTCGAGGTGAGTCATAGGCGAACTGGAACATGCAGATAAGAAATGAGTCAAAGAACAGAAACAGGAAGTGAAACAAGCAGGGGCACGATCGTGCAACTGCGGAGCTAAGTATAAGTACAATGTGTGACTCTACACCGAGTCATAGATCAAGAAAGGAAACAGGGCAAAGGGGATGCGGCGTGCATTGTATCATAGGTTACTGTCCAGACGGTAAGGGTAAAGGGACTGTCCACAGGATCAGTCATCGGGTGAAACGGAGCATGGGTATGCTTTGTCAGAGAAAGGGTCTGGCCAGATGTACTGGCTCTGCTGAAGCGACAGGTAGAGAGCGAAGGGAAATGTAAGGATGTCGAGGATAACAAGAGCAAGGTTGGGGTAAGGGTGTGATGCAAGGGCTGAGACGAGGAGAACAAGGAGAAAAATGGTAGGGGCCCAAGTGTCTAGATGTTCTTGTAACAGGAGCCAGAGAAGAGAAGGGACTGCGGGAGCGCTGCACATCCATCCTCATACAATGCTGTCCAGCTTGTTCTGGGGGTGCTCAATTTGGCCGACTTGCATAAAGGAGGTGATATCCATGTTGCTACTGATGGAAACTTTCACTACCAACACCGGCGTTCAGCGGGAGATTCACCACATTTTTATGACCCTTCTTATTTCCTTCCAAAGATGCAGGTCAACACTGTAGAAAGCAAATCTCTGCTGGGCTCAGCAGAAATTGTAACCTAGTCAACAATGTTTAGGTAGATCTAAGCACGACCTATGCTGCTATACTTGCAGAGCAAGTGCGTTAGATCCTAAAGGGATTACTAATTGGTATCAGTAGTAAAAATGCGTCAGTAATGCAAATAACAAAATGTCCGATGGTGCGAAATGATGTCCGAAGGTACTTATCCAATGTCTGAAGCCAAAGTGCGATGTCTGAGATTTCGGACTTTCGGACTTCACAATAATGGGTCAGAAACTTTATAACAAGGTGGATTGCGAGCGGTATGCGCGAGTATAACAAGTGACGGAGTATGACAGTGAACGAATGGTAATATTTCGCAATGCAACTAAGAACTATGAGAATATTCTGGGTGATCCGCAGAGTCAGGAAATGGCTCCTAACTACTGGGTGATGATAGCTACGGGTCACTACAGAGTATTTAAGTAAGTACATAGAAATTTGGAGTACTACAGGTGAAGATAGTAGCGATATATTTTGGGTCCGATGTCCTATGTAATAAGACATGAGGTGCTGCGGACATGTAATAACGCGGTCCAAATGTCAGAAAATGTGCACGGGAATAACTATGCACCTAGTGAGGCTAGTTCGGATGGACAAGACACGGGATGGACAAGTGCGCGAAGTGCAATTGGCTGATGCGATGTCCGAAGGTCCGATGCACCAGATGATACGGAGTGGCTCAGACATGTGCGAAAGTGCGTTGGACATGTGAGCATATGTTTCGGGTGTTGACGTGAGTATGAAAATACGTGGTTTCGAGCCCAATGCCGCGACCATCGCTACAACGCTATTGGTCATCATATCACTTGAAGTTGCAAGTCTGCACCTAAGCTGCACATATTGCATGTGCCAGACAAGGCGATTCGATCTGTGTTAGAATTCCTATGAAGCAGTGGATGGCAAGAAGCAAAAGGCAGCTATGGATAGCTTTGACAATATGGGACTCATGGTGTTGATCTGCTGCCATGACATACCTTTATTTTTTGCCAATATCAACAGTCCTGGCGAGCAACAAAAGTACTCAGTTGCATTGATCAGCCATCTCTTTTCATTGCTACCTTGGAGTGCTACTGTCATCACTCTCTATGGTGTGGGGTGTGTCTTATCATGGTCGTTAAATCAGGTCAGTCTTAATTTGTTCGCCTGTCACATTGAACTGTAATTAATTTCCAATAGTACAATATCTTGCCAGACTCTATAGACAACACTTAGTTTGCAACTACTGCAATGCACACCTATGGTCATGAATGGGCTTGTCAGCTCATTTACAATCCGCGAATGATTGTTAGTCTAGGCTTGTCAATGGTGAAGGGACGGAGAGACTCTGGTCAAGATTCATTTGACTGATCGGCATGCAGCGGTTGTCTTCTGTATGTTCTCGTGTGTTCTTTTGAATTCTGCTCACATTCACACAACAGAGACAACATCATCTCTGGTTAATTGATCAGCATGCTGGAGCAATTGGCCTTGAGATGCATGCCAATCTCGGGGACTGGATTAGGCGATGACTCAGGCACAGTGTGGAGGATCAAGGTACAGCTGCCCGGAAGCTTCTCGAGGAGTGTAAAGGTGCTGTGAGTGATTTGCGAAAAGAACAGGTGATGCAGAAGGAGTCACAGCTTTCAATCTGTGCTCGTATGTAAATTTCCTCACGATCATTGTGGCCCTCCTGATGTTCTGGCATAGATGCTCTGGCTCATCTCAAGAAAAGAGTTGGATACCATCCTTGCTCTGCAAGCAGACCTTGATGCTTCGGACAAAGCTCTACAGACAATGAGGGACACATTGTGAAAGGTGAGATGTCAGAGGACACCCATGATGCAATTGAAAGTCTTGAAAGAGTGCATGAGTGTCTCATGCACAAAGTTGAAGTATTATATGCTTCACTCAATATACAAGACAGGTTCCCAGAACTAGACGGCTTGAACCTTGAGTTTGTTTGAACATTGCTGTTAGCACGCGATCTCAAGATGAACATTTGCAAGTGTGCCATTGGCAGGTTCTTCGAGTGGGATAAGCTTGATTGTGCGGTAGGAGGATCACAGCAAGCACTGGGTAAGGTGAAATATCATTTTGAACAACTTGACCTGATGTTGCATATTAGGTATAAAACTACACCAACAGACTCAAAAAGCAATTGCAAAACACCAGCCAGCATTAATGGCTGCTCTCCGTAAATTCAACGCCTATTGTGAGTGTCTCGAAGCCCTCTATGATCCTCATTGCAGCATTCCTCTTTCCATACCTCTCCCAACAAAACTAACCAACCTATGCAACAATCAGAGTTTGATGGAAGACATATGGATTACACCTTTCACTGGAAAGGTTCCCCACTGGTTCGGATGATCAAGATGTTTGCAATGGCATTCGTGCAATGTTGAAGAGAGATAGATGTGTTGAAGAGCAGCAATGTCTCGGGCTGGAGGCAGACAATCTCTGCAGATGGTTCAGTGACGAGCTCTCAGCACAAGAACTTGCCCTTTTGACACCAGGTTGTAAGTATCATATCTTCCCTTGTTCTTGTCTGATCTCACAGTGCATTTGCAGATGAAAAATTCCTTGTCCCACTTCGCCAGCAACAGGAGCACCTTCAGTACATCCAGACTTGTTGGACAACCTCACTTGCATCCATGGCACGATTCGCATCCCATGCAACTGATGCTGTATCTTTGGCCCACAAACTCTCGGGTGTCCCGGAGGAGTGTCCGCTTCAATGGATCAACACATATGCTGTCTCATATGTTGTGCCTACTGAAGACAAAGAGCCTGGACCAGAAATATTTTCTGACACCATTCACACAGCTTTGCAACCTGAAGATGCTGCCCTTGTAGATATTCTGACTGCCGGAGTCCCTGGTGGTGAGGATGACAATATTGACATCATTGTGAATGATCCTGGAGCCGACCTTTGTTGGTGAATCCCTGAAGTAGCATGGTTTTTCTACTGTTCACACTATAGTCTATGCTTATGAGTCTTCTAGGACATCACATTCGACCGAACACCTCTACCAGAAGCAGGAATCATTATTCCAGGCACCATCAAAGAACAAGTATCTGCACCTCGCTTTGGATGTCCTTGTCAAGTATTTGAGCCAAAGAATATTGCGCTTCTTGCTTCTCAGACTGCACTACTCAATGACAGTTGCATTAATGAGTGTGCAGTGCTTCTTTACTTGGAGGCGGTGCAATTGTCTCCAATGATTGAACAGTATACCATCCTTTCAACCCACAACCTCCCACACATCCGATACAATGCCCCTGATGATGTTCTATGGCACAATTGTCTTGGACATCTTACTGGATGAAAGAGGTGTGGATTCTTCCCATCCATAGGCCTTCAGATGTTGGCCACTGGGTTCTATGTGTTGTACACCTTCGAAGCAAGGAACTCCATCTCTTTGACAGCTTCGCTGAGCGGAAGCCATGGAAAAGTGACATCAAGGTTCATGGGCTTCCTCTAATAGATTTTTGCATGACTAAATTCATCCAGGACATCATGAAATTGATTGCTCATCTTCTAAGTATCACTTGACAACATGATCATGTTTTTAATGTCAACATCGACTTCAATGGATGACTCACACATCCTCTAGTGGTAAGTATGATCACAACCTTGATGGTGTGAAATACGGCCTCAGCTTATATGTTTTAGACTGATGCACTCCAGACAAATGGCTTTGACTGCAGTGTCTGGGTGCTTGCTATGATTGTGGTGACACTGCATGGGTACCACTGCATGACTCTTGGAGAGGGAGACATGCACACATTTTGACATTATCTCAGAACACTCATACTTCAAATTTTGTATTCTAACTAGTCAATACTACTGTCCAATGCATACAGATTCGATCCCGTCATCATTGCGTGCACTTCGTTATGATAACAATAGATTCTTCGAGCACACCACTGTAGGAGGCACTGAGCCATCATGCAGTGTCTGTTGCAATCTTGCATACCATCAACATACTTATGTAACATTGCCCACTGCCTCAAGAGTACATCAAGACCTTCCCTCAACTCGGCACAAAGATGCAGCGCTCCCCCTGAACTATGCCTCTTAGCACACTCATAGACTTCCTCCTTCTCCATTCGAAATTGTCGACCATGGATCACCTGGGCAAGGTTTTCTGTCCAGTGAGCTTCTGCTGGGGTGTTGAAAGGTTGAGGAGTGTAGTATGGTGGATCAACATCCCATTGTGCAAGATCTGATTTGTCAAGGTTGTCAGCACTTTGTGATGCTTGTTGAAACCGGTAGGTGTCTGGAAGATCTGCTCTTGTGAGGTTGATTAAATCAGATGGAAGGGATGACAGCTCAACATTGGAATCAAGAGTGAGGGACTTTGTTGAACCCTTTTGACTGTGGGCTTTGGCATATGTGCGCGAATTCCAAGTTGACAAGTGTTTCTACCTCTGTACATGCAGTGTTAGTACTTAGATAAGAAATACACAAAGCAAGAGTTCTCTGGACGTATCAGATTGACTATACTTTGCTGTGTATTGACGTGTTGCAGCAGTTTTTATCAGCAAGAGTGAGATGTTTTGCTCTCCGCCCCATAGGTAAAGAGGTAAAGAAGTCTAAAGCAATTGAAACAAATGAGTGGGCAACATTAGAGAGTTGGATTATTTGACCAGATACCATTTACATTAAAAATTCGTGAATATCATTTGAACCAGCAAGTCATGAAGCATCTTAATATGTGCACTAGATGGTTTTTTGGGTACATTGGAGGTATTGGGACATGTTTTTTATGTGTGAACATCGTTATCCATATGCTGATTGGCTGATTGGCTGTACAGAACAGTTATTGTGCTGCCGCAGTGCCTCGGGTGCAACATGTACCTCACATAGTCCTGATACCCTCTTGTCTCTCTCCTATCCCTTTGTAGGTTGTCCTATTGACTGTAACGGTGTTTTTACTTTTTACTTCTCTTCTTTTACAGGATTTTTGTTGCAAATTTTCTATGTGAATCTCATTTGCTCAATATTTAGTAGCTGTGGCATATGTGCGGCGACATTGCGTGGATGACACTGTGTACGGCTTTGAACATACACTTGTAGTATCAATGTGTAGCTAAATGTATGATTGAGTCCATGTAGTCATGAATCATGTATGCTACTCAAATCTTGATTCCCTTCTGATACATCAGCTCTCCCAACCATTGTGCTATTGTAAGCTATACAACCCCTCCAGACATTTCAAGAAGCTGAATATCCTCCAAATATGCGACTGTAGTCTTCAAGAATCAAGAGACTGTGTCAGTGGCATGCCACTCAGGTGAGAGACCACAGAAATTTAGGATTTTGTCTTGTGCAGCAATGACATGCTCAAGTATACTTTCAATCTCGCTGATTGAGTTCACAATGATACAAATATCACCCTTAGTGCTGCAATTGTCTGGGATGCTCTTGATGTACTCAGCCAACTTGTTCTTGGCAAACTCACAAGGGTTGGCACCAATCAATATGAGCATGTCGTCCTTGGCAGTTTTGATAGCGTGTAAGCATGCTGGCAGATCGGATTTGTTGGACATTAATTGATTTCAATCTATGTTTCTATTTTTAAACTTACAGTGTGTCATTGTCACTCAAATTATTAGTGTCTGATTCAGACTCATTGTCGTCATGGCCATGCAATACTTTTGCCACAGCTCTTGATACCTCTTTTGTTATCGCCTCTGATTCCTTGTCACATTTCCTTACACCATACATCCTCCGCTATTGTAAGATTGCATCTCTGTGTCTTTACAAGTAAGTGTCAGGAACAGTCTTGGGAACAATTAATAAAATAATGACATACTTTGCATAATAGTGTTTGTTCTTTTCTTGTGCCTCAATTCTGTCTTGAGCCATGTTACAAATAGTTGGACAAGTCATCAGATAGTTGTTGGAGAGGACTAAGGTTGAAAATTGTAGTGGAGGTTCAGAAATGAGCCTCCAAAGAGGAGAGCGGTGTCTTATTATGCAGGTATGCATTCAATCGCCATTGATCTTCTGTCCTAATTAACTTTCTATCAGAGGATCGCAATGCATGCATATGTCACCCTTTTGGGCAAGCCAATGACCTGCACCAAACTGGTCCGGTGCATGACCATGTGGTGTTAGTGAATATTTTTCGGGAATTTTGCATGGAATGAATTTTGTGTTATTTGGCTCGAAGATGACTCAGCTAGATTCTCATACATCTGAAGCTTCCATGAAAAATACTTTCTGCATATGTTTGTTTGCGGGAACTTCCAGGAAACCTTAAATACATGTGTTACCCGGTTTTGCTTTATGACATATGCTACGTCTCTAAATAACACCAAATACAAACAAGTTTCAACATATTATGTAAACCATGTTCTCTTACCACAGTCAGCTGATCTATGACTAAGCCTGACAAATCATGTTCACCTATGTACAATTCACACGGGTATTATGATCTATGACAAATAATGTAGTATATCTAGATACGTGAGAAAACGAAAATTGAATATACCTAGGTACGTGGGAGTAAATTAGCACAGCCATGTAGATTTGTCTATATAAGGACCTCTGTTTTGGCCTGAAATGCAATCAATCTGACTCTCAGAGTCACCCTTAATAAAATTGCGAGTGAGGTTTGTGTGTGATCAGCATCAGCAACAACCACGAAGAGTTGTTCGACATTATCAGGTACATTGATGAGACAGTAGGAGCCATTGAGCTCACTGTGCTCAACAACCTGCAAGGCCTAGTTATTTGTTTTGAGAAGTCTCTTGTTTTTCTGAGTGTTTGTGTTTGTGTGCACGTGTCTCTGTTTCTATCTCTCTATATCTGTTTCTCTAGGATTGGGATCTATTTCTTTTAAGTTTGGGATCTATTTCACTCTAGTCTGGGATCTATTTCATTTTGATTGGGATCTATTTCTTTTTGTTTGGGATCTATTTCCTTATCTCTGTTTCACTAGTCTGGGTTCTGTTTCACTCTATCTATTTCTTCAGCTCGGGATCTGTTTCACTCTATCTGTTTCACTCTCTCTACCCATCGAAGGCTAACAGTCTGAGTGCTCGTTTATTGTTGTGTCACTAACATGTTATAGATTTTAGCAAATATATTCTGAGTGTTTGTTTCTTGCTGTTGATACTAACATACTTTTGATTGTAGCAAATACATTCGAGCCTTATCTTTGGATTCTTCGTGTTGTCTCTACGTCCGCTAAAGGCTCAGAGTAGCTTAGTGGGGAGACTTCAGGAGTTGATTATTGTCCGCTTGACCTCACACATCTGAGTAGTATACTGAGCCAGGATTGTTATTTGTTAGATAGGCTTTAGCTATTGAATAGGGGACTTGGTATTGAAATCCAAGGACGTCTGTTTCTGATTCTGTTTAATACTCATTGTGAGTTCCTTGGCAGCAGATTCAATATTAGGCTAAGAGTTCTACGGAAGCTTTTGACAAGTCTTGACCTTTGATCCTACCTGTTTGCGCTGTGGGAGTGACCAATACAGCTTCGCACAATTGTTTCACAGTAAGTTTAGAATATAGCACCATTGATTGTGCCTAGTCTTAGTTCTTATTTCTGTTTAGCACCAGTGATTGTGCTTAGTCTTGGTTCTTTTTTTTCTGTCTCTTTGTTTCTTTTAGTCAACACCATATCGCTGGGTTAACTAGTGTTTCTAGACTGATATCGTAGAGTACCTTTGTCTGACCATAGCTTGGATATACTGACAGGCCACCCACAAACAACCACATTATCAGTCATTGGTATTTGTCTGAATCACTGACCATGGAGATATTTGATTTTGTAGGTGTTCATCTATAGATCATCTATCTAAGAAGACACCGAATGCGATTGTAGGTATCTCCCACTTCTTCTCAGATGAGCATTTTCAACCTTTCAGAATACTCTACTAATTCTCACAATTTTTCCCCCAGCATGATGATGTTGAGTCCATCGCAATTGGGGAGGAAAAAGTTAGGATCACAATTGATGAAGGACACATTGAGATGGTGGAACCCTGGGTGTCCCCAGACTTGTAAAGTAGTTACCTAAATGTCTAACACATCGAAAGTCCAACGGGTCAGTGATGAATGAAAGCAGGTTGTACTACTACACAACTCTACCACCACTTATCTGTGCGCGCCTTTACTTTCCTGGGACATGAGGAGTTCATCCACCTCTACCTCATCTTCCTCATGGACACCCCCATCAGACAATTGTGAACTCTGTCCAATGCAAGATATCTGTGGAATAAGTTTGTCGATGTTACATTTACCTACAGGCAACAGTTCTTGTTCTTGATTGAACTTCGACCTCCAGGAGGGTGGGGGCAGTGGCAACTTGATGAACACCTTAAGGTGCTGTTGATGACATGTTAGATGGGACACCACAGGAACTCGTACACCAGATGGTAAGCCAGGAGCAGAATACCTTGTAGGGGATGATGCAAAACCACATACATGAGACAGTGGTCCAAAGGTAGAATGTTGTGCAGGAGAGGGCCCATGAGATGGCGCAGGAGATGGCGCAGGAGATGTGTCAGGAGACTTATGGTTGGATTTCTGGTGAGGGAGGCCCTGTCGATCGGATTGACCATCCACATACTAGCGTCGCCCACATTTGTGCATGGAGTGAGATGCAGGTGCTTCCTCAATAATCATGGGGCTATGGGAGGCCATGAGATGCGCAAGGGCACGTTGTCTTGTGATGGTCTTGATGGTGAGCAAGTTGTTCTTGAGAGCATTGGCAAAGACTTGGCGCTCATGAAGTGAGAGGTCGTGTATCCCCTTGCTCCTGATGAGAGTGGCACATTTCTCACCAGGCATCAGGACATTTTCAGGATAGTGCTGGAGAATGTAGCCATGACGAGCTAGTTCTCTAGGTAACAACTTCCATGGAAATGTTCCCCCTCGTCCTTTGAGCTCGCCTGCACCATTCTGAGTAAACATTTGAAAAGATTCTGATAGTAAACTCACCAAGCAACACTGAGAGACCACCAATAATACATGGTATGTCCTTCAGGCTTCTCCATCCATTGGGGTTACTCATCTGCCGCTTCTCCAGCCACTTTTCCAACACCATCTCCACTGGTAAGCCATTTTGCAATGCAATATGTTCGAGTTGATAGTCTAGCTTGGTAAAGTCCATAATTGTGATGTAGATGACTGACAAAGGAGGCTTGGGATCATCACAGATAAGACATCAATGACATCATACATGGTTTTTGCTAGAAGATTAGAAGTCTTCTCCGCCATTGATAAAGGTAGCAAATAAATACATTATATGATATATACATTTATTAGATGTATCAGAGTTTGTAGCTCAATGGGAGTTTACGGTGTGCCATCTTGTGTGGCGCTCGTTTGATTTGACTTGTGTGCTTGTTTTTTAAAAATTAATTTGCTGGATTTCAAATCTAGCCCCGGCAGCATGCCTGCGAAACTTATCCTAATTTGATGTTACTCTTAGGGTCAGATGGTTGGATATCCTAGGATTGAAATATTCTGCCTTATTGAGACTTGTCGCCCATCCAAGTCGATCTCTTGATGAGTGCGTATGTCATTTTCCCATTCATGTTCATAAAATAGGGTCTGTGAGAACATTGTCAAAAAAGTGCCAAGGGTGGACCTCCAGCAGCCAGCTCCTCCAGGACTTCCATGCACTCCAGTGCCTCCCACCCGAGTTGGAGGATCACTCAGCATTTAGCAAGTCCAGCAGCCAGCTCCTCCAGGATCTCCACATGCTCCAGTGCCTCCCACCTGAGTTGGAGGATCACTCAGCATTTAGCAAGTTTGATGCTCTCTCAAACCTTCCAAGAGGAGAGTGAAATTTTTGACTTTTGACTTCTCTTCTTTTACAGGATTTTTCTTGCAAATTTCCTATGTGAATCTCATTTGTTGCTCTGGCACATCCAAGTCCACCATGGACTATGAAATCCAAGAGTGCCATGGGCATTTTCTTCCTCCTGCCCTCCTTGTCGTCTGTTAGGCTCTACAAAAAGAGCATTTTCTTCTTGTATTTTTCTGCTGTGAACACTAAAGGTAAGTCATTGACCATCACACAATCTTCAGTTTAACATTTAATGCTAAAGGACATTCACAGTGTCCAGAAATGTTACATCCCAACCCAGAGGACCCTGACTACAACTGGGAGCAATTTGGTGGTGGTTGATACATATCTCCTCCCGCTGCCCAGACTCCCACTTGGTTATATACACACATCAAACCAACTGCATGTGATCCTGGCCTTGTCAAAAATGTGCAGGGTAGGAGAGCGAAACTTGCTCTGGACAAGAGTGGTGAAGTCAATCCCTCAGCTCAGAACATCCAGCCTGAGACAGGACAATGGCCTACTCCCATCTTACAGCAAGACCTTCCAAACAACATGCCGATCTGTGTCACGTGAAACTCCCATCTTACAGCAAGAGCTCCCAAACAACTCTGCACAGGGTAGGCAAGGCTTATATGGTGATGTACCACGCCGAGCTATGTTGTGTGAACTGCCATGTGAACCCCAGCGCCATTTTTCAGGCCCACGTGAACCTCCCCTTCATCTCAATCCTCAGCAACCTCAGCTTAACATTATCCTTTCACAACCTCCCCTTGCTACTATGCAGGGAACACACATGCCTGTGGGGTTGAACAGCAGGCAGGATCTCCACACTGACCGACTTAATGCTGGATCAAGTGCTGATGCTCTCGGAGTGCTAGGTCTTCCCCGGGCCAGTCTCATAGATGACTTCAGTGCAGGGACTTCCACTACATTTGACGGCACAAATCATCCATTCACTGCTGATACCACATTTGACTTCTCATCGCTTGATGTTCCATGGGATGCTGTGGGCAGGGACTTCGCTCTAGGCAATAAGTACAATGGCCACACGGATTTACCAGAGACCCGAGTTATCCCCCCCATGCCTGCAAAGACTCCACACCAACCTTCCTTTGGTGCTCAACCTGGTGTGCAAGATGCTTTCCCAAGCCATGATGACATGGGAGAATTTTCAGCTGGTGCGCTGGTTGGCTGTAGAACAGATGAGGTGAATGTATTGTTGGAGGAGAATTTCAAAGCTATCGATGACATATTCAATGATCTCATTGCAAAAACCAGCTTACCTTTGCAGCAAGTCTCTCATGCATATCACAAGGCCCGTGGATGAATTCATTCCATGTTCAATCACTGGAACACATATGGCCACTACTTGAAAGTGAACCGAAAGCAGGAGCTACAAAGACTTGGTAATATTGAGGTAGCTGATGCTGCTCAAATTATGCCAGCAATCCAAGCTGAATGCTACAAAGTGTTCTGAGCAGCTTTTCCGGATTCATGGCAAGAAATTCTCAAGACATTTGAGCAGGTAGAGGTGAGGTCAGTTGGACCTCAGACAGTTTTGCAGCGAACACAGGAATTCAGTAAGATTTGGAGAAAAGTCATGAGCACGGTGCATCCAACACTTCATACATCAAAATAATTTGCTGACCTTACTTTTAGGTGGACACCGCTGCTGCCAAACATGGCTTCAAAGCAGTCTTTATCATATGCGGAAAGGTGGTCAATCAGGACACCTCACTTGGGTATATACACAAAACACCAGGTGCAGAAAGTGTAAGTCATTCCTCTGTTTGTATACATCAAAGTCCTTACTCAACACTCTTGGTTTTGGCAAACACGCTGCCAAAGTGATGAAGATGCAATGATTGGACATTTAAAAGCTCATGTATAGTAAGTTCATGGCTCCAATGTAGACTGCTTATGAATTCTAACACCCCATTTTAGCAACCTCACATCCCTTGCTGTGGTTGAGGACACACATCCTGATGGCGCACCGAGCATAAACGAGGATGAGCTGCCACCCAAGCATGAATCAGTTGAAGTGTCAGCAGACACTCCAGATGCCATGAAAGTTGACCCAGATGCTCTGGAGGTGTCTGGCATTGGTGACTGGCAACTCCAGGTTGATGTTCTTCAATGCATCAAGGGTGGCATAACTGCGCTATTCAGTGAGTATCTATTCCTTTTGGTATTTTGCTTGACATTCACTTACCATTCTTAAGAGGAGCTTAGAGGGAAACTCACTGTCTGCTCAGGCAATTTCCCTTGGAAGAAGCTCTGCAACGACCTTGACCGTCAAGGGTTCGTCATTGAAGACTACCCAGAGGGCATTCTTATGCCAGGAGAGACATGCAGCACCAATGTGAGGAGTAAGGGGATCAACAACCTCAACAAATAGGAACAGATCATCCTTGCAGAAGCCTTGAAATGTGAAACACTGGTGATCAAACATGGGCCCACAGGTATTTACTCATGTATATATTCTTCACCTACACTAATTTCTTACTAGGTCCAGAGGTCAAAGACAATAGTCGACCTGTCATCATTGGGGAGGCTCCCCCACCACACTCTATTCACTTACGCAGCCGGCGGTTGCTTGCCAATGGCATCATAGATCGTGAAAATCCATCTTGTCTCCAGCAAAGTGCAGCAACCACCAAAGTCAGGAAGCCAAATGACAGTGTGCCCATCACTCCCCCCATAGTCGTTGAGAACGATTCTCCCACTTCTGCCATATTTTGTTGGAAAAACCTTGTCGTTTCGGTTGACATACCTCCTGCATGCCCCTTTAAGGTAGTCAGGCCACTGAAATCAAAGGTGACACCTGCACCTTCTGACATCATCACTCTCAAAGAGTCCATAAAGGCACCCTCAGGATCTGAGAAAGATAACTTGGAATATGATAACCTTCCACAAGACGACAAGTCTGACTATGAGGAAGAACTTCCATCCCACAAATGCAAGGCAAGGACCATTGGCAGCACTCACAGACTTAAGCACCATGTGCCATCCAGTGATGTCAAGTTGATTGAGCAGCCGCAGCCCAAGGGAAAGGGAAAAGAGACTGTATTGCAGAAGGAGAGGGCAAGGGTATGTTATCGTGAGCTCACCTCTGATTCTGAAGAGGAAAAGAAGGAAGGTATGTAAGGTTCATCTCTGCTGCCTGTATATCATGCTTACCATAACACTTTTTCATAGTTGATGTGCCTTTGTGATTCCGAGACGGTCCAGTACGTCCAAAGCCCAGGCCAAAGCTAAAGAAGGTTATTCCCAGTTCGACTGCAGCAGCTAAACAAGTTGCTTTCATGAAGGTGGGATGCTTCATATGCATGAATCATCAAGAGCAGCAGGACCCTTGGGAGCAGCAGCTCCATCAGGAGCATCAGAGGTGCGCGAATCATTGAGAGCAGTAAGCACAGAAGTATCACCAGAGCTGTCTGCCCCCTCATCTCCATCGCCTCAATTTCAGCAACCTCTGCACTTGTTGGTTCCACCATCATATGACCAGCATAGCACTGCCCTCCAAACTGCACCATATAATTACGGTCATGGCAGGACCCTTCCAGCACCTTCATATGGGCAACATCTTGATGTGCTGCAAGGTCAGAACTATCCTGACCCACACCATAATCAGATCACCTACCAACAGACTGCTCAACCCCTTCTAGCCACAAATCAGAGTTTGGGTGTCAAGACTGCCAGTTACAGCCATGCCCAGTATGCTCCTCATGATGACGTGTATACACACCTTGCATCCCATCATGCTAATGCTGCACACACGGAAGCTTATATGACCCGTCCACCTGCTCATCAACAACATCTGGAAAACAACAGTACTCCTGCATTGGTATTTTCTCAGCAGCAGCAATATTCAGACATTTTTGGTTGTGTGCCTGCTTGCACACATTCTTGTGCACGTACTCCTCAACAACACAGGGAGACTTACGACACTCATGTGCTGGCTCATCAACCACCCACCTCTCAGCAGCATACAAGGACATACAACACTCGTGTGCCTGCTCCATAACAAGGACATGTGGATGGCAGGGTAGCATATGACCTGGACGAACACTGGCAGCCTCACTATGGGCCACAAACACCCCACTCTAGTCAGAGGATGAGCCCTTTACCTGCTCTTATGGGGTACTCATCATCACCGCCTCAGTCTGAAGGCAACTAGTAGACATCACCTCTTGTTTCTTGGAACACTTTCCTACATTGTGCACTCTTGATGTTTCTGTCATCTTTGCTTTTGATGGTGTTCTTGATATTTCCACATGTCCATACCTCACTCGTTGCTTTGATCATGTGTTCTTGATGTCTTGTATGTTAATATCTCACCCATCCTTGCTCTAACCAGTTGTACAACTGACTTCAATGATAGTTTACTTATGTACTTTCATGTGCCAATAAATCAATTGTTATTGTTTCTGGTTGAATGAACTTGAAATGCTTCAGATGTTTGTGAAGTGAGATTCGAAGTCCAAGGTTCATGATGCAGGAACATTTAGAACAAACCTGGCCTGGCATGAGAACAACGAACATTGAGATCAAACATTAGATAATGGAAAAGTTGAGTCACTGAAAGGGATGCACTCGAGGCTTGTATGATTACAAAACATTTAAAACAAACATTAAATAACAGAAAGGTTGAGTCATTGAGTTGAGCAAGATGCACTCGAGGCTCATGAAGGCTGCAAGCAAGGGAGCAAGGGCAATGGACAGCACTATGCAAGATGAACTCAAGGCTTGTAAAGCACCTGACAGTGAGTACAATCAGAAAAGGCCAAGAAAACAGTTTAGAAAGAACTCATTGTTTGATGGTTGCTAGATGGCTGTGAGCAAGGGCAACAGACAGTACTATGCATCAAAGGGGGCACAGATCTATACTTACCATACATGGCAGTGAGTGAGGGCAAAGGGCACAGACTATACTTGCCACGAGAACCTCTGTGTGAACTTGAGTCAATTACCCTCTCAAGGGTGAGAGCCTATTGTAGCATCTGGTGGAGACTCTCTTGGGGACAATGGTCTCTCAGCCTAGTTTTCCATAACATAGAAACTGGGTCTGAAAGATCATGGGAACATCTCTGAAGTGGTGCCAAGGGTGATATATTCAGCCTCAGTGCTGGATAGTGCCACAGAGTCTTGCTTCTTTGACTGCCAGCTTACAGCGCCACCCGCCATCAAGAAAATATGGCCCGTTATCAAACATCGGTCGTTGATGTCTGATGCCCAGTCCTATATCTACAAAACCACACAGGCTCGTCTCTCCATTTCCTCTGAAGGTGAGTCATTTGTTTGATGTTTTGCATAGATAACAGTATGCACACTTTAGAGCATTCTAGTGTTCATCGCCTGGGGTAGCAGAGTGCTTGCTCAATGTGCCCACTGCAAATGCAAGGTCTGGGCAAGTTGTGAGCATCACATACATCAATGCACTGAGCACACTTTGATAAAATTTGATGTCTGCTTCTGCGCTCTCTCGTTTGACTAACATGGTGTTTGACTCTGTAGGTGTAGTGATGGGTCCCCTCATTACACAAATCACCAAGTGTCGAGTACCGAAACCTGAAACTCAAGACCCAGTACACAAATCACCAAGTGCTGAGTGCTGAGTGTCGAGGCCTGAACCCCAATGTCCGAAGCCCAAAACCCAAAGCCTGAAACCCAAAAATATGTATACAACATATCCATATTTCCCTCATTACACAAATCACCGAGTGTCGAGTACTGAAACCTGAAACTCGAGACTTGGTACACAAATCACCAAGTGCTGAGTGCCAAGTGCCAAGTGCTGAGTGCCGAGCCCTGATGTCCAAAGCCTGAAACCTGAAGCCTGAAACCTGAAAATATGTATACAACATATCCATATTTCCCTCACTGCACAAATCACCAAGTGTCAAGTACTGAAACCCAAAACTCAACACCCGGTACACAAATCACCGAGTGCTGAGTGCCAAGTGCCAAGGCCTGAAACCTGATGTCTGAAGCCCAAAACCCAAAAACATGTATGCAACATTTCCATTTTTCACTCATTGCACAAATCACCGAGTGTTGAGTGCCAAAACCTGAAACTTGAAACCTGATACACAAATCACCAAGTGCTGAGTGCCAAGGGCCAACACCTGAAGCCTGAAGCCCCAAACCCAAAAACATGTATGCAACATGTCCATTTTTCACTCATTGAACAAATCACCAAATGCTGAGTGCTGAAACTCAAAACTCAGTGACTACAACTGGACATGAATTCTGTATTTGTATGTATTATCCATTGATGTAGGGTTCAAATAACTTGGAAATTGTATTGACTACCAAGTGTTGGGACTCAGGACTTGCTAGTCAATATAGGAAAATGATAATGAAAAAATGAAAGTTAATATTATGCTTAACTTTCTTAATGAAGGTTGTAGTCTGAGTCTATGTGAGTGTATTGGTAGTCTTTTTTTGTCCATTGGTTATTGTTTGACCAAGATATAAGCTAAAGAAATCTGAAACATCAGTGATAATGAACAATGAAAGTTATTATTATCCTTAACTTCCTTAATAAAAGTTATAGTCCAAGTCTATGTGAGTGCATTGGTGGTCCTACCAAGTGTTGGTACTCAGTGTAGTGATGGTCGCAGTGCTGGGCTCAGAACCACTGATTTTCATACTCATGTCAACATCCAAAACAAATCTGCATACATCTGATGCACTTCGGATCAGGGACCTGGAATAACACCCATATATGTCCATTATAATAGCCCTAATAGTTTAGAAAGATCCATGAAGGATTGATGTAATGACAGGCATATGTGTGAAATGTGACAATAGACATATTTTTACAAAGTCACATTTATAGATGATTCAGGCCAAAGATTTCATTAAAAATATGTAGGATAGATTGTAAACTACCTAAGGAACCCATACTGCCTACTGGCTTGAGCGTAGGGGGTGGGTGGAAGGGATATAGTGAAAATATGAGTTGACTCAGCATTAAAGTCCCATTATTGCTTCACTGACCATTTTCGATGCTTTGAGTCTTTGAAGTTTCCCACACTCAATTTCTTATCTATTTCACTTCCTCAGTACTCAATTCTTGGTGGATTTGTCTGTAAATTTATGTCTATGATACTTGATATATTTTAAATGTACTCCAGGTTTCTGATCATGAAGATTCAATGTTTTGAAGGTATGGGCCCCTTATCAGGAGAAATGGCAAGTATGCACACTAGCTCACAAACTCCAGCCTATTGTGAGCTGATCTTGGTCATAAGAGGCAAGAATATAAGCTATGCTCATTATATATTAAAAAGGTTGGATCATGGATGCAAGGGCAAGATACTGAAAATTATGAAAAATGTCAAAAGTGCAATGGTCTATGCTTTATTCCTGGAGAAGGATCCTGTGGGTCCTGGGCTGGCTATATGATATATCTACTCCAAATATGCTCAGGAATAGACTCCCTACAGTCCTCAAGGTCCGGTCCTACATGGAAAAAAATATCCAGGGGGTGAACCACCAGGAAAGTGGGAGGTACACTATACAATAAACATATGGTCCTGAGCTCCTAATACATTCTCTCTATTGCTGAATAGATGATGGGGATATAACTTCAAAGTCTATTCACCTAAAAATAAACACATAGGAACATATTTTGTATTTTGATGTATATATGCTATATCCATTTAAGTACTGAGTCTCAGCTATCGACTATCAAGTCCCGACACTCAATAGTTGGTAGTCAGTATTTGAGCTCCGAGTGCCAATATTGCCCACCAATATCTCAGTCAAATGATAACTAAATCAAGATCCGAGTTCCAAACCCAACTACCGAATACCAAGTGTCGGTACTCAGGACTTGGGACTGTTGGCTGGAGTACCTGACTATTGATTGCTGGGTAGAGAGTACCCGTCTATTGATTCCCAGGTACCAAGTGTCAGAACCATGTTCTGAGTACCAATTTCTAAGTACGTAGTACCGAGTACATATTTTCAGGTTTTGGGTTTTGGGTTTTGGGCTTTGGACATCAGGTTTTGGGCCTTGGCACTCAGCACTCAACACTTGGTAATTTGTGTATAGGGTCTCGAGTTTTGGGTTTTGGTACTCAACACTCGGTGATTTGTGCAATGAGGGAAATATGGATATGTTGCATACATGTTTTCGGGTTTCGGTGTAAAGAGTAAATCTCCGCTGGGCTCAGCAGAAATTGTACTACCTAGTCAACAATGTTTAGGTAGATCTTAGCACAACCTATGCTGCTATACTTGTAGAGCAAGTGCGTTCAATCCTAAAGGGATTGCTAATTGGTTTTAGTAGTAAAAATGTGTCAGTAATGCAAATAACAAATTGTCCGATGGTGCGAAACGATGTCCGAAGAATCGATGATGTCCTGAAGGTACTTATCCAATGTCTGAAGCCAAAGTGCTATGTCCGAGATTTCGGACTTTCGGACTTCATGATAATAGGTCTAAAACTTTATAACAAGTGTCGGATTGCGAGTGGTATGCACGAGTATAACGAGTGATGGAGTATGACGGTGAATGAATGGTAATATTTCGCAATGCAACTAAGAACTATGAGAATATTCTGGGTGATCTGCAGAGTCAGGAAACGGCTCCTAACTACTGGATGATCAATGCTACAGGTCACTACAGAGTATTTAAGTAAGTACGTAGAAATTCAGAAAACTACAGGCGAAGATAGTAGCGATATATTTCGGGTCCAATGTCCTATGTAATAAGACATGAGGTGCTGTGGACATGTAATAACGTGGTCCGAATATCAGAAAATGTGCATGGGAATAGCTACGCACCCAGTGAGGCTAGTTCGGATGGACAGGACACGGGATGGACAAGTGTGCGCAAAGTGCGATCGGCCGATGCGATGTCTGAAGGTCCGATGCATTGGATCCGATACAGAGTGGCTCGGACATGTGCGCATATGTTTCGGGTGTTGACGTGAGTATGAAAATACGTGGTTTCGAGCCCAACACCACGACCATTGCTACATCGGGCTTTGGGTTTCAAGCTTCGGACATTGGG